GGGCAGGCGTAGGCTGACACATGATTAGGCTGACGTGATTCTGACTAAAAACTTCATAATCACAATTTAAAGACCACTGAGAACACTGTCAGTAGTAAATAAAAAATGATCGGAGTGGGAATTTAAACAAAATGTTGTAGCTGTCTAAGATAGTTGCCACCTACCCAAGATTTCAGCTCCAAATGCAGTTTTTCCTATCGGTCTTGTGCTGGTTTCTCTGGAAAATTTTACATATGACTGTCCTCTCCACAATCCGCCATGATAAGCAACATTTTCAACCATGATTACCTCCTGATGTGCAGTGTGGTGTGCTAACAGGCCTGGCCACAACATCGGCTATGGCATGATTTAAAATTTGACATTTTTTGCCGTTATTATTGTCTGTGTCAAAACATCATTTTATTCTAGTTGGCTGACACGTACAAAGCCAGTTTAGAGAGTGATGATAAACTCAATCGCTCTCAATCTGATTTATCAGATTAAGAGCACAATAGAGATAGTGTCATTGTGCCTGAACAGAGCCTGAACCTCCTACCCCAGTATACTGGACTCAAAGAAAGAAAATCAGCAGATCAAATGATCACATCTGAGGAATAAATGATGCAATTCAAGCATTGTATTGATTTAAGTTGTTGCAGTTGTAACTTCTCAGAATAAGATCTGCAAATCCTCCTGAATAACCTGGAAGCTGCCTCTGGAAAAACACGTTCTGTCGAGTTTTTAAATGTCATTTTTAATGCTGTAAGCACCTCCAAATCATTCCCATTCACCTCTTTTGTTCTAAAGTGAAAGCCTAAATGTCAAAGACTCCAAAGTTGAAATAATGAAAACTCTGTTGTTGAAACTAAATGGCAAAGATAATCAAAAATCATGTCCCACACCGACTAAAGTGACCCCCGAGCCTGAGGAACAAAGCAAGCAAAGATTATCCTGCAGAACAAAGAGCGAAGACAGAGAAATAGTTTAGACCACAAAGGAGAGTAATGTGGCATTAAGATTCAGGGCCAGGCATTCGTGTTTACCCAAGAGGAAACAAGGACATGACACAGTCTTGGCTCCTGAATTTGTGAATTCAAAGCATCTGGGCCAACCTCTAATTCAGCTCCGCATAACTTCCCATTGGCAGGCAGGTCAGGGATGCCGGAGTACTCTCTAATACATCTCAGTGGATTATTCTCGCTTCGACCTCCAGCCTCCGTCTCGCATAACTCAGCGGGCAGGACGCACCGGCTGTGTGTCTCACTGTGGACACCCAGGCTCGAAATGTATGAGCGCCGAGCCAAGAGGAACATGGAAAGCTGGTTATCTGATGTTCAAAACGGGCTGGGAAACATCTGAACTGACTAAGAGGCAAAGAATAAAGTGTGAATGACTGATGCTGAAAGAGAAAAAAAAGACAACAGATTTACAGTAACTCCAGCAGACCACAAGGAATGTGACCGGGCAGCGTGTACAGACAGGCCCAACATGTGATCACACACACACACACACACACACACACACACACACACACACACACACACACACACACACACACACACACACACACACACACACACACACACACACACAGCATAAGAGACACAAAGAAGACAAAGGGAGCCTTGCTGTAACTGCACAGCATCGCAGACTGATAGCAGGGAGCATAGGAGGTAATAACACGACTCATGTTTGGCGTCATATTCATAGAGACACAGCGGGGTGATACTCAGTCTGAGGACACAGAGACTGCCTTGAGAATAAACAGATAATCCCAAAGTCCCTGGTGGCAATAATTTAATGAGTCAGTTTTTTCTGTCTACTTGTATTCCATGAAAAAAACAGCTATTTATTTCCTTTATTTACAGTATCAGTAAATTGTATTCTGCTGAACGTGAACAATAATAGAAACAACAATAATGTTATATGAGAATTAGTATACAAGCCATCGAAAGATTGATATTCTGCATTTATTTAATCAGGTGAGCCTCGCTGAGATTTAAAAGAGTGTCCTGGCCAAGACAGCTGCAGCAGGTTCCAACAAAGTTACAGAGATAAAAACAGAGTTTAAAATTTGGTAACATGGTCGGAGACATAAAACAGAAATCATCATTCAAAGCATCTGCAGCCTGCAGCATCTTCCTCCAAAACCTTCTAACAGAACATTCGGAAACAGACCAGCTTTATCAAATCCAAATGTTCCTGCAGTAAATTCAAAGCTGTAGGAGCAACGTACCTAAGACTCTTTTTCACCCATTTCTAGATACATTGAGGGGACAGACAGTGGAAGTAGGTCCTGTGTCTGGGTCACAGAGCGAAGACTATAGCTTCCAACATTTTTCAAATGGATTACAGCATCAAAATAATCAGGAACGAGTAAAGAATCGCCTCACAATCGAGGACATGCGAGTGATTTAGTCCATGAGTAGTCAATGCAGGCCAGCTGACTCGATCATACAGAGAACAGCAGTGAGTAAGTGACTTTAACTCTGTGATGAAACTCAGAGCTCCATGGTAAACTGTATCCAGAGAGTGAGGGCTTTGAGTTGATGCATGCATATACAAAACATCATCATAGTCAGTCAGGGGAATAAATGAAGCCACAACAAATGTTTTCTTTGCAGCAAAAGAAAAAAAAAGGACTTGTTTCTCAAATCGAAGCCCAGCTGCAGCTTCAGCTTCTTTACAAGAGTCTGCATATGAAGTGTAAAAGACAAATAGTCATCAATCAGGAATCCCAGGTACTTGTAAGAACATACAGACTCGATACAGACTCAATCACATGACTTTGAGACATAGTAATAGATGGCAGGTTCAGTGGCTTTGACTTTGTGAAAATTGTGAGTTTATTTTTTTGTCAGGATTTTAGATCAATTTCAACCCATGAAAAGTCGACCACGGATGCAGAAGGAAGTTGTCCTGACTTGACTTTTGCTAGAGCTTCATCCATTTTCTATTGCTTATCCCGTTGGGGGGAGCATATCTCAGCATGGGACGAAGGCAGGGGACACCCTGGACAAGTCGCCAGTTCATCGCAGGGCTAAAAGTGACCAATTAACCTAACCCCACTTCTGCATGTTTTTGGGACATGGGAGGAAACCGGAGTACCTAAAGAAAACCCACACAGACACAGGGAGAACATGCAAACTCACACAGAAACTCCCTGACCCAGATTTGAACCCAGGACCTTCTTGTTGTGAGGCAACAGTGCTAACCACTATACCACTGTGCCACCTGCAGAGCTTCATGTAATCAAAAGTTTACCAAGACATGCGACAAATTATAACCAGAAAAGGGTGTAAATGCTGCAAAATAAGAGATATAAATGAGGCAATACTACAAAAATGAGAATTAGTGCAAAAAAATAATGGAGACGAAGAAGCTGAAGATGGGGATGAAGAAAAGAGAAGTAGAAAAGGAATTATCTTAAAAGCGCACTCAAGTTCAAACCGGTGTGAATTAATGTGGTAATTTTCTCCACTTTCCAGATATTTGGTGCTCATGATGGCAGGTTTGAGGCTGAAAAGCAGCAGCAGAGCAGCTTCTGTTAAATGGGAAGTCTCAGTCTGAGCTGTTGTAAACTTTCAGAATAGCTCAATTTTATGACATTTCTTTCTCTCCTATATTTTCTGTCTTTCACTGGAATAAAAGTACATATTTTCTCCTCAAGGCCACACAGTTACATTTCTGCAAAGGGCACACGTCATGCTAGATTACTTTCCCTGTGCCCCTCATCTCAACCTCCTCTGGTTTGGCAAAATAAATGTTGGGCAGTTTTTTTTTTCTCTCCAGGAGTGGTGAGATCATGCTGGATTTTCTATTTTTAGGGCTAAGACTGACTCCGGCTCGGACACTCCTTCACCGTGCTCACAGGGAGACACAAGAGGGTGCTGTTTTACATGATCCGATGGAGGTGAGGGTGTGAAAAGGCAAAGATTTGAGAGGGACAGGGTCAGTGCACCTGCTCCTAAGTGGTGAGTCAGGTAGGAAAAGAGCCATGTGGGGTAAAGAAATTGAAGGAGGAGATTTATTTCTCTGTTTTCACCTGTTGAAGTCCCTCTGACAAATTGTTTGATTCTTCTGTAACGTAAAGGTTCAATGTAAGGTAGTTGGATAATTCTGATGATGAGAAACTGCAGGATGGAGACAGAAAACTTTCCCTAGCAGCACTTTTACTCTTCAGCCATCTTGTCATCACCACAGAATAACCCAAATACTTAATATCCTGGACAACCCTGATCACATGTCACAGCACTTACCAATCAGAGAATTGTAAAAGAACCTCAGAAACACAGTCTGCATAATCTGCTGACCCTAACAAACAGCTGCAGAGAGAAGCATTTAAACTTGAAAATATGTAAATATGAACCTGTCAACACTTTGTGAATAGTTCTCTGTATGAATTCTATAAACACATTTTTTTAGCTTAACTTAGAGACAGTTAACTGTAATAGTAAACAGAAATATATGAATTGATTTAACTGTTAAAGCTTACACTTCCATCACCGGCTGAAACAGGAGAGTATCATACCATATCATTTTCTCTACGTTTCATACAGCCCTCCAGTGTGGTGTTGCATGTCATAGACCAGGGGTTTCCAAATGCAGTGGACCCCTAATTGCATAAAAACCAAGAAACTGCATCCACAACCTTCCAGAATGAAGTTTTTTTTTAATGTATCTTCAATTCTGTAGTGTTTGCAATGATCTCTTATACTTTTTGTGACTTTTGATGACCCTTTGAAGCACATCTACTCCTCTGCATGGTCCTCCAGCTGTAACAGTCCCTGCATAAAGAGGCTTACAGGTTGGTTTTATTCTCTGGTGCTGCTGTTCCATCATATTCCTGTAATTATAACTCTTTATCCAGCTACAACTGTGGGAAAACACGCCATATCCAACCTTTAAAGAGGGTAAATCACTCTACGTTTTTGCTAACCTGCTGTTCATTGCACCACTAAGTCCACCCCAACCCCAGCACCACCACCCTCCCTCTCCTCCTCCTCTTCCTCCTCCTCTTTTCTCTCTGCAGGTTGAATCTGTTGCCCCTATTTCCTGTCACATGGGCTGGAAATCGGATCCCTGCTTTCTACTATCTGTTCCCGTCGCTGTTGGTGTCAGTGTGGTAGTGGCTGTGGGACCTTCCTTGAAGTTCAGGGACTTTTAACGCCGGCCAAAGAGCGACTCCTGCACAGACCCGGACAGGCAGGCAGGCAGGCAGGCAGTCACTCAGTGAGCCAGCAGCCCGCCGGTCTGCGCATCTGTCCGCGAGGCTGCACTTCACCTGAGAGCCAGTCCAGACTCTTTAAGCACACCATGGACTCCTGGACAGTCTCCTCTGCACTTCTTCTCGCTGGGGTTATTTCTTCTGCGGCTTTTAGTCATTTCGACACCGGTAAGAGAAACTTTTCTGCTCGCCTTTCTTCTTTGGATCTATCCCGAGAAATCCGCGTCGTGGGAAGCGTCTCCAAAGTTGCTCTCCGGTGCACCAGACACGCAGTTATCCCTCCTGAAATTGCGCAAAAACACAGGAGAGACACTTGATTTGGCTGTTTTAGCGATACTTTACTACCTGGCATCGATCATGTCACAGATTGCAGCCGCTGTAACTTCATTCATAGTTCGTCGCTTTGGTCCGAGTCCCACTCCGGCTCTGTTTCTCAAACATCATGACGTCTTTCTTTGGGATGTTCCCAGAAGAGAGCAACCGCAAAAACAGACTTTGACACTGTTTATTTGTTCCGTTGTGACTTATAAGAATAGATAATGTGCTGTGAGTGGAGTATGAAGTGTGGCTTTAGTGTAACATCCACACCTACAGGTCAAACACTCGCCGTACAAACCGTATCCAATAGTGCACCCAGACTTGCAGGACCGATTTGTAGTGGATATAACTCTAAAAAGAAATGCTCAGAAATCACATGGCAGTGCTTTCACAGTGATCTGAAAGCGTCGCTCCGGTTTAATAAGAAAACAAGGAGCTTTGTAACCCAAACCTGCACGCAGCTTTACGCACTCGTCTCTCCTCTGCGCGTCTGGTCCTGGCGTGTTTACCTGTTCTGCATCGGCTGCTTTACATTCACGTCGTCATGATTGATCACCTTTGAACAGTCATGGCTGAACAGCTCTTATTTTTCTCTATCTTGATTGAGATGTGACTTTTGGCTGCTGTGCATTTCTGGTTGTCGTATGTGCAAGCGAACCAGAAATAATATTAAAAAAAAAGATCAGCTCCCCCCGAAATGAACCCAAACCCCTCAGATCAAATCAGTCATCTGATATCATCCGTTTAATTTGCCATCGAGTTCAGACTAATGCGCAGAGTTACGCTTTTCTCTATCTGCTGAACTTCAAAGTTACACGCGTTCAAAGCTGCGTTCAAAGGCACGATTTGGTTTGAATGTGAATATCTAATAATGATGACCACACTAACCAGGCTTCTCCTCGCTGTAATTTGCCCAGCGTTTCATGTCGGAGCAGCAAATCCCCATGCTTTCCTTTTTAATTTTTTTGTCTCTTAATTATACCCTCCGATTTCAAATTAGAGGGTCCAACATCTGGGCTAGTACGTAAGTGCTCCCATGTGTACCTATGTATTAACAAAGTATTTAAAGCAATGGTATTCCCCCTCATAACACTGGGGAGAAGAAAGGCCAAGTTTATGTTTAGTTGAAGTCAGCTGTGCCATATTTACTGTACAGTAAAACAATAATTTCATTTTCAAGAAGGCAGTCTCTGGCTGTGATGGCACAGTAGGACTGTTGGATGCCCTCTTTGCGCTGTTTGCTTCTTGATTGGACTGGGCACACCAAACTTTAGTCTAAAGATAACCTACATCCAAAAGTTAAAAATCAGCAGTAAAACCGTCTGAGTTTGCAGTAAAATCTCTGCAGTTAGTCCAGAGTTTCTCAGGGCTTATGGTTCATTTTCCTTGCAGCTTTGGGTCATTTATTTAACAGCTTATATTTGATGAATATGAGCATTTGGCACAGGCATTTGAAGTTTAGGGGAGCTAATTTATTCTTTTTTTTTGTGAGGAAATGATGTTATGTTCATAGACATCATAACAAATGCCTTAATTGGAGCTCCTTGGTGTTTGATTCTCCTCAATTTAGTCAAGTCTAGGAGCCGTTGTACACCTCTGTTTTTGACTCTTCACATCTTTTCTTCTATCAATCAATCAATCAAATCAAATTTTATTTATATCGCACCAATTCACAACAGGCGTCATCCCAATATGCTTTACAAAGAAAAAGAGCAGGTCCAGGCCATACTCATTTTCTTTCATAATGTACTCTAAAGACAGCAATGACCAACATTTCCTACCCTCTACTCCCTGTTTAATCGATTGCCACCCTCTCTCTCAATGTGTTTTCACATCCTAGTTTACTCTACTACGAGCAGAGTCGATGAGGCTAACTTTAGGTGACACTGCGCTCCTCTGCATTGATGAAAAAGCAGGTGCCAGAGGCAAAAGGGGCCCCCCGAAGCCAAACGAGCCGGCCCCCTCAGGTTCAAAGAAACAAGAACAGTAAAAAAAAAGACTCCTGGGTCATATTGAGTGACAGTAATTGCCTCCTATGGGTTACTTTCTGCTAAATTTCCCCATAAATTCGGCATCTTACCGGCACATATATTTTCTGGACAGGGAAAAATGTCCATCAGGAAAACTCGGGGTCTGTGTGGGAGAACACAAGTGGGTGAGATCTCGCCATACAGGACTCTGACTTCTCTGACAACAGTTGGATTCTCTGTAAACTGCCAGAGCCAGGTCATGCTGCAGCTGATTGATGTGAAAGCCAGCCGTTGTTGCTTTTGTGGCAGAGTGCTTTAAACACTCAAACAGGAGTGTTTTTATTGTCCATGGGTTTCATTGGTAGACTGCAGCTTTTCATCCTGCAGAGGTGTGTCAACAGAAAAACTGTTTTCTTTTTCTACTGAGCGGTAGTCATGCGCTTCGCAGTGTACTAACACACCTATACTCACCTTGCAGCTATAACACTAATGCTGGTGCAAAATGTTTTACTACAAGAGCATAATTCTTGTTGCAAGAGGCTGTATTTAACTTTGTGTTACACTTCATCTGCTGTGGAATATACATTATCCATTGTGCAGGATACAATACACATCATCTGCTATGTTATTTTGTTTACTGTAAAATATGACAACCTAATGTACAATAGTAAACATTATTGACCACATTATGTACAATGCTGAATACAATGTAACTGGATATACTGCATATTATCTACAGTCTATTCATTTTCATCTCTGTAGTAAACATAATTTACTGCCATATAACATGCCTTAGATGTAACACACAGTGCAGATTACCAGATCTGTCATGGAGCATTTCTTATGGTGTAACATGCATTACCTACAATGAAATATGAATTACACTGAACTACATAGATCTGAAAAAATACAATACTTCCTGGGTAATGCACTGTGCAATATACATTTTCTACTGTGCACAGTGTACATTATCTTCTGTGCAATATGCATTGTAAAATACTGTACATACATTATGCAGTATAAACTAATACAATCCTTACTGAATGATCTACATTTTCTACTTTGCAATATGCATTTTCTACCACGCCTTATACATTATCTACTGTGCAATATGCTTTTTTAAATACAGACATTATCCACTTTGAATAATACATTAGTCACTGAGCAAAATACATTAACCTCTGTACAGATTACATTATTTACAAAGCTATACACATTGTATACTTTACTGTTTCATGTGCATTTCTCCCAGTATAACATACATTGTCAAATGTGCATTATAAATTAACTTTTGTCCAATTTGCAGTATGAACTTGCAGTACCTTATCTATTATTAAAAAATACATTATCTGCTTTTGGGTTTACATTACCTGCAATGTTATTGACATTATATACCATGCAATATGTTATATCTACAATTAAATATATATTCTTTACCATGCAATATACATTATTCACCTCTCAATATGCACTTTTATTTTGTCCATTATCAACTGTACAGCATACATAATTTACTGAACATTATACATTGCATACTCTGCAATATACATTATTATTTCATTGCATATTCTTACAGTACAACATACACTATCCAATGAGCAGTTTACATTTTTTAGTGCATTACACTTTATCTAATGCTTATTATTGACTATTTACTGTCCAGTACACATTTTTAAATTGATGCAGATGTTCTGAGTGACGTAGGTTATCTCAAGTTGTGCTTTTAAGGTGAAAGTTTCTTTGATGATAAAAGCTTTTATTCTAACTCTATCACTCTTTGATTGAGAAGAGGTGAAAATGAAACACAGGGATTTAGACTGAGCTGCTAAGTGCTTTTACACAAGCTGGAGTAGAGGATGTGCTCTTTTTCTCACACAGCACTCCTCACACTCTTGGTGTAGAGTGTTAGTTAACCAAAAAGCTCTTATCATCAGCGTGTAGGATGTTTCTTCTACCTGAACTCGGACGCTTTATAAAGAAACTCAAACATACTCCCACGGTCTGTTTTGTCTGACTGCGGCCCGCTGTTGCTCTCTTGGCAGCCACTCAGGCCCTTCACCAAAACACACACACACAAAGTAGAAGCTGAATCCTGTCAGAGCTGTCAAGATGAGGCGTAATTGAGTTGCTCTGTAAGCCTGTAATGATGCAGCTGATGGTGTCGTGAACAAGCTTGAGCTGGTTAATCAGTAGGGGAATTATTTGGTTCCTGATTTTGTCTGGGATCTGTGACAGTGAGGGTGACAGCGGTGGGAGAGGAGCGGCGAGAGCCCCACATGTGTGTCTCTTTTTTGTGTAAATGATGCATGGTTTTATTTTAATGAAAGTTGAGGCAGTCTTTTCATCAAGCTGCCAGTGAAACTGTTGCACCTTCAAAGTGATCCTCTTTAAACGTAGTGGCAGGGTGAGTAAGATGTGAGCATGCCAGCACATGCAGGACTAATCTACGGTCTATCTCAGGGGTTTCCCTGCCGGGATGATTAAAGGAGAGGGCTGAAATATTGGGAAATGGGCTTATTTGCTTTCCTACAGAGATTTAGATGAGAGGATCAATATCTTTCTAACATCTGTCAGTTCAATATAAGGCTAAAACTAGCAGCTGGTTGGATTAGTTTAGCACACAGTACACACAAGCAGGATGAAACAGCTGGACTTGCTCTTTAAAAAGCAACAAAAACTGCCTGAATGCACCTCGCACCGTCAGGTTTCCACAGCAAAACAGAGCGGACAAAGTAGCCACATATGTGCTTTAGTATTTATTTGTATTTAGAAGTGGCGGCATGAAATGCTCTGGCTGGAAGACAAAGAAGAGGAAATAGAGAGCGGTTGTTGTGCATAAATGAGTTTGTATTGATGGACATTTAACAAATAGAGGATTACTTTAACTTGTTGTCCTCAGAGGCCACCATAGCTTCAGGAGTTGTAGGGGTGAGCAAGGGAGCATATCGGTAGAATCATGCCATTGAATATCATTAAAAATTGCCATCTCTTAATGTTGTACCTCTAATCAAAAAATCAAGATGTAATTGAATAAGATCTGGCTTTGTTTTCAGTTGCATTTTGTCACTTTATGGCAGATCAAGACCCAGAGAGACCGGTATGAAAGATGGGACATTTTTGCATCTAATTCAGTAAATTAGCATATGACAGAAAAATATATACAGTAGATCTTTATTCAACATACACAATTAAATCTTCACTACTTTATGGGGTGACTTCCCTCTAAACTTGAAACAATCATTCAAACAAAAGTGCTTTAAAGCTCCCATTAGTAACTTTTAGACAAAGCAGTCTTTGCTTATCTTGTTTTTTTTTTATATATACATTAGCATCTGCTGTCTTCTGACAGTCAAATGTGCCATCTAGTGTTGAAATAGTAAAAAACTGTTTCTGTAGCTGTTCAGCTGACACCTACCCCCGCTGATTTGTTTGAGACATTAAAAATGAGGGTATAAGAATGGTCAATCTCGTCATGTTTCTTGTCATTGATGGTCACGTTTGCTTTCAGACATCACAGAAAGACATCAATATGCATTTACGTCTATTTCCTAAACTTAAAAAAACTCCTCACAGGAGCTTTAAAGTAGGAACGTCTCTCTCCAGGACCCCCCAACGTTGACATGAGTAGCTTGAGACAAGAAATCATAAATGGGCACGACTTAGACCTTTTAAGACAAGACAGAATTTGTTGAGCCAGAGGGAAATATCCTCATGTCTTGTGCTGCACAAAGTTGAAAAGACTGGCATTAGAAAGAATTCACATATTTACACAAAGCCGAGACTCACCAGAGGGAAAGTTTGGCACCAATTGATTTATCTGATCCCGCTCCCTGTGATCAGAATAACACTGAGATCTTAAATGAAAGCAACATGAAACAAGCGCCTACCTCTGCTTCCTTTAAAGGAAAAACTGTTATGTTCGACTGTGTCAAGCTGAGGCTTGAAGATGGGCAGGCTGTGACATTTGGGTGATGTGGAATGCACTCTCATTACAATCAGAGCGCTGGCAGAATCGATGCTCGCTAAAGAAAACATCAGGTTAATATCAGGCTGTGCTTGACCAACTGAATCACAAACTAGACAAGCATGACAAGACCTGTAAGGCTACACGGCGAGGGTTTGCATCGTGTGATGTCTGTGCGGTGAAGTGTCTTATCAAGCTAACTCTCCACAGGTGTATAAGCATTAGTATTTCCAGACCAAACTGGAGGTTTTAAGTTCTTTCCTTTCTTTCTTTCAACACAAGCTGTCGTGTTTCTGCCCTGAAGCACCGCAGGCACAGAGGAGTGTGATGTGGGGATGAATGACAGCATGTGTTGCGATTTCCCTTTGTAGCCTAACATGCGTAGACGCTGCTGCACAAACTGGCAACCCTCTGTTTCATCTGGCAACCCGCTCTCCTCCCTGCTCCCTGTTTGATCCCCGTCCAGCAGGGCATCATGTCGGCCTGGACTCTTTCAGATTCACTGCGTTTGGCCGCAGACGGAACTGGGTGTAGCTGTGCGGTGCAGGAGGAGAGGCGAAGTGGCCTGAACGTGGTCTAAAACAGTGCACGACCTCCTGAGCAGTAGCTCACAGAGGTCTGGGTTGTTGTTTTTGGTGCTGCCAGCAGTCGTGCAGCTTCTGTGCTCACTGTGATTGATAGGAGATCATAGTGTGTTTGCAGATATTTGGCTTTATGTCAAGTGAGATAGCAGATGTGCTTTGCACGTGCACATGCTCTACCGTATAAAAAATAAGTGACTGACAGAAATGTCCAAGATCTCCACGAATGCAGGTCTAAGATTGCAGAGTGTTTTGCTCTCTGTGAGTCTGCTGAGGTTCATTTTTTTTAACCTTGAACAGCAGAAAAAAGCATTTACATGACAGGAAGACATTCAGAAGCCCATGGTTTGTAATAGTCATGTTGTTGCAGGTGTTGGATTTTCCCTTTTCCCATCTTTCATTTACAAATTCAATTCCAAAGAAAGTTGGGACGCTGTGTAAAGTGTTGACAGAACAGATTCTGGTGGTTTGAAAATCTTTCAAACCCTGAAAACAGTGCGGTGACAACATACCAAATATTGATACTAAAAAGAGTTACTGTTAAGAAACACGCAAAAAAAAGGACAGATATTTTTTAAGACACATTAGTGAAATGCTGAGCTGCATCACTTCTTCTTATAACAACACTGTCAACCTTTGTGAACCTAGGAGATCAGCTTCTGGAGTTTTGCCTTTCAAATGTGGTCTCATTCTTTCCTGATACAGGATTTCAGCTGCACAGTTTGGGGCGTCTTTGTTGTCTTTTCTGAGCACCAGGACTCTTCTACTACAGAGCAATGATGTTGTCACACATGCAGAATGAGGTATAGCTTTGAGGAAGGCATTGTCTATCATACTTGCAGGTTTTGCATCCTCATACCATCGCAGATCTCCGCTTTAGTGTGCTAATATCAAGACCAGGTTGTCCCTCTTTTCTTTTAAATGGAGGCGGGGCGTCCAGGATTTCCAAAAAGAATGGCTAATTTTGATTGTCTAGACAACAGGACAGCTTTGAAGTCACTGGCAGTTCTGGATCATGCTTGTACAGTCTGCATTTTAACCTTTAACTCACTTAATTTGTTTGCAAAATCTGGACTTTAGTACTTTAGTATGAAAAGTTTTAAATCACAGCTTCAGATCCTCACATTTATGAGCTGTGGAATATAATATTGAACATTATACCGTGTAAAAATCTTAAAATCAGTTTTCTGTCTGCGTTCTTGACAGTTAATCAGCTCATAATGTCAAAGCAACACGTGTGTTTTGGTGTGAGGCAGATGTGAGGCAGCTGGGGACTGCATAAATTTTCAGCGTTCCTGCGTCTCACATCCTCAATCTGATGCCCCTCCTCCACACACACACACACACACACACACACACACACACACACACACACACACACACACACACACACACACACACACACACACACACACACACACTGAGCCGTCCGCACCCAATCCACATTTCTCCCTCACACAGCCAATCATCAGATCTGTCTCGACTTAATCCCTCTCTCGACTTGTAAACGCAGTCCATACAGTGCAGTTTATGATGGGCCCCCATCAACCTTTGTAACCCCATAGACAGAGGGATCTTTGTGAGTGTGTGTGTGTGTGTTTGTGTGTGCGTGTCGCTCGATGAGACACTGAATCGTCTCACTGGGCAGATAATGACAGACCATCTTCAGCCAGAGAAACACGATCTTGTGTTGGTCGAGGTGACGGCGATGGAGCGCTGGTCTGAGGGGACATGGCGGGTTCTTGAAGACTTTAACATGCATGCTCTCTGTGTGACGGGAAACCCTCTGAGCTCAGTGTGGGGCGTGTCAGAGGGCATTATGGGAAGAGGGTGCATGGGGTCTGGGTCTCAGATGTGGGCTGTGTGGTTCCCCCTGCCTTTTCCGGTTCAGAGATGGAGATGGAAACCTCTCCTCCCTGATGAGCTTCTGTGCTGCAGGCGCAAGTTTAGACAAACCGCTGGGGTGGAACAGTGTACTGTACTCTGTGTGTGTGAGTGTGTGTGTGAGTGTGAGTGTGTGTACGCCCACATCTATAGCGGTGTTCATGATGTGGAAACCAAAGGGAGCTTTAAAGTCTTTGACGTACTCTTTCCAAGGTTTAGGTTCATGATGTATTCGGTGGTAGGGCTGAAGATTTCCAGGATTCCCTTTTACCCAGTCATGAAAAAACGCTTGTATTTACTGGGTTATTGTAACACTAATATGCAGCAGATATGGCTGACTCCTTCCTTTATTCCTCCATGTTTAATCTCACTATTGTTGTATCTGATGTCTGATATCAGACGGCAGAGCTGCTACTGCATTGATGGCCAGTTGATAAGCTTTGTCTATACGACAATATAAGTAAAGAGATTAGGGGTATATTTTTGTCCACTGGGGGCACCAAAGTTTACACAAACAGAAAGTTCCTCACAGGAGCTTTAATGGGAAAAATTACATTTAATATACAATGAAAATGAAGATAAGTAAATAAACCCATCGTAAAGAAAATATTTGGCCACATCTGCTTCCTGTTTTAGTGTCTTTAAGCTGATTGTTTGAATTACTGTTATTAGTGGAAAAATAAACTGCTAAAGAGCAAAATGTGGTCTTATGAAGAAGGTGGAGACCAAAGCAGCACTGAAGAGGTGGAAATAAGGGGTCAGTATTTGACAGGTAAACATGAGAACCGCTCCAGTTAAAGGGGAAGCCTTTTGCTAATCAGATTACCACACGATATTTACATATATGTGTGCAAAAATCTTCTGAAGTTGTCCTGATTTAGTGTTGTTAAGTAGTTCAAAATTTAATTTTGCTTCACAGGGTTAACATTTTAGTAATTTTATGGTTTTTGGCTTAAAAAAAAGACTTTTTTTCAGGGTGGCCTCTGGAGAAAATGATAATAATGAGAATATCTGAGTGTAATTTAACCCATATAAGATGCGTGTCCATGTATGTTGCATGTAAATATTTTGCACTTTTCCAGATTTCACAGCTAAAAGGTGTAGACCCAGAAGTCAATGATTCATTTTTTATTTCTCCTGCTTATGTTTATGTTCAGTATTACTCCACTGCTACACTCTATTTGTATATATTAGCTAGCTGTAAAGGAATTTTTCACTCACCTTTCATCTGCTTAAAGGAAAAGATTGTGGTGCTCAAACTAAAAAGACAAAATGAACCTTTCATTTTGTTGCACTCTGTAAATCTTCCACCTGATGTCTTTTCATTGTGGTGTGTCAGAGAAAAACTAGTTGCCTGACTTGTTTACACCACAGGAAGGAGTAATCTTGAGTTCTGTGGCTGTTGCTCTCATGTTCCTCGTATCTGAGATGATGTGAGTCCCTCGTCTTTCTCACAAGGGCGTGTAAAAGTGTGGGCATCCATCACAGGACAGAACAATCTTCAGGGAACACATGGTTGATTTTATAGCCTATTTTCCCATCACTCTTTGGACTCATGGGTGCGTTAGAAAACAGGCTGATCCTTCTTTAACTTTCAGACAGCCTGTAAAACTTTACGCTTCTTCAAATGTCCTTTACCCATGTTTCTATGCAGGTGTAGTCATCATGTCCCGGTTGTTTTGACAGTAAACCCAGTCAGACTGTCGCCACTTTGTGCTGTGTCTACGCAGAGTCCTCCAGGTTAAGTTTATCAGAACAACAAACACAAAGAAAATCAACTGTGCGTATCAACTTCAAGTGGCTGTAGGTGACTGACAACACAGTGGGGTGTGGATTCAGCGACCTGAAAATGGGAGGTACTGATGTAGGAAAGTAAGCTGTTAGGTTGATTTATGAAAAAGGATGGGGGTCAAAGTCTGATTCTGAAACTTACTCATGTATATGCTGTTGAATCTTATGTTTTTTAGGACGAGAGGCTACATCTCCGGTCAAATCATGTCATAAAAATCAAATCTGTTTGAGTTTAAAGAAAACACAGAAATGTGGCAGAGATCACTATTTTTATTCATAGGCTGTTTTCTACGTGTTTGGATGCCTTACCTAGCCATAGCAGACTGGAGTTACCTTTTACAGACTATTAGTGCACCAGACAAGTGTCCTTTACTATTTCCACTACACCCAAATAAGAAACTTTTAACTCCATCTGAAAGTTTTTCTTCCTCTTCTTCTCTCTTTCTTTCTCTGCACCACAGGAACCACATAGCCATTCTTTTCGTTCATGAATCCGGCGTACGCTTTTGGCGCCGATGTGTAAATTTACACACAAGTTTTATGAATGAGACCCATTGTGCTCTACAGCCTTTTGGAACAGTTCACCATGTATGCCTCTTGATTGTATTAGCAAAATTGACATTTGATACATATTTTAAAAGCCTATATTACAGTAGAGAGTAAAGCTTTAAATGAAGTGTCTTCTTGGTACAGCACCCAAACTTATCGCCTCTTCCCATGGATCTGCTCAGCAGTATAAGAGCTAAACAAACAAAAACAGTGACTTACGTTCACTATTATTTTGAAAATGGTTAGTTTGATGCCTGTTGGTCACCTCAATTCAGGCATTTATGTGACAGAGAAATTATTCACAATCTGAGGAAAAAACATTAGTTGCAGTCTTGTTAATTCGCACATCAATTGAGTCGTCTAAAAAGGTACAGCTGTTAACGTAGAGCAAAAGTAAAAGACAAGAGCAAGGCTTCCTCTGTGAATCGTCAAACATTTGAAGGTAATTTTTCTTCAGAGCAGGGAAATTAAAAAGTAACCAATTATACAAACCTCCACCTAGACTTCCTGTGACAGAAATAGTAGCTTACAGAGGCCGCACAGCAGCGATAGCAGAAGAAGAAAGGGCTGCACTCATTTGGAAAACAGACAAAGAGAGTAGAAAGTCAGAAATGGAAGAAAATAGAGCTCACTATTTCCCTTTTTTTTGTATCCCAGCACTCATGATACTCAGCATGCCGTGACTTGTGAAGACAGGCCAAAGTTTTTGAAGAATTTCCTCATTTTCTTGGCTGAAAATAAGTTGTATCTGGCTCACTGTGGGTAACAGAAGAAGGGAAAAAAGCTGCAGGTCAGAAATGTGGGCTTCTGTGTCAAGCCGCTGCCACTTTACTTCCTGTTGACCTCTGGGTGGTGCCTTACGGAGGTCAAGTTGTGGGCGACGCCCTTGTTCTTCCATGCCAGAGGATTGGAACGCCCTTCAAACCACCAACCGCTAAGACGGAGAAACAGACCTTGTTATTATAAACACAATCATGCTTATTATCATGCCACTGTGATTCTGTCCTGTCGTGTTCAAAGGCTTACATTTGTGTTATTAAAGCACAGCTCTCTGTGTCGTTCCCCACTCCCTCCATTCCTCTTTTTGAACTTCCACCCACTTTTTCTCTCACCTTGTGCAAATCACCACCTGCTCTCTGCAGTCAGTTGGGTGAATCCACATGCAAAACAGCCCTGCCAGTCCCAGCATCAGGGCTTATGATAGTGACGATGGTGCATGGTCATCCTCCTTCAGAGGCGATGAGGCCTGACTGTGGGGACAGTCATGTAAAGGACGGAGCAGCGAGAGAAAGAGGCGTCCCCAAACAGAGCGGAGTGAGGTTGAGTGTGTCACTCTGGTCCCTGATCCGTGGAGGCGGTTCGATGAGACAACCTGAAATTAAGCTGTCAGGCCGCAGCCGGGTGTACACAACTGTCAGGCTTTAAAGAGATAAACAATGTTTAGGTGGGAGAGTCACACATGTGGCCACAATAGTGGTCTGTGAGGTTTGGGTGCTCAAAGGGTCAGTCAAGAGCGGCCGGTGTTTTTCTGAATGAGCTGTGACAGCTCTTTGGACGGAGCTCCGCGTAACAATGTGACGTTTTTTCTCATTCTGTCACAACTCTGTGGCCTGTATACAAGAGGACGACGTTACCATGGTGACATTATGAGCTGGTCTGTGAACCTCAGTTTTAAAGCTCTGAGTTTGTGTTTTGTATTGTTGGAGGTGAAAGCAATCATATATGAGCGACAGGGTGAGAACTCATTACTCTGCATCTTTCAGTGACTGTATACAAAGGTGGATGACTTGTCTGCACTTTACATGCACGCTGTAATTGTCTTTTCTCAGTCCAAGTTTTTCCCTGATGTAGTTGGAGGTGAAATACCGCTTATCAGCTATCTCTCAGTTGACTGACTACATCACATACCAAAACAATCAACATATGCACTGGCAAGCTTAATCTTTTCCCACTGCAGAATTAGATTCAGCTTTGATTCAGCTTGTAAATAAGATAAGCAATGACTGTTTTGTCCACAGGAGGCGCCAAAGTTGACACCGACTAAAAGGTCCTGACAGGAGCTTTAAAATAATCATGTTGTCTTGATAAAGGCTTAAAACTTGTGGTTATAAACCTTATATGAAAATGTTTACAGGGATAGTAAGTTGGCTTATATTGTTGATTTGCAAACAAGTTGTCGCCCCCTGCTGGAGAGTTTTGCGAACACAGACTGAGAATATCATAATTGTTCTAAAAGTTTTCCTTCCCTCTCCCTCTTGTGACTGATTCCCCCTTCATCTTTTCCTTGCCTTTACACATTTGTATACCATTATGCATGAGCTTTGTCCCCTGGCCTCTCCATGTACCTTGACATTTGCGTATGCATGAAGAGACCCACTCCAGTCGATGCCGAATGACATTCACTCCCAGCTTAGCCTGTGCTGTCTGCAGCAGTCAGAGCCCATCAGCTGAAACACACTCCAGGGCGAGGGGATAAATCAAATAGTCCAGGAACAGTAATGAAATAGCATAGAGCCTTGTGTTCCCCTATGAATTCTATTAACTCACAAATAAACAATTGTTGTCATTATCAAAACTCAATTTAATTCACTGAAATGGAATTTTAAAGGCGGTTTTAAGGCTGCGGGGAGAAGTGGCTGATGCATGAAAACATTACAAAAGTATAACTTTTCGACTGAACGCTGGATTTTTATGCAGATTTAAATTCAAATAGAGGGTTATCAGCTTCAGGCGTTTGTATGAAAGGCAGCACAGTTTTGCTTCTCTTTAACAGTGCACATTGGCTCGTGCATTGTTTCTGCATTTTAAGGAGAGCTGGAAAAAAAAGGAATATTCTTCAAAGCTTGATTTGCTTTGGTACAAGCTCCAAACCATTTTGGCCTTCTCTCTCTGTATTCCTCATCCTGAACGTGCTATTAATAAGCCTCTGACATAGTATGATTAAGGTAAATTAGCTGTTTTTCTTGCTTTGATTGAAACATGTGTAACATGTTCCAAACGTCATGCCAGTGATCGGTTTGGGTGTTTTTGCAAAAAACATCTCCACAAGCTCACTTTCAAAGCAACCATGTATTTTTGTGGTGTCACATGCAAGTCTGAGTTTTGAGAAGCGTAACCAAGAACATAACGGCAGGATATTGAATTGCTACTGTGTGAGACATGACCTGTCCGGCGAACCTAGTTCTTTTTTTACTGCAGTTTTGTTTGGGTCAGGGCCACCGAGGTCTGTGTTCTACTGCGGTGGAGTAATGGCAACCACTTTAAATAAATGGAGAGTAATTTCCCTGCTGAGCCCCGGGGTCTGGTTAGTGTCCAGCTGCAGCAGTTTGTGGCCAAAAAGGCAAATTGTCGCCTTTCCTCTTTGCTGGAAACGCCCACCAACAGCTCAGATTGGACAAGGTCGAGCAAGTGGACATGGCTAAGTGGACAGCGAAAACATCTGGATGAGTGACGGGAGCGGACGTAGCTAAGTGGGCAGCAAACAAAGGAACAAAGCTGGTGGCGTGCAGCACTGAAAAGCCGTGACGGGGGAGTGTGCAGTGAAACAGGGGGTTTGACAGGCTAGAATTTTGAGCTGCTTTTGAATATTCCTGTATCTTCATGACAACACAGACACAATTGAAAACGCTGACATAAGCATGCCAGGCCAGCAGATGGCTATACAGTGGGATTAGTCCATATCGTTAAACAACAGAGAAGAATATTGTCTGTATGTGTATTTAGCATGTTCTCGTGGAAGTTGCAGTTGTAAACAGAGTCCTTTAAACTGTGTAAAGTAGCAAAGCAATAACCAATGAGCGTGATAAAGGCCTGAATAATATATAGGTTGAATATTGCATCATAGTTTTCCATGTCAAAGCTCAGAGAACAATCTGTGATTTCCACCCAAGTCTGGACAAGGGGTCTGGGTTAGAGAAGTCCAGGGAACATCTCAGTCCACGACTTTCAGAAGCATCTATTGTCCTGTAAGCTGTGGAGTCAGTGATATCCCACTGCAATACAAGACCATTTGAAAGAGACTTGAACTCAAAAGGGGTGAAACCCAAGTCGCCAAGAGGCCCTGGTTTAGTTGTCTGCCCTGCGTCAAAGGTGAATACAGCCCCCAGAGGTGAACACAAAAAGGGTTGGGTCTTCTGCAGCCGACGTGGCACCAGCTTGCGACCAACGCCAAGTGAGGGCCGGTCACACTCGGCCGGTGCCATGAAACAGAATCTGCTGGCTCTCAATAGATCCTCAGTAATGGATCCTGTTCTTGGAGAGGCCAGTGGGATACCCCCTGTCTTTTACCAGAGCCATCTGGTTCCCAGTAACGCTGCTCTTCCCACAGCCGCACAAACCGCAGTGAAAAGGGATCTCTTTCACAATCAAGATCAGGAACCAGAGACGGGCTTGGTTAAAAGGGGTCTGAATGTTGAGCGCTGTGGTCCCCTCTGCAGCAGCCTATTGTGCCGTTGTTATTGTGTCCTTGGACGTGCACTCTCTTGCGGTTTATCTAACAACCTTTTGTGATTTGATACACTGGAAAATGTGCTGTGTTCATACTCTGACCAGGTCATCTAGGCAAGGTAATTAAAAAAAGAAAGATTTGAACATGTTAGGAAATACAAGAGTTCAACCCGCAAATTGAAACGAATGTGATTGCGGATTGTTGTAAAGCTAACAACAAGCAAGAGGCAATTTAGAGTGGAACAAGATTAAGACAAATTGTTTTGACACAAGGGAGGTTTTCGCCACAATCTACTTAGGTTAAAGTGTAAAAAACAGTCTAAACATGCCAGGGAATGATGAGAGAACAGACCAGCACCTCCATCTGCAGTTTACAGAGCAAGACAAAGAAAATGTGCTGCATGTCTTCACCACTCCACCAAACCGGCATGCTGGAGGTTTATTAGTTGCAGATGCGAGCATGTTGGGCCTGTTCACCCACCGCTTAAATCAAGAGGTGAAAGTAAGTTAACCTGCATACATCATAATCTGATCTCTTAATGTCCAAAATGCTGAAATAAATCTACTGTTCTTCTACCTTAGCGACATATCAGCACTGTGCATGACTCATGAAACCATCTCACTCATGCACTGCGCTTGTTGCTTATGTTGTTATGATGGATGGATGGAGGACTTCACCTGCTGAACAAATTTAATGGTTAAATGGTCAAAGTCAAAGAAAATTGTACGAGTGTGATCCCGTAAGTATTGTAAATGTCCTTCTGTCATATCTTAGTGATATTAAAACATGAACGGTCTCCAGGAAAACTCCTCTTCCTCCCTCTGCTCACCCCGACCACCCACCCACACTTCGCCCCATCCAAACAAAGCCTTCTGAGTTGTGAGATTGCATCCAGCGGGGATTATCCCCCCTGTTGTGAAGTGCATGTGAAATATCAGGGCTTGAATGTCCTGAAATAAACCTATCTAGTAAATGTGAAGAGTTCATGTTTGAACAAACTTAAGCCTCACTTAGACATTTGAGCAACTTGAGTCTTATTTCCTGGAATCAATGAAAGGGTCCTTAAACCTACCTTGAAAGCTCAGCATACCTGGACTGATGGTTGGAGTTCAGAGAGTGTTCTTGCAGACTGAAAGAGTTTTTATGTGTTCACTCTTTTCTTATTCTGTCAGTTTGCATTGCAGTGAAACATGGAGGGACAAAACAACAGCAGATATAAAAATTATAAGTCATAGCTGCCAGTTTCATTGAAAAGGTATCTTAGATCCCTCTAGGTGGGGGGGGTCCTCTTTCTCTTTGTGTTATTTTGTAAGTATTTAATGCCTTCTGCCTTTGCTTTATGAGAAAATCCAGTGCAGAAAAGTCTGTGGAGTCTCTGTCTTCACTGAGTTAACAAAAGAGTCAATGAGTCCGTGGCTTTCTGATTGTGTTTGCAGTATGCTTTGGGATTATGAACCGATTGTAAGGTCAACATTCCCGAGAAAAATCACAAGTACAATCCATCACCCAGCAATGAGAGAGTAGGCGAGTAGGCGGAAGCGGTGTCTCCGATCTCTGCTGAGTCCAATGGAATTGTTACTTGGCTCCGACAAACAGAGAAAGATTGATGACTTCAGATGATGGAAATTCAAAAACCCATGCAAAATCCAAAGAAAGAGAAACAAATATGAGCTTCGGATGACGACAAACAGGCAAAAGAGTCAGTGAGGGCGTTTTATGGACCTCGAAGGGAGGTCCAGACACAAAACTGCAGTTAATACTTGTCCCCGTAGGGGTCACTAAAGAGGATAAAATGAGATCCTTAACATTGTGAAGCATTAAAACTGAAACCTAAACTCATTTTCTTTTTATACCATATATATAATGATTTTTGGCTGCTCACAACATGTCCTAGTGCCTCTAAGCAGCCTCTCACTTTGTAACCTCAATATCTGTGCAGTGATCCGGTTGGGTGGGGATGTTATGATCATGAGGCACTGCGCTGATTGGCTGCTTGAATGTTGTCTGGATGAGGAAGTGCGAATTTCGGACCAGTGCAGACAGAAAAACACCAAAACAAACATGGCAAGAGCTTCAGGAGAATAAGCACCAGTAACACTCAGAGTCTGATCAGAATAGGAGGAGGCAGCAAATCACTGCTGAGGCTCTTTTGGTTCTATATTTTTTGGCAACATGCTGTCACTCACTTGGTTTTGGCAGTAACCCTTATATCAGATGTTACAAGCATAGAAAATGACTGTTTATAAAACATTAATCATGTCTCTAAAGGTCTGATTTACTTCTGCAGATCATGAAGAGATACCCGTGTTAGTTTCAGTCTTTGATACAACCTGCTAAAACTCCTTACAGGTGCTTTAATTCCCATTTTACCGTCATATCTCAGACTGTGAATCTAAACACAGAGAAAGGAGGGAGCTGGATAGTGTTTGTGAGGTTTTTTTTTTCAGGTTTGAACACCTGCATCCTCATATAATTCTCAACAGAAGATTTTGCACATGTGTGTACAGTCAGGTAACAAAGCAAAATAAAGCAAATCTGCAAAACAAAAAGCACACAATATTTCCTGCTACTGAAGACAATGCCTGTCTTCCTTCAGTATTATAATGAGTGATTAAAAAACCAAAACTACAAGGATTGGGGCTGTCTCAGTGATGACAGCTTAAAAAGAGCTGAACTTATGATCTGGTTGTGTTTTTTTTTAGTTTTTCTTGCATTAGCTGTGCAGGTCACATCGTTCCCTCCCATCAACCCCAGACCTTTATTTATCCAAGTCAGACCTCATCATCTCTGGACCCTGTAATCACTCAGGGCCACTGAGGGAGAGAGAGAAAAGACAGAGGATGTGGTGTGTGTGTGTGTGTGTGTGTGTGTGTGTGTGTGTGTGTAATGGGGGGGGGGGGGGGGGTGTATAATGGCTGCACACAATCCCCTACAACGGCTTGACAGAGCTTCAGTCCAAACCAAACCACATATAATTTACATTCCTCAGATACCAGCTAACCTGAGCACAAACAGGACGATCGAAAACAGGTGTGTTTAGGGACAGCCCTCCTCCTCTTCTTCTTTCATGCTTCACCTTTCTTTGAGGTGCTATCCAGCTCCTGCGGTGTACAACCCCAACTGAGAGCCGTGTCACTGTGTAAAATGCTGAGAAAACAGATTGTCATGGTTTGTAAAAGATTTAAAGGCGACATACCAAAAATTAAATCTGGATCATTTTATTACTTCCTGAAAACTTTATGCCCATGTCAAATTTGATCCCAGTGAGACATTTCACAACAGCTGAAACAGGTGTATGTTTACTGTTGAGCTGCATCACCTCTACTTTAAACAGCATTTATGAATGTTTGGCAAATCAGGAGACCTGTTTCTGGAGTTTCAGGATGGAGATGTTGTCTCTCCTGAGATAGTTCCAGTTGCTCAACACTTCAGGGTCACTTTAGTTGTGTTTTTCACAAGCACACATACAGCACATGGTTGGGACCGGGACTGTGGTCTCCATAAGTGGGGCGCACTAGCCCACTCGGCCATCTGTGCACCCCTGCATGGTGCATTTTTAACCTGGAGTCACAAAGTGTTCACAGTCAGTGATTTTGAGCTGATGTGGTGGTTTCCACTACAGAGCCATGTCTGTTTTAATGCAGGGGCCCAGAGACCAAGGCTGTCCGCATATAGTCTTCAGTGTTGTCCCCATGAATTGTTTGTGTCTTTCAATTTATATTTTATACTCAAGAACGTAATCCTGGAGTCTCTCCCAGAGTTGTGAACCTCCTTCCATCTGTTTTCCTGAGAGACTCAGCCTTTCTGATGCTGAGATGTTCATTCAGTTGTTTTTTTTTAGCATTACACAACTTTTTCAAGGTTTAGTTGTCCCCCTCCTTACTTTTTTGGCATTAATATAAAATGCGGCCAGATTATTTTTTGTAAATCAGCAACACTTCCATATGTTTTCTTGTCACTATTTTTATTAAAAACAATAGTTTTAATGATCCAAAAACAACAACATGTTTCAGGGCGTCCCAACTCATATGGGGTGACTTTATGTTCAGGACCACATGTACAGCCAGGACATTGGCTTCACATGTGGGATCTGAGGTTCATCCCTGTGAAGGAATCAAAATATTATCACTGGAGCACAATGAAACACGGAAATCACCCTGTGAGAGCGGCGAGCTGAAGCCATTCTGGCCACGCTGCTTACATAATCTTACCACAAATTGATTACCGCCTTTGGGAGGACAGCCTATTGTGAGGAGTTAGGGAACTGACAGACATGCTCACACACACACACACACACACACACACACACACACACACACACACACACACACACACACACACACACACACACACACACACACACACACACACATACAGAGACACAGTGGTTGATATCCACAGCGCAGTGATGAGTGGGTGAGAATGGCATCACTGCAATGACACTGGCCCCGCCACCCCGGAACAAAAGAGCCTGTGTGCATTAGATTGTGAGTGTGCGAATGTGTGTCCTCTATGTCAGATCCATCTTAAAATACTGCGGCTGCACTACTGATGAAAATTGCTCCCTTTCATTCCTGCAGTTGTGGGGGGGGTATGATGGTGGGGTGCAGGAGGAGAAAACAGAGCTGGAGTGATGTGGGTAGGAGTGCAGACTAATGCATGTTTTGTCACTGCTTTTGTAAATCAGGGCAGATCATTTTACCTTCCATTTACAGAGAAAACAAAGAAGACGAAACAGGCGCTTAATGCCCTCATGTGAGGTTTGCACGGCCATTAGCAACAGTGAACCACCTTAAGTATCAGAGCTTCAGTGTCTCAAAGGCTGCGTGCAATGAGGAACCCATATGTTGGACAGGTTTTTTTTTTTATTTTTGCATTAACAGGACATACTGTCTCGCTCTCAGCCCTGCATTGGTTGTTTGTTTGCAGAGTAAGGGCTCCAGCTGCGCCGCAGACCTCCTGTGGAATGAGATCTGCACCTCCAGATTCAGACCCCTAGCCTTGAAGTCGCTCTCTCTGTGTTCACTGTTAATTTTACAAGCCTGGGCTTTGTCAGCCTTCTCTACAACACATGGAAACGTCGAAACTAACCCTGTCTTCACTTCATTGCTGCTATGCACAAGATGGAGAAAATTAGAGGCTGGTTAACACTCCGCAGGATCGTAAAAAACTGTCTTTGTCACACCCTGACTCACTCTGTGTTTGCCTCTTTTCTTTCTTTTCTGCTTATTTTTGACCCACGCTTAGTCTTTCCTCAATCATTCCCTCAGTCTCAATGCCCTGCTCTTATTTATACTGTGCTTTAATTAAAGACTGATCGATCCCAGACAAACTAATTGTGCACCTTTTTGAAAGCTCTGAATTTGGGTATGTCTTAGCCCGGCTCGGCTTCCTCCCTCACATCTCTGCTGTCTCTGGGCTGCACAGGCTTTGTTTTCTGTGGTGTCAGAGTAGGTCTCAAACAGATTCAGTGGCATGCGTTGAATATGCGACAGATTTAGTCTCCTACTGTTTTATTTGTTTAACCCTGAGACTCTGAGTTGGGATGCTCCGATAAGATTTGTGCAAAATTTAAATTTCGGCTGCTAGTCCCAGGCTGACCTTCGGATAATAACAGCTGTGTACTTTAGACCATGTATAGATGTGAAATGATTGCACTTTTACATTACCCAGCTCAGGGACTGAGTCACAGAGAGCTTTATCATTGTTTTTTGCGGCAACTGAGAAAGACCATGAATATAAAATATCTTGGAAGAATTTCAGTTCTGCAAATAGAGGAATTTTTGACTCTTTTCCTGCAGAAACTTTGTATTTTATTGTGAAGTTGTGATGGGCAGCATTTCCAGTGACTAGATGATTGCCTTGCATTAAGCCTTGAAACTTGTGGTCAACTGATATCAGTCACACCAATAATGAGATAGCAGGCTGGCTGATATATAATGCCGATGTCACATTGGCATCTTTTTTTTTTGCATTAGACAAAATTTGACATAATTTAATGAAAAATGAAGACCCCAGGACTCTGCTATTGTGGACGGTGTAGACCAGTCAGAGTAATTTGAACTGAGATTTTCTACCTTTGGAGAATTGTGTGTTTACGTCACAAAACTGACAATGATGTCACGTAGTGCCACTCTTTTCACTCAGCAAGAGATGACCACCTAGAGTTCACTATCTCAGCTGTGTTAGTGTAGAAAGAATTGCAAGGCTGCGAAGGATGCACCTGATGCAGCTGGCTGCGTTTTTGAGGATCCTCCAAATTGGGACATTCTTTGACGCTCATCTCTATTATTAAAAGTGTCCTTTGTAGGATGCAGCCCCTTAATTGAGACACGGCTCAAATAATCAAAACAAAAAAAGTTGTATTTTGTCTGCTGAAAGTAGTTTTTTTTTATGCTGTGAGCTTGACCTGCGCCCATAGCTATGGTTCACTTTGTGGCTATCTTGAAATGAGCCAATTTACCTGGTCAAAAACTAAACTACTGTCTTTGGTGATGTGAAAGAAAGTGAGAAATTTTAGATGAATCAGCACAGAAACTGCCTTGTCACTGTTTACCAATACTCAATCTCTGCCTTAATCCAAACCAAGCTCTGCGTTGTGTTAACTTTATGAACCATCTTCAACTTTCTCAGTCCTAGTGGTCAGTTCAGCTCTTTTCACCAACCCCACACCAGATTAACAGTTTTTTATTCACATTGATGTAATTTACAATGAGTCAGATACAGTCTGTTTATAGAGCGACAGTCTGGTCTTCATGGCCTGGTGTGCTTCAGAGTCTTGTAACAAACGGTTGTGTTGAATGTGTGCACACTTGACCCAAAACCTGCATTTATGGTGATTTTTTTAATGTGTCTGAATAGAAAGATATGTGATTGAAAAACTGTATTTGAGGAAGTTTTGAACTGTTCTGGAAAGCTTTTGATCGTGTTTATACGTTAGGCCTTTTCTAGGCAGATGTTGATCTTGACTTTAGGGAACTGTACGGATGTTCCAGAGGGAGGTAATTGAACGCGACACCTCATCCGCCCTCATGTCAGGTCGTCTGCTGGGTCCCTGATGTCGACATTTTGCCAGCTGCTTTTTTCCCCCAGGGTTTCACCAAGTCCCTGAATGTCCTTTACGTCATCTCCAGAGCCTGCAGCCCATCACTCACCCCTTGAGCGTCTGCCAAGCTAAACTCAAAATCGTCCCACTTCGCTCCGTCCTCGTCCGCTCGCTGAGCCAAAACTGACTTGGCTCATCTGGGCTGTGCTTTTCCAGATATCATCCTCACTACTGCGGGAAATCCTGCACGGATGGATGTTTCATGTGTTTCTGTAGGTTTGTTTTCTGATTGATTTTTTTTCAAGATCTCTCCACATATGACACTTTTATAAATTTAGAGCCAGTGAGCAGCCTGTGGTTCAAAAAACCGTTTTATGTTTTCCATTTTTGTGACGAGAAACTTCAAACAGAGGTTTCTTTTTTGGCAGCATGTTCAGCTCACCGCTGGCTCCAGCAGATTAGACTCTTTCCATTACAGAGCTAAATAATAGGGGCCGTGCTAGACCGAGATGGGGCCGTGTTTTATAGGTGCTACCCGGCAGCTTTGGCAGGGAGTCCTCTGGGTTTGTGGCTACTGTGGTAGAGAACTCAGGAGGTGGTGCGGCTCAGGGTTTTTTGCAGGAAGAATGGTGGTACTGGAGGCTATTTTGGGACTGGAGAGGTCTGGGTTTATGGCCTGGTTATCTGGGACTACAACCTGTGACAAAAGCATGAAATGAAAAGAAGGGCTGTAAAACCTTATTGGGAGGCTGTCGAGTGCAGAATTCATGAGTTAGAAAAGCCCTTGTTCTCATCACTCAGACCTTTCACTGACCTTCTCACATGAGGTCAGCTCTTACAGGAGTGTGTCAGAGGTACACCCACATGCCTTTCTCCTCAGCTACATCCAACTTTAAAAGAGCTTCAATGAATCTGTGGCTATCTGTAAAACCAGCATAATAAATGTGAAGCAGCCTGCCTGCAGTCTGAGGTGGTTTTGATGTGGAAATAGATGCTGCTGGCAAAACGGGGAACCAGACTTGTGCTGCAACCAGCTGTGCCCCCCCCAGAAAAAAAGAGTCCACCCTGCTACATCTGGCCTGGTTTGGCCTGTCCCTGGCCTCCACTGACTGAAGTGAGTCCCATGAGTTACCAGGACACAATGCTTGAACAAGCGGATGGTGGTAGATGATGTTTTAATAGTATGACATTTCTGCCGTCTTTGTTTATTGTAGTCAGGAACCCTCAGGTCCGTTTTTTTCTGGCGTTTATACCTGTAAAAATAGCAACCCTATTACCAAAATAGTAAGGATGCTTCAAATTCAAATCATTGAAACCACTTCCTGTAACCAAAAATAGAGCAAAGACAACAATTCATGCACAAAGTGAAAATTTTATTCTGCTTAAAAAAAGTTTTAAGTGCTTAAAAATACCTGTTAGCTTGAGGATGGTTAGCAACATGACTTTGAGTAAAAAGGCATCTCAGTCTGTTGGATTTAAAAATGGGATTAACTACTGTTCAGAATAATGTTCCTTATTGAAGCGACAGCAGAGAATCAGAAACTTCATCATCAATGGGTGGCTGTGATCTTCAAGGCCCCTCAGGCAGCAGTGCACTAAAATCAGTCATGACTCTGTAGGGAAAATTACTGTATGAGCTGAAAATCACTTCCATTAAACCGTTAAACACAGTTTAATCTACAAATGCAGGTGAAGACTGTAACATAAAAGGATGGAAACTACATGTAAATATGATCCAAAGGGGCCATTTCGTTTTGGAAATCATGGACGCTACATCCTCCACGCCAAAGAAAAAAGGGACTACCCAGTGCTGAGTCCAAATGCCGAACTGGCCTGAGTGCAGTCCAGACATGTCAGCCATGAACATTTAACATTTTTTTAACATTTGACATATGAGAAAATGTAAAATACAACAAAGGAGACCTTAACCTGTTTGGCAGCTCAAATCCTACATCAGGCAGAAATGGGAAAAAAATTCAAAAGATGAATCAACATGATGGTAAACATGTCCCTGTCCCAACTTTTTCATGTGTGTTGAGCCTAATTTGAATTAAGCATAAATTAAGCGTCAAACAGTGATCACATTTTAGTCAAATATTTGATAGGCTGTCTTTAAGACCATTTTTGATGAATCATGGGCTTGAATAATTTATGATTTATCCAAACTTTTTCAGAGTTGGAGTTGTAGTCGTCGTGTACGCTCATGTTTGCCTCTGGAGTTAATTCCTGCTGTTTAATTCTATTAAAGTAGAAACGCTGCTCCTGCACTGAGCCTGTTTCCTTGTCCTCAAAGTTCAAAGTGTGTAATAAAGAAGGAAAGAAGCTCTTCATGTTGGCCCTCTATGAGCAAGCAGTCGTCTGTAATTATCGCTGCTTTTCATCCCTTGTAGCAAACACAACAAATAGTGCTCTTGTGACCTGGCAACATGTTTCAAGGAGCCCATTTGTTTGTAACTTTGTTTGTTTGTGTTCCTGAAATCACATGATGAAAATGGGCTTTTTTCTTCTTCTTTCTCTTTCTCTTTTCTCAAGTGCATTTGAAGTTACAATGTGGAAGTCATTAGCCACAAAACCCAACAAATATAATAACAGGGAGATTAGCTCTCCCTCAGTGATTCTCTCGCTGTTTCCCTTTTTTCCTCCCTCTGTTTTCGTTGCTGGGGTTGTGCAGGATTTTGTGAGCGCAGGGCTTGGTCAAGGGCGAGTCTTCTTCTTCTTCTACTCCTTCCCGGACTTTTTCTATTTGTAGATGTGCATGCATTTTATTGGAGGCTTCTTTTTTTCTCTCCTCCTTCTCTCCGTCTTTCATGCGGCAGTGGTTCTGTTTCCCATCACGGCTCATGATGAAACCACAAGAAAGTGCAGACCCATGTGACGAGAGTGCAACAGTTGCTTGGTGACAAGGGGTGTGAGGTGGGGGTGCTGGGTGTGTTTCATATGGGAGTGGGCCAGAAGTGGTGATGGTCCAATCAGCAGGAAAGCTCTTCATTTTCTCCAGGACAAGGATAAAACGCTCATATCCGCACCACTTCAATTTAAAATTGGCCTTTTCTTTAAGCTTGATAGATGTGTGGCCATCCGCAAGACTCTTAAACGCACCATTCATCTTTAGGATGGCCTCACTTATCTCAGAGTCCTTGCAGATCTGCTACTTCCCATTCCCACCACAAGTGAATGGTGCCCTGAAACCACATGGAACACCCCCCTTGTCTCCCTCTCGTTGGCAATGCGCGGCCATATTTACCATCCCGTCCTGGAAAGCTGACTTGGCCGCAGCGGGGCGGACTGATTGCCAGCAGCAGCTCGTTCCAAGCGGACCATGTGCAGACAAGCTTTCCTTCATCCAAAAACTCCAGTAAAGTTTCCTGAAGGAGGAGAGGAGACATTTACAAAGTCATTTGGCTCTCTCTGTTTAAAACAGTGGGTTGAGCCGCGCAGCATGCAGCCAAATGCAGTCAATTTAATACCCTCTCTTTTGAGAGGGAGAAGATATTTGAAGGACGTGAGCTCATTGGGGATGCAGTCAGCTGCCCCGTCCCTGCCTGATGTTATCCTCTCTGACTGGAGCAGTAACACTCCTGATTGCTTTTGGGGAGCAGTGACTCATGATTGTGCTCCGGCCGCTGCCAAACTCTCAATAGCAGTGTTTTCCCTCCCTGTCGCTCTGTTACAGTCACTCCTGGCTTCCAGAGATCGTGGAGCTCTGTCTTCCTAGAGCACGCAGACATGGATAGGACAGATCCAAGTACCATTACAGTTCTTGAACTACACTGGGGCAGCAGAGGCATATGTTAATATGAAAATAAGGGCTTCCCCCATTCAGTACAACAATTTAGATCATCACTCTTGAAGGCTGCGGTTCACTCAGATTTGGCCAGCTGAACCTTCTACTTATGTTTTTAAAGAACTGCAGATACAGCAAAATCTCGATTAAGTGATTTTACAGGACTACTGTCCTTGTCCCACTTTACAAGCACTGGGCACAAATCAAGTTATGGACAGAGGCATGTCTACCTCTGCTACGGTAGGTGGCAATATGCAGCCTTTAGCTCATTACAACTGGGCTGTCTCCTGGTTGATCTACAACAACTCTCAGCAAATATAAGAGCAAGTGGCTAAAGACGTCAAACATTGAAAAAACATTCATTTATACAACTCTTCTTCCTAGCTAAGCATTTACGCTACTCATCTTCTGAGTCAAAGCCCTTTCTATCGACTGTGTCTGTGTACTTTTTAAATATCAAACATACACAACAAAAGACCCTCTGAATGGTCACAACTAAGGGAGGCAGAAGTAACATGGACAGTTTTGTTACCTGGTAAAAGTTTGTCTGGTGAACACACTCTGAAACTGAGGTTGTGGCTGCTGCGAGCACAATAACACTGCTGGTGGACACAGGCCCTCATACAGGTGAAATAACTTTGGTGAGTTGTCAGCAGTTTAAACTCATGATTAATTGTCTGGTTTAGATTGTCGTCAGTGACAGTGGATGATTTAAAAGTTGTTGGCTGTTGGTATTTTAATGCTTTAACGGAAAACGTTTTCTTTATTTGAACTTCTTTTTGCGCAGTAGTTTGAAATGAAGTCTTTTTCCTCACAGTGTCTGTGTTTTGCTCTCCTGAGCAGGAATAGGTATCATTTGGTCCACAAACACACAAGTCAAATGAAGGATCATCCCCATTAAAATGATAACAGGGTATACTGATAAGAAATCGCTCATTAACATAAATCCTTTTGGTAATCCGCAGGCTTGTGGTCTAATACAGGGATGTGGTGTTTTGGTAAACTGGAACTTTATCAATAAACCCTTTTATTTCTAGAGTTTTCTCAGCTGCAGACCTTCACTGTGGTGATAATCTGCAACAACTGAGACCTCCCGAGTGCTCGTTATGGGCTCGCCTCGCCTGTCCCCTGGGTATCTGTCTGCCGATAACTTGTTTCCTCCACCTCTCTTATCGCTCCCTCCTGTAAGGGTAGCAGGAGCATGACCCCTGTTGTAACACCATTAAGCTGTTTTTCTAATTTTATAGAGTCGTGTTCAGCCTCAGCCTCTCTCGAGTAGATTTACGATCCAGTGGTTGATATCCTTGCATGCCGAGGCAGTATTAATTTGCTAAGAGAGAGGGAAGCCATTTACAGACAAAAGAGTGGCATCATAATTGCAGGAACCTGACACCCTGCAGCTCTTTGCTGCTGCTGAACTCCTGTCAGCCTGACGATGAATGGATGATAAGCTCGACTGCACAACACGGTCCAAACAACTTTAATTAAAAGCAACTTTGGCTGAGACACCGAGAACAGCCGGGGTCTCTGATTTACTCTAAAATTAAGTGCTAGAAGTACTTTTGTGGTGGCAGCAAGAGGCCTGGTATGCTTGTTTGCATGCAAGCTAACTGCTGTAAATATCCCAAAGCATGGTACAAAGTATGGAAAGCTAATTACTGAACAGATTAAACTTTCACAACATTTATTTCTTGTTTTCAAGCCAACAGTTCAGCATCCAGAAACTTTTTAAGGTCTTTACACCCTCACCGATGCCTTGTGGAGGCTTGAAACCTGTGAAATGGCATCTAAAGGTTGCCATCTAAAGACGGACCTGGCATCACACCACAGAAGTTGCATTCAAAGTCATGGAGGCTAAGTGATCCCCAGAGAAATGTTTGGCTGTATACTGGTTGAAAGGGAGGAAACAGAAAAGTGAAAAGCAGCAGAGAAGAAAGAGCAGGAGAGTACAGCCGAGAGAGGAAGTTAGGAAACACTGGACTCAAAAGAGAATGACTGAGAGAGTGGAGCTGTGGAGCACAGCTGGCTCGCTGAGGGGTATAATGACTGTCATATTGCAATGCATTAGCTCATACTCAGCCCAGACTGCTCGACTTGATGAAAGAGGCCGGTCATTGGCTAACCGCGTACATAGCAACAAGATCCCATGGAGGCACGCCAAACAAGCCAGTATTGTTGTTTTTTTTCCTCCAGAAGTATGTGATTGACAGACGTGATGTAAAATTGTTGTGATTCCTCTATACTGCTCCAGGGTTGACATTTCCAAAGAGTGAAAAATGGAGAACCTCAGAACATGAAGGACGCAAATTAGGACCTGTTCCTATTTCGTAGTATTCTGGTTATGTTTACGTTTGACTCAACCTGTTGTTTTTAATTGACAGCAGTGAATTGTAGTAGTTCTTTGTTTGTGTTCATTAGAGATGCACCGATCCTTTTTTTTCCCGATCCCTGGGCTAAGCGTATTGGCCTATATCCGATACCGATCCAATACTACTGTTGAATGAATGAATGAACTGTATACCTTGCCCTGTGAGTGAAGGCATCAGGCTTGACATTAGCCATGTTAAAAAAAGGTAACAGATTAACACAGATATAAATGTACGTATTATTTATGAACAAGTAACAAATATAAAATATAGCAGCTGAAATCCAACAAACAAGTGCCGACATGAACTTGGCCGAAAATACAAAATAAACAGAAGTAACCAGTACTGTAAACACTTCAAAATCCAATATAGCAGCTGAGAACAGATGAGTAAAAAATAACTTTGTAAACATTTTGTGCGCACACCTGACCTGCTCAAAATACTCAGTCATTTCAGGATTGACAGCAGGTTCTTTCTCATGAAAGCCCCTGCCTTGGTCCGGCACCTGCTACATGTTGCTCTGTTTGCATTAGTAACTATGTGGAGCAAATTGGAGCAAACAGAATCGCTGTGTTGCTATGTATGATATTAATTAAAAGAAAAAAAGAAAGACTGGATCAGAACACTGGATCTGTGTCATTTATCAAATATCCGATCCAGTTATTTTGTCAATATCAAAGCTGATATCCGATCCAAATAATGGATCGATGCATCCCTAGTGTTAATCAGTGGTTCTGTGTTGTTCTCCTGGTTCAGTTTGTGCTGTGTTTTCAGGTGTTTGAAACAAGTGAAAACAGCGATTTAGCAGAGGTCAAAAGCTGTTAAGTAGATCCAAATGTCTCTGATCAACTGTAATTTAATACAGAGGTTTTCTTTATGGCCTATGTAAGCAAACAAAACAGCATCTCCGTTTTACCCAAGAGATCAAGTGATTTGTAAGTATGAAACTCCATCTGATAAATCGATGAAAATGTCAAACAGAAGCCTCACGAGTTAAAAACTAAATGCAAAACCTGCAGTTCCCCCAGTGTCCACTAGAGGTTGGCTCCAAAGGCCCAGTCAGCTCCATTAACACTCATATTAATATGTCAGTTTTTGCAGGATAATTAAACATCTTCAGAGCCTGGTACAAAAGCAGTTTTTGTCTGAATGGTTCAGTTCGTTGCTTGTACACACTGTAGAAAGGATGAACTCTCTGTTGCTGTTAGCTAAGAGGCCTGTTTGCCTCTTGCTAGCTTGACTGATCTCAAGAGTCACCTTTTCTTATATAGTACCTGTCACCGCCTCAAAACTGTTCTTTTGAAGCCAGTCTGTGATGTCGCAGATCCTAACACTAGGTTTTAAAAGTGAAAGTTCATGGCGTCTCTTCAGGCACCAATAGCTAATGTCCACAAGTCTACAAACAAATGTTGAAGAACCCGTAAAGATGTATCTTGCTCCGTCAACAGTGGTAGTAATGACGAGCACCTGCAGTATGAGTAATCATAACAGTCACATAATAAAGTGATATTTTTCATGCTAATGCAATCATATAAAGAATTCGGTTGTAGCTGTTAAACCTCCCTCGACAGGAGACCCCTGAGGCTCCAAATGATGAGCGGTGAGGGCTCATCACGCTCCCATCAGCCTTTGTTTATTTGAATTCTCCCTCACAGGGAAGAAAAGCCTTCCACCAGCCATTGTTTTGCCTTGGGAACTAGTCTCTCTCTCTTTCTCACTCCCTTTCTCTCCCTCTGCCATATGGTTGTCATACACTTCCTGGAAATTCAAGCCATGTTTGCTTTTGTTGTATATCTGTGGGGCAATTTTTTTGGTGTTCTCCTACGTTGACATTAATTGAAACAATACCGTGATTGATCTCATTTTAACACGCTTGGCTAGAGCTGAAATGAGTAGAGCCTGGGCAAAAAACGCAATTATACCAAACTTCCACCGTCATTCCAAACACATTACAACATTTTAATAGCACAAGAGTGTTTCACTGAATCCAGATTCCCCATAAAGCAGGTCACATGTGTGGCTGACTTTCACATGCATGTTTCGAATCTCTTGCCAAGCTTTTGATTTCCACCTTGCTCGACATCTGATTCCACTGATGCAGACCCGAGTAACTTCTAACCGCCTCTATCTTGTGTCTCTTTTCCAGAGTGTTACACTGCAAACGGAGAGGACTACAGAGGCCTCCAGAACCAGACCAGTCTGAGCGGTGGTAAACCCTGCCTCTTCTGGAATGAGACCTTCCAGCACCCTTACAACACCCTCAAGTACCCCAATGGGGAGGGGGGTTTGGGCAAACATAACTACTGCAGGTGAGTCCCTCCTCCTCAGCTGACTGAGGTTTACAAAACAGTGATACAAGAAGCAACTTTTCCCTGACATTTGATGCTGAATACCAAAGTTGCAGCCCAGAGTGTTATTGTAGGGCTGCAGTGCTGATGGAACAGGATGAAAACATGTGTTCAGCTGATAGGTTAAAGGCACACTGACTTTTTATGACCATATGAAATTTGTTGGGTATGTTTGTGTCCTGTCAGTACATACTGAGGCAAAAAATATGCAAAAAAAATGTACCCCTGAGGCAGACATCTCCCTTCATGCAAAGTAGGGCCAACAACAAGGTTTTGCAAGCTTCAACCAAACCGTCAACCATCTTTCACATATTTTGCACTACATGCTATTTACCCATTCACAGTGAGATGCCCTCTGCTGACATTTGGTCCTAATGAAGACATGAGTAGGTCACAAATTTACGGCTGTTTTTAAGATATTTAGCCGTGTAACATTATGGCATATCGCTTAAACATTTATCCTTCATTCTGCCTCAGATTTCAGTTTTTCTGTTTTTTTTCTGGCAGCTGCAGTTTTTATCTTTATGACTGAGGACTGAGTTCACTTTATATTCTCCTGACAAGTTATCAGGAGGCCAATATTTAAGCATTTGGCAGATTATCTGTACAGGTGCAGGACCTTCCTTCTCTCCATGTCTGTTTTCACTCACCTTTGTATAACGTAAGTGGAGTATTTTAACACTGTGGTATATTTTCACAGAAGTGATAAAGCATTTCATCTTAACAGCTGTATATCAGGTTGAAAGTTTCCATTCCATTCCACATTTAAAAAAGGTCTTGTTTAGAGTTTGTAATATTTTATATATTTACATTTTACTATCAGGTCCAGATATCCACTAACAACCAGTATCGGTATAAGTATTGGTATCAGTGTTGGTATTGGTATCTGTGCCTGTATCAGTATTGGCCTTGAAAAGCTAATATCAGTCAACCTCTATATTTTTACCAATGTATCCAAACCTTCATCAGATGAGTCTTGCACAGCAGGTCTTAAAGAGTGGCCACTGTGCTGACTTTCATCTGTCCTTTTTTACATTTTTATTTTTATCACTTATTTTTAGAAAGTTAACAAAACATTTTATTAATAAAGGATGAGTAACAAAGAAACAAGTATGAAATACAAAAAGAAACAATTTAAACATATAAGGGACTGAAACAGCCCCTATTATTAAAGGAAAGAAGAAGAAAACCCTATGTGGGCTGCCTGATTATATTGAGGTAGTGTATATTTTCTTAAGCATGTTAATTGTATCTCTGACACCTCTGTTAACTCACCTTACATGTTTACAGCCTCTTAAGACTTAATTTACCAGAAAACTTTTGCCACCGACTCAATTTCTTATGACTGGCCAGCTCTTTAAAAGCCTCTTCCACTGTTCCACTGCCATGCTACAAAGTCGTCATCACAGAGTGAACCGGTGTTTCTCTATTCAAAATAAAATAATGAAACACAGACATATATATTGGCTCCAGAGCCTGACTGGGAAAGTTTGGAAATTGTCCAAATCTCGTGTCTCTCCCTCTGATTCTTGCGTGACTTTCTGAACAAACCCCACGGACCACCCCTGCGGTCCCTTTCTGGGATCACTCCTACATATGTTTACCCCACAACTCAGAATTGTGTCCACATTTAGCGTAACACCATTTCTTTCCAAAAAGCACCTGTATGTGATCAAAATAAAGACTCAGCGGCACTTCTTCTTTGTCCTAACATTCTGGAGCTATTTGGTTCAGAGACTTTCCGGAGGACATTTACACACAAGACCTCATGAGCACTGGACGACCTGATCGAAACCATCCAGTCTTATGAAAAGACTCACATATGTGAGGAAACAGTGAAAAAGGAGGAGAAAGAAGGGTTTCATGAGGCTCAAATAGATATATTTTTTTCATATTCTACTAATCATTTCATGATCCTCCTTATTCATCATATGACTTTATGAGGAAATTTCAACATTTTGGTAAAAGATGTCATAGTTTCCTGCCAAGAGTTTGATGAGTAGATTGGTACCACTCTTAGGCCTGTGTGCAATATGAAGCTAACACGGGCCAGCTCATGAAATGTAGCACAAAGTAATAAAGGGACATAACTTACTAACTTCTGACCCAAATCAAGATTGATGCCTTTATAGTACACAAAATCAAACTCTATCAGTGACAAGGGTGATGATTTTTCTATGGTTAATTTATGTAGGATATTATCCCGTCAGCTTTCTGGTCATTTAACCTTCAAGAATTCAAAGATACTTTCATTATCTCTGCAGAGAAGCATTAGCTGTTCTGTGTTGTTTGTATTGTAAGAGAATAATCTCATTTTGGCTTGAAATCCTTCAAACTCACTGCAGAGTCCTTAGTCGTAGCTGAAAGTTATGGCAGCTTGTCTTTCTAGCAGTGATCTCGTGTGTGTTTGTGACGGTTACAGTATAAAGCGGTCTGAGTGGCACCTTTGAAACTCATCTCTCTGAGACGTACTGATGTTTGATGGAGCTTTGAACTTCTAAGACAAAGCATTTGGCTCTGTAAATGATTTAAAACCAGGTTGTCAGTGTTTTGTAGAGGGTTGAAGCTCAGGGGACCTGCTCAGACATTCAACCCTGAATATTTAATCAGTGGTAGCCCTGTCATCCTCAGCAAGCTAACACGCTTGAGGAGTTTGTTTTAGCAAATCTCCATCCTTCATCCCAGGAATGTGAGGGGACACGGTGGCTTTGGGTGTCTGGTGAACCCTCAGTATCTCAGCACGACTTTCAGACTTGTGTTTTTGCAGCAAGGCACTCTCTCTCCCTCTTCTACTTCACAAAGACATCCAGAACAGTGGCTTTGGCCAGTTTTTGCCGATCCATAAGAAACAGAACTTTCCTCTCCTCTTTCTCTGCCTCCTCTTTGAGCCAAAGCCTCTGAAACATTTCCCTAAGTCATGGTTGTAAACTCATAACGCAGCAATGCTTTGAAGTGGCACTGGGCTGATTTGTTTTTACTTGAACTGGATGGGAATTCAGAAGATTTACGAGGAGGATACAGGCAGATGATCGAGAGAGGCTTTCCCCGCACATTAGGAATGTCTTATGTTCAACAAGCGGTTCAAAGTGGACATATCCAATGTTTGGATTTTGGCTGTCTTCTTGGCCGCAGATGCAGTTAGCAGCTTTCCAAACTCTCTGACAGCTCGTAGCTTTGTTTCCCCCTGACAGAGGGATTTCTGTCACTGAGGGCTGCAGCCACAGCTTCCCTCCGTCTCTCTGCAGCCCCTCTCCTTGTACAGAGTGGCCCATCAGGACAAAAGTGGCCATTTCACTCTGAAAAGATGAGGGATGATATTTATGGCATGTCTGCGCAGGGTCAAGTATTCGAGCATGCGTCCACCCATCTGTGCGCGATGTTGCATGCACATGTTGTGAGCATGCACATGCCTGCAGGGGGAAAGGGTCCTCCCGCTGCCGAGAAATATGTGTAGAGCCTGATTTGTTTGATCACAGAAAGTTGGCTCGCTGAATCGCCGGATTTGGATTGCAAATGTCTCGATTTACATGATGCGCATCTTGCAATTCAAATTCTGCTTCCCACATTTCCTGACCGCCTCTGCCTTTCTCTCATCTTCCTGGCTTGTCCATCCTTCAACAGAGGCTTTGATTTTTGCAGACGTTTCAAGCTGAAACTTCAAGTTCAAGCCAGGTGGTACTTCTTACAAATACAATTTTTACTTGAGACATAATGTAATGTGTTGACGAAAAACAGATTTTGATGATTTGTAAATTGTTTAGAACTAATATTTGGTTGAAAAGCTTACTAAATGTTTAACACAAAGAGTAATATTTATTGCTTTGTTTTCGGGGTTATATACTGTGGGTGATGAAACCCCCACATTCTTTGCAGTTTTACACCTAGAAACATTATCCTGGAAATTGATGGACTATTTTCTGACCCCGGCCGCTCCTCACAGAGTGGTTAACCTCTCCTCATCTTTACTTCTTAGAGACCGAGCCTCTCTTGAATGGCTGCTTACACCGGGTCATGTCACTGACCTGTTGGAAATTAACCTCATTAGTCTGGTCATGTTTTTCTCCAGCTGTTCTTTTCTAACAAATGCACAACTTTTTCAGTGTTTGTTGTCCCCGTCCCAACTCTTTTGGAATTAGGGTTGTAGATTAAAAGGGGAGACAGGAGAATGAACACCAGAGGGATGGGTTTAAGAGTAGAGCCAGGGCAGTTTTGGCACGTCTGACCCCGAGGCAATTGTGGTTTTATGAGATGAGAGCTGAGGCCAGGGCACAGGTGGATAATGCAAAGCTGGAAATCACTGCATGTATTAACTTTAACACACAGCTCTAAGCACATATCAGATGTTGAGAAGCAGAGAGGGAGAGGATTACACACTCAGTCCTCGTCCTGTCGCTTGTGTTTTCCCGGTTGTGATTTAGTCCAGAGGGCACCAGAGTGGTGCTGCAGAAAGAGCCCTAACAGCCCCCACATTTCATCTTTATTGCCTGCTATAAAATACTCCAGTGAAAACAGGGGAAAAACTGGGCAGAGGGGAAATGTCACATTGTTCCCCTGCAAAAAAAGGAGAAGCACAAAGCCTCAGGAAAAGGACAACAGCTCTGGTGTCTAAGCTCAGACTTTGAGAGGCTCATTATTTAACAGTGAATATCACATAACAGAATTCATTTCATGACACAGAGAAGAAGTAATTCAGCTACCTTTAGTCTGGTTTTGAGCCTCGGGGCTGATTTGCAGTCGTTTGACTGGTTTATTCTTAAATAAGACACTTTTTGTTCTTTAAGTACTTCTTTGACCTTTTGAAAACACTTCATAACTTTTATAAGATGAACTCCACACAAATCAATGTCCTGATTTATGTTTGGTTTATTCTCCCTCTCAATCGACTGTTCCTACAGGCTGATATTGGACCCTTTCCCCCCTGAGCGCATTAGTATGAGGGTGTGAAGAGCATGACGGTTCAGTGGGTGGTTCAATAGCTTTGTGAGCCATTTCTGTGCTATTTATATGCAGGTGTGTATGTGTATGGGAGCCCACTACAGCCTCTAATGCTTTTCCCTTACATAGATGAGATAATGGAAATGCCAGAGTGAATGGTGCTCCTCAAGTTGATTGCAATTGCATCCCCATGATGTCAGGTGCAAATCTAGTCAGAGAAGTTGTCCGCCATTTAAACGACTGTAGTGCAATCCCAGTGAGCTGCTCCACACGACTGAAAGGTCATTAAAGGAGACCCATTAACATTATAGTAATCTCGGAGTTTTAAATGCCAATATATTTCTTCTTTAAGTGTCAGTCTCTTGAATCGTGACTGTTTTTTAACCATGCCCCCTCCTCCATACTCTGATCTTCACTCTGATATATATTCAGTTTCCTGTAGCACATTATTCAAGGTTACTTCTTTTTTAAACTACTTTTAATGCACATTAGACACCTGTTCGCATCATTTTTGATTAAAGCTCCTGTGGGGAGTTTTTAGTTGCTTAACAAAATGGCCAAAATTAATATGAATGTCTTTTTAAATGTCTTTTTATGACCTAAAAAAGTAAACAGAGCCATCGATGAGGAAGGTGACACTGTCCATTTAGTTATTTTTAATGTCTAAAATCACTGACTGGGGATAGGTGTCAAACCGAGTGATTAGCTACAAGCTGCTGACAGGGTTTCCTGGATGTTTCATGACAAAAGATCTCTACAAGTCATACATTTGACTATTGTATTATTCAGGCGATAAGGCGCACTAGGTAATATGGCACACTGTGAATTAACGTGTCTATGTTCACCCAATTGTAAGCATTGATTGGTTTATTGTTGCTAGAATGTACTCCGGGCCCGGGGTGCCTTACATGAATACACTTTTAGTTTACGGGGCTGATCAGGTAGTGACAAAGTGTACCGGAATGCTCCGAATATCCATTGAGCAGAGCGGCTTCGTTGTTTACCACACATTTCTACAGATTTTGAGCACAGTATACCACATAAAATCGGTCAGTAAGCACAACAAAAAAATCATACACAAGGTGCTTTGGATTATAAGGCGCACTGCCAATTTTTTTGAGAAAATCTAAGGATTTTAAGTGCGCCTTATAGTCCGAAAAATACGGTATTTAAAGAGAGGCGTCTAAGATCAGGTGGGGTTGTAAATAGTAAAAATCAACACAAAGTAAAAGTTCCTTACAGGAGCTTTAAAAGCTGTGTCTCAGCAATACTTCCACCATCCAGAATCTCTGCGTTTATGTAGCCTTTATTAAATTGAATATAATGTATGTTCATACATGCAGGAGAGGAAAGGTCATTAAAATTGAAAGTGAATTTGATAATGTGCGTCTTGCCATATTTCCCAGCAAGCGTGACACAGTAATATCACAACCTCATGTTTAGGTCAAGGGGACCGTGAGAGAAGAACAATAGACAGTGGACTTGATGTCTCATCCCACACCCAACAAGCCAATCGCTTTCAATACAGGCATTCATGCAGCACAGCAGCAGGCAGCAGTTTGCATGCTAAATCATCCAAGTCAATTAAAGAGTCTTCTCCCAGGCAGTAAATAGCCAGACTCTGATCTGCCGTTGACCTCAAATCCAAATCCAGACGACCTCTCAGCTGCACTTTTACATCAGCCTTTCCTTCTGTTTCTTTCTGTTTTTCTGCTAAATGACGTGAAGCTTTCATCCTTTCTTCAACTCATTTAGCTAAACTAAAGTTCCTCCTGAACCTGACTGAACTCATAAAAAACACCTAGAAGCGTGTTATTTTCAGCACTCGCACACATACTTTGATGTGATTATTTTACATTTTTATATGACGTTTAACAGTGCCAGGCGTTTTTAAGATGTTCATAAATTTCCCGATTAAGGTACATGGAAAAATGCTTATTACAGGAACCTTTTGAACAGTGTCCAGCCTGAAGCAGCTGTTTTCCCCCCCTGTGCTCGGATGTAAGCTGCTCTAGCCTTCAATAGCAGGACTGTAGAGCCTGTGAGGCACAAACCCAATGTGGCTATAATTGGCTTTGCACCCAAGTGTGTGGCTCACTGGAAGCGAAATGAGTCAATCAGCGTAATTGTGCCAATTAAGTGTCCAAACATCTTCTGTGATCTACCTCTGGGTATGGGAGTGTTTCGACAAGCTCTTCAGCTCAGAGCCATCTCTGACGCACACCAACGTGAATGCAACCCCCACTGCAAACCACCCCGAACACACACACACACGCATACACGCACGCACACACACAGGAGCAGAAAGTTTTATCTCCATGAGGACTAAAGTCTGTCGGTGCTGCTGGGTTAAACAAATGGATTTCCATCCATCGAAGTCTGCTCTTATCTGCACTGTGGCACCTGAGCTAATCTGACACTGTCTACTTTTCAGCTTCTGTTCCCTCCCTCCCTGCGAACACACACACACACACACACACACACACACACACACACACACACACACACACACACACACACACACACACACACACACACACACACACACACACACACAGTAGTACATACACAGGTACCTCAGGGCAGGATTGATTATGTTTCTCTGTCATGCGGGCTAGCCTGTTCACCTCAGCCCTGTGGATGATGTTCCCATGCTTCTGCTAAAAGGGTGTGTGCAGGTGTTCGTGCATGAGTGTGTGTCCCTCTGTGTGTGTGTGTTTGTGCGTGTGTGTGTCCCTCTGTGTGTGGGTGGGGTGTGTGTGTGTGTGTGTGCAGAGATGAAACATTAGTTGGGGACCCGCGTTTTCAGAGAGAGGTTAGAGAGGGATACCACATCATTTACTGATCAAAGCTGCCGTTAGGTCAGACATGTGATGGGTGTTCCTCTGAGGATATTTAGTTAATGATGATGGTTGTAATTCACGTCTGCCTCCGGAGGGGGTGATTAAAACTTGCAGTAAATTACAAAAGTAGCTGTAGATGGAGCCTTGGGAGTCTTATTTCAAATAGGGGCTATTACACTTTGACACGCATGAAAAGGAGAAAGGCAGAGAGAAAAAGAGCGAAGGTATATAATCCAGTATTTAGATGCTTGGACTTTGTTTTCGCTCTTCGTGTTGCAGCAGTAGCCTCAGGCTAAACAAACAGGTGTTTGCCTTCAGTCTGGGTGGAGCAACAAACAGATCAGGGCTCATGATACGGTTTTAAAACTTTGTTGACATGGGAACGTTTCAGGTTGAATGAAGTTCTGGCTTGTTTTGATAAAAAAGGAATAAAATATGTGTCTACTCGAAGCGTTCCTTCACACTTTACTGTTGCAGACAGGCTGCTTAAAAAACAGAGCGATAACAGCCGGATGATTAAAGCGGAAAGCTTTGAGGCAGTTTAACTGGAGTTCAGCCCCCCTAAAAAGACTCTTTAGAGGTACATCTTTGTCAGTACTTCAATCTGAGTGTGAAAAGAGAGCAGGAAACTCTGGGTATTGTTTTTGATAGGAGAAGAAAAGAAATGGAAACGCCCTTCACAACTTTGCTCACAAAAGGTGAAACGGGATAGCGCAGCAGCCGGAGGCTTTGTCATGATGTTACAATGAGGTGTGTCAAAAAATGAAGAGAAAAGGTCTCCGGCAATTACAGTTAGTGCTCCAAAAAAAGAAAAAAAGACAGTGTTATCCAAGACGGGTTTTTCTTCGTTGACGGGGTGTTTTTTCCTGAAACAGAGCCCAACAAACGACACGAATATGAGCTTTAACTGCGCACCCGCTGCTCTTGAGAGTTTAAAAGTTATAATTCACAAAGTCGCAGGATCACCCCGGAGATCCAGAGCAGACACAAAGCTTTTAGGAATTCCCATCCTCAATCCCACCTCTCATCGCTTTTGTAAGTGAAACTGAAAAGCCAAAGCACTGAGGGGCCTGTCAGCCGTATTATGATGGGTTCAAAGTGCCTTGATGAGGTTCAAAAGAGGCAGACAAAAGCTCTGCCCCATCACCCATCCGATTTTTCCTGGGTTGTGTCTGGTCCCGAACAAAGAACAACCCCCCTCCCCTTCATGACCTCCACCCTTCAAAGAGTAGCTGGTCGGGCCCTTGACTGGCATGCATGGTCAAGCCTCCAGAGCGCAGCGGAAGAGGTTAAACCAAGAGCGCTAAAGGGGGCTGCTGGGATGATTGACACTGCGGGGATAATCTCCCTCTGAGACATCATTGAGTTTTCAGCCCTCAGCAGCAAGGTTTCCAGCTGATAGTCTGTCACTGAGTTCTTGTTTTGCCGTCATACATCTGCCATCACCTCCTTTTACCCCTCTGATCCCCCTTTTTCTTTCCCCCTCTTGTTCCTTTCATCTCTCACCCCTCTCAAAAGGAAAAAAGAGTTTCCAGATCTTGAACTTTTTATTGGTTCAGGAACAAAAATGAGCAATAAGAAGTTATTTTCTGACTTTTCTGTAATTGACTCTGTAAGGCAATAACAGAAAATGGTGTTCCTAACATTTTTCATAGTGTTATGGCTGGTCGCCCGGTGTGTGCTTTTATTTTGAAATATAAAACAGCTTGAAGATTGTCAGTAACAGGGTTAAATAAAAAACAATTAAAGGAACAGTAAGAAAGTTTGAATGCTCAATTAGTGACCTAAAGAGGCACAAGCTCTAATATTGTTTTTAAAGTCATAAAAATCTGGAAATGTTCGATTTTGGAGGGCTACTGCAGCGATCTTGCCAGCAGCTGTTGCTTCTTCTTCTTCTTCTTCTTCTTTATCTTCTCGGAGAGAAAGAATTAGATCAGCATCCACATGTTCTGACTTTTCCCCCTCTTTGCGTCTGCAGGAACCCTGATGGGGACGTTCAGCCATGGTGCTACATCGCCGACCATGAAGACGGGATCTACTGGAGATACTGCGACATCCCCACATGCCAGAGTAAGAAATTCCTGCCACTCCTCCTTCAACTCTCCCTCTCTTTTTCTCACTCTACGCTCTGCCCTTTCATGCCCTTGGGGCCAACTCATGGGCACAGGGGCCGGCCATTTTTTCTTTTTTCATTTTATTGCTCTGCTCATCTGCTTGCCTGCTATGAATAGTTTTAATAGAATGTATGGCTCGTAAACAGCCATTATCATCTAAAATATGCCTCTAATTGCCTCCCGTCACCCCTCCTCCTGCCAGCCCGGGCCTGCCCATACTTTAATTCGAGCTGTCAATCACTGCCTCTGTGTGTGTGTGTGTGTGTGTGTGTGTGTGTGTGTGTGTGTGTGTGTGTGTGTGTGTGTGTGTGTGTGTGTGTGTGTGTGTGTGTGTGTGTGTGTGTGTGTGACTTCACTAGTTTCCCCTTTGGCTTTGTAGCTTGTTTTGACATGTGAGTGATTTGGTGCGTGTACCTGCTCTGTGGATGTTTTTGTGTGTTTTGCTCCCTCATGAGTGTATTAGTGTCGCTGTCCCGCGCAAATGTGTGTGATGAGTTGTTTATATTGGAGATCTTGTGCTTCTGTGTGTCTTCTCTACTGCTTTGGCACACACTTACAAAGAGACGCCTGTCTTTAATCCCATTACTTTCATTCTCTCCACCTTTTTAATCGCCGCTGTTGACAACTGACTCGGGTGGATCAGCCTACATATACACTGTTTTAACGCCAGAGATGAGAAATCCTGCAGAGGAGGTTCAGATAAGAGATTAACTGAAGGCATGTTGTTTGGGGGAACCGTCTCACATGTTTATAATGCCGACATTGAAACAGTTTCCAGCATGTGGTCTTCACTTTTCAAGCTGTATTAAGTCTGAGGTGTTATTGCATACTTTGAAGCTGAAGGCAGCTGAGCACATTGACACAAGCAGAGCGAAAATAATGAATGAATAACAATCATCCTCCTTGTGTAAGGATCAACCTCTATTTTTCTTTGCTGTTTTCTCTCTTCCTCTTTATCTCTCTTATGTCCTATTTCTTTCCCGAACACTATCGCTTCTTTTAAACTCCATTAGCTTTCCGCCTGAGTCTTGCATCCTGCAATACTTTAGACATTATCAGAGTTTAGCTTAACTTTGGTTATTCTCAGGTACAAAGCACAAAAAAGATAAGTAATAAAAGATGCAGACTGTCTTGAAATTTCAGAGCAAAGTGAAAAGTTGTACAATCTCAAAGTGAAGTAAGACACAGAGCTTACAGGGTTTGCAGCCAACCCGTTATGTCATAAGCCTGTTTTCAGGCTGTGCAAATGAAGAGGAGTAACAACCAAGCATGCGTTTCCCATCAAATTGACTTCTGTTTATTAAACTTTACTCTTAGTAGCTTATAGTGTGAATTTGAGAGAGCAGGGAGTGCAGGTACCAGAGAGTGATCTGAGTGTCCTGAACTCAACAGCCTTAGTATTAACAGACGGCAGATTTGGAGCCATTTTATACAGGTAAATCTAACTATCTGACTAACTTACACTCTAAAACTCCTATTAGGAGTAATTAAGTGATTATAAAACAGACTGAAATTAAAACTAAAACCTTTAAGTGGGGAACTTTTAGTTTGTGTCAATCTGGCACAAAGCAGTCTTTGTTCTTATATGCTTGAGTGGCGTATTATGACCAAAAATCTTTTTACAGCCAAATTTATTATTTCATGTGAAAAATATAGAAGCAGGGCTTTTCCTACCCCTACCCTGCTGCACTGGTTTTAGGCATCAACGATTACAAGTTCAAAACAATCAATTTTGTTTCTGATGAAAGTATAAAAGGGCATAAAAAAGAATTTAAGTTCATTTTATAAATACAAAAACTTTAAGCTTTAAGTCCATCAAGAGCAGATTATTTTTATATAGTAACCTCTGACATCTGTCACCAACTTATCTGCATTTGTGCTCTCTGTGGGAGTGATGCGCTGCATACTCAGAAACTTATAAAAAAGTCCAAAACAAATGCAGCACTGGGGACTTTTACTTGAACTGAACTATTTTGACTACTGTCTGGGATTTGATGCTATCAGCTGAGGTAGTATTGTCACTATTTATGCAGCCCTCCTTTTCAAGATCATAACATTTTTATTTTGCTGTTGTTTATTAAACCATGAGAGACTTGACCAGGACTTGACACCACCCTGCCTTTGCATTTGTTTTGGACTCAAGCCCACGGTTCTGAATTTGCATCACGTTTCTCCTGATGTTTATTGTTTGGGCTGTTGCAGATAGCTTTGCCCCTTCAATCACAGCAGATAGGATCAGAGTCAAGTAACAGAAGTTGGGATGTTCTGTGGAAAAAATGAGTGATACACTGAATAAATAAATGGACACATTTTTAACCAGAAAACACTCCCTGCACAAGAACAATCAGCAAACATAAGACATGTTGCTTTTTCCACAGAAGTCTTTAAATTGGACACAACCAAAAGTTCCTGAATTTGCAGGATGTTACTTTTTTTTACTGTTGCATTGGCTCTATGCAGTGCACCTGACTGTATACTGCTAATGCAAGCATGTAGCATGATGGATATGATGCAAATTTGCTGCCGGTTGTTTGGTTTGTAAAAACATGTTAATCCTGCACCACAGCGTTTTCAGAAAAAGACCCTAACGTGGACACGGACTTGAATTAAAGGTAAACTGTTGGACATGAGGGTCCCACAGTGCATGACAAACCAGAAATTTGAAGCGGTTTGCACTTTTCACTGTAATTGGTACCATCATGCCTTAAGAGTCGACAGACCCCTCCAGCCGTCTCCCCTATTATCCCGCCTGAGCAGCATGCGTGACTGAAGGCCGCTCTTTTGAATGGAGCACGACCCATTAACCCATGTGACCCATCTGCAGCCTCTTTGCTGACAGCCTGTGTGTATCTGTGTGCTTGTTTGTCCTTGGTGTTTGTGCGTGGTTGTGTTGGAGCTCTTGTGTAGACTTGAACTGACCTAATTCAGACGAGTGTCCTCAGCTAAGTGTTTCTAGGCCGATACTTAAAACCTTTGTGATTTAGGGGGGAAGAAGAGAGCAGCCCAAACATCTTTGTTCAGAAGAGCCTTATCACTGGTGAAATCAGGCTATCTTTTGTTCCTGATGGGTTTGCCATGTGCTGGTTCAGCCTAGTTTTTGTCCAGGATCCAGTACTCTGTAATTCATCTCTGCAACATGATGAACCTGATTTCTAACGGCTTAGAGCTTCACCCATATCACATACTGTCTTACATGCAGGTTTCTCTTTATGTTTTGGCATTTAAAGTTATGCAGAGCCCTGTAATGTAAGTAAAGAGGTGAGGTTTGCTGTGAGCCAAGCATCCAGTGTCATGAAAACAAGCCCATTCAGTGGAGACTGTTTCTCCCTGCAGGGATACCAGGGAGCTCTTAGACACGAATGCTCTGTCTCATCTATTGTGAAACCACAATCGCCACGTGGTGCCTCACCTTCTGGCAGTGCCTGTTCTTAATTTGCTTCGTTTGAAAGCTTCAGCTGCCAAGCGAAAGCACGCTGATGCTCTCCCGGTGTCACTGTTTTCAACAAAAGAGTGAAAAACACTCTGATGTGCCAGAGCGAGTGAAACAGTGGGCTTTGTTTTCGTTTTGTCTGGTTTTTGTTTCATCTGTGCCTGCTGTTTTTGCTGAGGTTTGATGGTTGGGAGATGGTTGCAACTTACGAGGGTACCTGAAGCCTGCCTAGTGGTGTGCTCAAAGGAGGGCAGGATTGCCCCTCATGTGCCCTCATGTCCCAAACAAAAACAGAGCAGAAGCTCTCTCTTGGATGCATGCAAATTTGCTTTAGCAGCCAGTATCCAAAAAGATGAAACATGACAAAGTGCCTCGTGGATGCCCCTCCAGAGGTTATAACAGAAAAATAGTGCCCTTTGGATGCAGTTTCGGTTTATAAAATTTAAAATAGTGCCTTGTAGATACTCTCAAGTAAAATAAAATCTTGGATAAAGCAACTTCCAGATGCTCCACCAGCATAAAAGTAGGGCTGTTAAGTCCTAGTCGACTGGTTGACTTGTTGGTACATGCTGATCGTCTATACGTGCTCAATTTACAAGAATAACTTTGATTGATTACAGCCCTACAAGTTAGATTTTCTCTGAGTGCTGACGCCCTATGCCATACAGAAGGTACCCTTGTTATCGTTCTCACCCCTGCTCGTCAAACAGCTTGAGCACGCCACTGGGTTAGCCTGTTATCCAGCTGGGTGCCCTGTCATCTTGGGTCATGCCACCCTGTTTAGGGTGACACACCCTGCTGGAGCGCTCACTGCCCGGCAGGTCACATGAGGCCAGACACATATTCTGACAGGGAGGATTATAGTGTACGGTCACGCCATTTGTTGATCGTAGTAATCCGTCATGGCAGCAATTATCATGTGGTGGAAGAATCTAAACTTCTCTAGAAAGGCGTGCTACATCGACTACTGTACAAGTGGACGTTTCAACAGTGTGTCACAGCGGATGCAGGTTTTTCAGGCTCTTCTCATTTTCAGGCCACAAAATGCTTAGCCAAGCATAACTTTGTCATAAATGTTGTTGTTTACTGCGTTGAACTTTCCGTTGAAATAAACCATTCCTGCTCTGCTGAAAACGGATGTTTCTGGGACCTCAATGTCACCACGTTTAGCCCTTTAAGTTGAGAAACAGTGAAAGTAACCATAAGGGGATGACCAAAGAGTCTTGGATTCAACGTGGTGTTCAGTTTTCTGCATACGGTAGGTCCATTCAATACTGATTTGTCTTCATCAAGCCTCAGTGCGTCGGGCGGCTAAGGCTTAATGTTGTCTAACTGAGCACTGGTGATTCTAATGAAGAGTGAGGAAAACACTAGCTGAGCCTCTGGCCAAACAAGTAGGTTCAAAAGACAGAAATAAGATCTGACAGCTCAATCCATTATTAAAAGACTAAAGTCTTTAGTTTTAGAAAAGTCCGGAAGTCAGATGTAACCTTGAAAGGTTCTGAAAACAATTATCCGTGCCTGTTACTGATTTATGGGGTAAAAAATGTGGACATCTCAAAGAAAACTCGTTTTTTTGTTTGTAATAGTTCAAGTACATGTACCAAAACTCAAAAGCCTCAGTGCTACAAGGCTACAGATCAAAATCCTTGTTTATCCAACTCTGAACAACTCTGCCGAGCGTTTCCTTTTTCACAGTGTTCCATACTGTCAGGACATTTTGTTTCGTTTTGCCTCCTTTAAGCTGACATGCGTTTGCATGACGGCATGCCTTGATTAAATTTGACTGACACAGATTGAAGCTGTCAGGGTGAAGTCCTCGAGCGTTTGCCAAGACAAAGACACTTTGATCAGTGTGTCTGAGAGTTCATCACTCAGCGGCTCATGACCGAGAAAAACTTGTTGTGCCACTGTGATTCCCTACAGCAAAGATACCAACAGGAGCTGTAAGGTTTGGGGGAAAATACTGCGAGGGATATGTTTTTATGACGATTAGTCATCTGAAGTAAAACACAAATGAGACTTTCATAGATCCAGTAAAATCAAAACAGGGAGTTTGTTTTAAAACATATTGACTGCTTTGCAAAGTCAGGATTTGGCTACACAAAAGCGACAGATTCAAGCTTTAAGATAAATGTATATAATAGTTTCTGCTTTTTTCTCTTGCTTGAAAAAACAAAATACATAAAGAGCACAGAGGTAGTCTTCTTGAAAGTTGAAAAGTTGAAATATTGGATAATGGGTGACTCAACCGAACCTTCACTTAACCCAAACTGAATTGGGCTTTTAGCCACCTGGCGAACAGATAACAGTTCAGCTGGGCCCCTAACTATGCAAATTCATGCAAAACTCCTGGCTTTATATCAGTTTATTATGTAAAATGAAGGCCAGGAGGTACATGGACCAAAACTGTGCTGTTGTTTTGATCAGGGCTGATAAAACAGGAGTTTAAAACATGGGATCCAGTGGAGGGTTTGCCATGTCCCTCTAGTGGACACTTGAGGAACTAAATCATTTTACACATTGCTTTCATTTTTCATACCAGAGGTGTGGCAAAATTAAACCAATTTTGATGACTCATGGTCTTTGTGCTGTTGTATATTCATGTTTTACCAGGGCTATGTAAATGCCCACTACTGGAATGACTATTTAATAAGTCCATCTTGTTCCTATGGAAACATGTACAAGACACCAGACAAATTAGCTTTTAACTGAGTGTTTCCAATAGTGCCACCGCCGTCTTTTGGATTCATTACACCTCTTAGAAAACCAATGGGTTTTTCCAAAAAAGAGACTACATCCATGTTTTATACAGTCTATGATATAAACTTTTTTAACATTTTTAAAGCATCTCTCGATTCCTTGATATGTTTTGGTCCTCTATAAATATAAAAAATTTGGTTATTAAGTATTGATTGATGTATTTACATGTTAATTCGTTAGGTGGGCTTACGCTCCTGTTATTTCTTTCCTCTGGTATGTCATTTATCATCATGTCCTGATGTACTTTCAGACTGTTTTTCAGTTATGTGTTGAATGAAGTGAACATTTCTTGCACTTCTCCCCGAGGCAAATCTCCTCTCAGAACGAAAAGTTCAGGTTATTTTATCTTTAAACAAACATCATCAGAACTGAAATAGACATCCACCTGTAACGTATATGTTAATGACCAGGGTGGAAGAGAGCATGTTAACAGTAGTTCTTACTTTGATGCTCTGTTATTGTATCCAACAGTAGCTGCAGTGTTTCACAATGGCACTCATTATCCAGAGTTTCCTTAACCTACATTGTAGTAGGCCTGAGAGTTTAAATGGTTTAATATCTGACTTTACTACCTCACTTACTGTAGGTTATAATCTCTTCCTTTATTGGAACAATGGAGAGGACGTCTGATGAGCTTGTCAGTCACCACATAACAATAGTCTCTGTACAGGGTATGTCTCATCCACCTGGCAAGCCGAGCTGCCACACCTTCACGACATTAAAGCAAAGTAAACATGTGTTTGGCATCGGGTTTTATGACTGAACGTTGATGAAAATATGCAGGGACGATAAAACCTCTTCATTAGGAGTGATTTATAATGGAAGTAGATGTAGTTGAGAGGGAAATTGTCAGTTAGTTTTGCATGAGCACACCTGGTTTCTGTGTCAGGGTAGCTGCTTCTAAAGTGTTTGAGGTATTTATGAGTCAGAGGTTTTAAGAGTTTAGCTGTTTACCAAATTTATTGATGAATTCAGAGATGAAAAACCCAAAACAAAATGGAAAACCAAAACTTAAAAAAGTAGGAGGGCTTTAGCCAGAAAATAGGCTGTGATTGGGTGTTGGACATCTTATCTGTTGAATGTATTTTTGGGCTCAGTACCTGCTGGGGCTTCCTGGCTTTTTAACAACCTTGGCATTATTGGAATTTAGTGAATTATCTTCACGACTGAAATGTGGTACAAAGGTCTCCATTAACATCTTTTACAACCATCTGATCTTTCCTGTTACTCCACCAGCAGCTTAAAATTGTTGGTGCTTATCCATCCATGTGCACCATTTGGATCAGCTGTGGGTCATAACCCAGGATGCACGGTTACAGTTTTTGGGATCCAAACAGTCATGGTCTGTTATCATGCAGACATCCCCGTATGTAAGTGAGTTTAAATGAATGAGTGAATGTGAATGAATATGATAATCCATGTGGAAAAAAGTAGCATCCTCAACTCAAACCCCCAAATAAGACAACCAGTACGAACCTAAACAGTATAAGCATGAAGTGATAGTGGTTGCGACCTCTATCCTTTTCCTGCTGTTTATTTGTCCTAATTGAAGTTATCTACATTATTGCAAGTCTTCATATTTTCATATTAATTCATTAAACATCTATCTCTGACAAAATAGCCCCTCCTGTTTCTATGCTTGCTATTGTTTCCACAGCAACAATATTTTAATAACCCCACTTGCTTGGCAAAATAACATTAAACCTAAGATTTTTGTTCATCTCCAAGACTTGACATTAGCAATCTTTCCTATTATCAAATCAATCAAAAAACTATGATAAGATCTTATGATTTCCCAGAAAAGACAGACTGCTGAATGAACACTGTTTTCCTCAAAATAAAGAGGGCGCTGAGAGGACGAGAACATGTGGTACATGTGGTCTGGAATTTGAGACTGGAGCAGCACTGCCCTGCCTGATGGCTGTTTTTGTCACCTATACATGGCGGGCTTTCAGATTCTGATTCCTGTCGTTTTCTCCCTTTTTTATTGTTTTTCGGAAGCTGTAAATGTCCTCTGAACAGGCCTGTAACAACTGTTGTCACAACCAACCCACATGCCCGCTAAACTGCAGCAGGTTGAGGCAATGCCGATAGGAGGAAGGTGTGTGTCTGTGTGTGTCTGTGTGTACATTTGTTCCTGTTACTTTTGACAGAATAAAAACCAGTCAGATTTAGAGCTTCAAAGTGAGGACATATTTTTGAAGTGAGCTCACTTTGGCCTCCGTCTAACCTTTTCAAGAGGCTCCTGTTGGTTAAATTTGTGATAACTGAGGTTTGAGGGAGGTCAGCACAGTGACTCTGTAATGCCGTAGAAAAAATAAATTCTGTTTGAGGGATTTCATAAACTCTGATCCAAATGTTCCCCTGGTAAGTTTTCTAGAATAATTTAATGATTTCATGTCAGGTTCAGGCAAGCAGATATGAACTTGCGAGAAGCACTGTTAGCCGGTGACGCTAGCTCTGGTAGTGTTTGCCATGTTTGGAAAACCAACGCACCGTTTTAATCTGCAGCTGAATAAAATTGGCTAAATCCGAAAATTCCTGAGTGTTTGTAGACTAGTTACATGAAAATTATAAGGAAATAAGTCACTTTGAGACATTCCTAGACTGGAGGCATGGATTTTTTTTTTTACACTTTATTGTTTCAGCGCAACCCTTTTGGCCATTAAGTTGTTTTGTTTATAACTTTTTAATACTTTTTCAAACTTGAACCTACAGTAGAAAATTTAGAAAAGAGAAACAGGAAAACTTCTATTTCTCCTCCCTGTTTATATCATAAACATAGGAGAAAAAAACCTTCAGATCAGGCCTTGAAAGTATCACATGAACTTTCCTCCTCACTCGTCTCTCTGGGCCTCTGCTGCTGATGGTAAGCTGTAGTAAGGAGGTGTAGTTTTCCCCAAAAAACAGCATTTAATGAAAGGTTTTGACCAGATGATCCAGTATGAGCATTTCAGGAGGTTTCCCCTATGAAAAGCTCTGCAGTCCGCTCATTACAAAAAGAGCTTTTGAGAATTAGATTTGTGGACCCGACCCTCGAGGCTGGTGGTTTCAAAAATGACCTGCCAAGATGATTTTATACCAACTGAATTAATTCTAATACATTTTTAATAGGAATGTACCAACCTACTCCTTTCTATAGCTTTTATAGAAATACCATTGCCAGTATGGGTTTAATTTAAAAACTGGACTTAGTGGGCAGAAGTTAGATTTCTAACATGAGATTTATTAACTGTTCACACACAGGAGTAAGAGAGGATAGTGACTCAGCAGCCACGACAGTTTCATATGACAGAAAATGAACAACATGAGACCAAGCAGAGACACGTTTTTTCTAAGAGCTAATTTTGAAAGTTTGCATCGCAGTCATCTGTAAGTCTTTCATTATCCCTTTCACCTGCATTAGACCCGTCCTTACCTGAGGAGCTTTGAACACACACTCTTTGTCATCTTACCCTGACCTCTCACCTTCTCTAAGCTCCGCCCACACCTGCCCTCAGGGGGAAATACCTGCCTGCAGTGCAGCGAGGAAGTGCTCAGACAGAAACTACCGACTAGAGACTCTCACAAAAACAAGCCAGAGTACATCAGGTAGATTTAATCTCTGCTTCTCTCTGTGGCTCCTTCCCTCTCTCGACATGGCTGAGGTTAAATCAGCCATTAGGGAATTAAAGGTATTGATTACGAGGAGACCTGGCTGTGTAGACTGTTTGCTAATGAGTACAAGTGGAGGGCTATTGTTTAGGGCCTGTCTGGAGAAAGAGGAGGAGATGAATAGCAAAGCAACCAATTTAGCTCTCAGGAATGAGGGCTCAGAGCCAAATGTAGATTGGCATGGTTCTGCACAGGTGCAATAAACATCATTTTATGGATATCATTCAGCAGCTACGGCAATTAAAGCTAACGGGGTGAGTTTAGCAATTTTCCAGTTCAAACAAAACATTAGAAAACCTTTTAGCATAGTCGATATGATTGAAGGAGACAGTGAAGGTCTACAGAGTTTAATGGCCATCAAGTTCTGGGAGTATAGGGCTTTGAGTTGAATGCTAACGTCACTATACTGTCTCTGCAAGGAGTTGCTTTTATTTGATGCTTGAGAGTTGGACCCTCTCTCAATGAAAAGCTGTTTAATGAAGAGTTTACACATGCAATAGGACCCTAATTTGCAAAGCTAAAAACAATACTAGCTAGAGATTCTTGCATTTTTTCCAAGAGCATCCTGAATACCTTCATCAAATACCAAACCAGTCCAGTACTCAACACTACGGCCCTCAGTAAGACAGGCCCCCATCTCAAACCAGCAGATGTCCATGAAACGTTCTCTGGATCTCCATCCTCCAAAGAAGATTGATTAACTTGTCAAGAGCAACACAGGCTGAAAGACACACAATCTGATGAAGACTCATCAGTCAGATACACTTCTATGAAACGAAACACGCACATTCATGCTCCCCTGAGGATGAGTCTTTTGATTTCTGATGGGAGCGCTTCATTAATCGAAGTCTCATTTTATGATCAAATAAAGAAAAGTCAATATTTCCTTAAACAGAGCATGTCTTTGATTAACAACCACATGTCTTTTCTTTCCACCACGGAGCAAAGAGTTTGGTTTGAAGTCCCAGGACTGTTTGACTTTAGAAAACAACAAGTGTGCTGTAATGGAGCTCATTATTTTTATTGCTTTCACCGTGCCTTTAAACTCTACACCTTTTAAAACCCGCTCCTTGGACTTTGTGTCTTCTATAGAAAAATGTCATAATCAGGGTTGTTTATTGTCAGCTTATCCAGCTAAACGTTGAGAAAGTGACACATTTTGTCTTTCGCATGTCTTTGAATTGAGTGTATACAACATCTTCAGCTCATTCTTGAAAGCTCAGGAGTTTTTTGCTGGAAATGAAGCAGACTGAAATCAATACTGATCCCTCTTTCTGAACTATAAAATCAACAAATGCTGTCAGCAACAAGATGGACTACTTCTAATAAATCATTTTTAATGCTGTAACCATTGCTGTTGGGCAGATGCCTGACAGACTGGTGAAGCAGCCTTATCTAAAATTTCCACACCAAAGATTTATTGTGACTGCTAAAAGATAAGATAAGATGAGATAAGATCGGATAAGAAGAGCTGTATTTATCCTGAGGGCAAATTCGATAAAGAATAGAAAGACAGAAGGATGAGATTTTCCATCAGAGATGATAACCACATAAGTGTGGGAAACGTGAGAAGAAGAGAGGAAGTAGCCCTTTCCTCATGCGGGGCACCAAAATTTGCATAAATTAGGGATGCTCTGAAGTCATTTTCATGGACACAGAAGTTTAAATTCTGACTCAGTGGCTAGTCTAAAGGCCTTAAAACACTTAGAGGCGGGATGCTGCACTGCAGCTTAGACACAACATATGACATGCATTCCCACCCAACAATAATGAAGTATAAATATACTAAATATAAAATTAATAAGTCATACAACTGACCATAAGGAATATGCCAGGACATGGAACTGATGCAGAACTATGAACCAAGCTTAACTCTGAGACACTAAGCGTGCTGGCCGTGCAGTTTCTCCATCGCCAGTTTCTGGTTTCACTACATTCTTTGTTTGTCTGTGCTCAGGAAACCATAATGGCTGAATGTAAGGGCATCATATCCAAGTTGAGTAGTAGTTGATAATATTGAAATTGTTGCAAAGACGAAAAGCGAGAAGAGGGAACACACTCTGAATCAGTGAAAGCAGGGATACAGAAAACATGTGATTCCAGGAAATACAATTCTGTCCAGACCGATCACAGGGCTTGCAGTTTGTGTTGTTTTGAAATGCAGTTTTGTTTTTTTGGAGGGTGCAGGACAAAGGCGTGAGCACATAAACCTGCAGAGTAAACTCTGAGAACTCCAAATCAGGCTTGAACTGAAAGCTCCTCACAGCAGCTGTAAACTGTTGTTGCAAGTTTTGCTGATATGAAAATGTTGAATGTAACAGGGAAACACTGAATAAGATTTTCCAAACTGCGTCATTAAACTTGCTCTTCTTTTTTCAAACTCCTTTCACACTTCCCTGTGGACTTTGTCCCTTTTATCCTCATCCAGATAACCTGGTGAATCCTCTCTAATCTAGCGACAACCTTATCACTCGAGGAGTGAACCAATGGAAGCGACTTGCTGTGCTTATCTGACGCCTGTGGTGGCCACAAAGAGTCTGCTCATCTATTTGCTACGCTTTCACATCCCCTGGGACACAGTCTGTTTGGTTTGTCATGGGGGGGAGGTAGGGTGATGCATCATGGCGGCCATTTTTCATCCTCTTCCCCCTGCATTGTTGGGCCCGGTCTGAGGAGGTACTAATTATTCATTTAAAGCTCCAGCTCTTCTCTCTTCCCTCTAATTAGATGGTTAGTCACTCTCCCAGGGCCCCGGGCTGGGGGCATTGATCTCCTCCATCTCAATCTTGTTGTAACACAGCTCCAGACGCACACAGAAATGTTTAAAAGAGGATAAAAGGGGACATGCAGACACAGTTAACGTGCATGCAGCTTACAGTGAAGTCTCTGTCCCACACCAGCAAAGTCAGTTGGTCTGACACAGATACTGCTCTCATTCTGTCCAATAATAAGACCCTTATTGTCTGACTGTAAACTGTTCCCATCTCCAGGCTGGATAATTTATCACCCTCATAGAAAAGCAAAGCATAAACGAAACAGAAACACACAACAGCATCTCCCACCTCCTTCCAAAACAATACAGCGTTTCCAGAAAGGGTCGTCTTCAGGGACTTTGTGGTGTATTTCTCTGTTTCTCTGGAAGGCAAGACTAATCACAGGCAAGATGAAATGCAGCAGCTGTATTTGTTTTTGTTTATTGAATATACTGCACTACAAAAGAGGTAATAAATGGGGCTGAGACACAATGAGAGCAGGACAGAGTGGATGGCCGGAACAGCAAGGGGAAAACACACACAAATGTGGAGCGGGAAAAGTGTTGTTGCTCTGCTTTGTTGCAGGTCACATTCTTGTGAAGGCCGTGCATGTGATGGTTACAGTAGGTGTGTGAGTGTGTGTGGGTGTGTGTGTGAGTGCTGAATGGTTAACCTGCTGGCGGTTCATTAATGGGTTGGCAGGATTGTTTCCAAGAACATACCTGTGTTAAATTACTCGCATCAAGCCTTTTAGCACTTGAGGAATGTGCTTTTAAGAGGCAGCCTCTCCTCCTTTGACCCCACAGGTTTAACAGTCCTGCTTTAATGTGGAGGCACTAATGACTCTTTTTTGTCTGTGGTTACACTTTAATTCGATGTTAATTAAGCAGTGCTGCTGCTTTCAGGATGATCATGGTGAGGTTTCTCTCTGAATTCGCTCTTAAGATATTGGTCTTTTTATTTCATGCCTCCACTTAAGATACTTGTCTCATGTTTTCTTGTCTTTAGGTTGAAATTTCCCTCACTGTAACAGAATACAAAAGAAACTGCGTAGATGTTAAACTTTATGTAAGAAAATAATCTATGAAAGAGTCCATATCCACAAACACTGTTCAGGACTAATGAGGCATAAAAAGAAAAACATTTCAGTGTTTGTCTGATCACCACAGAGGGCGAAGCACAAGATTTCAGATATGAACGCAAAGAATAGACAACACAATACATCAGCAAAGCGTGTCGCCTTACTTCCACTGGAAAAACAATCCATTAACTGAGTGTGCTAAAGGTGCAGTCTGTAGTAATTATTTGAATTTAACAATACAAAAACAGAGCATAATATTCATAATATGTATAAATTAGAGATACACTGATTTATCGATCAGGCCTAACAATGCTATTTTAAAATTGAAGACATCAGCCAATAATAATAATAATAATAATAATAATAATAATAATTAAGTAAAATAAAATAATAATAATAATGACAATAATAATAATAATAATACCTAGTTTGGCTGATACAGATATTGATAAAGATAGAAACTTTAATTTTGTACATTTTCCAAACTCATTTGAAGAAAACTGAACTTATTCAACAAAATCCTGATGCTTGATCCTTGAACTGTACTGATTTGGTTTTGGTGTAAATCTTTGATTTCCTTGTTTTTGTGATTTGGACTTTGCTGTAAAAATGTCCATACTGTATCCTCTCAACAGACTGTAAATAATCTGTCGAGTTAAAGATTACATATAAAAAAGAAAATTTCATTTAATTTTACCTTATCATATCTTTAAACATTTTCAGATGTGTTGTTGTCACATCAATTATCATATCCTAACTTTTTCCAGTCTACAAAACAGGTAAAGACAAGTAAATCCATCTGATAGTTTCCATGTAAAGAGAACATAAAAGAGTGTAATCGGAGGAGTTTGGAAGTTATTCTGGAGGACAGGCGTTTATTCCCCCACGAGAGCAGTCATTCATTATAGAAAAACCTCCACAGAGGAGATATCATTCAGGATCTGCGTGGGCGATTTCAGTCGGGCCTTTAAAACCGGCTTTTCATGCTCCCACATCCAGAATTCTTCAGATGGTTTTCTTTTTCAGTCTTTTCAGCTTTTTTAGTGTTTTCTCATTGAAAAGATCTAACCAAATAAATAAATAAATAAACTCTCAGTTTCCTTTTACAGCTCAGTGTTTTATGGTCCCTAAATGTGGGAAATTGGACTGTCGGTCAGGGCACATGGGCAGGGAATTGGTTTGACCCTATACTGTAGGCACTTAAACATCTGCAGACAGGATCTTAGTGCCTGTAGGTCCAGTATGTGGTCTCAAAAAGGACTTCATGCTGAACAGCGATGGTAAAATACCGAATGTAATAGCACTGTACCTCTTTTTGTGAGTCATTGAGATTTTTGTGCATTTTCAAGTATCTTAACCATTTTCTTATTAAACTATAAATCTGTAGTTTAGGGTTATATATGGACTGGGTTGCTTGGTACCTCAGAAAATCTCCTTCTTGTCAGTCTAAGCACATCATCTAAACACGAGTTGAGATATTATCTTAGACATTAGCCCATGTATCAGACACCTTGAACACCCTGATATTTTTTAGAATAAGTGAAACTCTAAGCTGTTTTTTTTTTTCTCATAGTTTTGCAGTATTTACTGCTTTAAGCTCCTCACATTTAAGTTTTCTGCCTGTTGTGAGTTTGTAGATCTATTTTTGAACATTTTGGGTTCATCTGAAAAAGTCTGCAGACTAAATGAGAACATATTGAATCCCTATCTTGTCATTAGTTGTGAAAAAGTTCCTTCCGCAGCTTTTATTTTGGTGCATTATGAAATTGATGTCTGATTTCATCACAGGCCGCTCTCCCTCTGTTGTTTCCCCTTCGTCGTATCTCTCATAAAGAGCAAAATCAGCAGTGAGTGCGAGTTCATTTCTCCTACTGAAACCCTCCACTGTTTTAGTGTTGATCATAAAACGTTAAAGGTTCGTTGTTCCAGACAGTCTCTCTCTCTCTCTCTCTCTCTCTCTCTCTCTCTCTCTCTCTCTCTCTCTCTCTCTCTTCCCTTCATCCCTTGTCTTTAAAGTAGACATAAGTGTCACGCTGTGCTGCTGGCTGAGAGCGAGTGAGAGTCAGGAGGGAATCTCTTCTGGAAAGAGCGTTACAAAGAAAACACTCTCCTGTCTTTTTCCTCCGCTTCTTCTTCCTCTTTTTCTCTTTACCCTCCAGATGGCATAGAAATTTATAACTGTAATTATGTTTCCTTAATAACATGTTTGCCCCCTCAGCTCATCAACCTGCTTGCATGCTCACTGCCAAGTGCACTTGCCAAAGCCTGCCGCTCATGTTTGATGTTGTTGCTTCTATCCTTCTGTGTTGTTCGTCTCTCTCTCTCTCTCTCTCTCTCTCTCTCTCTCTCTCTCTCTCTCTGATGTGTTTTGGGTCGGCGCTGTTGTTGTGTCTGCTGCATCCACAGAGGTGTCTCCTTCCCCCTGCCAGACAGACTCCAATGAACTTTGTTGTTTAGCCTACTGCCTTCTGTCTGCATTACAGTGGTGTTGCATTGTGGGAAGGGTGACTGTAACTGCTTTGTTCTGAGTTGAAACAGCAGCCTGCCAGGTTGCGATGAGTCTGGCTGCAGTCGAGCCTTGTTTAGCCTTGTAAGTGTGTGTGTGTGTGTGTGTGTGTGTTTTTCACTTTGTGGGAGACTCCCCCTCCCGCTGCGATCTCCTGAGGTTTTCAGAGGTCTGGTCTTGGCTGACTGGAGCGTTTATACACCTTGTGTTTCCTCCATTTCTCCCCTCTGGCTCGTTAAAGTCTAAATTCCTCCTGCAGCTTTGAAGTGTGTTTTTGAGTTTTTTTCTTTCATTGTACATGCAGTTATTTGCACTTGTTGCGCCTGCAGAGCAGATGTTTTAAAGAAACAACGCTTTGCTCAGGAGTTTTCACGCACAAACAGTTGACGTTGTTTCTTTTTTCGTGGGGGATAAATGCACACACACACACACAAGGAATGTGCTCCATCTCCGTCTTCACTTCCATGCAGACCTCTGAGGCGGTTGTGCGATACGACCCCACCACCTGCTGCTCCTCAGCCAGAGCTTCACAGCCGCTGGGACAAGAGGAGGACAAAGACAGATAAATTGACTGCAGTCTGCAATCTTCTTGTCAAAGCGAAATGAAAAAGGAGCAGTGCTGCCTTTAATCTGGCTGGTGAGCCCTGCAGTAGCATTTTCCCTCCGCTTCTTAAAAATCTCCATTGAAGTGGTGGCTGCCTGCCTTGCTCGGAGGGAGGTTGCTGGTTCCCGACCAGGTGTTTATCTCTCGTCTCCTCTCATCTCCCCTCCTGCACACTTCAGCGAGTTAATCTATTGCACACTTAAGTGAGGGGTAAAAAAGGAACTGCTGCCACAGCACTGTCATGTCTCACCCTGAAAATATGAAACGTTCATATGACTGTCATGTTTGCCTGTAACCTGTCCAATAGACCAGCATATAGGCCACATTACTGCGCTTTGAGTCTTTAAACAGCAATAGTAATTTCCTCCGAAAGCTTTGGTGTTAACATGAGTGTACTTTTCATGCACAAAAACCTTTGGACACTGTGTGAAAGGCTTGTTAAAAAAAAAAGATTTTTGATTTGAGATAGTACGAAAACAACATATCAAATTTGTATGAAACGTTTCTAAAAAGTCGGGACAGGCATGTTTACCATCACCTCTTCTTTGACACCTCTTTGAGACGAGTTTCTGGAGTTTTAAAAGTTAAATGTCTGATTCTTGTCTGGTGTTGGATTTCAGCTGCTATCGAGTTAAGGGATTCCTGTTGTCGTAGTATTAGTTTCATGATGTGTGACAAGCCAGGGCTGCAGACAGCCCAGTTTAGCAACAGGACCCTTCTACTACTAAGCCATGCTGTTGTGCGAAGTATCATAATGTGGATGGCGGCATATGTTGCTACAAAACCTGTACATGTTTGCCATCATTAACGGTGTCTTTCCAGGTGTGTAAGCTGCTTATGCTATGCTACGCACATCATCAGGGATGTTGCTTTTGAACTGTGTGCTAACCTTTTGTCTCTATAACTCAATATTCAGTGTCCATGGTGTCTAACTGTCGTATTGGACTCCTTAGAGCATGAGACAGTGTTTCTGAGTAATTTGAAGTCTGTGCAGTGATCACCACTACAGAGCTATGTCTGCTTTTAATGCTGAGCTGCTTCAGGGCCAGAAGAGGATGGTGAAATCTCATTTGTACTAAGATTTCTCCAGATGTTTTGAAAGTTTTTGTGATATTTTGCGTCTATGAGAACACGAGAACTACATTTAGGAAAGAGGTGAACCTCTACCTTTTACTTCTAAAAGACTCAGCCTCTCTGGAATGTCCCTTTATAATAAGCCATGTTCCTGACTTGTTGTAAATTAACTTTATTAGTCGGAAAATGTTCCACCAAGTGTTTTTTTTAATGTTTTGTTTTCCCACTTTCTAAATTTGAAACAAGCATCATTTTTGTCATGAAACAATAACAATATTCAGTTTTATTGTCTCCTGTGTCTCAGACACTGTTTTCAGTTAAATAAAGGGATCAGATCAAATCTGTTTTGGTCAAGATTTTACGCAGCATCCCATCTTTTATTTTTGATTTGGAATTTGGGTCGTATTACACCAGATTTCCTCCTGTTGGGTGAGTTTTAGGTATTTTTCTTCAAGCGTTGGGTCGTCTGTCAAATACAGTTACACCAGCGGCTAATCGGGGTCGCTGCAAAAATCTCAGTGGTCACTTTACGGTCAGCAAAAGTGAATGAAACGTGAGCAATAGCCGCTCTCTCTCTCTCTCCGCTTGTCTGTTTCACTTTATTTTCACCCCCTCTCCCTCTCCCCCTCCCCTCGCACATGTCACACTTTTTCCCCCAAAAGCCTTCGGCCTCATTCTTACATAAACAGAAAGAAGCTGCAGCATCTGTTATGAATGTAGTGGAGATTTTTTTGTGGCAACCAAACATTTACATTGGCAACCCCGAAGACAAAGCACATGTGTGGTCTTTGTTGGGGTTACTTCGGTTCATGGAGGCAGTTTGAGTGATGCCCCTCAACGGTGGTGCTCTAAATATTTTAATGGAGTTGCATGTTAATCCATCCCCTTTTTTTCTTTTGGAGGACACAAATAAATTCCAAAATTGAATCATGACAAGCTTGTAAAAAATGATTCAAGTGTTTTTCTGTTTCCCGCTGCCAAGAACTGGGAGCCAGTTGTTCAGTGGTGGAACAGGCTGTCATCAGCGGAGCAGGCAGCTTTCAGCTTACAAATATTTCCAAAAAGAGACTCTAAACTAGTGATAAAGCTCCAGAGATATCCTGTTCTAGGACAGTGTGAGTGGATGAAAGTATCTGCATGCTGTCAGAAAAGCAGGACTCTGTTGTTCGTGACATACCACTGTGTACTTTATAACTTCTGATCAAATAAAAAGTCTCTCTCCTTTTCTGTCACTGTGTGGAGAATTGCATTGTGGGAAATTCTGGTAGATTGCTTATACATTTATACCTGAGTCAAGGACTGTGCAGAAATATAGTTACAGCAAAGCACCTCAATGTCAAAAATGCCCTTATTTTCACCTCAAATTCCTGTAATTACAACCTTTGCTCCTGTATTAATTTATAGATATCTGCTAAAAACAAAGATAAAGAAGTCTTAGCCAGGAGTCCTTTAAAACCAAAAGCTCTCAAAAGTGAGCCAAGTCTGCTCCCGGAGGTTGTGCCAGCATCAGATTGGGATGATAACCTCTTGGTTTTGAGATTGACTCAGACGTGCTCTTTGGATCTGGATAAATGTTCTATAAACAACCGGTGTTGACCCGCTGTTATCAGTCCTAAAGATATCAAAGAGGCAGAAACAAATTAATTTATTAGATTTGTACGGTTTCTTTACTGATTTGATCTCCAGATTCAGGTCATTCTTAGTCCACGAGACCGCAAGAAAATGTGATTTGAAACAAGAAGCCCCTCAGCCACACTTTGAACTCTGACTTTGTCCTCATTGTACTTAAGATCCAACATCAAATAAATGAAAAAATCAAAGATGTTTGCGAAGAAATTCTTGTTTCTTAATGTCACATGCTTTTGATTTCTGTGTCCATGTCTCAGAGCTGCACTCATGGCTATTCAGGGCACCGCCTTTGCTCTTGTCTACACTCTGATGAAAACAAATGGAAATAGACTGAAGAGCTTTCAGGAGGAGATTTTTCATTCTCGTGGTGGAAATTGCTTTCACGTTGTGCATTAATTTCTGTTTGTCACATTTGTTTCACATCAGAACGTGGAAATGGAAGAAAAGTAAGCCTGTTTAAACCAAAATGAAAAACAAATTACATTAGAGATACAGACTGAAGGAGGCTTTGTCTGTACTTCCTGAGCAATTATGTTAAATTTGAAATGCTTTGGAGAGATTAATTACTGCGCACAGAAGTTGATGGGCACTTGCTGGATTCAGGAAAAAAAAGAGGCAGATTTGTTTGTGTCAACATCTAACTTTTGTCTGTTTGGTCCATAATACACTTGTGACTATTGGCCTACTTTTGTCATAAACCCCAGGGTTCCTTCTCTCAAACATTTGAGAAGCTGAAACTGTTAAAACCAAGAGGGTCTAAGGAAAGATTGAGAAGTTGAGTTGTTTGTGGTTGTTGTGCAGACAGGCAGCAAATCCAAGAGGAAAAACCCTGAACTTTTGATAATGATGACAGTATTGTTGGACCCTCATGGGTTTAAACGTAATCTACATTCAAGCTACATATAATAAATAATGAGCAGTGAGCACAATAGTTGAGCTGACCCAAAATATTCATTTAAAGGTGGTTTAATTGATTTAAAAATATTATTTATACAGTTAAAAAAAGATTACAAGTTAAAATAAAATATAAGTGTGCTTATTTGTTATCGTGACTAAACTGAAGATTAATGTTGGGGATGATTTTAGACAAGGTAAACAGGTCTGTAATTGATACACCTTTAACCAAGTGTACCGGGGGGTTGGGGGGACAATCATCCCCTTGGTGACCTCTGGCTTTGTTGTATTGACAAAATACAGTATAATACCATTCACACTGGTGCCTTTTCAGTGAAACCCTCAAAGGTGCCTTTACAGTGGATAAATGTAAAGACAGCACCAACTTAATGCCCCTGTAGTGGACAAAATGTTAACAAAGTTCCCTCTGGATCCTTTTAAAGTGAATAAAATGTAAGAGAAAAAAGCACCCTTTGAATGCCCTAGTAGTGAGTAATGTAAACAAAGTGCCCTCTGGATCCTTTTAAAGTGAATAAAATGTAAGAGAAAAAAGCACCCTTTGAATGCCCTAGTAGTGAGTAATGTAAACAAAGTGCCCTCTGACTGCCTTTTTAGAGGTAATTGTAAATAAATGGCTTCTGGAAGCCTTTCTAATAGACAAAATGGAAACAAGACTCACCAGATACACTTTTAGTGGATAAAATGTTAAAAAAAAACAAAACAAAAAAAACACCCTCTTGATTACTTTTATGTAAAATGTAAATTAAGTCCCCTCCTGGAGGCCTTATTGTGGACTTAACTTAAACAAGTGTCTAATTGTGGATAAAACCTAAATTAAGGATCCCCCTGAAGCTCATATTGTGGACAAAATTCAAATAAAGTGTCTTTTGAGTATCTTTGTTGTAGGTAAATGTAAAAAAAATACCCTCCCTTTGCCCTTGTAGTGGACAAAGTGTAGACAAAACACCTTTTTGGTGCATTTGTTGATGCTAAAATGAAAACATAGTGACCTCTGGATGCCCTGCTGTGCTTTTCTAACAGCTTAAGTGCTGCATTGCTTTTCAGCTACTAGCCTTTTTATACCAATTCCCCCGTACCCTTTCTCCTTGTTTTGTTTTCTTCAGAGATCAAATTGTTGGCTTGGCTGTAAGCAATTTACACAAAAGCATGCATGAACTTTTGAAGTGTGTCAGCGTAGATCTCCTTTAGGGGTGTGTCTCGGAGGCAGAGTGCTAATCACAAACATGACTATAAACTACGAGGAAGTCACGCAGAGTTGCTTGCAGTTCAGAGAAAATATACCAGTGACTGCAGTTGATGAAGAAGAAGAAAAGTCTGGATTAACTGTGTCTGAATGACGCAAAACAACAATAATCTTCATGCAGGAAAGGTTAATTAACAGCATTTTGTTTTTAAATGTTATTTTGACCTCTCTCTCTTTTCTTCTCTCTCCACAGTGCCTGGGAACTTAGGCTGCTTCAGAGACAGCGGTGACCCACCCACTCTGTCCGGCACCAGCGAGACCTCCAATAAACTCACCATACAGAACTGCATAAGCTTCTGCAGGAAACAGAGATACAAGGTAAGACTGGGAAGTGGAGAAGACAAACATATTAGATATCTATTCATAGTCAGATAAGAGTTGGCAGCCTCTGCGAGGAGCAAATATTAAAAACCTGAAGAGAAAGGATGACTCAAATTTAAGTACTGCCTCTATTATCTTGGCACTGACGCTGGAAAGTTTAAAGTTACCCTGAGTGGATGAAAAAGCACCCGGTCAATTGCCCGTGTCACGTCTAAAATGGACACGAGCTGTCTCCTGCAATAATCAGGCTTTTATGTAAATCATCTGCACTTATGGGCAGTTTCCTGACAGTTATTATCCTGATGCCCACTGCAGTCTATACCCTCTTTATTCAGCCATCAAAGTCCCTTTTTCAAACCAACCAGCAGATGACAAATCATCACAGCAATCAAGGCTGACAGCTGGAAATGAATGGTTATTAGCCCAATGGGCACCTCCTCCTCAATGCATTTTCCTCATCTCTGAGTCTGGCATGCTATTGTCCCGACTCTAAACAGTGCCAGGTGTTCACTTTCTGTCTCAGCAGATCCGCTTCATCTCTGTCTGAGCTGACAGATACTGACAGCCCCCCACCCTCCCCCTATTACTTCAGCAGATGTTACAGGAAGTGGTGGCAGATTGGCATCGTCTGCCTACCCTTGGACTGTCACCGCTCCTAATGTGCTTGTGGAGCGTCAGCGCTCCAAAGTTTGGATCCCAGATGACTTTATGACAAAGAGCATGCCTGATGAGTTAGACAGTGATCTGTCACTTGTTTGCTCCTCCAGAAGTATGCACGTTGGTGTTACTTCATCAGAAAGAATAATGCAACATGTACGTGGCTCACAAGACACGTGTTGGCGAGAGCAGAGGCTTGTTAAATTCCTATTCAATGAGAAGAGACGCAGAGTGGGAAATGATGCAGTACCTTCAGTTGTGTGAATTCATGTAAGGCCTGAAAATTGGACAATGGTGTCCTTTTTAAATGGCGGACAATAGCTCTTTTGAGAACAAGCAGCCAGTGATGGCGAGGTCACGATGTGTGAACGTTTTTGACGTTTCGCATTCTTGCTCCAACGCTCTCAGGAACACTTCACCAACAGTTTTGATTCAAAAGATTGATAGGTGCTCTTTGTGTTTGGCTTATTTGTTCACAATGTGCAGCTCAGTGTCCAATTAACTGAGAGGTTGTGGCTGCCCAAACCAAGAACACAGCCTCATGTCATCATTAGAGACAGAGCGGTTAATATATTTTAGACCAAGGTCAATTTGAGAAGGAGCCACATACAGTGAACTGTTTATTGGCTCAATCCCATCTCCACTCTAGAGCCAAAGCACTGAACCCTCACTGACTTGAATAATGGGAGCTTTTTTTGTGTATGAGTGTTTGAGGGCTGAAGATGGTGTAAAAGTGCAGACTGGGACACGTCATCATGACATCACCTGTAAATAAAATAAGCTCTAAAGTAATATGAAAATTTTAGTCCTCAGATGTCTATCTTTAAACATGCTGTGAAAAACCTCAGCAGTTACTCATGACATGTTGTCACCACAGACTGTCTCCCATGGGTGTTGACATAATGAGCTGGTGGAGCCGAGGCAAAGGCAGATGTGATTTGGCTAATGAAGCTGGACAACTGACGTCACAACACTTCTGCTAACCAAAACACACACCTAACTTTTTAACTAACTTCATAGATCCTTCAAGTTAGAGCAGTGTGAGTTATTTTTTAATGAGACTGGAGTTTTGAACTTTACAATACCAGGAGAAATCAGATGATAATAATACCACAGAACCAAAAAATGAACTCCTGGGCATTTTGAATGGTCAGTAGTATGGAGTGAAAGATTGACTGTGTTTGTATTAAATAAAAATGGCGTGAATAAAGAGGACTGGACACTGAAAGGGTACAGGTAATTGTGTCTCCACTGGAACTCAACTCAAATTCCCACTAGTGACACAAAATCTATTCAGACACTGAGGACTTAAGACTCAACTTGGCATCAAAGTGACTCAACTACAACAATGCCTTGTAATCAATAACATGTGAACAAAGTGCTTCTTGATACCCTCCTCGACGATAAATGTAAATGAGGTGCCCTCTGGGTGCCCTTATAGTGGAAATAAAAGAAAAACAAGTGTACCTTTGATTCCTTTATAGTAGATTTAATGGAAACACACTGCCGTAGGGATGCCTTTATCGTGGACTTGATGTAAATGAAGTGCCTCCTGGATGACTTTGAAGTAGAAAAAACACCCCCTGGATGCCCTTGAAGTAGACTCAATGTAAACAGGGTTATATTGCAGGGTTTTTGTATTGTCTGGGTTCCTTATGACAAATGAAAATGGCCCTCAATTCTGGGGCCTTGTTTAAACTGAGCTTTTATTTTTATTTGTTCTTATTTCAGTGTGTTGACGTTCTGTGCTTTATGACTATTTGTCAAAGCACTTTGTAAACCTCTGTTTTTTAAAGTGCTATAAAAAAAAGGTATTATTATTATAAAGACTTGCTTTTTTGATGCCTTAATCGTGAAAACATGTAATTTAAGTGCCTTCTTGATGCCCCTCATAGTGAAAACAAATGTTAACAGTGTTCTCCTTAGATGCACTTGTTGTGGATAAAATGTAATTGCAACTTTGATTTTTGTTATTCTAGCCTGCAAACAGTACTGGTGCCGAAAAAGTCATTGAACACAGACCAACATTTGACACACTGTTGACTGTACTCAAAGACTCAATAAGAAAGATTTTAAGTGTTTAGGTTTTCAAGAGTTATCCTGTCAATCAGATGTGTCTTAGGTTGTTATGGTTACAGGAAGTGTTGAAACACAAAGTGAGTCCTTGCAAATGCAGCTTAGCTCATCTTTTTCCATCCGATGCAAAAATAATCTACAGAAATGTCACAAAGGTACTTAGAGAAGATGTAATTGGCTGCAAACTGCTAGTTGACAGGGTCACCATTCACACCAAAACACCGACTCCAAAACACTCACTAATGTTTTTCAGTAAACCTACAACATACAGCATAATGACCTGTGGGTTATCTCCAAGGTCATAAAGTTCACCCTAAACTCTGGGCAAGTCTCACAAGAAGTGAGTAATTTGGCATTTTAAAGTTTGTATTACAGCCCCATCAGAGATGATTTGACTGTATGTCATCCACTAACACCATTAACCATAACATGCTGCAAAGTCTGTAAACCTGTGAGAGCTGAGTTCAGTCTAAGTTGATAGATGATACACAAACAAATGTTATCTGTTAGATTGTTTTAAACTTTTGAAAACTTATTTTACTGCCATGAAAAGCTGAAACATTAAAAAAAGGGAGACATTTGGATATTTTTTAGTAGATGACAGGACAGCCAAAGTTTTCTGCTGCTGTGTTGATCCCCTCTGTGTTTGTCTCTCCAGCTCTCGGACAAAATGGATTTATGGTGAAAAGCATTATGGGAGGCGTTACTCAAAGTTTGTTTTGCATTGCTGATGCAATGATTTGCATAAACCTTTTGGTGTTTTTCCAGCTTGCCGGTATGGAGTCGGGATACGCTTGTTTCTGTGGCAACGAGGTGGACCTGCGTGACCACGGCGAGTCACCCAGCATGGAGTGTAACCATGTTTGCTTCGGTGACCACACCCAGCCCTGCGGTGGAGACGGCTGGGTCATCATCTTTGACAGTAAGTGTGTTAACAGACGGCGCTTTTGGTGTGGTCCTGTGATCTCTAACTTTCATTTCAATATTTGCTGAGCAATATAAGATAATCCACTCTGACAAACACATGTGTGTCCTTGATAATAGCTCTTTGTGCACCGAGCCTACACTGTATGATAACCTAAGGTAGGAGCAGGGCTGCTAATCCTTTCATCGTGTTAACACCATTAATCAAACATGTTTTGTTGGATCAGGCTCCTGCTCAGCACCAGAGGGCACAGCAATACATTTTCTAACCATCAGCACCCCCCACACTGATACACATAAACACATCATACTATAGTTAGCTTTCGTGGAAATGTGGTCTCAAAGCAGCACTTTAAAAACTGATCAACTTCTGTTTCTCAAAGACTTTGATGCTCTGTCTTTTAGCGAGAGTCGGGGCCTGCGGTGGGAACTACTCCTCTCCATCAGAAGTCATCTACTCCCCCGATTTCCCCGACAAGTATGGTGCTGGTCGTGTCTGCTACTGGACCATCCAGGTCCCTGGATCCTCTGCCATCCTTTTTAACTTTACCTTCTTTGACATCTCGGACCAGACGGACATGGTGGAGCTGCTAGATGGTTACACCAACCAGGTGTTGGCACGCTTTGACTGGCGCAGTCCACCAAGAGAGCTAGTGAACATCACAGGAGACTTTGTTATCCTTTACTTCTACTCGGACCGCACCAACCAGGCTCAGGGATTCGCTTTGCTGTACCAAGGTAGGGTGTCGCTCGCTAGACAAAACTGTGTGTCACTTTAAATGTTTGAGATCGAGCACTCACACTGGGCACTGGACTGTTTTGGTCTTTTGAAGCCAGATATGATGATGTTTGGACAAAAGGAAGGAGCTAAAGAAGGAAGAGGGAGTGAAATCAGAGTCTGTGCTTAGCAGTCAAACCACTGGCAGTCAAATTAGCAAGTTGAAACTGTGTAATACCGATACCTACTGATCAATACTCACAAACACAAGACATTGCTTGATTTGCATTTTCTAAAATAGCTGAAAGTAGATCTCTGAGATAGATTTTCAGTACAATAACCTGCAGAATAAGCCAACATGTTTGCCTGATATTTACATTAAAAAAATCTGCAACAGGCACCAAAAATACATGGAGTGGCATTTGCAGTGTTCTGTTGAAGTTCAGGTTTATTTATAGTTGAATTTGGTGACATTAACAAAATCCACTCTTGCACAGTTGTCACGTCAAAAGACATGAAACTCTTTACGATCATGCTATAGAGTTGAGGATATCATATCAGGCTAAATGGGGATCAACTCGCCTTTGGGGCCAGCCTCAAGTGGCTACTCCAGGAACTCTGTTGCTCTTCCATGTTGGCTTCATTTTCAGGCCCGGAGGTTGTTTCTCACCTCAAGCCAGATTTGCATGATCAGGTGCGTGCCAACCTGCTGGCTCCATGCTGGGGTTTTGCATAGCAGCCCCGGTTGCTGGCTCCGGCGCAGCAGTTGTCACACCACTGGCAGGCCCTTTTCGCTTCTCACTTGCTAGTCGACGTCTCACAGCCCCAGGGTGATCCTGCGCATTTAAATAATGTTTTGTTTTTCGAGGAACTCGCTCCCTTATCAAACTGCAGCAGACTGCTCTGCTCCACCAGAGTGTTGCTCAGGGAATTGCACAGCCAGTCTTATGCTACCTACATATAAAATACTGTGATATGATGCTTTTCACCCTCTGATAGCATGAATTCACAACCCAACTAATCCAAGACCTCGTAGCAAATTATTTCCCACGCCAGACTAATGTGAGAAATGTGATAAGATTAAAGTAGAGCGAGAAAAGCTGTCCTCTGCTGCTTCGCCATTTCTCTCTCTTAGAGTATAAGAATGATTTAATAGATTAATTTCTAGAGGTGTGAGAGAAGCATGTGCTGATATAATTCAGTGTAGGTGACATTCAAGCTCACAGCCCGTTATGCTGCGAGGTGTCCCACTCCTCCCTTTCTCCTCCATTTGTTATATTTCTCGCCCGCTGGCGTTACAGTAAAAACAATATTCAAAGGTCAGAATTCTCTTAACCTTCGGATAGACACGATCCTTGCTGCACTGCATCTTGGTTCTCGTTTTTGAGTGAGGCGTCATGTAGCCAAGAAATGGAATCTGAGAAGTAATTTAAGAAAAGGTCAACCCCTGAATGAATACATTTTTTTACAGACGGATAGGAGGAAAATAAAAAGTCGTCCAAATTCAGAGCGAAAAAGACTGAAACTGAGAGAAGTAGACGACACTCAGACTGAGTATCCTCACAGAATATCTCTCCCATGGCACACTGAGTGGTCGAAACGGTAATTTCAGGATAAACGCTCTCAGATGACAGAGACGGCAGAGCTGAGCCTGGGTTTGAAGTGTGGTATTTTGTTTGCAAATGGGGAACATGTGGGGAGTTGTGGGAACATCACAGTCAGGTTGAGTAATTTTATAAAAAGAGAGAGAAAAAAGAAAAAGATCCCACACTGCTTCAGGATTCAACCACCATTCATGGAAGAGTGGAAGAGGCCTGGATCAAATAGTGTTTGGGAGTCGTTCTGGGTGTTTGACTCAACAAACCAGGGCCAAAAAGTGGGTGGAGTTTAACCCCTGGATCTGAGTGCAGCTCAGCAATAGGAGCATGTAAGTCCTCTAAAGCAAAGCCAAAGTTTGTATAGAGCAGCTGTATGATTGAAGCTACAACAAGGCTGTCAAATAAGTATGTTTCTAAATGCTGGGTTTCAACAGTTCATCACAATTGAACTGTTTCTAAAGATCTGTACTGCTTTCAAAAGGTTCACTCGCTGAGGTCCAGAAAATTCCTGGTTAATGCATCAGCATTCACACTTTTCAGGAGATCCAGGTCTCTCTGTTTCATACAGGTCCTGATGCATGCATCTGTTGGTCCCTGAGACTGTAAAACACATCAGTGGTGTTAAATTGCCAACCTGGGCACACGTTTTTTTACAGTGTTGACTGGTCTGCAGTCAGTTCCCACTCATTTAGCCGAAAAACGCCGCAGTGGCTCAAGTATCATGTATAAAACGACGTCTAAGTATATGTGATTAAAAAAGACTAACATGTTAATTTTGGAGTATAATCTCAGTGTGATTCAGTGTTACAGATAAAAGCTCTACTTTTCCCAAAACACATGGACGTCACTGTTGAGTACAAAAGTCCAGCTTTAGTTTGGAAGAGTGCTGCTGGAGTTGATCCTGTTGGTTTTCTTTGTGAAAGGTGATGATTGAACTCAGTCAAGGCTGACTTAAACCAGCCTTTTTTTTTGACTCAATTGAATAAAATCTGCAATATTTAGTCTTTTCATATGCAAATTGAAAACTCAGTGACTCGTACATGAGCCCTTTTTACATTGCCAGTTCACAACGGCGCTGTGGCCTGATAACTGATGTCCCATTGTGCTATGACCCTGGAAGCATTCAGCGGGAGCTTTGCAAATACATGCTCATAATTATAATCATACTTGTAATGGATAAAACACGCTAACTGAAAGAAACTTGAGCACCTCCGTTCTTTTTAAAAATGTGAAAATGTGGGCACAAAGGTCTAAGATATATTTCTGAGCAGTTTCTCTTAAACAAATTTGAAAATTGAGATGTAAGAACAACAGCGAAAAAGTCATGTGTGTGAGGCACTCCATGCCGTATTTTTCAGAAGATGAAGAAAACAAAGCAAAATGGTACTGTGTCTTTAAATAAATCACACCTTTGTTTTGAAGCGGTAAATGAAAGGCAGAGAAGATCTAATTTAGGATATTGCTTTCCCCTGGAAACACATAAATGAGTTGAAACAGAGCACGCTCTTTGGCTCTGTAGTTTTATGAAGCAAACTGGGCCCATCTGGTTCTGAGGGGCTTAAAACAAACAGAATTTATTGCAAACACTTTTTGAATCATGGCTGAAGAAAAGAAAAAAGCTCTCAACACCACATGTTTACAGCACGCTTGAGTGTTTTTACAAAGTAGTTCTGCCTCTTTAAAAAAACGCTGCGAGTATTAAATATTGGCTCGTGACTGTGTGTATACTTTCAACAGCACGATCAACATGATGTATCCTATTACTGCATGCTCACCGCCACAGCCTAGCTTACCCAGGGGGATCATTAAAGGGGCGTTAAGTGATGTGTGTACTCAACTAGTCGAGATTACAACAACATGGCTGACCTTTTGCTCTGGCTCAGAGGACGGACAAATCACCACTACTCGCCCTCGATGCCGAAAGCTTGTTAGGTATAGATTTAGTCACATTTTAACAAGATGAGAAGTCACAGAGTAGAGAGTGTAACTTTATTCCTGTGAGGACTTCTTACCCATATCAGCTTTATATTTCTCTTTATCATGCAGATCACCTGAAGTCCCTTTTAGATGATCATTTTATCTTGTGCACAGAACTTCTTATATGTGCACATAAGATGAGATTTGAGGGACATTTTAGGTCACGAATCTCAGCAGGTGATTTTTTGTTTCATATCTAATCGTAAAATTAAATGTCATGATCCTACAAGCGCAGTAATAATAATGACTTGACAACAGCAATGGGGAAAACACAAAGAGATGAAACAACATCCATCCGTCTAAATTACATCTTATTCTTATTTTCAGCTCTCAGAAGCCAAGACACCCGAGTGATTGAGGATGAGGGGAACGAGGAGGATGAAACAGATGACGTTTCGAGCACAGCGGGGCCTCAGCTAGCAGGTAGTGTCACCGAGAGATCCAACAGCACCTCCAACGGACACTCCTCTCAGATTCTCTACGTGATCACGTCCAGCCCCGGTAAACCAGGGCCCAACATGCCAGGTCAGTGGGCTGGACGCGGCGAGACCACCGGCCACAGCGCTAGTATGTTAACACCCATGATACTCTGCACCCACTGTACCTCTCTCCACCTCTGAAGGGATGTCGTAGCAGGTTTCTTGGCTTACAGCTCCCTCTGAGCATGACCTGATTTTTGTAGAAGTAAAAAACCAAAAAAAAATCATCTTAGTTTGATGAGAGGCTTCAGCCCAGAGTGACTTCCTGTGATCATCCACATGCTCCCAGACGCTTGTTATTTTTCCTGTCAGTGACTCAGAAAACTGAAGTTCCTTCGGGTTTCCCTGCTGATCACAATCAGGCCTCTTGTCAGAGCTACGCAGGTGGACTGACGTGTTCCTTTCTCACTTTTATAGAAATGTTATTCCCCCCAAACTCTGAGCGCTCTGTCTCTAAAGGCTTTCAGATGTGTTTCTCAACCTAAAACGAACAGATGTGCAGTGATAAAGCACTGCCATTTCTCGTCAGTATTCTGGCTGAACACTGTAACAGGTGTGCTAGCAGTGCTTGAGTAATTCTTCGCTTGCTGATCGTCTCGATGTGTTTCTGTATGACTTCATTAGCCTGGTTTTATATCTTGATTTCTTTATTGTTTCCTTGTTATAGTGTGGACCATTTACGCTCTGGCTGCTCTCCTCATCCTGACAGTTATAGCCATGGTGGCAAAGCTGCTGCTGCATATCACAGTCAAGTAAGTAGGAGGATGTTGGAGGCGTGAGTGACCACCGCGTATCACATTTTAAAGCATTTAATCACAGTTTTTTACCTATAATGGTAATAAGTTTGTTTATTTTGTAATTTGATGCTCAATCGTCACAACCTTTGTTTACCAAACAGCAAAATATTCAAGCTGAATAGAGTCAAATCCACCAATAACCCTCAATATAATTTTCGCTCTCAGGTCCCCAAACATCCCGACGGTGAGCGGTTCGGACAGTTGCAGCCAAAGCACGGCGTCCTCCGAGCCTTGGATCATCCTTTACCGGCCCTCCACCATCTCCCTCTTCAAAAAGAAACTAAAGAACCACCACGGAGACCTCAGCCCCCTGGTGGGTAACTAGCGCCATTTGTGCGCCCGCTGATAACCAAAAGCTACCGCCACCCACAACTACTCTGCACAAGGGCCGTCAGAAGCCTGGCCCTCAGACAATGAAACTCAATGAGGCACTGTGCTAACAAGCCAACAACTGAGCGGCTAATGACAACTGACTGAGTGACTGCTACTAAATGGCCCGTTGGCCAAAGTGGCTGCACCCTCCCATCCTACTCTGCAACAAAGAGGAGGGAGGGCAGGCAGGGCTGTCAGAGGACTTAATGTGGGACAGGACAGCAAAGGAGTAGATGGAGGAGGATCTGCAGCTCTGATTCAAAGACGCTTTTAACATGCGGGAAGCTTTGCTGCTCCATCGAGGCTCGGTTTCCATCACCCACAGATGTCCCTAACACTCAACATACCTCCAGAAAAAAACCTTCCAGACTGCAGGCTCACCAGAGAAAACACATCATAACTGGATTCAGATAATTCACCGTCTGTTTTTAAGTGTGAGACCCTTGGATTTGCCACTTTTGGGTGTTTCACAGTCACTGGTAATCTTCATCAGTATCAAGGGAGACGATCAAGAAATGGAGTCTTTGATACACTCGCTCATAGTAACAGTTTTGTATAACTCTTCTTCAATCTGCCTCATGTGGACTATGAACTCTCACAGCCAAAAACCAGGACCCTCCCATCCAAAGAGTCATGTATTTATTTGTCTTTTTGATTCCATATGCAAAATCTCCTTGTGTCGTGTTTCATGTGAAAAAGGGGGCAAAAGGACACAGAAACGTCACATGATGGTAGATTTGACAGCACTTTGGGGATAAATCACTCACCGTAATGTTGAAAAAGAAAAAAACAGATAAAAGAGAGTGCACTCACCCACTTGTTCACTCAGCCTCATGTGGATTTGAATGGAGAGGAGAAGTAGCATCACATACACTCGGGGGGTTGGGTGGCGCAGTTTGCAGACAAACTGCCATTTAGGGAGGCTTGGGAAGATCTGAGGGCTTTTTCTGCTCGGTTGTGGGTGGGAGTCTTTCCGGTTTGATGGTGTTCAAGTGCCTTAAGGATCTCCTCTTTGCTTGTCTCAGATTCCTCACATCTGTTTCTCCGACAAAGCGAGCTGGGGTCCCTCACAGGAGTCTTTAGGATCAGAGTTATAGTCCAGATAACCAGATTTCCACCACTGAGATGTAAAGGAAAAACGATGCCACAGTTTGTACAGTGATGGGAAGTGTTTATTTTTAGTTTTTTTAGACATGGTACACTCAACTGAACACCTCTCCAGTCTGGATCTTTATGTTTTTGTTACAGGGTGAACTTTCAACGATTCATTTTTGCTCCAAAATGAACACAGAGCATTTTTTTTTCAGAGTAGAGCTCTCCATGTTGTAAACACAGCTTTAAAAGAAATGTTTGTTTTTTTATTTTCTTTGTGTGCTCTTATGTGTAGTCTTGGACATTTACTGAACATATTGTTCACATTAAGTTGTCTTTTGATTACAAGGGAGGGGTGAATATTATTGTATATTATGTAATTCAATGTGGGAACAATGATATTTATGTCCTCTCTTTCATTTTGTGTCTCGGCATAGCATATGAAACATCCGTCAAAGTGCTTTCGTCAACTTGGCCCAAACGTGGGATACAGTTTTTCCCTTCCTAAGACGGCAATAAATCTCAGAAATTCAATGAGACGCTGCAGACCTGGAAGCTTTAACATGTCACCTTGATTTCAGGCCAAAAGGTTGAACGCCCACAATAAACCCGGACAGATTTATAAACGAGAGTCAGCGGTGCTATACTCAACCTGACAGCAGGTTTGCAGCTGTGATGGTTTTTCTGTGCATAGCTATGGCATTTAAACGACTTATGAAAGGTCAGACTCTCCTGGTCCACCATTGGCATAGCAATTGGCTTTTCCCTGTTGTGGGGCTGGATGTCAGTGAGGGTCCTACATCACGAAATTTGCCGTAATCATTAGTGCACTTAAATATAATTTCAAAACAAAACAGTACTTAATCATTTTAGCATTTATTGTTAGTGGACAGAAAAAAAAGGTCAAATGCTTTTTCAGCAGCAACCTGAGCACTTCAAAGCAACATCTCCCAACTAACTGGGTTAATATGCAACAAGTTAGCAACATTACTGGGTGTAAAGTGGGCATATCTTGAGTCTGAGTCCCTCAGAAGTAAAGGTGGAAAAGGTTCACAGCTTAGAGACTGAGAGCAGATTGAGTGAAACTGCAAAGATTTTAAGGATTTCATCAACAGCACATAAAATCATTTGTTTTTTGAGTGTTCCCTGTGCAAAAGTGACAAGAGTGATAACTCATACTGGAAGGCAGTGATCTTAAAACCCTTTCACGGACTCTGACTCTGACTCTGTCGTGGAACTCACCACATGGGCCCAAAACACTTTGTCCATGAACACAGTTAGTTGCCGATTCCACAAATTTGTGTTAAAACTGTGCCATGCAAAGAGGAGACCATGTGTAAGCATGGTCTAGAAATGTCAGTAACTTCTCGGGACCCCAAACCCATTTAAGGTGTACTGAAGAGGAAAACTTTGGAAGCCGTGCATACTGTGTCCTCCACTCTAAATAGGGCAGATTATATGCAGGTTTTGGGGCAACATAATCCAGCATCCAGACAAGAGAAGACCCTATATAAGACAGCAAGAAGTTGCCAAATCGCATATTACAACAGCATGGCTCTGTAGTGGAAGAGTCCTGGTGCTAAACTTGCCTGCATGCAGTCCCCAGATTTTCAGTTTCAATAATGGATATGTGTCTTTGCTCTTTTCAATTAAATATTGGATTTAAATGATTTGCAAATGCCCAAAATCTGTTTTTCTGAACATTTAACACAACATTCCGACACTTTGCTCTTAGTTTGCATCTTTTTAACAGTTTGTCCCAAAAAGTGAAACTTTGTTCCCGAATAAAGTTTATAATAGTGTGACTTTGTGCCATTGCCGCCCGCCTGCTCAACTGTAACTTATGTTAATTATTGCAAGACAAGAGCACATGCCCCTCGGTCTGTGATGTTCAGAGCAGGCCATGCGTACAGCGGGAGGGAGAGAGAAGGGGAGGGGAGAAACGAGTGCCTGGATGTGAGAGCGATAGCAAATTAACGTGCGACCAATTCAAACACAAGCTAACGAAATCTGACAGTTTAAATCTAACAAGGGCATTTTTGTTTGGATAGCCCAGTGAATTATGCAAACTCACATTTTCTGTCCCGTCCCGCAGTCTATCGGAAAACTCTACACTGTCTCCTAAGCTGTGGAAACAGTCCCTCACCCCAAACTGGAGTTGATGTAGTGCTCAATGGCGTGAACACAACACAAGAAACCCTGTGGGAAATGATCTGGAGGGGTCAAAACATTGTTTTTTTCATGAAATTGTAAATATCAAAATAGTGAAATGTTTAATTTATACAGTAAATTATTGTTATTTTGTATGTGAATGGGATATAATCTATCTTTTGTATAAGTGAAGTATCTTTGTAGTTTTATTTAATGTGTCCTGGTTGCAAAATAAACACTGTATGCATGTTTCTTAAGCTGGTGTTGTGCTTGTGTTTTATTCCTCCCGCTCAATAGAAATCCATTTATTCCCCAATCGCACACAATTTTACGTACCCAAGTGGCTGAGAAGCATATGGGCCATAAAACCTCAAAACCCAGATCAAGCTAATCCCGTATAGTTTTCCATCTGAAACCAGTCCATGTGAATAAAAAAAGAAGTGGATTCAGGCTTTGGTGTGTGCTTGGTGGGACATCTGCACCCCTTTTTTGTGCTGCAGAGTTAAATACTTATCAGATATGTGAAATGACTCCCAGACTGTTTGGAGATGCACACACACGGAGTGAGGATTTGGAGTGCCATGTGTAACCTATTGGTTCCCCTCTGGGATGAGGTCAAGCATGCAACCTGCACATTTTAGAGGGAAACAGCAGGAGTTGGGCTTTACAACTGGAACACCATGAGGGAAAAAAACAAACAGGGAAGGACGTGTAATAAGCTGGAACACTCCGATGTGTGCAGTGATGATTTCTTAATTCATGAAAGGTGTTTCTTTCATCTTGTGCTCACTCCAGAGCGGTTTATTGACAGTTTTTTTTTTCTTTTTGAGAAACTGCAGCGGCATGTGCTCGGTATTTGTTGGCAAGACAGATGGATCTCCATGGAGAGGCAAAACAATCCTCTAAAATGTTTGCAAGAGCTTCATAAACAGACTCTGACAGATGTGCATATGCATTAATGAGGTTTACTGGCACCACTTTTACAATAAGACTGACCCTATAAAGGATGCATAAATGTTTTACCATTAGGTTGTAGACACTTAAAATGTCACTATAAACTATTACAAACATGTTGCAGGACAGTTTCCATTCATCGGTGGAGGCTGAGTCTGAGCTAAATAATCTCAACATGCATGATGTAGGGCACCAGACCCAGATTTATCATATGTTTTAAATGCAGATATTCCTCACAAGTGACAATAAAAAATCATAACAGTTACAGAAATGTTCATGAATGATAATAAGCAGATAGTGTAAAGCTCCTGTCAAGATTTTTTTGAGTTAAATGAAATCAATTGAAATCCAGATTGCCGTATTTTTATGATGAACAAAGGCAAACAAGACCATCAGCAACAAGACTGACAATTATTTAAATGTAATTTTTAATGCCTGGAACCAATCTGGGAGGGTAGGTGTCAGCTTTTTGCACAAAATATTTACAATAAATGATAAAATTGACTGTCACACATCAGCATAGTGTGATTTATTGGTCAAAGGACACAATTTAAGCACGTGAAGGACAAGATGAGCACAGACTCTGTCTACAGGGGGCGCCAAACTGAAATTTCCAGGTGCTTTAATACCTGTAGTGGATTTTTTAAAAACTTTGCTACAGGTTGTTATGAAACCTTTAAAGCACTTATGGGATGATTATAAAGCCTTAAAATTCATCTAAATTTTTAATCCACTGATGAAAAATTTGTGGTAGGTTTATTAGAGTGATACTGAAACCTTTTACAATTTGGATTACATTTAATACTAGGATGAATTTATGTGATTTGTGATTCATTTATTTAGCACAAGTTAAGAGAAACATTTCAAGGTAAGAGGGAGGGAATGAAGCCTGGAGTGCTTGTACGAAGTTCCACTTCCATCATCTAAGAATTACATAAAACTCAAGATATACAATAAGAAGTACAACATAGAAAATTCAAGATAAACAATAAAATGTACAGTGCAACATAGAAAAACTGTAAAACATAAACAACAAATAATTGTTAGCTTTCCAAGAAGTAAGACAGGATATGCTCAAAGTTTCAGCTGTCACTTTGTACTTTCCATATTTTGCAGCTGATACTAATAGTGAAGATTTCTAAAATGAAAATCTAATAATAAAAAGTTTTATTTAATAAAAATATATCTTCAGCTACTGAAGGATATTATCGCAAATATTTCCTGTAAATATAGAAGTATAACAACCGCATTAACTGTGTCATGACTTTTACTAATAATGAATCAGGAGCATTAGCATATGGAAGCTAAAACTACATCCTACTTCATAATTCACTCAATGTTATCTTAAATCTGTCCAATTTTCCAACATATTCTGTAGCTGTCCAAAAGTGAGAGTGATATTTTGTTTTTCTACAATAATATCAGTGTCATTTCACAGGTTGATACCTGTCAGGTTTTTCTGTGCTCTCTGAAGACTCTTTGGATTACAGGGATGAAATTTGTCTGCCAGTCTTGGGTGCTGCTGGGAGGAAGAGACAGAATCAAAAACAAATCAGAATCACCTCAGCGGGCTTGGTTCTACTGGCATTTACAGCAAGTCTACCACTGAGAAACTGGATGCTGTGAAAAGTAATATAACTCAGTCAAGTTGTGAACATCACCTTTGTATCAAGGAACACGCTCATGTCAGATACATCAATTTGTAAACTTAAGTGCCATCCTCATTGTGAACAGCTCTGCTACACTGAGTCAGATATTATCCATACTAAAGGAGGGATCCCAGCGATCCAAATCTTTGTATTTTAATGCAGAACCTTATCTCTTTTCTTAATTCTTCACTTTAACTTCTGAATTTAGGCATAAAAACTTTTGAGTCCTTAAAGCTGTTCTGAAAAGTTTTTGCCTGCCTATAAAACAGACTAAAATCAACAGCAATGTCTCTTAATGACCTACAAATGTTCTGGCCAAAATCAGAAAAAATAAAAAGGGTATAAACTTGTCCATAGAGGGCGCCATAACTGACAAAAACCAAAGATGTACAAATAAATATTGTCACCCTCTTAAAATAATGGTGTAAGTCAATGATCAAGTTTTTCAGGAATTTTTCTGAATACTCTCAGAAATTGGCCTAACCATAGGTGATTATACTACAAGGATAATATCACATGATTTGTTCAACTGAGGATTTAGGCAATTCTACTAGATCATTATTTTACAAAGGTGACAATATAATGTCTGTATGATACATAAATATAGGTAGTTTAAGTAGATATATTCAGAAATAAAAGGTAAATAACTGCAGTTCCTTAAGTGTCCACTTGAGGCTGGCTCCAGGAGAATGATTTTTTAGCTTAAATAAATGTGTACAACCTGGTAAACACACACACAAAAAAAGATTTTGGTCAGAGCAGTCTGTTTCTCTACCTACACAAACTCTATGAGGGGGTTATTATTATTATTATTCTTTATATAACTCACTAGTTTCAAAGACATAAAGAAGCAATATAGCCTTGACTGACAGTAATTACAGCATGTTGTCTGCTGCCCATTGGCTTCAAAACTCCTCCTCAGAAACCAGTGGGTGACGTCACTAATGCTACATCATTGTGATTATACTTCATGTCCCCCCCTTGGGAAAGAGTGCTGGGATTTAACCACCCCAGTCAAAAGGTCTGGTTCCGCCTCGTATGCTGAGATTAGCTGGTCAGTTCTGCAGCCTTATATTCAGAAGAATAAAGTTTATCTCAGGGAAAAAACCTCAAACCTGAGCCCATGAATTATTCAGGGAGGGAATGTTCTTTGGTTTTTGAACAAACTCTCCAGTGAGTCTGAAACTTTCAAAAACAAACCTTAACATCCCTCTGCAACAGATTTTTGTTTTCATTTTTTATCCTTGTTATAGAGAAAAAGAAGACAAAGACATTTTTACTTCAAACTTAATAAGCTTCAATTAAAAACATCAAAATTCACCATGTTTGCCAGAGTCTGCCATAACTTGATAAAAAGCTGCTGCATTGAGATGTGGTGAATGAATTTCAGTCTATTTCATTAACATTAATAAACTCTGAGCTTTATGCATGAAGGGATTAAATACTGTTTATTTCAGTAAAATTTTTACCTCACAGAACAGGAGATGAGTAAACACTCAAATGCTTAGATGAGCCAGATTAAAAAGTTTGTCTTGTATGAGATACAAAAATACTCAAAAAGAGGATCCCGTAAACACTGCGTTGTAAATGGTCCTCTTACTCCCTCTACTGGTGTCGTGATGTTCAGGCACAGTACCCAATGACAATGCTTGGTGCCTCTTTGTGCTCCTTTTGCATAAGACAATTACATATAAGGGGCTGGAAATGCTTAATTTAGTTAAAAGTTGTAATGTTTTTAGAATGAGGTTTCATGTGGCCTTCTTCAAAGCCTCACAGGCTGATATCAAATCTTCGTGGCCTTACTCACACCCTCTCATCGACCCCTAAATGTTTTCCTCTCTATAGCAATTGTGCAGCTGTAACATTAATCTGTAACTACACGCAGAGCCTTATTGCTGCACCCCTGGGTCCCTGTGAGAAAGCCTTGGCCTGCAGATTCTCCTCTGGTCAAACTTCCCATAGCCGAGAAAAAGAAAGCGATGTAAGCTGACGCCTCTGAACCCGAGTCGACCAGTAATCGAGGCAACAAAGGGACAATAGGTGGCAGTGTCTGGTTACTGTCAGAATGAGAAAGTGAGAAGAAAGGAAGACAATACCTGCCACTTTGTGCACTCAGGGTACCGAAGTCAGGAGGATTAAGAGACAGGAACAGTTTGGGAAAAAAGAGACTGGTTTCCCCTGATGGATCTGAAACAGATTTGTGTGAACGAGGTTTACAGGCTGTGCAGAAACTTGTCTGGTTTGATCCACCTCACTGTGTGATATTGCCTGTGACCCCGGTGCAATTAAAACACTCTCATGCCCTTCAGTGTTTTCTGACTGCATGCAATGGCCTGTTTAATGCTGCAGATTTTCTTTGTATTATTTTAGCTTTGTGCTGCTGAAAAATGTTTATACACACTTTTCCTTTTCCATCTTTGCCAGCAAGAGTGATGAATGAAGTGCTGAAAACAATCAAGAGCCATTTAGACGATTATTATATCATTACAGCAAACAAATATGCGGAAATGTCCAGTGAGCCCAATGTGAGGATTCGCAGCTTTTTACAGTTAAGGCTGCAGCTCGGGTCATTTACAGTACAGTTTCTTACCTCAAAGTATGTCCCTAAACCCTGTGCTCCCTTAAAAATGTTCAGTATGTTTTTGGAGTATGGAGATGCTTGGGAAAACAATGTTTTTTTATTTGGTAGATGTATTAATCAATTGGGAAAAAAGGGTAATTATCACGAGGATACTTATCATTTTGGCCTTACAGTTTTTTAATGTTTTATTGCAACATCAAATGTTATCTTGTTTGCTTTGAAAACTACACAGTGTACACAGTGTTAGTCCCCATTTTTCTGTATATTTTAATTGTCACTGATACTTAATATCCTAAAAGTCTTAAATAAAAGTAGTGGCAACTTAAAATATACATTTTGCCAATAAATATAGCCTTTTTTCTTTAATTTGTTTTGTTGAGCACCAGGAGCAGAGGCAGTATCAGATAAAAAACAGGAGTAATAAGCTGTGAAACAGCTCTATTAGGCTCTCAAGTTTTGAACTAAGCTTAGAGTGAGATTTCCTGGGGGGGGGGGGGGGGTTTGGTTGGGGGGGTGATTGGAAATAATTATAAGTATAATTACCTCTTAAATACAACGGAGTATAAGGGGCACAGTTAGAAAAAAAAAAACAGAATAAAGTCATTAATATCAGTATTAAGTCGTAAAGTTACCTGTTGTGAAGGAGAGTTGTTAAAATCAGCACTGTGGAGCATTTAGATGAATTGTACTTTAGTATAGGTTTCACAAACATGGAGATACTTAATCCTTTGGTACATGAGCATTACACTGTCATGAGTATCAGAACTTATATTTGAGATATATGAGAAATGCTGCTTTTGTGGAGGGGAAAATGGCTGGAAATGGCTGTACAGAGGCTAAATTCATCAATGCAGCTGTTAATAGCAATAGCATAGGGCTTTAGTTTATCATATGAGTTTATATGCCATGAGGTGTTGAGGTCTCTGCATGTGTAGGTTACTGACTTACTGTAATCATCGGGTCTATCTCGTCCTTATAAAAACCTGCTCTATTACGGTGAGTGTCTGTCCTCTTCTGTAGTCAAACCGTAAGATATCAAAATCTACCCGGATACAGCAATGCTGCTTTTTAATTGGCTGTTCAGTAGATATACTTTATTTGATTGTCTTGCGCGTGGCACGCAGCTTCTGAACTCTTGGAGGAACTCAGTTGATTCCTACCTGTTCCATAGTTAAAGAGGTGCAACTTGGTGGACATCACCATGTTCATTTAAATGCGTGAGAAACAGACATGTTTTGAAAATAATAGATATGGCGACCGAAACATTTGAGTCTCGAATAGCACATAGCCATAGTAAACGCCATTACATTCGGGTACACTCGTGTGGCTAACACCAGAGCTAATCCACTGCTCTGCTTTGATGTTGACTAAAACCACAGGAAATTACACAATTTTAACCCGGAAATGCCATAAAATCTCAACTTTTTACCTGATTAATGCAGTCAAAGTTATTTTTAACATGTTTTTTTTATCCTACCTTGAGGTATATTTGAGATTAATGTTTGACAGAAATGTAGAGTTCTTCAACACAAAGGCGTACTGCATTTATTTGAGGATAAAACTGGTCTTGTTTCCTAAATTAACAAGAATTATATCTCCCGATTAACTAAAAAAATTTTTGGGGAAAAAAGTTCTTTTTTTATATACCATAAAAAGGTAATATACCAGGTTATAACCAGGTTATTACCAGGTAATGTCTCAGGTTATAACCAGGTTATAACTGGGTAATGTCTCAGGTTAAAACCAGGTAATGTCTCAGGTTATAACCAGATTATAACCAGGTAATGTCTCAGGTTAAAACCAGGTTATAACTAGGTTATAACCAGGTTATAACCAGGTAATGTCTCAGGTTATAACCAGGTAATAACCAGGTAATAACCAGGTTATTACCAGGTAATGTCTGAGGTTATAACCAGGTTATAACCAGGTTATTACCAGGAAATGTCTCAGGTTATAACCAGGTAATGTCTCAGGTTAAAACCAGGTTATAACCAGGTAATGTCTCAGGTTAAAACCAGGCTATAACTAGGTTATAACCAGGTAATGTCTCAGGTTATAACCAGGTTATAACCAGGTAATGTCTCAGGTTATAACCAAGTAAAAACCAGGTAATATCCAGGTTATTACCAGGTAATGTCTCAGGTTATAACCAGTTTATAAACAGGTAATGTCTCAGGTTATAACGAGGTTATAACCAGGAAATGTCTCAGGAAATAACTAGGTTATAACCAGGTTATTACCAGGTAATCTCTCAGGTTATAACCAGGTAATGTCTCAGGATATGACCAGGTTATAACCAGGTAATGTCTCAGGGTTATAACCAGGTAATGTCTCAGGTTATAACCAGGTTAAAACCAGGTAATGTCTCAGGTTATAACGTGGTTATAACCAGGTAATGTATCAGGTTATGAACAGGTTATAACCTGGTTATATCCAGGTAATGTCTCAGGGTTATAACCAGGTTATAACCAGGTAATGTCTCAGGATATAACCAGGTTATAACCAGGTAATGTCTCAGGATATAACTAGGTCATAACCAGGTATTGTCTCAGGATATAACCAGGCTATAACCAGGTAATGTCCCAGGTTATAACCAGGTAATGTCTCAGGATATAACCAGGTTATAACCAGGTAATGTCTCAGGTTATAACCAGGTTATAACCAGGTAATGTCTCAGGTTATAACCAGGTTATAGCCTGGTTATATCCAGGTAATGTCTTAGGTTATTACCAGGTTATAACCATGTAATGTCTCAGGATATAACCAGGTTACAACCAGGTTATAACCAGGTAATGTCTCAGGAAAACACTAGGTTATAACCAGGTAATGTCTCAGGATATAACCAGGTTATAACCAGGTAATGTCTCAGGATATAACCAGGTTATAACCAGGTACTGTCTCAGGATATAACCAGGTTACAACAAGGTTATAACCAGGTAATGTCTCAGGAAAACACTAGGTTATAACCAGGTAATGTCTCAGGATATAACCAGGTTATAACCAGGTAATGTCTCAGGATATAACCAGGTTATAACCAGGTACTGTCTCAGGATATAACAAGGTTATAACCCTGTTATGTCTTAGGATATAACCATGTTATAACCAGGTACTGTCTCAGGATATAACTAGGTTATAACCAGGTAGCATCTTAGGATATAACCAGGTTTTAACCAGGTATTGTCTTAGGATATAACCAGGTTATAACCAGGTCATGTCTAAGGATATAACCAGGTTATAACCAAGTATGTCTCTGGATATAACCAGTTTATAACCAGGTGATGTCTCATGTTATAACCAGGTTATAACCAGGTAATGTCTCAGGATTTAACCAGGTTATAACCAGGTAATGTCTCAGGATATAACTAGGTTATAACCAGGTATTGTCTCAGGTATAACCAGGTTATAACCAGGTAATGTCTCAGGATATAACTAGGTTATTACCAGGTAATATCTAGGGATATAACCAGGTTATAACCAAGTAATGTCTCTGGATATAACCAGGTTATAACCAGGTCATGTCTAAGGATATTACCAGGTTATAACCAAGTAATGTCTCTGGATATAACCAGGTTATAACCAGGTGATGTCTCAGGTTATAACCAGGTTTTAACCAGGTAATGTCTCAGGATTTAACCAGGTTATAACCAGGTAATGTCTCAGGATATAACTAGGTTATAACCAGGTATTGTCTCAGGTATAACCAGGTTATAACCAGGTAATGTCTCAGGATATAACTAGGTTATTACCAGGTAATATCTAAGGATATAACCAGGTTATAACCAAGTAATGTCTCTGGATATAACCAGGTTATAACCAGGTGATGTCTCAGGTTATAACCAGGTTTTAACCAGGTAATGTCTCAGGATTTAACCAGGTTATAACCAGGTAATGTCTCAGGATATGACTAGGTTATAACCAGGTATTGTCTCTGGTATAACCAGGTTATAACCAGGTAATGCCTCAGGATATAACTAGGTTATAACCAGGTAATATCTCAGGTTATAACCAGGTTACAACCAGGTAATGTCTCAGGTGATAACAGTTTTAACCTGGTTATAACCAGGTAACGTCTCAGGTTATAACCAGGTTATAACCAGGTAATGTCTCAGGATATAACTAGGTTATAACCAGGTTATAACTAGGTTATAACCAGGTAATGTCTCAGGTTATAACCAGGTTATAACCAGCTTATAACAGGGTAATGTCTCAGATTATTACCAGGTAATAACCAGGTTTCTAACCAGGTTATTACCAGGTAATGTCTCAGGTTACAACCAGGTTATAACCAGGCAATGTCTCAGGTTATAACCAGATTTGAACAAGGTTATAACCAGGTAATGTCTCAGGTTATAACCAGGTTATAACTAGGTTATAACCAGGTAATGTCTCAGGTATTAACCAGGTTATAAACAGGTTATAACCAGGTAATGTCTCAGGATATAACTAGGTTATAACCAGGTAATGTCTCAGGGTTGGAACCAGGTAATGTCTCAGGTAATAACCAGGTTATAACCAGGTTATAACCAGGTAATGTCTCAGGATATAACTAGGTTATATGCAGGTAATGTCTCAGGTTATTAACAGGTTATAACCAAGTAATGTCTCAGGTTATAACCAGGTTACAACCAGGTAATGTCTCAGGTGATAACAGTTTTAACCTGGTTATAACCAGGTAACGTCTCAGGTTATAACCAGGTTATAACCAGGTAATGTCTCAGGATATAACCAGGTTATAACCAGGTAATGTCTCAGGATATAACCAGGTTATAACCAGGTACTGTCTCAGGATGTAACAAGGTTATAACCTGGTTATGTCTTAGGATATAACCATGTTATAACCAGGTACTGTCTCAGGATATAACTAGGTTATAACCAGGTAACATCTCAGGATATAACCAGGTTTTAAACAAGTATTGTCTCAGGATATAACCAGGTTATAACCAGGTTATAACCAGGTCATGTCTAAGGATATAACCAGGTTATAACCAGGTGATGTCTCAGGTTATAACCAGGTTATAACCGGGTAATGTCTCAGGTTATAACCAGGTTATAACCATGTAATGTCTCAGGATATAACTAGGTTATAACCAGGTATTGTCTCAGGTACAACCAGGTTATAACCAGGTTATGTCTCAGGATATAACTAGGTTATAACCAGCTAATATCTAAGGATATAACCAGGTTATAACCAAGTAATGTCTCTGGGTATAACCAGGTTATAACCAGGTTATAACCAGGTCATGTCTATGGTATAACCAGGTTATAACCAAGTAATGTCTCTGGATATAACCAGGTTATAACCAGGTTATAACCAGGTCATTTCTAAGGATATAACCAGGTTATAACCAAGTAATATCTCTGGATTTAACCAGGTTATAACCATGTAATGTCTCAGGATATAACTAGGTTATAACCAGGTATTGTCTCAGGTACAACCAGGTTATAACCAGGTTATGTCTCAGGATATAACTAGGTTATAACCAGCTAATATCTAAGGATATAACCAGGTTATAACCAAGTAATGTCTCTGGGTATAACCAGGTTATAACCAGGTTATAACCAGGTCATGTCTATGGTATAACCAGGTTATAACCAAGTAATGTCTCTGGATATAACCAGGTTATAACCAGGTTATAACCAGGTCATTTCTAAGGATATAACCAGGTTATAACCAAGTAATATCTCTGGATTTAACCAGGTTATAACCAGGTAATGTCTCAGGATATAACTAGGTTATAACCAGGTTTTGTCTCAGGTATAACCAGGTTATAACCAGGTAATGTCTCAGGATATAACTAGGTTATAACCAGGTTATATCTCAGGATATAACCAGGTTTTAACCAGGTAATGTCTCAGGATATAACCAGGTAATGTCTCAGGATATAAATAGGTTATAACCAGGTTATAACTAGGTTATAACCTGGTAATGTCTCAGGTTATAACCAGGTTATAGCCAGTTTATAACAGGGTAATGTCTCAGATTATTACCAGGTAATAACCAGGTTATAACCAGGTTTTTAACCAGGTTATTACCAGGTAATGTCTCAGGTTACAACCAGGTTATAACCAGGCAATGTCTCAGGTTATAACCAGGTTTGAACAAGGTTATAACCAGGTAATGTCTCAGGTTATAACCAGGTTATAACTAGGTTATAACCTGGTAATGTCTCAGGTTATAACCAGTTTATAACAGGGTAATGTCTCAGATTATTACCAGGTAATGTCTCAGGTTATAACCAGGTTATAACCAGGTAATGTCTCAGGTTATTACCTGGTTATAACCAAGTAATGTCCCAGGTTATAACCAGGTTATAACCAGGTAATGTCTCAGGTTATTACCAGGTTATAACAGGGTAATGTCTCAGGTTATAACCAGGTGATATCCAGGTTATAACCAGGTTACTACCAGGTAATGTCTCAGGTTATAACCATGTAATTACCAGGTTTTTACCAAGTAATGTCTCAGGTTATAACCAGGTTATTACCAGGTATTTTCTCAGGTTATAACCAGGTTATTACCAGGTAATGTCTCAGGTTATAACCACGTTTTATCCAGGTAATGTCTCAGGTTATAACTAGGTTATAACCAGGTTTTTAACCAGGTTATTACCAGGTAATGTCTCAGGTTACAACCAGGTTATAACCAGGCAATGTCTCAGGTTATAACCAGGTTTGAACAAGGTTTTAACCAGGTAATGTCTCAGATTATAACCAGGTTATAACTAGGTTATAACCAGGTAATGTCTCAGGTTATATCCAGGTTATTACCAGTTTATAACAGGGTCATTTCTCAGATTATTACCAGGTAATGTCTCAGGTTATAACCAGGTTATAACCAGGTAATGTCTCAGGTTATTACCAGGTTATAACCAAGTAATGTCTCAGGTTATAACCAGGTTATAACCAGGTAATGTCTCAGGTTATTACCAGGTTATAACAGGGTAATGTCTCAGGTTATAACCAGGTGATATCCAGGTTATAACCAGGTTACTACCAGGTAATGTCTCAGGTTATATCCATGTAATTACCAGGTTTTTACCAAGTAATGTCTCAGGTTATAACCAGGTTATTACCAGGTATTGTCTCAGGTTTTAACCAGGTTATTACCAGGTAATGTCTCAGGTTATAACCACGTTATATCCAGGTAATGTCTCAGGTTATAACTAGGTAATAACCAGGTTATTACCAGGTAATGTCACAGGCTATAACCAGGTTATTACAAAAGCAGCAAGTACAAGAAGGTGTGTGTGCCTGTGTGTGTTTTAATTAAAGCATCTTAACAGTTGTCAAACATCAAAGGCATTAACTGACGTACTGTTTGAATAAGAAGATGCCTAACTTCATCGAATTTAGGGCCTCCGAACTTCTTCCCATAGCGTGATTTCCTTAAATCCCAGTATCGAAATAAATCCTCCGTCCCTCATGAACACAATGATGTGTTTTTCATGTCTGTACTCTGAAAAATGTGGCCACAACAGCGAGTTAAATAGGTCTGAGCCTGAGCAATTTTCAGGATATTCTTGGAGAAAAATTACATTAGGGCCAATGGGAGAGATCTTCGGCTATTTGGACAGTTGGTCACCTGCTGGCCGAGGGGTACGATTTAATGATTTGAAGCCTTTTTTGTGAGAAGCAGGACGCATATACCTCCCTTTTGATTATTTTTTTATGGCTGTGGAGTGAAATTTGTGGGCGCAGGAGCAATATATTCAAGTGAGGTTTTGTCGATCAGAGAGGGGGTCTCCACTCTAGCGATGACATCATCACTCTAGCTCCTCCATTATAAAGCCTGAAATTTGCTGAAAACCCTGAGTGCTAAATTGTGGAAAAACTGTAAAAAAATGGAACACATGTTTAATAGTCGACAAGTGAATGAACATTTTAAAGCAAAAATGAGGTCTCTAGGTGAAAGTATACTGAAGTTGTAAGGTTTAGAAGGTGGAAGAAGAAAAGGAAGAATTGGAAGATTTCCCCATTGACTTCAATGTTAAAATTTTGGCACAAAAAGTAAAAAAAAAAAAAGTATAAAAGGTAGAAAGGTAGAAAGGTAAAAAGTACGAGCCCTCATGTCCTGAAGGAGTGGAACAGTTTAAAGTTTGAATGGTTTAAATAGCACAAAGTAGGAAGGAGTTAGAAGCGGACGAAAATTGGCGGAATAATAATAATAATAATAATAATAATAATAATAATAATAAACAAAATGGCTTAATCAGCATTTCCACTTAATAACAATGAACAGCAAAGAGCTACAAGTGTGTGGGGCTAGTAATCTACTTGTACTGAATCCTATCTTACAGTTGACCTCAAACATGGAAAAGAAGGTTATTTCAGCAAAAATCAGTAATGAGATCGAAGTGGGATTGAATTTAAAGAGACGAGATTTGACCAACACAACACTCAGAGTTCTTAATTCACATTACCAGCACTGCCAATAATCCTTATTGACTTTCAATGCCAATCAAAACATGTCCCAAGTAAGAACATAAAGTTAAAAAGGGGATGAAAGCGATAACCTCAAGCTAACTCAAACCATAACTTTCTTTATTGAGATATCAACCTCCACATTAAATCTGGTACAGAAAGTGTGTATTAAACTGCTCTTTTCATTTAAATTTAAAGTCAAAAAATCAAGTTGGCTATTCTACAGCATTACAGCGCTTCTTAATATATAAATAAATTCTTCAAAGACTGAGGAACAGACTGTGAGTGTGTTTCAAGGGGGAAAAAAAAGGGGCCGGGCCTTTTTAGCAGATATACTGATTTTCATGTACAAGTGACTTCATGTTAAAGCTACTGTGGGGAATTTTCAGCCGATTATAACTGACTGATATTGATAGGGATGCCTCTGTGTGGCCTTAAAAAGCAAATCAGACCACCTTTGAAGGGTTTGTTCATCTCTACAAAGTTATTTGTGAGGTTAGAAACTGTTGTCAGGGGTGTAGGTGTCAGATGATTTAGCTAAATTGAAGCTTTTTAAAAAGGCTTTTTCAAAAATATCTCAGGTGAAGATGACCAATGACTTTTAAAATTGAGCAAGGAGATTTTTTGTTTGACAACAAGACATAACACAATTTGAAAGAGAGGTTATGAAAAGAAGCATAAGAAGCAACACAAACCAAAAATTCCTCACGGGAGCTTTAAGAAAGAATTGATAACACCTGATTTGTGTCACGTGATGATTTAACCCATCAGGTGACACCAAAATTGATCCATCCTGTGAACAAAATGAGTTTGTTACCTTCTCTGGAGTTCCCGAGGAGGCTTTTGCTGATCTTTATGATCAGAGAGAGGAGACACACGCTTTTCTCTCTAATGGAGTAAAAATAATTTAGATTTGTCAGTAACAGAATCAACTGAAAGATAAACCAAAACTAATGCTTATAACAACACTGAAGTCCAGACTGGTATTCCTATGCTTTACTTACACTACAGCACTTCAAAAACCAAGAACAACTCCATTTCTTCTCCTTCGGTTTCTTGTTTTTCTCCCCAGGTGGGGGTGCTGTGGAGCCAGCCAGACCATTGGAGGTGACATCTCTGCAGACACAAGCACACACCATTACTGTGTGGTGACATTTGTTTTAACAACCCGTAGTGATGTTTTTAAAGGAGTCTGCAGTGACTAGTCAACATTTATCAGAAGCTTTTGTGGCTGCACAAATAAACAGCTGATTGTTGGAGCAGTTTACTCACCTCCGCTGACTGCTGGTTAGACTTCTGACTTTTCTCTGTGGAGTAACAACAAATATAAAAATGAAAACCCACTGTGTCAAATATTTTTAGTGTCTGATTTTAAATGTCACACTTATAAAATGATCTTATTTTAACAGCTCTGAAACATACCAGAGGTTGACCAAACAGCCTGTGCAGCCAAAAGTTCGTTGGGCAGCAGTTTTCTGCGTTAGAAGCCTCTGATGCAGTGTCACTGGTCAACACAGAAACACAGGTTGGTTATTTTAATGAACAAAACAAATCCATAAACAGAAATATCTGCAGAGACACATGACAGTCACACAGACTCAAACCATGGTGATATTCAGACGATAAAATACAATAAACACGCACTGGATGGTCTTTGAGGAAGTATCAGAGTCAAACTGAAAAAGTGTCTTTATGTATCAAAAATAATACAGCACACTCACAGTGGTTTAAAATACCTGAAGGTTATTCCCTGTTTTTGTGTTGTTGTTATTGATAAATGAACCCCCTCTTTGTTCACACTTATTCATTAAAAACCTAAGTGCTGAATCTCTTTAAGTTGACACAGCGTTTTTAAAACAAAGCTTTTTTAATGCATATTATCCGGGAAAGGCCTCATACAAAACATGTTTTTCCTTCAATTTCAAACACAGTAAATTAAAATGGTCTTTGTTTCCCTTACTGGGAATTTCCCCTTGTGGGACTAATAAAGGAGTATCTTATCTATCATACCTGACTTTACTAGTTTTTGACTAGAGACTCCCAGTAAGAGCAAACGATGATAAAACTTCTTTATTTCATTTAGTGTTTTTACACATTTCCTTTGTCTGACTGATTAATTGATCAGTAAATGTCTTGTGTGAAGCCTTTGAATTGTCTTATTCAGTTAAAATAACCACTGAAATGTATCACATAAATACATGTCTTGTGACAAAAAGAGTATGAAACACAACACAGTGTTAGTCCAAAATCAAATCCTAAATTTGCGAATCTTTAGATTTTTGCTGGCACTGTCACAGATTTAACTCTGAACTGTCTCAGATTATAATCTGCTGGGAGGTCTCTGTCATGTTTCAAATGTTACACTGCATATTAAATGCAAAAGAGGTAAAAGATTGTTTTAGAGACACGTTGGTAAACTACTGTTTAATATCACACCCCTATAAATTTGAGTTTGCATTTTACTGTCATCATAAGTTAAACGTGTTTCTTACCTCCTGTTGAAGCTCGAGCCCGCAATTCTCAGAGCTTCTCCTTTTACAGGAATGGGTTGACTCTTTTGTGCAGATTTAAAGAAGAAATAAGAAAGCATTGGTTAGTATAAAAGAAACTGTCAAATAAGTTTCAGACTGACGGCTTTAAATAGCCCAGAAGACATAAAAAAATCTCTTATAGAGATTTCTCACAATAACATGAGCTTTTCTGCTCTTAAGCACAAAGAGTCTTTGACATGGTGGGCAGGACTTTCATGTGATGTCAATGCATCACTTTTAAGATAACCATCCGAACGTCTAGACTTTTAACTCGCTGTTGTGGCCACATTCATTGTGTTCATGAAGGGCGGAGGATTCGTACGATTTTCTTATTTTCATTCTGGGATATAAGGAAATCGTGCTACATGAAGAAGTCCAGAGCTTCTCATTCAGTTAATGCCTTTGATCTCACAGCTGTTTAGGATGCAATCATTAACGAGACACACACAGTCTGACAATGTGTGTGCATGTGTCTGTGTCTAAAAGACCTGCATGTACACACAGTTAATATGTGTCTGCATCACCACCTATCTCCACCCACAAACTTTGAGCTACAGAAACCATTCTGGGCTTCAAAAATTCAGCTCATTGAGGACATTATGGGGTGTACTCAGGATTTTTTTATTAAACTTTTCCCCACTTTAAAATTATTCTCATTATTCATGCATTATTAAATTCGTCAGACAAATCCAAACTCATTCAAACTGACTCAAACCTTTCTGATACTTCAAACCTGTTTAACACTTTAGGACTTCTAATTATTTTGAATTTTTCCCACTTTAAAATCATTCCCATTATTTATGTATGTTTTAATTCTTCAAACAAAATCCCAGTTCTACCACTACAATTACTACTTATATCACTTTAACTTGTATCTTCACTTCTACCTCCACTGCTCATGCTTCTCTTAATATTTTTTTTACTTCTACCACGAGCTCTACTGCTTTGACTTCTACTTCTTCTATTCTAAAACTACTTCTACTGCTTACATGACTACTAATATCACTAGTACAACTACCTATTATCATACTTCTTCTAGTACTTCAACTTAAACTTATGCCGCTTCTTACTTTTCTGTGTTTTAAGGTAATTTTCTTCCTTATACATTTTTTTTTTGCAATTTCAGACAGTTTTTCTAGCCTTATTTAGCATGAATGCAATTTTAATTTATGAAGCAGATTCATACTATTTGTACTTCAGCAATTTTCACTTTCATCTAACTTCTACTTTTCTTTCTCCAGCTCTTTAACCAAGTTTACATTTAAACCTTCCCCCATTTTTTTTTTTTTTTAGCAGTTTAGCATTGCTTCTTCAGCTTTCAGCACTCAGCATTTCCAAGCATTTTCTGCAAGGAAATGCAATTTTTCTAGTTTTGATAATGCCTGTCACATTAAAGTCATAAACACTGTAAATATCCATGCACACATTTAATCCTTGTCACCATCACGAAAGTCTCGACAGTAACACAAGTTTGTATGATAATATTGTCATGAAATCTTACGGTCTCCATGTCGTAGATGTTGTCCTCTCTGTTCAGGTGTTGGTTAGAGGTGTTAGTCCGAGTCCTTAGTCGTCTGGTGAGGTTTTATTTACGATGAAGCCGTCAAAAGTTGTAAGTTCGTGAGCCGCTTAAGTTTTTCGTGCTGTTCTCTTCAGATTTGATCTTCAGAAATGACCGTTCTCTTTTGCTTGTAATGATTTAAAGTTTTTACATCGTTACAGGTTGCCATGGAGATTTAAAATGCTGTTTACTTAAAAACCCTTACACTGGTAGGTTATATCTAAAAGTTTCATATTATCTTTAATTTACTTTAATCTCAATGGAATATAAATATCTCTCGAAGTAAAGTGGAGGTTATTTTTCGTGATTGAAGATAATTATTAGTATAATTATCTCTTAGTATAAAGGGCACAATTAGAAAAAAAACGTTTTTAAATCTTAAAGAATAAAGTTATTATTTGGGAGAGTAAAGTCATTAATATCAGTATTAAGTCGTAAAGTTACCTGTTGTGAAGGAGAGTTGTTAAAATCAGCGCTGTGGAGCATTTAGATGAATTGTACTTTAGTATAGGTTTCACAAACATGGAGATACTTAATCCTTTGGTACATGAGCGTTACACTGTCATGAGTATCAGAACTTATATTTGAGATATATGAGAAATGCTTCTTTTGTGGAGGGGAAAATGGCTGTACAGAGGCTAAATTCATCAATACAGCTGTTAATAGCAATAGCATAGGGCTTAAGTTTATCATATGAGTTTATATGCCATGAGGTGTTGAGGTCTCTGCATGTGCAGATTACTGACTTACTGTAATCATAGGGTCTATCTCGTTATGAAAACCTGCTCTATTACGGCGAGTGTCTGTCTTCTTCTGTAGTCAAACCGTAAGATATCAAAATCTACCCGGATACAGCAATGCTGCTTTTTTATTGGCTATTCAGTAGATATACTTTATTTGATTGGCTTGCGCGTGGCACGCAGCTTCTGAACTCTCGGAGGAACTCAGTCGATTCCTACCTGTTCCATAGTTAAAGAGGTGCAACTTGGTGGACATCACCATGTTCATTTAAATGCGTGAGAAATACAATGTGTGGCGTGTGAGCGGGTGAACGGTTGGGAATGCGTGTGTCACACGCTGAATGCGTGAGACTTGAGAGCCCTGATAAAGAATAAAACTACATCTTTAAAAGCTAATTAATCCTGCAGGACTGCACAATATAATAAGTCCAGAAGACTTTTAATGTTATAAAGGATTTGTAAAAATAATTGTATAGGCCTAGCCCTAGACTGATTTGACATAATGTACTGCTTAAAAGCCCAGTGTCCTCTGAACTTTGATTACAAATAATGGTGGACAATTTTAAACAGAAAAGCTTAGACAGAAACTTTTTTTTTTTTGTGAAATGACTCTAAAAGAGGTGGGGCGTGTACTATTATAGTCAATTGGGGCTGATAATGTATGTTTTTGCACTGAGTGGCTGCTGAAAATGCACTTGATTTGACTTTTTACATGGTAATTCTTATCATGCATTCCAGTTGTCCTCGTAGGCCACCATCACTTTGAGTATTTTCCCAACAGTAGGAGTGAGTAAGGGAGCATTTCCGCCTGGAATCTGCTCACTTATTTTCTAAATATTCCCATTTCAGCAAAGTGCCTCTTTGTGCAAAACTAAACAGTAGAAAAACCCACGTGACTCTAAGGCATTAACTCACTAAACCATACATATCTATGCATCAAACTACTTCATCCGGAGCATTAAGTGTTAAAAGTATAATATTATTGTCGCATGTGAATGACGTCACGTGTCGCACAGTTGTATAATCAGCCAACATGGCCGCGTCCATGAGACTGCTGGTCAGGAGGGCGATCCGTCTCTCTCATAGGAATATCGGCGTGTCCTCTGCTGGAGTCTCGGGTCGGTCAGACTGCTGTTTGGGACCGTCGACCTGTCGTTGTTTTAGCGATGCAGCCGGAGACAGAAGCACTCATTTTGGTTTCGAAACGGTGCCCGAGACAGAAAAGGCAAAGAGAGGTGAGCTCCCTGCAGTCTCCTCACCTTGGGATGTGGGCTCTGACACGGCAAACTTAATCACTGTGTAATAAAGCAGCGCAGTTTGGACAGGTAAAGTTTAATCTGTAGTTGGCATTAATAAAAAGTATATTATGTAATAGTAATAAACAGTATTTCCACCGTTTGAATGAAGGGAAAGACACTTCTATAACACCGAGCTAATCTGCACAGTAATGTAACATCCTCTGTACTATCATTAAATATATGTTGGTTTATTATAGCTGTACTAAACTTGAAGTAATTATTATCAAGTAGTCAGACATAAAAAAGTATGATATGCTTATAAATACACATACGAGGGACCACCACACCTCTATCAGTTATTCATATTCAGATATAGTTATTTGTCAGTGTCATATATTGATGCTCAACCCACATGGGCTAACATGACACCATGAGTTCACAATGTAAAGTATGCATGTGTGCATGTTTATGCATATATATACATAGACACAGTAGGCATGAGGGTAGATGTGGATACAAAAAGTCTACACACCCCTCTTCAACTGCCAGGTTTTTGTCATGTAAAAAAATTAAATCAAGATAAATAATTTCACAACTTCTTCCACCTTTAATGTGACCTATAACCTGTACAACACAATTGAAAAACAAACAGAAATCTGAATACAGAAAATAAACAACTGAGATCATGTGGTTGCATAAGTGTGCACACGCTTTAATAACTGGGGATGTGGCTGTGTTCAGATTTAACCAATAACATTCAAACTCAGGTTAAATTGGAGTCAGCACACACCTGCCACCAATTAAAGTGCCTCTGATTAACCCCAAATTAAGTTCAGCTGTTCCAGTAGGCTTTTCCTGACATTTTTGTAGCCACATCTTCCAGCACAAGCCATGGTCCACAGAGAGCTTCCAAAGCATCAGAGGGATCTCATTATTCAAAGATATCAGTCAGGTGAGGGCTACAAAAGAATTTCCAAGGAATTAGATATACCATGGAACACAGTAAAGACCGTCATCATCAGGTGGAGAAAATATGGCACAACGGTGACATTACCAAGAACAGGACGTCCGTCCAAAATTGAGTATAAGATGAAAACAAGGTCAGGGAGGCTACCAAGAGGTCAACAGCAACACTGAAGGAGCTGCAGAAATTTCTGGCAAGTACTGGCTGTGAAGTACATGTGACAACAATCTTCCACTGTCTTCATATGTCTGGGCTATGGGGTAGGGTGGGAAGACGGAGGCCTTATCTTACAAAGAAAAACATCAAAGCCCGGCTTAATTTTGCAAAAAGACATCTGAAATCTCCCAAACACATGTGGGAAGATGTGTTATGGTCTGATGAAACAAAAGTTGAACTTTTTGGGCATCATTGCAAAAGGTGCAAAATCAGCATGCTTTGGGGCTGTTTTTCTTCAGCTCGAACTGGGGCCTTAGTCAGGGTGGATGGAATTATGAACAGTTACAAATACCAGTCAGTGTTGGCACCAAACCTGCAGCCTTCTGTTTGAAAGCTGAAGATGAAGAGGAACAAGATTGAGACTTTGGAACGGCCCAGCCAGAGCCCAGACCTGAATCCCATCAAACATTTGTGGGGTGATAAGAAGAGGGCTGTGCACAAGAGATGCCCTTGCAATCTGTCAGATTTGGAGCAGTTTTGCAAAGAAAAGTGGGCAAATATTGCCACATCAAGATGTGCCACGCTGATAGACTCCTACCCAAAAAGACTCAGTGCTGTAATAAAAGCCAAAGGTGCTGCAACAAAATATTAGTTTAAGGGTGTGCATATTTATGCAACCGGGTTATTTTAACTTTTCTATTTTTTATTTTTCCCCTTAAAGGTTTCAGTTTGTTTTTCAATTGCATTGTACAGGTTATAGGTCACATTAAAGGTGGAAAAAGTTGTAAAAATATTTATCTTGCTGTCATTTTCTTGCATCATTAAAACCTGGTAGTTGAACAGGGGTGTGTAGACTTTTTATATCCACTGTATATGTATATACAGTATATCTTAATATGTGGCAGAAATTGCCATTAAAAAAGGTTGAATCTTCAATACAATCCAGGGTCCAAGTGTATTACAGGTCAATGTTACAGAGTAACAGAATAAAATTAAGCTAAACACACACTCATAAAAGAGACTGCCTTTTCCTCTTTTCCAGGTTTTGCAAGTCTGAACACATCAGATTTAAACAGCTGGTCCAGTTTCTACTCGTCAGGTCACCGCATAGTTTCAGGCTTTTGGCTTGCAACTAATTGCAACTAATTAAAACAATAACTTTCTCAGGTCATTATATTTCCTACAGTGTAGAAGGACTTTTGGTTTCCACTTCATCCAAATCACTTAATCAATATCGAATTTAGGGCTGTTAAACGGTCGTGTATTGAATCACACATTTAAACTTCAGTATTTTTATTCGTAATCTTTAGCAATGTCTTGCTCAAGCAAATTAATTTAACAGGACGACAACCCAAACTCATGAATGCATGAATATGAACACTTTAGAGGCTCACAGTTTGTTGCAAAACACCTTAAGTTAAAATGAGGATTAAATGAAGGAAATTCCACTTAAGCGTCATTAAAAAAAGTGATGCATGAAAACCTGAGTGCACCAGAATATCTGAGTTAACAGCTCACATGAGTGAAATCATAACACACACTGTAAATGGCTCTTTCTTTCTCGTCATTCTCTCAGTTTATAAGGTGTTTGAGAATGTGGCGCAGAAGTACGACATCATGAATGATGCCATGAGTCTGGGGATTCATCGCCTGTGGAAGGACATGCTGCTGCACGTCATGCACCCACAGCCCGGGGTGCGGCTCCTGGATGTAGCAGGAGGAACAGGTAAAGCATCAACAAACACCATCAAACTGAACCTCGTCTCACTCTGCCTTCACGTCTGTGCTGATGCTCCTCTGCAGGTGACATCGCCTTCAGGTTCATGGAGTACGTCCGCTCTCAGCAGGAGCGGCAGCAGAGACGTGCTGCCAGGTCCATGCAGACGCCATCATGGGAGGACATTTCCACTAATTACACCAACGAGGACGTGGAAGAGTCGAAGGAATCCCGTGCGGTGGTGTGTGACATCAACAAGGAGATGCTGAAAGTGGGCAAAGAGAAAGCTGACAGTATGGGGATCAGCGCGGGTGAGTTTCTGAGAGCTGGTCCTGTGAATCCTGTCTTTCTAACGCAACAGAAGGATCTTAGTAAGCAGGCTTACATCAACACAGATGAGGTTTTTGAGTTATCTATCTACACCAAGGTGCTTCTGACAGGAATATCAGCTGTATTTTGGAGTCTGGAACATAACTGAAGGTACAGCCACTGAGCTTCAGGGTGTTTGTGTGCTGGTGTGTATCAGGTCTGTCATGGGTTGTTGGGGACGCAGAGGAGCTTCCCTTTGATGATGACCAATTCGATATCTATACCATCGCTTTTGGTATTAGGAATGTCACACATATTGATCAGGTAAGTAACTCCTTTTTCATTGCTACTGCATGCTTCAGTGATGAGCTTCAAAATCTCTTTCACATTATTCCATCACCATGATTTCTCTGATTTTTCAGGCCCTACAGGAGGCTCTGCGGGTCCTGAAGCCTGGTGGCAGATTTATGTGCTTAGAGTTCAGCAAAGTGACCAATCCTGTGCTGGCAAGGTGAGGAGACAGGGTCTGTGTGTGTACAAGAGTCCGCCCTACACATGTCTAAAAGTTACTGCAAAGATCTGTTATCACAAATCCTTCACCTTAACTGTATAGACCCACCGACAAACATCTAATCCACCCAGAGACACACCGCCCACCCTCACTGCTTCACTGTTTGTCCTGACTCAAGGAACTTTTTGGCTAAATTGGCTCTTATCAAAACAATCGTAAATGTTAAAATATATTGTTTGAAATGTGAATGTATTGTTGAGACAGACTGATCAAGTCTTGAATTTTTTGTAGCGTGGTGAACACTGCCCCCCTCTGGTTGAGCACTGAAACCAGTTAAAGTTTATTGTCACTCCACGTCTCATGGAAGTTTAGGTTTGAGGTTCTCGTTTCATAGTTCTGAAAGTGCCGGATTCAAGATCTGATTCACACGAATAAAAAGTTCACCTTTGACTATTTTAAAAGACCAGTCTGCAGCCTGTAGATCATATTTTGAAGTGATTTGACTTGATGAAAAGTCTGTATTTTAAAGAAAAGTGCTTTTTTTCATGTTCGTGTTTGGAAAAAAGAGAAACATGAGTCAACTGTGTGTTTCAGCTCTGAGAAAAGAAGCTGGTTGCTCCCTAATAATCAGTATTTTGGTTTTATTTCCAGACTTTATGATGCCTACAGCTTCCAGATGATCCCGGTGTTAGGAGAGGTGATCGCTGGAGACTGGAAGTCCTACCAGTATCTGGTGGAAAGCATCCGCAAGTTCCCAGATCAGGTAAGAACTTTTTTTCCTTGCATGTCTCCCTGTTTTAATCCTTGCTACTATTCATTACAACATTTTATTTTCCTGACTGATTTTTTTAAAATAAGACATGAAGGCTTTATCACTTTTTAGTCATTTATGGTTTATTTTGCATCTGAAAATTCAACTAACCATTTGATCGGCTATCTGCAGCCTTCAGAGGCCATAAAAAGTCCAAATTTCATCCTCATCCCCAGTTTCTAAAAAGACTGAGAAGCACTACTGAAATCAGTTTCTTTAAAATTCTAGGGTGTTAATTATTTTCTGTTATTTGGTGCACTTTAAAAAAAAAAGCTGACTGCGGTTTCTTTTGCTCTGTATCTCGAACAGGAGGAATTTAAAGGCATGATCGAGGATGCGGGTTTCTACTGTGTGCAATACTACAACCTCACCGGCGGAGTCGTGGCTCTGCACTCTGGTTTCAAGCTGTGAGGTTCTCTCCTCAAACACCTCGTTTTAAAAAAAATGACCCGATAGACTGGCCTTGAGTTTAAGGCTGTTTCAAACATCTCCATAATCTACAAGGTTCTGGGATGAGGATTTCAGAGCCTCCAGAGGTCAGTTGTCTACGTGTTGCAAGTGTTTTTTTCTGTGTTTTCTGTTTACATGTCCTCCTTGAAGCCATTGTAAACAGCACTTCACAAGAGTGTGAGAAAGCCACACTAAATATGGACTATCACTGCATCTGTGGCGTCAGTGTTTGGACACCCCGTGTGTGAAATTATAAGTGGAGTAGCTTTAGGATATTTTTTGTAACCTGATTTTTGTTAATGAATAATAAATTCTGAAAAAGTAGATATCTGTATCTGACTCATTTTTAATGATTAAAGCACCTATTAGGAACTTCAGGTTTGTGTTGAAATTGGACATTGGACTACATGCTCAAGTTTTGTCTGTTAAGAAAATGTTTGACAGTCAATTGCATCCTTTACTGTAAATAGTTAATGTTAAAGATAGTGAAGTTCCTTCAGCCTTTGACTTACAGTTACCCCCCTCCACAACTTGTTTAAGGCATCAAACATGATTCTATAAAATTTGTCAATCTTGTGACTAATGTGCTTTTTTGCCTCTGTACAGCATAAAAAAAGCATTGATATGAATATCAGTCTGTTTTATAAATGTTTAAAAAACTCCCCACAGGAGCTTTAAAATGGAACAACTTCTGAATCCTGAAGTGAAAAACATGCAATGCAAAGAAAGACACCACAGCAGCAGTTACTTGAATAAAACTGTATATTTTACAGATCTTTGTACACTTTAATTACAAAACTGTATGGTACTAAAGTTTTAAAATCAGTTTTTTGGTCAGAGAAGATTTAATCGTCTTGTGTGCAATTACCATGTATATACAAAGTCTCATGTTAGTGATTTTTTTCTCAAAATAAAAAGCAACCAAAGAACTCAAACGTTCATACACTCTGAACATAAGACATGGCTTAAAGATAAATATATTAGTAAATAAATATTCAGAGAACATATTTCCATTTATGAAATGTGTTTGCTATACAGGTACAGAAATATACACAGATTGATTTCTAGCCTTTTTAAAACATTTGTAATGGTAATGACAGAAAATAATTATACTCTTAAAAAATTAAAAAATATTAATTTTTGTACACATTTTAATCTTCTTAAGTGCTAGAAACAATAACAAAACAATTAAATAGTGACTCAAGTACCCCAAAATGTTATATTTGCAGTAGGTACATATCTCTATGCAAAAGGCAAGATTAGATTCTCACTTGATTACAGCACTGGGTTAACTTATAAATAGGGTTATTTCAGAAAGTCTTCCTCTGTGTAGAGAATGTGTATATTTCATAGAAACAGTATAAAAACAGTCTGCAGGACAAACAGAAAGGCATGAATGACAAGCATTGATATCGTGAGTATGTATTATGCATGGCACGATATGATTCAAACGGATACACTGTGGTATGTATAACTGCATCATTAAAAAAAAAAAAAAAAAAGTCACAGTACAATAAGGAACCCTTGTGAAAAAATGAGTCTTTTCCAGCTACTTTCCTTTGGCCTTTTGATACATGCTCGAACCTTTACAGATATTTAAGAGAGCACGCCTCATTGAGGGAAAATCCGATAAGTGACGACAAACCAAAACAAACAAACGACAAAAAAAAAAAAACACTTTTAAGGGCTTCCAAACAAGAGGTAGAGTGCTTTACTCTACTTTTTAAGAAATCTACTGACCCCGACACACTGCTGCTTTCAGCCCACGGCGAGACCAAAAGCAGAGCAGCTTCTTTACATATTGCTACAAATAGCTTAACTAGCATAAGGCTTTCATGTTGCTCTGGCACGTCTCATACAGGTAGGCCACAACTGGACAGAAATGCAATGCATGAAACAAACTCAGTATCATATCGAACATAGACCAGTGTCAGCCTTGCATTCACATTTCGATGCATTTTTCTGTAATATAGCTTCTTCTCCTCAGAGAAACGTGTGGGTCACAGACACTTCGACCCGTTTCCCTGCTTTAGAAAATTAGGAAAAAAAAAAAAAAACAATCATGTCTTTCTGTTTTGGTATAGCTATGTCCGTACAACCTATTTGAGTTGGTGGTTGAAGCTTTATAGGCAGTCAGTGTTCATGTGCGCATGAATACATAAAGATGTTTGTGAATTTAAAGTGTAGAAAAAGCTCAAATTCCTCAATTTTACACCAAATATGGAGTCTAAACATCCTGTTCCTCACAGCGAATAAGCCCAAATAACAGAGTGCCAACTTAGGGGTCGACCAATGTTGTTTTTTTAGGGTTGCCCCAGAAAAGATCATGTCATGCTTTTATTTTGATAGGTTTTGTCTTGTGTTGAGGTTTCTTTTTCGCCACATTGTAAATCTCTGCTTTTATTTTGAAGTTTATGTAACTTCTTGCAAATCCTAAATTAATCAAACTAATTTGAAACAGAAAGTTTAAATGTTCAATTGATTAGTTACTTGAAGAAGCACAAGCTCTCATGTCAACGAATCTCGAGATGTCGCTTTTAAAAGTGCCAAGTCATCTCTCAGAGGGCTGCTACAGCTAGCTTGCTGACAGCTGCCGCTTGTCTCTCCTCTGTTTTATGACATGTGGCAACCAGCATAAAAGAACTGAAGTAGAGCTTAAAGACAGCACGTTGAAGTAGATTAATTCTATCGGTGATAAGTATATCAGCCTCTGCTAATCAGTCGACCCCTTGTGCTAACTTTTAAAACCTCCATCCTCCACATGTGTTACATCATTTCCACCCCATTTACATCTGGTTATCAAATCCATGATATATATATTTCAAAGTGTTATTAAACTACCTGAATTTGCTTTCACACCTACACCTTTATAAAGCTGGTCTCAGTTTTTTAGGTAAAGGAAAACCCCGCTTGATTCATGATGTAGGCACAGATGCTTGATGTTTTAATTTAAAGGCTCATATACTTGTATTTTCACACACATTTGAACTGGGAACAAAGTGAGCCTCCGTACCTTTAGATGGCCAAAGTCAGATCTGAAATCTCACTGATTAGGACGTGCTCACCTTTAGCGTTAACAGGTTTTCTTAATCCAGTTTAGTGTTATCTGAACACCAGCTGTAAATGGGGTCTTTGTTGCAAGTGGTGTTTAAACTCACATATTTTGGTGCTGAGATGTTTGTGGCCACAGGAATGAACTTGATACACACTGTATATGTAGAAATGAGAGGCCATTTCAGTAGAAATCCACACAATCTAAGATGATAACATTCAGCGCTCAGAGAGCAAGGTTACAACAAGGCAGCTGAGGGTTTCAATGATTGACTGACTGATACGGTACCAAACACGTCCTCTTGACTGAGTCCTCTCTCTCTGGGCACAAGTTCACACACCCAGACCTCCATCGTTTGTCGAAGTACTGCTTCCCAGCGCAGTGGGGCTCATAGAGAGCTGAGGGTGAAACAACGCCCGGGTTTCCTCCTCCTGAGGGTACGATTGACCTCTGAACTGTCCCGAGGAAAAGTACCCCCCCTCCCTGGGCTCGTGTCGCTCCCCTGTCCGTGACTCGGCCTCCACTGTGACACTGATGGGCAACAAACTGCTTTGGGTCTCTGCCCCTGTGCCCAGTTCACAATCTGTGTCCTCAGGAATTATGGGTATCCTCTGGTTGAGTTCACAGCAGCCCTGTCCCGAGCAGGCCTCTGAGTCTGCATGTGCATACTGCACATTAACAGCGTAGTCCTCTGTGAAACGCCCCGCTGTGGCCCTGTGGACCTTCATCTCTTTGTAGAAGCAGCAGGGCAGCCCTTCGTAGCTCACCTGCTCTGCAGAGGGACACAAGTGCTCAGGAGCAAAGTAGTTCTTGGAGGTGGAGCTCTGATAGTCCACCCCCCTGTGAAAGCGTCCTGTGGCCAGAGGCCCAGCTTGGTCCGAGTCCTGCCCTTTGCACTCCACATTGGGAGGAAGCACCTCAAAGCAGCAGCTACAGGCTGCAGCCCCGAGTTCCCCCGAATCCTCCTGTGCCCCCTTCCCCCTGTCCGCCCCGGTAGCTTCTGGAGCCCCGGCTGAGGTAGTGCTAGTGTTGCTGTTCTCCCTGGGTTCCAGTGATGAGCGACTGCTGTAGTTGGGCTCCAAGCTGCAGTTGGAGAGGTGGTCCCCCGAGTTATACCCCGAAGCTCCAGGAGGAAGCTGGAGGCAGTCATGTCCCAGGGGAGCTGGGGATGATGAGTCCTCAGCAGGAACTGCGGTGCAAGCCGCAGCCCCTGCTTCACCCGTGGAGCCCCGACACGGACTCTTACTCCTGTAGACATACGGGTCATAGTCGCTGCTCAGCGAGCTGCGAAAGGTGGAGCAGCTCCCGTACACTCCCTGGTTGCTGACCTCAGTACAGTCCAACATGGAGTCACTGGAGGAACAGTGGCACTGGCCTGAGCTGCTGCTGCTGCTGTCACTACCCGGACAGTCGGCAAGGTAACCACTGCACACTGATCGGTGGCCATGGTAACAGCTCAGGCCAGAGGTGCTGCCGGTTTCACCAATCCTCGAAGAAGAGGCCGGCGCCATGTGTACCACTGTGGGGTATAACAGCCCCTGCTGAAAGGCCCTGCTGTGGTGGCCCTTGTGGACCCCTCCTCCACCAAGCTGCCCTGCCATAGCAGGCCCCTGGCCCCCCTCGGGCTGTTGGGGGAAAGTCAAGCCCTGAAAATAGTAGTGTTGGTACATAGTCTCGTACTGCGAGAAGCAGGCTGCTCGGGAAAAGTTACGACCGTGGAACTTTGGTCGCTTAAAAGCAGCATGGTGTGGCTGTGAGGGGTAGGCTGGGGGTCCGCGGTGCTCTAATCCGCAGTGGTGAGGGTTGAGCGAGTGGTCCAAGTGGAGGGTGGGGTGATAGCTCCTGAGAAAGGCGGATGTTGATTGTGGTGGGTACAGACCTTGAGGGTCTGGGTGCTGGTCCACAGTGAGCACAGTGATGGGGTTCCCGTGGGGGTCCATGCTGGTTCTAGTCGGGTAGGCTGTCACCTGGCCGGCTCGGTGCACCCTGCCTGGATAGTGGACTGGCAGCACTACCCGCTGCCGGCCATGCACTGGGTTGCCAGGGTCCATGCAGGCTGGTCCTGGATTTCCCTTCTTTTGTTCTGTGGAAGAAAAAACAGATTTTAGAACCGGGCAAACGAAAGAAACACGAAAACAAACCGCAAACAGCGATGCACCAACTCACCGATGATGTTGTGTCTGCAGTGGGGACAGGTGTGATGCTGCAGCAGCCAGGGGTCGACACACTTCTTATGAAACCTGTGAGCACAGGGGATGACTCGCAGCTCCTGGAGGGGAAAGGCACAGACACAGACAGAAGGTGAATCAATGAGTGTTGAAGAGCGGCTGAACGACCAGAGGGGGGCAGCAAAGTTACACAGAACTGTTCAACGTTTTACTGATTTTTTTGTTGCTGTTTTAATTTTAATTCTGTGAAGCCAAATATGCATCATGTCACAAACAAAACACTTAAACTCGACGCCACGCCGCAACACAAATACAACTCTCATGCTCAATGTCACCATTCTCAGGAACAAAACAAACAAGAGGCTTACACTGGAGGATAGATATGAAAAGAATGCAACATTTTGTATTCAGACGGAGCGCTGGCTTTCAGGAGGAATTCAGGAAGACTATGAATATGAATTACATTTTTCTTTTCCAGTGAGAGCTCTTTCTCTCTCAGAAATACTGCGGCTCAATGTGACTCATCTTTGGGCTCCTTTCCACCCAACCTTTTGTTGCTGGGTTCACTGCTCCAAAACAGCTTTGATGCCATTCAGCCTTTTATATCGCCACTTCCTCTGTGCAATCCTGGCGCCATTGCTTTGTTGTGTTTTCTTCTCCTCTTAACCAAAAGAGACACATAACCACAAAAAACACACATGCATGCGCCAGCTATGTCCTCCTGGGCACCAGGGATTGTTCCCCTAAGAGTCCCTGACGAGGGTGAGCAATGCTGTTACTGTAAACCCTTTAAGTCCAAGATTAGGATACATACTTTGACAATGACTCTGTGAAGGATTAAAGAAGGCCACAGTGGGAAAACAGGAAGCATAATCACAGCCCAAAGCAGTCTGGGTACCGTTATCTCTCCAGGTGCTCTGAAAGACTGAACCAAACATCTAAAAAGGCGCCGGAAAGAACGTCACCGAAGATCGCAGGACTGCGGTCCCCGAGCACATCAGGGGAACTTCCATTCTATTGTCCGAAGAACTGCATTATGTTTCATGTCCACAAAATATGGAATGGAAAGAAAACAAAGCTCAGCGTGTGGACGAACACACAAACACCGACAGAGTTTAAAGGTTTGACACCAACTTGCTGCTTTTAGCAACTTTGGACAAAGAAACAGCCCAGAAATGTATGCAAAACACGTCAAATGTGTTTGATTTTAGAAAGTTATTCTGTTGTGATTAAAGGTCGGCAAACAGAAAATATCGCCCTACTTCTTAACCAACAATGTGGCAAAGTCAAAAAGAAAAAAGACAGACAAGCAAACAAGCGACACGTTTTCATCTGTATTTTTGCAATCCTCCAACAGCTTTCACACAAAAACCGTCTTTTTTTTCTCCCATCGAACCGTCAGCATGTATATAACCAGAGCTAGACCCTACATCCTCCTCCAACAGCAAACAGTAGTCTGTTCAGTGCAATCATTATAACTGTTTGAATTGAATCAGTCCGAGCAAAAGTCCCCCTGTCTATTACACAAACCTGATTAAGTCAAATCAAAGGGTGGGGGTCTCCTCTTACCTCCCCATCGATGTACTTCTCCAGACAGATGGCACAGTCAGAGGTGGAGCTGCTGCTCAGGGAGTCCGAGGCTCCGCAACTGCTCTCACGCTGGCCCTTCCCTTTGGCCTTGAACTTCCTGGTCTCCATCTTCTCCAGGGCTTGGATCGCCATTCTGTTCATGGAGCTCTGAAGGTGGGACAGGGTGAAATTAGTCACATTTTACTTTTATGAAAGGCGCTTTCAGAGCGCCGCAGAGCCTCACACAAATGCTGACAGACAGGAGAGCCAATAGCAACGTGACTGTGACAACTCAGGGATGCCGTTTAAAAGCTGCTGAATATCTTGAGGCGAGTGTTGTCAAGATCAGAGAGTTTGTTTTTCTGTTAACGCATTTGCAGCTCTTGTTCAGAAGAGGGAAGTTGACTCAATCTCTTTGGTCTGTTCTGTGTCTCTAACTTGCTGCAGGTTGTCCTACAGACTGTGTTTTGTGAAATGTGGACACTGACATGCAAAACTGTTTAATTTGGAATAAACTTCATAATTCACACATGTAGCAGATTTGGTGATTTATAGCCATTTGAGCTCAGGCTGTATGAAACCCAAGGGGGCTTTTACTATGTAGTGTAAGAGCCAGGCATGAGAGACAACTGGAGGAACAAGTTGTTTTCAGTTTACATTTAAGGAAAATAGTCAAATTCTGCAGACAAATATAAGCTGTGGAAAAATCTTCCCACTCTTGCGTAATTGTTTTCTGAAACTTGGCACTCCCTCTCAAAGTTTGGCTGTTTCACTGACGTTTCAACTCGAAAAACCTCCCTCCTCTGGATTCTTTTCCAAAACGTAAATTAAAAAGGAGGATTTAAAAATCTGGAGAAAACGTTTACTGAAGTTTACTAAAGTTTGAAAAAATGTCAATATACCATATTTACTCCTATAAATACTTGATTAATTTGCCACATTTCAGGAAGGAGAAGTTGTTATATGTGAAAGGCAACCCTGTTGTGAGGTGCTAATTAACCACTTCTGTGACGCACACACACACACATACACACAGAGCTATTAAACACCCACACACACACACCTGTCTTAACGGATGCCATGACTGTTTCCCTGCTCTGTCACAACATTTCTGCGCCTTCGGCTCCAGCAGCCAACCTCTCATCAGGGTTAATTAAATGCTTATCCTGATTCTCCCACCCCGACATGAGCCTCCACTGAGAGATTTTCGTCAACACACGAGCAGAATCAATCAACAGCGACGCTTCCGCCGCCTGACTAACAGCCCGTGTTTCTGGGTGTGTGTTGTGTGAACGAGGACGTGAGTTCGCGCCTCTATGACTCAGTAATTGATAAAGATGTCGGCGCTTTAAACTCCTGCAGTAGCTGCGACAAGTGTGTTCATACGCTCACCTGACTCCTCCTCTGCTTGAGCTTGATCTTGATGAGCAGAATGAGGCAAACCAGCGAGACGACCACGAAGAAAGCCAGGAAGATGCCCATGTCGAAATATTCCGTGGGCTGCTGCGGGAAAAGAAGAGGAGCAGAAAGAGGACACATGTCAAATAACCTTTAATAAAAAGAGCAGGTGAAAGTGGAAAGGAAAAGAGAACACCTTCATAAAAACCTGTGATCAAAGTTAAAGTTTCTAATATTATTACGATGAAACCAGCACGCCCAGTAGGACATTTACTGTCAGGTAATCGACAGCAACACAAGTTAGTGTTTCTTTTTCCTCTTTTTCAGGACAAAAGAGGAGAACAACCAAAACTGACACAAAGGAAAGAGAGTTCACAAATGAAAGACATGGTTTTGAATGACTGTTTCCTCAGCTTTGTTTCATGGGGAGGATCAGAGAGTAAGAGGTGAACATGCAGCATAACCTCCATAACCTACTTTACCTCTTTACACTGGGCACCTGACTGAGCTAAACCAGTGCCCCACTGCCGGCCGGGAATGTAAACAGACATTATCAGGTGAAATGTGCTCTGCTATACTCCACAAACAGCTTCAGAACTTTTCACATGTCAGTCTTGACCCTGCGCTCAGAGTACCGTAAAGTGTTGGATAGACTATGTAAAGACAGTATTTCAGTGCAGAGGTCCAAACAAGAACAAGAGCCCATCTAACTCTTTTGTTTTATCTAAAAAAAAAAAAAAAACATTTCAGAAAGAATAAGCAGACTTATTTATTCTCCATCAGAAAAACCTCTCTTATCAGGCTGCCCTTTCTCTCGGGCTTTCATTATGTCAAGTTATTCGCCCTCAAAGTGTGCTGCGCGCTTATCAAATATTCAGAGCAAACAAACAGCTCTTTGAACAGCTGATATTAATCTCTTACAGCTCTGTGAAAACCTCCTCGGCCTCCAGGCGGCCCAGATGGAGGGAGAGAGGAGAAAGGGTCGCGTTTCACAGCTGGAATTCTTCAGCTGTCTTCACATCTACAAACTCTGGCGCTGTTTGGCCTCACAAACATGTTCACCTCTTCCTCATGCTCCTCACATGTGCCTTAGATTAGTCACCAACACACACACACACACACAGGGTGGTTTTGGGGTTTTGGCTTGAAGCGCTTACCCTCGGTGGTCTGTGTTGTATCCGAGCGCGAGCAACCTTCTGCTTGTTCACGATGTTCATCAGCTTAACGGCGTCATTGCCCTTCACGTAAACCACCGGCCGCTTCAGAGGATCCTCAGCGACCTGGTTGAGCTGAAGAAAGGAAAACAGAGATCTTAAAAACACACACATCAGGCGTGGATTTCAGAAACGACACTAAAGCCGTTTCATGTGGACTGTAGTGGTCTTCTGTGAAAGGATCTCATTACTGATGGAGCACATAAAATTCCTTCTTTTCATGAGATGTCAGACTGTGAAAACAGCTGTGAAGTGTTTGTGAAGCATCATGGGAAAAAGGATCGAGATTGTCAAGCTTGATCCATGTTAGAGAGAAGAAATCAAGACACAGCTTTAATTTTGACCTTTTTATTTAAAATATACATGCAGCGGTGAGGCACCTTTTACTGCATCTGCAGTAATTTAAAGTTAGTCGCTGCTACAAGTTAGTCTGAATGAGAGTGATCTCTCGTTTGCCTCCAAACAGATAAACCAAAGTTTCAAACTAAGGAAACTCTGAACTCATCCTTTCACAGGGATACACAGCTTGTATTTCACAGAGTAGTGTGTAAATGTCGTGGACATTTAGCTAAAACATTTTTGTTATTTTTGTCATTGAAAACAACTTTTTAAACATCATTTTTTTCATCTTTGTCGTTTGTAACTCATCATTGTTCGATGAAATAAAAAAAAAGGAGTTGACGAACATTTATGGTATCACCATAAATATAATCGGTAATCAAACCAACACTGGCGTGTGCGTCACCAAACTTAAAGGGATATTCAGGTGTAAAGTTAAGTTGGGGTCAAACACACCGTCACACCAAGTAAAACAACCCCGAGTGCAGCGGAGTTTCGCAGCTCAAGGAGGAACATTTATGATTATTACTTCACTGAAATAAAATTAGACCGGGATGCAAAGTCCAGAAGAACTACCGCGTCTGCAGGGCAAAAAGATTAATATGATTATTACTTTAAGGAAATGATAAAGAAATGATCACAAATGTTCTTCCTTGAGCTGCGTCACACCGCTGCAGTAGGTGATCGACTCATCAGGGCTCCCCCACTCACAAGCAGCTGCTGAAAGAGAGTGGGTGAGTTGTGTTTGGTCTCTTTGCTAAAGAAATCAGGCAAAGCTAAAAAGATGTTTGGTGGCTAGTACCATGGCTGGGACCCTGTGTGATGAAGTTAGGTGCTGTGCTGAGCATTATTTGTGGCTACAAGTGTCTTTTTGGTTGAGGTTTGTGTGTGGAGACGTAGACCACTGTGTATTGCTATCGTGAGGTCTTTGCTGAAGTTGGTATCCCTATAATGAAGTCCTGAACAGGAAACAGAACACCTTCATTCTCTGATAATAACTCAATAAAACTGTATTGTTTGAGTGAGCTTAGTGCTCAGTTGCCCATCTCTAGAGAAGTCACAACTCAACACATGACCGCATGAAAAACATCAACACTGCCAGGTTAGTGAGCGGAGCTGAAGTTAAAGACCAAAACAGATGCAGACAAAGAGGGAGGAATCAAAGCGACCATCATCAGTTTGTCTAATTAAAAACTAAAGAGTCTTTAATGTAAAGAAAAAAGGGTTGAAGAAAAAAGCCTTTTATGGACTCTCAAAGACATATTTGGTCCTGAAGGCGATGCTGTCAGTCCTGAAATACTAGCAGCTTAACTTAAACACAGAGATGAAAAACACTGTTCTGCTGCAGCTTCATGCTGATAGATGATAAATGTTATTACAGAGGGTCACAGACTCTTTTTCAGGGGTCGTTCAGGGAAAAGTTTGAGAACCACTTCCTGACTTCACGTCATTTTCTCTCCTACCATCCAGAGAAATGACCTCAAAGCTGAAGACATGGAAACTGTGGTCAGAGTTTGTCAGACGGGGCAGGAGGAAACAGTCAGTGAGTAGTACGTTCTGGCTTTGGAGCCAGTTGACATGCTCCTTTATTCCTCCTCTCCCTCTTTCGTCTGTTGGTTGGAATCTGTAATTTGAAAAGCCCAAGGGAAATACCGAGGATATTCGCATTTCTATTTCTTCTGCTGTCGTCATGTTCCCCAGTGAAACGCTCTGTGTTCTGGTTTAAAAGTACAGACTCTGAAACTTTTGATCTCTCTTGCTGCTCCTGCCTTGAGAAATGACTCCACCGTGGGTTTAGTCTAGCATTTCACAAACAATTAACCACAAAGAAGTCCACCTTAACAAACCAGGGAAAGAGGAAAAAAACTGTTGAAAGTTAATCACAAACTTTTCCCCATATAAAAGCCTCCACTTGGCCTCACATACAGCATTAATCGAGAGGAAAAAAAGGAGGTCAAGTACATTAACTTCATGAAGCTACTCCTAATTTCGGCCCCAGGACCTTAATTCTCCCTAAGCTCCTCCTCCCTGCCCCTTGGCCTTGTGGGTCCTGTCTGTGCTGATCGGGCCGCTCTGACTGGAAAAGCCTCTCGGGGGAATTTAACACAGCCGCCCAGCGCTGCCTTTCATGTGGTCTCCGCGCAATCCCTTTTATCTCTCAGCTACGCGCTTTACGACCCAGCGGCAGAGGAGAGGAGGCAAGGAGGGAGGGAGGGAGGAAGAAAAAAGAAAAACCTGCAAGTCCAGGCCTGGTGTGGCGAGGATGAATACCACAGGAGAATTCTTGCGACAAAGGCAAACTCTTGTATTATACCTCTAAAAAGCAACGACGCAGGAGCGAGGAGAAAAGAGTGGAAGGAGGAGGAATGTGAGCGTCTGGGTGTGAGACACGAAATGCACTTTGTTCTTCATATAGTGTATGTGTGCTCCCACAAAATACACACACACACACACACACACACACACACACACACACACACACACACACACACACACACACACACAAAGGCAGATCCGTAGTCTCAAGGGATGAGGTAATGTGTGCTACCTGTGCAATTATGAGCTCAACAGAGAGAGTTTGGTCACGGTCTAGTGAAAGCTGAACCCTGGATATTCGTTTTCAGTCCTCACAGAGAGCAGGAACACGAGTTAAAGAGCTCAAAAGGCTTGAGCCAGGCTGATCGGTGTGCTTTTGAGCAAGGACTAAAGATAGACAGATCATTGTTTGCACAAACGGCACACAGTCAGAAGGGCAGGGCCTGCTGCTGCTGCTGCTGTGGAGCTTTCTGTAAAAAGCAGCTGTTTTCTGTGTGACTGAAACACTTGGGATGATTTTAGGTGGGCACAAACCTGGTCGATGGCATCTGGATTCTCCGACACATCAAAGATGACGGCTGTGGCTCCTCGCTGCACCGCTCTCTTCGCCTGGAAACACACAACAAAATGAAACCATTAAGATATGTGCAAAAGGAACCAAAAAACAAGATAGTGCATGCATGTTTAATTTGCAACTGCATCCTCCACTTCTCCAGATTTAGCCACTAGAGGGAGTCGTCTGCCTTAGTGTAATCACATGCAGAGCCACCGCAATGACTAAAGAGGAGAGAGAGAAGCAACAGGCGAGAGGTCAACAACACACACTAACAATATTTGCAAAGCTACACATGTGGTCTGCGTCTCCTTGTCACAAACCGCCTCATCCTGTGAAGAACTAATGCATGCATAACTCCATGTGATGCAACTCTGCATGACAAGAAGCAGACTTGAATTCTGCTGTGCACGCTCAGGAAAGTCGTATAAAGTTATCAAGGATTTCCAGCTGCTTAAAAAGTGAGCGTCTTTCATCTGCGAGCAGGGAAAGTCAGCAGCGCAGAGCTCTTTTGAAGACTTCTGCTCAAGGCGAAGATAAAGGAAATGCTTGGATCTGCAGAACCCTGAGTATCTCCTCACTGAATCCAAATTGGCTTCCCCTCGACTGGAGGGGGGAAAAAAGTTCCTTTATCTTAACTCCTGCTTTGCCCTACAACCCGTTCTCACCCAGCTTGATTCACGGCGCCCTATTTAGACGGCGTTTTGATGTCTGCACTACATGATCTAAAATAGCGTGGCTGGGATCATATCCTGGTATTATCAAGTGCCCTTGGGTTCATGCCAGAGCTCTTCATAACTGGAGGGAAGAAGGGGTGGAGGGGTGAAGATCAAAGTGACAATGTACAGTGCTGTGACTCTGCTGGAGCGGCTGGAGAGTGTCAGGACTGCAGTCAGCGGGCACTGTGAGAGGACACAGAGGAAAGACGGGGAGAGGCTAAACTGATCTCTTTCACAACTGGCAACACCGCTCTGATAGAGGATGTTGAACACTTTTCTGCCTCTCTCTCTGGCCTGTGCGAACTTCATCTAGTATGACACGGACACACTGTGTGAAGTGCTGGATTCTGACTGGTCGTATTAGCAAACTTAAGAACATACCATTGTCGGGGATTTGGCTGTTTATATTTATAGAGTATTGATATTGTCACAAAGGACTGCCACATGTCTGTCCGTCCATCAGTATAATGAGTAGGGCTGTGAATCACCAGTGACGCCACAATACGATATTATCATGATACTTGGGCCATGAAACGAAATGATCACGATTTTTAACATTTTGCTACATTTTTCAACTGTTTAGCTAATTTAGTATTTGGCTTTTCTTTCTGTTCGTCTTATTTATACTGCATTTTATATTCATGGAGCACATCACACAAACCTAAAATATATGTGCTGCTCTAACTTTCTCCTGCTTTATGATGTCACCTCTGCCAACCTCACTGGACAAACAGCTGATTTTATTTTTCCATTATCATCGACCTGATATTTAGCAATTGATTTGAAAAAAATCGATACTTGAGTAAATGAGATGATACGATATATCACCAGACAAAACACTGCGACACTATGATGTATCAATTTTTTCTCCCACCCCTAACAATGAGTTGATTATTTTACACAGCATTGGCCAGAGCTGATCAAATCAAAATGCTTATTTTTCAGATGATAAAACAGGAGGAGAGTTTTCTGTGTCGTTATAACATGAGCTACAATATGTATAATACTTGACTGTTGCGACATTGTGATTTTACATATCTAACGTGAAGCAACACGTAAACTCAGTACATCACACACCCCTATAAACAGGCTGTTCTGGTGGTGTAATAGCTGCTCTTTCACAAAGCTGAATCTGATCGTCTATCACTGATGCTTCTCTATTCATGTGTCAATCTTTAAACCATCATACAGATCAGAAATATGAACAAAAGCAGAAGTTGTTTATGTATATCTTATACTTTAGCTTTCTTTTTTTATACAGTTCCTCTTCGTCCATCCAGAGTTAACAAGACCTCTTCATAATTGAAGCTTTCCAAGAAGTAGGGATACTAATAAACTTTTACTGTTTTCCCTCCTGTTTGAGTGATTAAAATCAATAACTGTAGATCAATAATGGCTCTACATATAGGACATATTTGATAGTCCAGATCACCTTGACTGAAAATGTGTTTAGAGGTTCAGCTTCTGTGTGGACGAATCCCATCAGGAGAGAAAAAAAACAAACTAACAAACTAAAAAAAGGCCTTTAATAGAAAAGAGTGGCTTTTGTATTTCTCTGTTAATGCAGCTTCACTGTGTATCAGCTTCAGAACAACACACACACACACACACACACACACACACACACACACACACACACACACACACACACACACACACACACACACATAGAGCCTGACTCTGAGGTGTTTCAGCTGCATCTGAATGAGATTTCCTCGTGGTTTATTCCACAGATACGATGTTTATGAATCAGGCTGTCATAGCTCATTAAAGACTAATTAACCCTGAAAACTGATTCAGTCTTTCCCAGCAGTGTGGGCACTAGAGGACATAAACTCCTCTCTGTACCTCTTTAACATAAACTAACATCACTCTCTTCTTTCTTCTCTCTCTTTTTCTTTTTTTTTTTTGTGTGTGTGCTGGGAAAGTTCAAAAGCGAGTGCAGCGAAAATCTCACTCGGCTTTTCCCTCTCACCCAGTTTTTCTCTCTGCTCCACACTGCCGGGCTCCAGCCCCCGTTTAATTCAGCACTAGTCTGCTCCTTTGATGTTCGCTCTCCTGGTTAATAATTAATAGCTCTTGGTAAGACGCTTTGAGAAGAAAGAGATCTCCCTCCTAAAGAATCTCCACTCGGGCAGGCCCGCGCTGCAGTGCAGGGACTTGCCTGACGACAACAAAAATGCAGCCACAGGCAAACTCTTTCTCCTCAAGATTATGACACATCTCCTTCCCAAAAACCCGTAAAAAGAAACGACAACATCGGATGATAAAGGCAGAGTTAATACTTATTACTAAGCGGGGACTGCTCAAATATTACCTGCAAAACTTTGAACACTTTAGTGAGGATAAAGTCTGAACATCTGTCTGACTTCAGACGAGCGGCGAAGGGATGTTCGCATGAAGTCAATGTAACACTGTTCACCAGAATTCACTGTTTAAAAGACACTGATGCAGTTTGACTTGTAGTGACAGTCATAAGCTGTGTCCAAACTGTAAGGTAGCCACTCGGGTCTTCCCTGTAGACTGTACAAAACTTGAAGGATCAACAACATTTAAAAAAATGTCTTTTCTTACCCCTAGACTATCCAGTCATTTGAAATAGAAACTTCTGAGATCAGTCTTGTTCGACTATCTCTACTGAGGAGATCTAGTGTATTTGAAAAGCGTGAATGTGGACTCAGTCCTCTATCAACAGGATGAATACCACTCTGCAATCTTCCACTCAAAACAGCCTCATTCAATCTGAGCAGGAATTTCCACCAGCGTCAGTTGGTTCAGTTAATCAGGGTTAAGTGGAGACAAGATGACAGTTTAATCTTTTCATTCACGATCAACAGATTAGATTAAGACTCAAAAACGTTATCATGTTAGGTATCCTATATCTTAAGGATAATGCTGTGATGAGGTTTCAGCTCAGGCATCTGAGTACAAAGAAGTGACGAAGATAGGAGGTTTTATTATAACACACATGCAGCTTTAAAGGGAGATGAAAAACTAGATAAATGCAGTTAGGCTTCTCTGAGACTGAAACTGGGGTTGAATCTGATCATGTGACCATTGTGGTGGTGGTGGTGTGGGAAGGTGATATGGTGATTTCATGAGAATAATGTTGTAATTTGATGAGAATTAAGTGATAATTTTATGGCGAAGAAGTTGTATTTACATGCTATGGTTAATCACAACAGCACATAAAGGATACCAGAGGAAGAGCTCGAGAAGTTTAACTCAACAGATCAGACAAAGAGCAGCTGAAAATTGGACCTGCTCAAAATTACAACTTTATTCTTGCAAAACGATGACTTTAGACTCCTATTTCATTTCTTTCCTAGCAGACGGCCCTCTTCTTTGTCAAAAGTGCCTTTGCTTTGCATATCGAAGGATGTTTTCCTGCAGCTTTCAATAACTTTTGTTTGGGTGGAAATTCTGGCAGCTTTGCCTTTATCAGATAACTTGTTCAAACACAAATTACACCATCTTGAAATTCTGCAAAAGGTGCAGAGAGGATTTTTCTGCTGTTGTTTTTATCGAAACACAGTCAGCGGCTCCCGTCTGTTGTGTTCGGTGAGTCATCTGTGGTTTCAGATCTTACAAAATAGTTTGTTTTCTTGTCGATTGTTGCTCTTTTTCTACCTACTTAACAATACTTTTGGTAGTAGAACTTTTTTTTTTTTTTTGGAGGAGAATCTGTGAGCAAAAAAAACAGGCCCTAACAGGAAGGTGCAAGAAAAGGACTAAGAAAAAGGTCTGTTATCACTTTCTCAAAGCTGAAAGATGATCTCTGGTTCATGAAGCGAGTCTTTGATCAGACGTCCGCACTCCCAACTCTCCACCTGAACTCTGCACTGGGGGCAGTTTCACAGGTACTTCACAATACTGCTGGCTAAACAAACTTCCCGCTGGCTGAGAAGGCATGAGAATTAGGGTTCAATCTTCCCCCCAAGTGAACAGAAACCGCAGCAGAGAGAGAAAGAGAGAAAGAGAGAGTACTGAGAACTCCGTCTAGACGCAGAGGAAAATGAAAAGCTATGTTTAGCATCCCTAAGTGAGGCTGCCAGCTTGTAAGATCTGAGGGAGAGACGCTCGCAGTGGTCTGAAAGAAACTTTCCTCAGAGTAGCGCTCACTTCATCATTCACGTGGACCAGGGACACACACAGATACACACATATATACACACACACACACACAGCACGAGCAGCCACAACACTCTGCATGAGTAGATTTGTGTAAATATACATCAGCAACAGAAGGTTAAGTGCTCAAACACAGGCAGCAGACGCACACCTGGATCACACTTGTGACATCTGGCTAATGCACTAGCTCTTCTCTCACACTTTCTCTCCTACTTTCCTCTCCTCTGCTTCCCTCCTCCTCTCTTCTCTCTCTCTCTCTCTTTCTGCACCGCTATAATTAAGGCAATTAAGTCTTCAGAAGACTCTCCTCTGCTATTATGCTGTAATTTCATGTTGCCTCCTGGCTTTACGGTTTATTAAAAGATAAAGGCATACTTTTCTCCCATGGATTTTCTTATATGTGGTTGCCCTCTTCTTCTTTTTTTCCCCTCCCTCTCTCTTCCCATGTGCGCACAGACATTATTTACATTCAGCTAAAATAAAATAAGACTTTTTCAACGTGGCTGCACGTCATCTGATTGGAAGTTGGTGCAGCCTGGGGAAAGAAATGAAAACTATGCTCTCTCTGCTTTATTCTACTGTACATGGTGTGCTTTTTGCAAACACAGTCATGTATTTTATCTTGACGTTTTGAGCATATTACTCACCCTTTTTTTTTTCTTTTTTAGATCTCCTACTGTTTGATGTTAGCACATCACTGGCAGACTGTAAATCTGTCACAACATTTTACTCTGTTGATCTAATCGTATCAGGTGGGTGATAAATAAACAACGGCTTTGACACTGTGAAATAAAAATTGAATAATTACCCTCTACACATGTATTACTCTGGAGCACTTTTAAGAGGCAATCACCTGAATTAAAGAAACTTGCTTGAGCTGCCAATCACTTCCTGTCTGCTCTTATTTTAGGTTTGGACTCCTCCCTCCCTGGTGGAGGTTTCACGCCTCGATTGCGGGTTAAAAAGAGGTAAATCTAAGTGCAAACCCTCTCTGGTGACTGTGTGTGTTCATTGTTCCTTTTCCTCCCCTCCACCTCCTCGAACGTTTGAACTCTCCCATATTCCTGTTTAATATTTATTTGGAGCATTTTATACAAGTCCCACGACATCTGAGTCCCCGATTCTGGAGCTGCATAAAAACTGTTTACGAAGCACATAAAAATCCACTTGTGAGGATAGGAACGAGGGCCGATCAGACACCTTTATGAATCCCAGGCAGGTTTCTCTAAGCTGTCCTTAATACCGAAGTGGAGGAGGGGAGTCAGGCCAGGATGTGAATTTAAACCTGTTGATAGAGTGCTGGTCTAGGGAAGAGTTGTGGTCCTGTTTCACCCTGCTGGGGGCCTGTTTACGCTGTGTATCGCTCAGTTTACTTCACAGAAAGTCATCGGACAAATAAAAGATATCTCAAACTGAGGTTTTTTATGAAGTAGAAGTAATATCTGTTAATATAGTCAAGAATAAAAAGTACTCTATTTGAAATCTACTTCAGATACTGAGCCCGAGCTTTAAACTAATAGTGGCCAAGATGGGAAAGGAAGTTTCGCCCTCCAAGACGTAATTTTGCGACTTTACTGTTGTTGTTATTAATAAATGAAGTGATTTTAACCCTTGTACCTTATTAAGGTTTCTGGAGGGGTAAGGCCTTGTCTTTGATGCTATAACTTTTTTTCTATTAATGCCCTTGCAAAGAAATTCCTAGAAAATGTGTATTTTGTGATGAGGCATGATATACCTGAAATTGAAGAAAAAAAACCCTATGGTTATGTTTTTTTCTTCAAATATGCTTAATCTTGCATTAGCGCCACACAAGTGCCCCATGCATTCCAATGGGAAACCACTTGTCTTTTACATATACCCATATCAGTGGGAAAAAAATGAATTTCAGCAAAGACTGTTTTCCCCCTTTTCTGAAGACATTAAAGATGCACTGTGCACTTTCAGCCACAAGGTGCACCTTTTTTTTCATGAATAATAGAGGCTGATCTAGCCAGGTGGTCAAAACCCCATTATTCCTTATGGGAATTTGGCAAAAATTACAATATTCAAAAATCAAAAAATGCACATAATTTTATCACTAATAAAATTAAGCATTTTTTTATCTTATTTTTACCATTTTACTTTATTTGGGCATGAATCTGTCTCAAATTTGTTATTCTGGTGTTTTTTTTATTTTTTTTACCATTTTGGTCAGTTTGACACACCCGTAAACCACAGCCTATGATAGATGCAGTCTTTTGGAAGGAAAATCTGCTACCTATTTGTAATATACTGCCACAAGAGTTCAAATCAGATTTTTCCCCCCATTTTTTTGCATTTTATCTTGAGTCTATTTCCAATCCAACTTTTTCAAATTATGAATGCTGAAATTTCATTTGTTTTCATATTCGTTATTGACCTTCAGTGAGAGGCCATTTTTTGCAAAAAAACAAAAGTGGACTGTAGAAGTGAATAAATCAGGTGTGCATGTATTTTTTTTTATGTGTTAGTGTTTTCCGTGTGTGCATGGTCGTGTGTGTTCGTGTGCAAATGTTTGTGCACGCGCATGATCTTGCGCGCGCTCGTCACAGCCAGCGATTGCGTTCATGGCACATGCGCCCCAAGCGTCCGAGGTTGCCCCGGGTACAGCCGCCCCGTTACCCGTGATCAGATAGCCTTAGGCCCGCGTCAGCAAAGGCGGGGAGCCGCTGGCTGCTCTGGAGGTGGTAACCTCACCTCACCACTCGAAAACGGGGGTGTCGGATGGTCGTCGCCGGCGAATTTTACGCGCTTCGCGGCGGGGACACACACACACACACACACACACACACACACACACACACACACACACACACACACACACACACACACACACACACACACACAAAGCTCATCCCCATCGCGGGTCAGTCCCGACCAGAGCAGTGTTTAATCCACTGCTCTGGTCCCGATCCTTCTTCTTCTTCCGGGTAACGGGGTTTTGCATCCGGCAGTCCGACGTAACTCGTAGGCTAATTGCTGTGCCGCCCCTCAGCTCCACAGATCGTAAGCACGCACACACAGACGCACACGCACACACACACTCGCACGCCGGCACACACAAACACTCGCTCGCAGGTACACGCGCGCGCGCACGCACGCACGAAAGTACACACAAACACCCACACACGCACATACATGTTTCAAACTAAAATTAAAAGGATTAAAAGTTTGAAAATAGTTGATTTTTTCTTTTGAGTGGTTAGAGCAGATGTCAATGATGATAGCCATGATAAAAAAGGGGCAACTTTTCATTTGTAGATGACTTTATAGGCCACAAAGACAGTGGCAGTTCCGTGCCACTAATGCAAGATAAGTCGTTTTTTTTTTATTTTAGGCTGTCGCGCAAAAACTGAAACTGCAACTAAAACTAATTTCACACATACTCATACCACTCATAGGTTCTGATAATCCTGCACAAAGAAATTTGATTTTGCATTACTCTTATTATTTTTAGCCCTTTTTTTTAAATTTGGGCATTTTTTACAATGTGTTTACACTAAAATTAAAAGGGTTAAAAGTTTGAAGCTGGGTGATTTTTTCTTATGAGTGGTTAGAGCAGAAGTCAATGATGACAGCCATGAAAAAAAAAGGGCAACTTTTCATTTATAGATGATTTTATAGGCCACTAAGTGACAGTGGCAGTTCCTTGCCACTAATGCAAGATTAGGGATTCTATGTTAATAAGGTAGCAGGGTTAACCCCACACATATCCATGGTGGGCAACTTTTCTCAGTGCTGCACTTCGTTTGGCCCTTACAGGCTTAAAGCTCCCCCTCAGTTTCGTCCTCTACAAACTTGACTTCTGACTCTCATCCTGCTGACATTTGACAGTAAAATCATTTATTGTTATATTTTATGCGTGAATTGTCAAGAAAAAAAAAAGTGCTGTTTCTTCAGCAGCTTGGCTGACACCTACCCCCTCACAATGGTGTCAGGCTTTAAAAAACAGAGGCTATAAAAACTGTTGATCTAGTCGCTGATGGGCTTTTTTTGTTTTTGGACATGAAATTCAGTCTATTTTATGAGAGCCAAAAACCCCTCATAGGAGTTTTAAAATCATGAGTGGCGATGCAGAGGTTTGTTATTACGAGGATTTTGCTGACTGAGGAAAACAGCTACAGATGCAAATATTCTTGACATGATTTTGACCTTTTAGGACCGTGTTGAGACACGAACACAGAACAGGCATTAATGCAGCAGGTTAATTAAATTAAAAGCACTTTGAATACAAATGTTATTTAACTATATATCTTAAGTTTCAAAGCTCTTTTACAAACTTACATCTGCACTTTGCCCCTGACCTCCATTCCAGTGATTAAATTCAGGGGAAAAAATAATTATAACTAAGTATAAAACAAGTTAAAGAGGAAAAACATACAGCAGGAGAACCACGCCGACTTTCAAAATAAAAGCCTAATATAGGGGTGCTGGAGTGAGATTACTGAAAATCAGGTATGAGAGCTCAGGTGAACATAGTTAAAAGGATAAAGAAAAAAATTATGTTAGATAAACTGGTCCAAATAGGCCAACTTAATCAAATAGGCCAAATTTGACTAAGTTGGCCTATTTGGACGTTTATTAGTCAAAGTGACATCTAAAATCTCAAATGAGACTTGAAAGGCCTTACACCTGATTTATGACTTTGTACAGACCCTGGTTAAATTCACTTGAACAAAAAAACAAAAAGAGAAATAAACTCTTACTTAAAATTTAACGACATCCTTTATCTCTCCACAGGCTTTCCTTTCTTAGTGCATCTCTGTCAGAAGTTTTAGACGCAGCCTCAGCTAGAAGTGGTGCAACAAAAACTTTAATCTGTGATAGTTATTCTTCGTATTTTGAAAGAGTTTGCTGTGGATATCAGGTCAGTACAGGGTAAGAAGAGGGAGACTTTATCTGGGTCTCATGATGAGGGAGGGCGAGTATCCCTCTCTTTCTCTCTCCATCTCTCTCGACTCTTTAATGGGGTCGGCTCACCGCCAACTTCCACAGGCAGGACCCCTCAGATGTGCCCCCTCACACACACACACACACACACACACACACACACACACACACACACACACACACACACAAAATTTGATAGCACAATTCACTTGTATAATTCTGGTTATGCAATGGCAGTTGAATGGCCACCTCACATTGTGCGCTGAGTTGGGAAAGATGAGGTGAAGAATAGGAAAAGAACAATCAGAGGGACAACAAAGACACAGGATTGTCCCTGTGGGAGATTTCAAGATTTTAAAAACACTGATTTAGAGAAGTGGGCTGGAGGGAGTAAGGGTATTATCGTAGGAAACCTCAGACCCCCTCCCTGTGGAGAGGCTTTCCACACTTGATTGGATGGAGCAGCTCTGAGGCTCACATCTTCATCCATGTTTAGTCCAAATCTCTGCCTCCTATTTTGGGGGTTCAAACCTGTCACCCATGGGAACTGGTTTTCTCTCTGCAAACACACACTGACACAGATAGCCATCACAATCTGCATCAGTGTGTATGTGTGTGTTTGTGTGGTCATGTATGTTCACAACAGGCAGGGTCAGGGATCAGTGTACCTGGGGCGGGCCTTGTCATTGTCCGATAGTGAGGTCATTACATTCGCCCCAAATCTCCCTCTGTATGTCCTGCTGGACTGGTGTGCGGTTTACCCACAATCCCCTCTGTCCATATTGAGGCACTGTGCCAAAACTCAACCTATAAGCCTGTCTGTGAACACGCCACACAATGTGTTGTATGTCAACCACTGATGACCAGGAGGGGACAACCAGAGAGGCAGAGGAGGCTGCGGTCACAGGAGATCCTGATGACAAACTATCTCAGGATGTTACCAAGTTTATTTTCACAGCTCCTTGCTTAAAGACACCTGGTATTTATAAAACATGATAAAACTCCTTTTATGGTACGAGTGCACGAGAAGTATCTTATCAAACTGCTCCTCTAAAGTACTAAACTTATCAAAGTTGCCTGAAACAAAAAAAAATACCGTCTGGATGTCCTCCCAGTAAATATATAAGTAAACATAATTTCCTTTTCAGGATAGAAAATCTAGAACAGTGCCCTCTGGATGTCCCTTCAGTATGTGAAACATGGGAAAATACCCTCTGGATGCACTTCCATAATGTAAAACACCAAAAACAGTTTCTTCTGGATGCTCCTCCAGTATTCAAAAAACATGTGAAAATGCCCATCATGGCAAAAGTACACTCTGGCTGTCCCTCCAGGATGTAAAACATGGGGTATTTGCCTTCTGGGTGCGCTTGCAGCTTATACAGCATTAAAAAAGAGCGCTCTAGTTCCACTCTAGGATTTTAAAAAGTGACACATGTCCTTGGATGTCCTTGTATCTAGAGCAGTAGTTCTCAAGTCCAGTCCTCGAGGCCCACCGTCCTGCATGTTTTGGATGTTTCTCTGCTCCAACACACCTGATTCAAATGATCAGCTCGTTATCAAGCTCTGTCTTCATAACGAGCTGATCATTTGAATCAGGTGTGTTGGAGCAGGGAAACATCCAAAACATGCAGGACAGTCTAGGATATAATGTAAAAGAGAAAAGCCCTCAAGATGTTGTTCCAGTGTAAAAATCACAAGGAACAGACTCTCTTAATGCACCTTCATCCTATAAAATACTGAAAAAGTGCCATCTGCACACTCTTTTAGTAAAACATGGGTAAAAGCACTCAGGGATAAAATGTGATGAGGTGCCCTCTGGATGCTGTTTTAGTGGGTAAAAGTTTAGAAAGTGCCCTTTCCCTCTAAATGCCCTTCTCCTAAATTAAATGTGATAAGGCACTTTTTTTGTTATTTCCCTTTTTTATTAAGTCCTTTTTAAAGTTGACATGCGAGGATTGAGAGCCCAGGTTTGATACCCTGACTTAGTCTTTAATTTCAGTCTGTCAGATGCTTAAAATGTCTGTTCAGTATTTTATCTGTTGTGATAGAGGCAGCTTTTCCTTTCAGTTCTTGTTTCCTTTCTTTCTGTCTGATTTTATTAACAATATTCATCAGCAGGACGTTTCAGAAAGACACTTAAATAACACAACTCATGTTTCACTCAGTGCTCTGATTTCTGGCTAAATGCTGAATTCTCTCAACTCTACATTGACTCAATCTCACAGTGAGAATCCGTCTGTCCTCTTAACCCTCCTTTACTTTTTAGCGGGTGTATTTGGGTAATAAAGCGATGAAACAGCAGGGCGTTGGTTTTTCCTCAGCTGCTTGTGAGGAGATAATAAATAATAAATGAGGCTGATGCACAGAGCGCAAAGTTCTGGGAAATTCAGAGAACTTAAACATCTTCCTTTCTAAATATACATGTTTGTCTAGCTTGTTGAGCACCGCGGGGAGCGTTTCCTGCCTCCCTCCACAGTTTGATGTCTTGTGGTGTCCGGCGCGCACACTTACACAAACATGACCATGGATGCAAATGCACTGACTCAGACCGCTGCTTATCAACAGGGCTTCTAGTCATGTCTCCTCGCACTGCCTGCTGCTCTGCCCTGCAGAGACCAAACGCTGGGGCCCGAGGAATGGACAACCGCTAATTAAATTTCCTCCACTTTTCCTCTCCGTCCCTCCCATGTTGTTTTCTTACCGGTTTTGGGCTCTGGCTCTTTGTGATTCACAGGAAAATAAACAAGCTTTCCGGCTAAGGACAGGAATACTACTTTTTAAGTGCTTCTTCTCCTCCGCCTGGTGTCCAAACAAGAGTCAACAGGATGAAAGCTGGCCTGGTTAGGAATCTTTTCAATTTTTCACGGTTAAATGCCCGTTTTCTGATAAAGGAGGTGAAATTATCATAGATTTTTACTTCTTAGCTTTCAAAGGACAACCACAAGGTAGAGAAAACTTTTTACACGTTTTGAAACTTCTGGATTTTCAGCATTTTTCATGAGATTTGTGCTGCTGGAAGGATGAAGGAGGGAAGACTTGGGATTTGGGAGCAAGTAAAGGCTGGATTTTTGCTGTGCATGTTAAACATCAAATGTCAAACTTTCAAGAATATATGAACCTGAAACTACGAAACCAGCGGAGCAGAAAGTTTCAAGTCATCAGGTTTTCAAAGAGCATTAAAAATTCAGTCATGAGTTTATACTGCATTTGGATCTTCCTTCTAAGAACAGGATCCACACTGAGCTGTCTATGGAAGACAGGATTTGGCACAAGGATACAAACATGGTGATGCTGTCTGGTCCAGAGCTCCAGTTTCTCAGGTCCTGGTTCTGGATGGGCAAAGGGGTCTGAGCTTTGGCTCCATTTCACCAAAGTAGAAGATACAAAAGGAGAGAAATGCAACAATACCTCAATCCCAGCACCTCAGACTTTGAGTCTAGAAATCACTCCTCACTTCCTTACTGCCACAAATCAGTCAACCTTTTCCTCGTCCACTCAAAGCAGCTGCGAAGAAGTGAGCATAACCCAACTGAAAATGATGACCCTATGTTGAAAACTCTGCAGGGTAAAAGCCAGATACAGCAAACTAGGTGATGTTGGGTTAGAATATGACGTGTTTAGTGTTGCATGAGTAATGTGACTATTGAAAGCAATTCAAACTCTTCTATTGTTGCATTGTAGCCTTATCTTCCCCAATAATTGATGAGTATTGATAGTGAAATCGATCAAGCCACATATAGTTGAGGTGGCTTGACGATCTGTGCAGTTAGCTCGGAGCAACCAGGGAGGGGCGGTCCAGTGTGTGAAATCACACCCTGGGGCACCATACCTTGCTTTTTGGGGTGCAGGGTTGAAAGTACAAAAGCATTGCGATGGTTCTGGTGCTGTTGCAGAGCTGCAGTGTCTAAGAGAGGCTAATCAATCAATTCCAAGTTTCAACTCACACGAGCTAATTTTTCTTAATCTATTTAATTCAAACAAATGAGGCATGTAGCTAGCTTGTAAAATAAAGTGGCAGCTCAGCTTGCAGCCTCCTAAAGCTCTTAACTTGTGTCATTTACGCCAGTCCAAGTCGCTGCCATGTCACTCGGACGTACAAATAAAGCTCTAGTGTTAGCAAATATCCAACACATACATGCTAATTAATATTACTCCTCGTATAAAACAGACCCTAATCAAGCATTAACATGAACAGCTGCAGGTCTAAACTGTAGCAGAGCAGTCTTTGTGCTTCTCTTTACAGGATGCTATAGTGTGAACATGGGCTATAATCTAAATGAAGAGCTTCCAGTTGAACCGAGGTGTCTCACTATGCGGCTACATCTCTCCTTCCTGTAATTCGTCTGCAGTCGTACGGTTTTCCTCTAATCTCTCTCTGCCTTGAAGCTGCTTTAGGAGACCATGTCCCTGCTTGCATGAAAGAGAAGTTGCTGCAGTTGCCTCAATCTCTTGTAATACTTGCTCCTGCTCCTGCTGCTGGTGGAGGGGAGTAGCTGCTGCCTGCGGTCTCTTCTTTCCCTGGGCAAACAAGGCAGAGCAGGTCAGGACTCAACCCTGTAGCCCCCATCTCTTCCCTCGCTCTCGCTGCACCTCTTGTTTCCTGCTGTGAAGTGTTTCTAGCAGCAGGCCAGCACAGAAAAATGACTTAACCTTTGGCTGCTAAACTTATTTCATCAGATAGAAACATTAAACAAAGTGCTGAAGAAGGAGAAGTTGAAAGAGTCTTTTAAACTTTCTTCAAACCGACTTCTGCTCCTTTGATGATTTCTATCAGTCTCAACGTTAGCTCATAGACTACAAGTGCTGGCTGTGAGATGACAGGCGCAGGCAGCAGCCTTAAAGGGAGGGAGAGAAATAAGGTCCAATTCAACTCCTAGAAGAGCAAAAGGCTCACAGCAGGGAGTTTAAAAAGTAAAATCAACACCAGCGCTGCAGAAACAAAAGTATCACGCCATGCATTTGTACATTATCCTTTATAAAACTTTTGCAACCTACATTTCCCACAATGCAACATGACTACTGATGGTTCGTTCTGGTTCTCTGGCACATTATTCCCCTCTATTTGGACCTCAGCCGGAAATAAACAGTGTGCAGCAATGGCCTTGTGAGCTGCGTTCATCAGTGATGAATCATCACTGTAAGTAGTTCTCTCTAATATATGAAAGTGAGTGAAGGCTCAGAGTAGATTGTTACAGAATATAGGATGCCTTATGAGATAAAAAGGAGTGATTATGGGAGTAAATGTTATAATGATAATTATGAGATAGGAAGTAAAAAGAGATTAAAAAAAACACACTGGGAATCAAGGAGACGGCACTGTGTCGTTTTTGCCAGGTAATCCCATCTCATAATTTCTTAATTTATTGATCCCAAATGATCAACTTTCATTTTACAATTTACATTTTTTAATCTTATAATTCTGGTAAATTCTGATTTATCTGCCATAATTATAACAGATTTGATGGTAATTTTGACCGCTATCTCCAAATTATGACTCCTAATTTTGATTTTTGTAATTTCAAACTTTTATTTACATATCTAAATTCAATAATTCTGACTGTTAATCTCATAAATGTGACCTCTTCGTTTCATGAAGGATTTGACTAATCCCCTAATTTTTCACTTTTTATGTTACTATTGTGACTCTTTTCTCAAAACTTTGACCTTTTTATTTCATAATTTCTTATGTTCTTAATCTAATAATCCCAATTTTTCTTTTATAATTTTGACTTTTATCTCATCATTTTGGTTTTAACTGATAGACCTGATTTATAATCTTACATGTTTTGTTTGTAATCTTACAATTTTAACTTTTGATCTTGTAGTTTTAACCTTTCATTACATTATTTTATTCAAAGAAATAAAATCATCTTCATATGTTCATCTCATAATTGTAACTATTTACCTGATAACGATGAGTTGCCATTCTTCCTTTTTTTATTTCTCTATTTAACAAGACTTCAATCTGTTAATGATTTAGTATTCAGTTTTTTTTTTTTTTTTTTTTTCCTTAGAGTTGATGAAACCAGAGAGATGATCACATTTGTAAGACCACCAACCCTCTAAACTTTGGGCTCAGTCACTCCCTTACTTTTTGTCTTATTTCACTGTCCCACCGTGGATTTCCTCAAAGTGGGCATGTCGGCGGCTTCAAAGAGAATGGGAAAACAGCTCTGGGCTATCTGGTGCAATATTCAGGTGTGTTAAAGTCATTTAGCTGCTAAGCCTTTGATATAACACCTCATTTTGTCTTATCTTATCAGAGGTTCATCTCTGTCTCTGTTACATCAGACTGCTCAACACTTTATCACACCCAGGAGTGAGGAAATAGTTCCCTAAAATCCAGTTGTAATCCCCCCCCCTCCTCTGTTTTTGTCACAGATTACTACACTAAAAAAAAAAAAAAAAACTCCCATTAAAACTCTGACTGATTTTTTGTCTCCAATAAACAATGCTGATATCTCCTCCAGTGTCCACCAGGTGCATTTCTATTCTTCCTCCCTTCCCTATCTCGATGTCTCTCTTCTTCCATTACTTCACTTTCTCAGAGCACAGCAGCTCTAATGTCGCTCTCTCCCTCTCTCTCTCTCACACACACACACACATCCCCTACACACACACACTCCACTTCTTCGGTCTCCTTCTGCCGGGCCAAACCTTGCCTCCCTGGCAGAGCATGAAAGAAAGTTTTAACCACAAGAGGAGGATGACATTTTCACCCCTTAACCCTCCAGTAGAGGAATCATCTGTAGTGGGAAGAGGCATCAGATTAGCTGCATGGGGACCAGGGGGGCTTCAGTTTCCAGCTTCCGTGCCAGGCTGCGGGCCCCGAGCCTTAAAGACAACACGGCCCTGACATACGCAGCGGGGTGCAGGACGCCAGGATTCTCACACACACAGGCACATTCCCCTACAAAGCAGCGGGCTTAGACGGAGATGAAGAGAGAAAAGACAGGGCTTGGGTTGACGTGGGTGGATGTCTGGTGCTATCTTTTCGAAGATTTACTTTTTCCACAGTGCTGCTTTTGATCCAGCGCCGCCCCGTCTTTTCTGGGCGCTGTTTGACAGACGGGAGAGCTTTACTCATGGCTGGTGTCTGACGTCCAAATAACAATTGAGATGAAGAACAAAAATCAATGCAAGGGTGGGGGAAAAATAAAGAGAAACATCTCCAAAGTTCACTTTCCTCTCGTTTCCCCTCCTCTCTACTTTTTGCTTGACTCTCTTCCTCCTCTCTCTTTCTCTCTTTCTCCCTTCATCTCTCTCATCTTAAGTCCCCAGGGCTCCTTTCTTCTCTCTTTAAATAGAGGCCTGAGCTGTGAAGTCTAATAATGGTCATTTGGCCTCCCATTGAAAGCTGGGTAATTCGGCCCAGGGACGGCTCACTTTGAGCCACATGACACAAGGAGCTTCCCAGTGACCATGGCAACCAGCGCAGTGGGATCCTGGGCGCCTCCGAGCGGCGTGAAACACGGTGAAGCAGTGATTTAGGGGGACTTTTTTAAAGGAAGGGAGTTGAAGTGAGAAGGTGGGTGAGGGGTTGAGAGAGAGAGAAAAGAGAGCGAAGAAGAGAGAGGGAGAGAGGGGCCCCCGCCTGGACGCAGTGGAAGCCTCTCCCGACACCCCGCCAGGAAGAGCGGCCAAGATAATATCAGCAAGTTGAGGCGTACACAAACATGAAAGGAGAGCCCGAGAGGCAGGCCCCCGAGTGCTTCGGGCTTCTCAGGCTTTTCTCTTCCCTCTCCCTGCTGCTGCTCCTCCTCTCTTTTTCAGTTTCTCTTTCTATCCCTCCCTCCATGCTGCGGCGTTTCAAAGTGTTTGTTAAGGGTGTTCAGGGCAAGGGGGCAGGTGGAGAGGAAGCTAAAACGCTGGTTTGTAGATTTTACCTCCTCACACCACAAGGCCATCCAGACAGCTCTCTGCTTAAGTTTGGTAACTTTTTGCAACTTTTTAAAAACTTAAAGATCCAATAAAGAGTTTTTTTGATGTGTGTGAAATAGACTGAAAATCATACTGATGCATTTTCACAATATCCAGAGGAAAACAAGACCCCCAGGATCAAGTCTGACAACATTTTTATAGCAGTTTTAAAAGGGCTGAAGTTCCTGAAAGTTCCTCACAGGAGCTTTAATCATATTCCTCAACATCGATGAGATATTCAGATAGTTGTAGATGTAAACTGTATCAACTTTTATACAGTAAAACTCGCTTAAAGCGCCTGTGAATTTTTGTCAGATTCTGTGTTTATTTTGGCGCCCCCTTTGGATGTGTTATTGCTGTTTTTATTTAAACAACAAAAATTCATCTTCTCTCTTAACAGTTAATTGCATCATACATTGTAAATCTATGATGAAAAAGCTGTCCTCATCCGACAACTACCCCCAGACAAAAAGTTCAGACAGTAAAAGTAACTTTACAGAAATAGTCACTCTTCTTCTTTACTGTCTTGTTTGCTTTTTTAGGTCCTACAAACACAATAATATTATTATTAGTCGTTTTCAAAAACAAACAAAAAAATCCTTACTGGAGCTTTAAACTGATTCTGAAACAGTGTCAGAATAAACTGATGCCTCCTCATCAGTCTACTCAGTTGTCTCTTTATACACGTATTTTCAGGTTAGATTTCCTTCAAAAAAAAAAAATAGCTTAGAGCTTTGGTGGGGAAGTTTGGCCATTGGGGAGCAAGTGAACAAACAGAAGTTTTTTTTCTGAATGAGAGATGTCAGATGTTCAAACATTTTCCAGAAAATGTATATCAGTGTGATTAACTCAGAGTTATGAACATAACACAAACACTTACAGCATGAGAAAGAGGAGCTTTAGTACAACTATTTAATTCCATGACAAATATCTGCATATGACAGCAGATGGAAAATGCAGTTTCCACCCTAACTCTGTTGACTGTGTTTAAAGGGGTCACCTGGATAAACACAAAAACCCCTTACTGTACCTTTAATGGCTTTATAGAAATCTGTAGTTTCACTCAACGGAAGATCTTCCAGGAGCAAAACTCTGCATTTTTGGTACTTTTAAAAGAACTCAAGACAAGACTTCTTTAACTTGCTGAGAAGTTGATGACATTACATCATCTGTCTTGTTATCTGCTTGGATTCAAACAACCCAATATTGACATCCTATTGTCTGCTGGACAGAAAGGAAGTAAGCCCTATCATTTTGAGCCCAAACAGAAAGAAAATTGTCTTATTGATATTCTGTCTCTGTATGGCTTCGCTGTGAAACGATTTCTGCGAAAAACTCTTGCAGGAAAAAAAACAAGCTTCATCGGTTTCAAACAAAAGCCTGCCGTTGTAAATCAATCACTATTGTGTCTTGACTGCAATCTAACACAACACTCTAGAGACTGCAGAGAGTAAAACTACTGCAATTTTCCTTCCTTCTGTTATCAAGGCTCCGTGCCTCACTCAGGTCTCTGCAGAAAGAGAAAGAGGAGGAGGAGGAGGAGGAGGAGGAGGAGGCATGAAAAATGAAAGCAGTGAGTAGAGAGTGATGAGAGAGACACAGTGAGTCATTCAGCAGTCTGCATCAAAACACCAGCTGATCTGCTAGCCTTCTTCTTCTTCTTCTTTTCAGCCAAGCTGATAAGAAGTGTTTAGAAGCTAATGTGCACGTACACACAGCAACAAATACACCCACTGATCAGACAATAATCCTCTCCATGACGGGAACATGCTGTTTAAGAAGCGCTCTGAAAACAAGGCAGCCACTTGAACCCAGCATTGAAGCGTCTTTACTACAAGCGCTGCGGTTTGACACCCTCCTGGCATTGCCGTGGCCTCGGGACGACCTCGAGCACGCACCTGAGTGTGTAGGACAGCTAACCTGGCCGCAGGCTGGGAGCCAGACGCCCTCCTGCAGTATCACACTCATCTGTCTGCTGCCATTTCTTTCTTTTCGTGCATTTATTCACTTCAGACGCACACTCTCACCGTCCTCGCAGGCAGCCCTTGTGTACTTTCTGTACCCCAGTCATTCCTCTCTCTCTCTCCCTCTCTTTCTCTCACACACACACACACACACACACACACTACACCCTCTCTACAGCTCTGGCTGAGATGCCAGACACGGTTAGAGTCCAAAAGCCACTTAGCACCAAGACGCAGCAGCTGTTTGCTCTGGCCTGCTGTCCTGTAGTGCCAACTTTGAGGAGTAAGGTTGAAAAAGATGGAGACACACTCCTCCACCCCCTCACATTGTTCCATGGCAACTGCATTTCAGGATTGTGTTTGTATGTGTGTCAAAGTCAGAGCTTCCCACACAGGATATGCTTTTTATGATTGTGAGCCTCTGGCGAAAACTTGAAAGTATCAAGCTTTATTTCAGGGAGAATATGTCAATAAAGACCTTGATACTTTTCTCGTTGCTCCAGTTATTTTTGAGTGCTTTGTAGCAGCCGCTCTGTGGGGCCAGTTGTGCTCCGCTGCGATGAAATGTTGTCTTTGGCCGGTTTTAAAGGTGGAACTGATGGTGGTTCAGAGACGAGCTAGTCGAGGGCAGTGCCAGGCCACACACAACAAGCACATACCAGGGAGTTTTACAAGCTATGCCAGCCAAGAAGCTTGCTTTACACAAGCTGCAGCGCTGTGTGGGAGGATGGGTCGCATTTTTCTGCTTATATGTGTATGAAAAAAAGTTGTACCAAATAAGACACTTATCCCAGCCACCCACTTACAGAACCAGACAAATTCACCTCTGTCATCGCCTTGAGAAGACAGATCAACACACTCAGATCGATAACATAAAATAAGATTTACAAAAGGGGTCCCGCAGGGCTCAATTCTTGGTCCCCAAATTGTTTAAACTTTACATTAATAACATCTGTAACGTGTCCAAGCTATTCAAATTTGTTTTTATCTGTTGATGATATGAATCTTTACTGTTCTGGAAAACATTGTTTCTACATACGGTGAAAAATGAACTGAATGTGTTAAAAAGTGGTTTGACCATTACAAGTTATCATCAAAGTTGAGCAAAATGAAATTAATCTTGAGCAATCAGGAAATGAAAACTCACGAACCAACCAACAGAATTTTTATCTGTTTAAAGGCCTTCAAATCTTGTTTAAGCTGAACTCAAAACTGCCCAGGAAATGTACAAAAAACAAAATAATTAACTTCTAGATTGAATTCAGAGGCTGTTTGAAACCAGAGAAAGCAGGAACTTTTGGTTTGTGTCAATTTCAGGCACCCCATGTGGACAAAGTAGTCTTTGCTTATCTCGTCCTATGTATGCTTTAACATTTTCGCCTGACAAAAAGTTCAAGTTGCTGACTTATTCATGGTCAAATCTTTTATGTTTTGTGAATATTTTATTCGGGAGATGTAAAAACTTTTTCCTCCCTTCCAGAATAAAAATCTTCAATCTTGTCACTGATGGTCTTGTTTGCTTGTGTATATCATCAGAAGACATCAATGTGAATTTCAGTCTGTTTCACAAGTGTCCAAACACTCCTCACAGGAGCTTTAATACGCTTGTCAATTTGCTGTGCTTTTAGGTTGGACGGAAATGCTTTTGGTTTTGTTGCTTGTTTTTTTGTGTGAATCATTTTAAGATTTTCTTGTGGCTAATAATTAATCGATGAAATTCTACTTTGCATTCATTTTCTTTTTCTTGCATTTTGAGCCCCTCAGCATATTTTGGTTTGTGACTTCTACATGTCTTCTTTGTGTTAAATGGGGGGTGAAATTGTTGATGTTGTCCAAAATAAACTTAACTGCAAAGACAAACCTCTGTCCACTTTCCTCTCTATCTTCCACCCCTCTACTCTTGTGCTTTTCCTCCTCCGGCTGGTTGCCCGGGTTATGGAGCTGATGTCATGAGAGCCTGGGGAGGATGAAAGACGCAGAGCCGACATGCTAAGGCCCCGTGAGGCCGTTGGACTGACACGGCGGCACTTGAAAGAAGAGATATCTCCTTGGCACCGCGACAAAGACTTCAACGAGCCTCGGCCACCAATGAAAGCCGGTGGCTTGATTTCATGTTCCAGGGGAGCTGCCAAAAATCGCAATGTATGTGTGTGAAAGACGGCAAAAGGAAGGGAGGGAGGCCAGTTCTGAGAAAGTCAGGCAGCAGTGAGGAATGACTACCAAAAATATGTTGTTGACTGCAAAAAAATGCCGGGATAAAGAAGGATAGATCTGTGCAGAGGTTTAGGCGTGATTTACGACTCGTAAAAACAACTCAAATAAAGCAGCTGCTGTCCTTTAAGATAAAACCAGGGCAGCAGCACACACTACCATCCTTATATGACTCCACAAGCCAGACAACTACTTCAAAGAGTGTCTCAAACACAGTTAGCTACAGTAGGAACTGATTTTCTCATGGTCTTCTTCCTGCTGTAGGGGGGAGGGGTTCAGCTGTGACACACAGAAGTCAGCGCTTTAACAGTCCTGCAGCTCTTACAGGAACCAGAGAGGAAGTGCAGGAAAAAACTGTGTACATATACATGACACACAAGCACTTTGGCGAGGTGTGCACATGGACTTCAGAGGCCGGCATGACCGACCTCTTTTCCTCTGTTTCCTCTACTAGGAATATTTGCTGAGTCCAGAGCATCTCCCTGCAACAGCTGGACTGTGCTTCTTCTACAGGAGATTTACAGGGTTTGAAATACTGTTAAAAATTGATTCTGATGGGCTGTGAATCATTTAAACCACACTAAAATAACAAACAAATATTGTATATAGACAATTTCTTCTTCAAATGTTCATGATTTCCAAAAAGAACGACAAAGCTTGAATTGTCACACCACAGGACAGCTTTCCACTTTGACCCAGTCCCTCTGGTCTAGCAGTCTAAGCTCCCCATATTTAGAGACTACAGTCCTGGTGGCTGTGGTTTCTGGTTTGATTCCCAGCCACAACCCTATCCTGCATGTCTTCCCCCATTCTCTACACCCCACGTTTCCTGCCTCCCAAAAAACTTGCTGTAATCTGAGGGTTCAGAGCAGTTTGAAATCCCCAAGCTAGTTAAGCTAATATCCCACTGGTGCTTCAGCTCTAACACCGTGTTCATACAAACATAAGAGTGAAGAAAACTGTGAATAACTTTAAAATGATAAAGGAAATGGGAGCAAGATTTTGAAAGGAAAGGAAACTCTGAAAGCAAATCAAACTAACCTGAAAATCTTCAGCGGTAAGAAGAGGGAAGGAGAAAGAGCGCAGAAATGCTTCCAACATGACATTCACTATTGTAGCTATCCGGATGACCGCTTGCACAAAGGTGAGCTCTTTAATGTATTTTAGTCTGGTCAAAATTTAAAAGGGGTTGATTGCAGCTCTGAAGCACAGCTTGGAGTGTTGTGTCCTCAGACGCTTTTTACCCAGACATCGATTGGTGTAAACAACATTTTTCCCCCTGCAATTCTGTTTTGTCCCTTCGGTTCAGGATTCTGTAATTGAATGGATACTAAATTAACCGGACAAGACCCCAACACTGTTGGTGGCAAAGTGGCAGCAAAGTGGTGTGGGCTCTTGGGTTCAGTCAGGGGCCAGTCGGGTAGGGCGGGCGGGGGGGCGGGGGCTGCCAAGCACAAGGCCAGACCAGGCGGGGTGAGTGTGTAAAAGTGGGCATAGTATCCGGACTCGGGCTGGGCATGGTGGCCTTGCTGGCCGGGCAGAGTAAGCAGACTGGCAGGGGGTACACACTGCACTGTCTGCCCCGGCGTAAGCAACAGTGCCAGCGCAAAGCACCCAGCTGTGTTCGATCCCCGGTTGAGGGTCTGTCAAGATGCAACAATGGGCTTTCCCTACTCTAATTATAGTCCTGGCAGACTAAAAACAGAGGGAAGAGAGTGGTCAAGAGGTCAGGGTGGCTGGCTGGGAGCCAAAAGGTCACAGATGAAGGTTCCCGCCATCCCCTCCAGACTGTCGATTAGCAAAATGTTCACACTTACAATGTATAAAACAGGAAGCTCATTACAGCTCGGCTCTGAATGGACCCAGTAAGTGGTGGATCTTGGGTACTTGGATGCCCTCATTGCTTGGTTGTTTGAGGCACTTGCCAGGTCGCTGCTGAATTTAGCACAGAGGGTTCAAGTTCACAACAATATCATGATCACTGATCACTGAATTTTGATCACTTATCTTTCAGATTGTTGGACTAAAGGGATCAAAATCAATGCAGCAAAATAAAAGAAGTTTATTTACTGTACTCACTGGAATTGGTAAAAGTTGGTGCCTGGAAGAAGAACTGAAGATAATTTTGTAGTTTAATATAATTTTTGATTGAAGTAAATATCAGCCCCAAATATCAGTTACCAGTCTCATTAAAGGGATATTCTGTATATTAATCACGAATGTTCTTCCTTGAGCTGCAAAACTCCGCTCCACTCCGAGGAAATGATGCGCTGTACTTGGTGATCAACTCGTCAGGGCTCCCCCACAAACAAGCGGCTGCTGGAGGAGAGTGGGTGAGTTTTGTTTAGTCTCTTTGCTAAAGAAATTAGGCAATGCTAAAAAAGATGTTTGATGGCTAGTACTGTGGCTGGGACCCTATATGTACTGTTGATGAAGTTAGGTGCTGTTCTGAGCATTATTTGTGGCTATAGAGTGGCTTTTTGGTTGAGCTTTGCGTGTGGAGATGTAGAATGCTGTGTATCACTATTGTGCTGTGGTTACTAAAGTTGGTACAACTAGAGAAGCAAGCAGTCAGGAACATTCATCTCTCGAGGGGGTGTCTAACTCGGTGTTACGGTGTGTTTGACCATAACTTAAATTTACGCTGGAATATCCCTTTAACTTTTTACAACCAGTATTAGTAAAGGCCCTGAAAAAACAATATCACTCAACCCCCAGTTCCGATACAGATGTCATCCTGATGAGTTGCTACTTTACCTTAAAGACAGACCAACATTACTCCTGACTCCTTCTATGGTAGTCGGGGTTGACTGATGTCGGTTTTTCAGGACCGATATTGAAACTGATAAATCAAACTTCATGGTGTTTGGAACTGACCGGCTTTCTTTGATCTGTCAAAATGTAGATTTTAAAATCCCACAAACTTGGTTTAAATGCTTTCCGCGAAAGTTTAATCAAAACTTAAACTGTCAACATCATACACAGGAGTAAACACTTATACTTCCACAACAAGGTTATGTCATAGTCCTGTGATGTCTTGCCAATCAGATAGTGTTGTGGGCGGGACATTAGGTGAGGCAGGGTGCTGAGTGAAGACAGACTCAGAGGGAAAGACACACCAGCAGTGGAGCTGAAGTAGAATATTAATCGGTCTGCATTTTCTACAGAACAGCAGCAGACGAACAGCTCATCTGGATTTAACAGAATGTACTGTCATGAGTGGCATCCCATCGGGATGATAACTTACAACTTGTAGTTAAAGTGTTATTGTATCCCAAAATAACTCAACTATTAGCTCTGAAAATCCTGTACTCCCCTCCCAGACTGCAGAGCCTCTTTTCTGCCATCCAACACATACTGTTCCCATGACAATTATAGCAGCGGTGAGTGGTAAACAACAACTTTCACCATTATAGTTCCCTTGGTTTCCCTCTGGAGCTGTTAACTGCTCCTCAAACATGGACACATCGCCCCGGGGCCGTTTACTAGTGAGCGAAGGCGGCCGTGACAATGATGGATCCACTGCTACAGTCAGGAGGAGTCTGAGTGCTGAACATTAGGTCAGTTTTCAGGTCCCAGCATAAGTATGCATCAGCTAGATAGCAGCTACCATCACCAGAGAAAGTGCACCATTAGCATGTCTATACGACACAAGGGCTCCTTAAATTATGAATGGCTGCTCTCTTTCTGTCGCCGGCCATGCTCAGGATAAATGAGACTATAGCCGGCGCCCCTCCTCCTCCATCCTCCTTCATCCTCCGGGGAATGTTGGTACATTCCATTAAGAGGAACACTTAATTAAAGCATGATAAAATACCACTCTGAGACTCCAGAGGGGTCTGGGCAATGCAGGGAGGGAGGGAGGGAGGGGACAGGCAGGCTGGGAGACAAGAGCGGGATTGAGTTCACCCTCACTCTCCCAGCAATGGGAAGTAAGAGTCAAAATAAAACAAAATCATCCTTCCGTGTATTGTCTCTGCGACGACAGGAGATCGGAGATAAAGTCTTGAAAGAGTTTCATTAAGTACAAGGAAGTTGTCCTGAAGTTGAGCGGAGCAAACAGGACTCTGCTGCTGATATGGAGCCAAAACAACAGACTGCAATTTCTTACCTTTCCCAGCACAGTGAGACAACTAGGGTCCAGCTCTGGTTGCTCCAGCTTCACCACCCCGACCCAGCCGTACTCGTACAGGTCCTCCTCATCATTGTTGTTACATAGTCCCAAAGGATGCATCTGGAAAACACAAAAGAGATATGAAAGGGTTAATATCACAGGATATAGATATACAAGGCAACCTTCTATGAAGAGCGAAAACAGCATGTCAATTCTTTCAAGTGAACATGAAACGCCGCCCCACACGATGACAGAGGTCCCTGGCATCTTTGGCTTACAGATTTGCAGGCCCCCTGCAACCCCACAACCTCCCCCTTGTTTGAAGGAGTCCCATAATTTATAATCCACTTGTCACCTATTTTCCACCATGAAAAGTAAGAGCTTAAGAGCATTAGGCATCTCTGAAGTATTCGCTGTGTGCGGCAAAATCATGCAGGATCTGAACATACAGCAAGGCATTGCAGCGGACCTCTCAGAGAGAGAAAAGAGGCAGATAAGCAAAAAGTGGGATTAATGTGCTTTCATGGACGGCCTGATGAAGAAGCAGAATTTCTCCTTCAGGAACAGCGGGGTTGACTGCTTTGACTACTACTGCTGCTCATGATTGATAGTGGTGCCATTGCTGTCGACCGGGATAGCTATATTTTATCTGCTCTTATTAGCTAAAAAGTGGACGCCAACAATCAGCGTCTATCAGACTATCTTCAGCTGTCCTTTCATTACAGTCAAGGCTACTTAATTGGCCCAGTTCTCTGCGCCAAAAGGCTTTCCAGAGCGGGTGCTGAGACAAGTCTTTAGAGGAGATTAAAGTTAGAGGAAGGCACACATCACAAACACCGTCTCACTCACTGGCTCCCGAAAAGAGGAAGTAGTAGCCTTCCTAATTACAGTCTAACAGAAGCATTTAACTCAGAGTGCATCCGTTATTTAACTCGACTGAAGGAGGAAGGTAACCAGAGAGGACCGGAGAGTTTCAAAGTTGAGGATTTTTCAGTTTACATGTGATACAAGATGTGCAGCATGGCAACACAAACCAAGACCCCTGAGGACAACTGCAGCTCCACAGCTCTTCATTAGGATGGTGTAACGATCTGCTCAAACACGGTTGGATTAAAACTGTAACTAAGCAGAGTCACAAAATCCTGGATCAGTTCCCCTGCCTGGCGACAGTGCAAAGACAAGCTCCTGTATTAGCATTAGAACTGGGCCAAACTGACCTGCAGGCCACTTATCCTATTAACCCAATGACCATAGCACCTCAATCAGCCAGGACCGTGGCGCCCAACCCTTGGCTGCTCTGGCCCCCCAGGCCACTGCTGATGACCTCAGATACCCTTCTCCCCGAGGTGACCCCCTGACCTTTGAACCCCACTTCATCCTGTTGGGAGCAGGTTAGTCGTGCAGCAGGCCAATTGAAGGAATATTCAGAAGGCGCCGTGTCACTTCAGCGCTGCGAGGCAGAGGGGTCAAGCCCCCGACCTGAGGGACTTTCGGGAAAGACGTAGCTCAAAGTAAAGGGGTCAAATGCAAATCAGGTGGATTGTGGAAAAGTCAGGGGGAAGGAATGTGGACAACGTGTGCCGTTTGGGAGCTCCACAGAGCGGCATCTTTTCTTACTGCCTGAGGGATGAAATCTGATGAAGAGCATGGCATCTGTTTAAAAGTGCCGAAACAAGCGCAGACTGCAGATGCTGAGCAGGAGATAACACGAGCCTTTAAAGTCTCGGAGCTGGAGGAACATCAAAAGAGACCTATTACACCGATACTGTATTTCTTTATATGCCAGGGCTCAACAGAAATCAGTTCTTTGGGGGGTGATACTGATTATTATGATCGGTGAAACCCATAACCAATACTTGGAACTGATATCCAATGAGTGGAGAGTAAAACCTCTCAAATTTAGTGTAATTTTGGGACAATTTGGGATATTAAGTCACACCTAAATGCAGCTGTTTGTGCAAACAAAGACCAACACAAGACAGATTCTGAAACCCAGGGTTGTTATGAAGAACTTTCTAGATGGTTTACAGCCACAATCTGTAGGTGACATTATAACACTAGCAGGTAATGTAACAATACCTAACATGTAATATAGTGTGGGTGCAAACAGCCAGTCTTCCAGCTATCCTACTACTGCAAATCTGTGTAAAAAGTAACACCCATGAACTGCGAGGAAAGTAGGACTGTAATCAACCAAAGAAATCCTTTGTTGACTTTTCGACCAAAAATTGGCAATTAAACACTAAAATTATATTCAGATTAGCGTGGACGCTCTTCAATCTTCCTGTCTCCAGTCTTAATTGGGTTGGGCAATTCTAAAATGGTGAAAACAAGGGGGGTGTTCTGAGACAGGCTGTTACCTGTGAAACAGGGGTGCTCTGAAAACACCCCCATTAGCACTTGGTACGTTCCTCCTGATGAAATTAACCACAGACTGGTAAAGTGGCGTGGAAAAAAATGTAAAAAATGTAAAGTCCTAGTCAACTGGTCGATACATGCTGAGTTGACCAAAATTATGATCGGTCGACGCGGCACGCATCGACCAGTTGACTGGGACTTTACAGCCCTACTGGAAAGCAGCCCAAACAAAGCATTTCAGGCAGAGTTTGAATATCTGCTGAAATTATAGTTTTCCCAGATGTGAGTGTAAGATAATAAAGGAGTTTTTTTATCTCTAAAGAGATCCCAGACTGACATGACAGTCAGTAAAGTGAAAGAATAAATTAAGTCTCTTTTAAACACTACCGGTGCAAACTCTTCCATCCTGCATGCACCTTTAGAGAAAGTAAACCTCCTCCTCCTCCACCTCAGGCCTCCTACACACATACAAATGTGAGAGTGTGGAGTCTTCAAGGATGGAGCTCCAGTTTTCGATTACAATCTTCATCCTTCATAACAAAGCAAACGACTTTCTCAACAATAACAAAAGGGGAGGTCAACGTGAATCACAGCTACCCTGACTCAAAACAGATTTCCACGAATGCTGAGGATGCAGTCACCTTGTCCGCCTGCATTTTATTGACTCACTGTGCATTTCCTCTGTTAAACACAGGTGAGCAAAGAGTCTCTGTGCTCTGACGGACTGTGTGGAAGACAGAAATTAGCCTAAGGCTGGCAGGAGCAGTGAGGATGCACAGGTATACATTACATAGACATTCGGTATGATAATTTCAGAGTGTGCCGTCCCTCTCAGCCTTTGGAGGACGCAAAAATTGAAGGGGAGGACAAAGATGAAAGAGCATAACCTTGTCGAGTTTCAATGCAACATGCCTTTCCCAACCTGCCCCTCCCTGGTCTTTCTTCAAACAGGAACAATCCTCAGAGGCAGGCCACACACCCCAGTCAGCCGAGGTAACACTCTGAGCTTCATCTGAGACACAGAGTGGAAGGGGAAGCAGAGAGACTGGGTGTAGGAGGGGATCAAAACAGAGGCTCTGAGTCCGTCTAACGAGGACCAGGAAGAGGAGAGCTGTGTGATTATGACCTCTCTCTCCTGCTTGTCCAACAGCTTGGATGGCAGCAGGGAGCCCCGCCTGCGCCCCTGGGTCTTGAACACTAGGCCATTGTGCGGGGGCTCTTGCACTCCAAATGGGGCAGTGTTGTTGTTGTGGACCATGTTGTTATTTTAGAGGCTGGCCATTGCACCATTATCTCTGCCACAGGGATTTTTCCTTTCTGTCAGATGTTGACGTAGGCGTTGATGGATGTGGGGATGGGGAGCAGAAGGAAAAGGAGCTCCGTTTGGTACAGGGGATGGGGATCTAGTGAAGTGGGTCACAGCTACGGGCCGTTCCCACAAAGGAGGAACAAGCACACATGCAAACGTGCCCTCGCACACACACAAACAAACACAATAACACACAAACTGACTGAGAGTGTCCCCTCTTGTCTTCCAAATGTTAACTTTCCCCGCTAGGCCCCAAATCACACAAGTTCAGCCCGATGGAAACACCCTCTTGCTCCACTTTGCACGGCCACACTGTACCCAGGGTTTTTGGGTGAAGGGTATTCGGAGCCCCCAGAGTGCCACAAGGGGGCGGCTCTTGTTCTGCCCTGCCTGTCCTGCCCCTGGGGGAGGCAGCCTTTCACATGAATATCCCATTACAGAGGCTACACTCTCAATGAAATCCTGGCAGGGACTGAACTCCGCCTGTCACTCAAGCTGGCAACACCCCCAGCTAACCCCACTTCTTTCTGCTGAACCACCTGTAGAGGGACGCTCACACTGGCAAGGGCTGGATTTGAATCTGATACCTTCTTTTGCAATCCAAAATATCAGTGACAACATCAACAACTATATACCAGAGTACCTTTCACCATTTATAGTGAGTTACAATGAAATCACAATGAAACTGGAGAAATCTGACCTGAGCACAGGCTTCTTCAGGTCCCAAAAAAATTCTAAATCTGTGCATCAGGTCTGGGCACAACTTTTGATATAGTCTAGATCTGGTGTATGATTTTCAAAAAACGCCTGCTCCGGATATTAAAAAAAGGGGTCCACCATAGGGTAACTTTTACCTGCATGGAGGGAAATTGGTATGGACAGAAAATCCTCAGCAGTTTTGCCCCAGACCCCAACAGTCCATAAAGGTCCACAGTTTGGATTTGAATGTCATGATTTCAGGGATTTACAGGGTCCACATCTGAAAACTTCTGATAGGGATCTTACTTCAAAAATTCCAGATCAAATCAGTGAACTGTGGACACTTTGAAGAGTTCTTAAAGGATTTTCTGTGCGTCAAAAAAGGGTGTGCCCCTGGTAGCTTGCCCAACTTTGATAACTTGTCATGAAACAGGAAGTCAAGGTCCCACCTTCATACAGAGTGGGATCTGCTCCAAATTTTATATACCTCATCAAGGTCCATTCCTGAATACATCTATATACTGGTGAACCACCTACATATATAGCGCCACCTTGTGGGAATACTTGGTACTGGCTTTTAGACACAATGTCCAATTTGCTCTAAATTTTGTAGGCTTGATGGCTGTTCCAGCCTTTACTCATCCGCTTATTCATTTTAATCATGGTCATAGTGTCACCTGTTGGAAACACACACAGCTCACCTAACTGGTCGAGGCCAAGGCTACATGTTTTCATAGACCTTTTCAAATACACATGGTGTACAGATCTATAGGACAAAAACATCTTTTGAAGTTTTTGTGAAACAACCCAATTTGTGCAAATGTGCGAGCGCCCATTAATCGCCACTTACATCATTAATGGTATTTGTTCCTTTCTCTCTAACTATACCTAAGGTTTAATGGTACCTTTTCACAAAATTTTGATAACAGATTACAATTCTTAAGTACCACCCTTAGTCTGATAAAGCTCTCACGTCTCCCAACAAGTGATCTCTACCAACAATTAGTAATGATCAAAACAGGGACCCAGTTCTTCAAACTCCCACCCCAACCCCCTCAGCTCCCCTGGCTCCAAAAGAAAATCAAAATGCAAGTCACACCATACAACGCTATTCTCCTCCGTCTGTCTGTGACACAATTCGCTGAGCCTTTGATCACACAACAACCACTTCTTCGCTCCCTCCCCTCCCCTTTTCTCTTCTCTCCCTCTAAATTATTGGTGGCCCCGGTTACAGACCCCCATTACCTCCCACCTCCCCTTTCTCCCTCCCACACCTCCAAAACAGTCACCCCCCCTGCCCTCACAATGCCGCCTGTGCATGAAAGAACTTGTCTTTTTTTTTCCCTTCACAGCTGTGTGTTTGTGTGCGTTTTACAAATTCTGTCCTCACTTGCACTTCCGCTTTAACATGAAAAGTAGTAATGCTGGAGTGAAAAGTAATCATCAGCAGCTTTTTTTCCGCCTTGCTAAACTTTTGGAAAATTAACCCCAGCACCTCTAAAATCTTTATAACTTCTCCAAATGCCTGCATTTGCACTTGAAACACCCCCTGGGTTTTAAAAGAAAGAACTCTTTGTGACGGAGCAGATTTTGTTCCTCTTTTTGGGAAGGAAAGCCTTCGGAGTTTGGAGGAAAATGATGCTCCTGGTGTGCAAGATCTTGCTGAAACATGGCGCTCAATGTGCTGTGCATTACAATAAGGCATTGCTGGATACAACACACCAGGAGCTCAAACCATCAAAGGCAAGTGGGCGGATTGGAGAGGAAAACGATCCCTGAGCTAAACTGATCCATACAGGATGCAGACACAGACTCCTGAGTGTACGACCTTGAAAATGTAACTCTAGAAAAGTCTCTTTTAACAAACTCGAATGCTGAGATTTTACCAAGAAATGACTTCCTGTTGTTCCTGCCGTGGCATTCGGGTCATTTGCTGGAGGAGTTTCTGTTGTAACAATCGAAACCGCCTTGTTGTCGAAAGCGTGTGCCAGCTGAAGACAATCTTTACAAGATGTTCTCTGTGAGGCTCGCTGAATGATTAACAGCACAGGTTTGTTGTTCTTGGGGTTTCTTTCATGAATTTTGGAAGAAGGGTTGGCACCTATTTCACATGCAAACACAATATGGAAGAAGAAAAACCTGGGCACGGGGCCAGTCCTCGCACCCACCTGCTTCCCCGGCGCAGTGCATGTGTTTACGTCTCCCACTGTTTGAGCACGGGCGTGTGCAGAGGTCAGCATGCGGCCCAAAACACATCATGGGTGACTGAGGGGTAACTCAGTGGCATCTCTCGCTGACCGTCCCATCACCGTGAACTCATTCACCCCGGAAGAGGAGCAAACCGCCCACCTCCCTGAGGCCTTTGATTCAGCCAACCCCCCTCTGACCTCCTCCAACGCACCCTCCCCGCAGCCACCTTCATCAACACTTTCCCCTCCCCAGCACCAGGCTTCAGCTACCCTCTCAATCAGGGGAGGATTGTCGACTTCCCGGAATAACACACCAGTCTGGCCAACAGGGGTGGTTGGGATGGGGATGTCTGATCACAGGCTCCAGACCAAAGCCTCTTTCACACGTGGACTTGGGAAAATTTCCAGTCAATTTCCAGACATACCACTCTGACATTTCCGGGACTTTCCTTTTATGCTACCCACATCAAAGTTGATTTTCAATCCTACAACTGGAAATACTCTGTTTGGTTTCGGCGGGAGTAGTAGTGCAGTCTTTTTTAACAGTGACTGGTTCTGGTTTACTATGACTAAGAGCATTTCTGCAACAACAACATGAGTGGGGAAAAAACCCCACAGGCAGCTCAGTGTATAAACACGCTGAACTTCACCCAACATGACTAGCTTGTGTGTTCACAGACTGGCCAACCTGACTTTTTAATGGGTTTAATGCAAGCAGCAACCTCCAGCCTTGAGAATAAAGCCAATATGGAAGTGCTAAAAATTCAGTCGATGTCAAGAAATTTCAGAAGTGCACATGTGAAACAGTCTTGCTAGTCAAAAAAAGGAGCGTCTTCAGGCCAGGATGTGAGGGTGGTATGCAACAGGATGGTCAGGATGAGTCTCTAACAAGCACACAAGACACCCACACAGCCACGCATACTTACACAACCTGGAGCCTCGCAAGACACTTGCACCATCTGTCAGCACGTAGATACAAAAAAATAAGAGGTTTTTATTTTTACGTTCACTTAAAAATGTCAAGATTTCTGTGACGTACTAACTGGTGAGGACTTTTACAGCTGACAGCCTACCGTGTGAGATTCCTGCTTCATCAGTCACCTCTCAATCAGCGCTCTTTCACTCACAGAGATAATCTTCCTACTGACATGTTCATCATGTTTTCATCACAGGTGGAGGACACAGTGATGATCTCACATTTTCACATAAATGAAAAAACAATTTGCAACTTGCTTTCACAGCATGAAATAACACAACACTTTGGAAACAAATGATTCAGCCAGTGTTAAGTTAATTCATGACTGATCTGTTAACTACTCTAACTGAAGATATTGTTCTGGAGGCCTGAAAGAGACAGCTTCCTAATTTCTCTTTGTGCAGACTAAAGCTGTCGCGTTAGGGCTGCATGGTTATGGCCAAAAATAAAATCTGATTTTTTACACTGAAAATTTTTTTATTTTGATTTTTTATTCAGTGACAACTTCACCAAAATTCCCTTTTATAATAAGTTTTTTTATGCCAAGCCAATAAGTGGCGCCGTAACGCTGCACAGTTAACACACAAAAGACAGAAGAAGAATACAGAGCATACGTATAAAGGTTGCTTTGGCCGGACACGCGCAGCCGGCATTAAACAGTTACGCTGTGTGTGACATAAACGTTTCAAGAGAGATGCAGATAGGCAATCACACAGATGAAATGGTAGTCATTTACGGATTTATGCACTCTCATATCAGTTTTTAAAAGGTACAGTTTACAGTCACCCGGAACGCCGTTTCCGTGTGGATGAAACGCCGATACTACTGAATTTATTTCCATGTGGACGGGTTGATACCACCTTCAGACGGACTTTGCAGCAGGGAGTGGTTTGCTTTTCATCCAAAACTGCGAAAACGTACCAATTCCACACGATTTGCTTTTCCCCTATTCAGCCATGAAATTATTTCCTTCCTTTGCAAACACCATGTTTATGTGGGAACTGGGGTGCACTCCCATAGGAGCCAACAGTGGTCTGGAGGCGCAAGACATGATAGAGAGTGAAATCGATTTGATGATTTTTTTTTAACATTGTCATTATTAAATAATCCAATTACAATTTAAAATTGATTAATCGTGCAGCCCTATGTCACATTATATGATCGCGACAGAAACAGTCTGTTTCAAAAGATCAAATATTGATATTGTGCTCAAATGAAGCTACAGTAATACTGTGACACTCGTGGGATCACAGTGGGAGGGCTGTAATGTCAAGGGGAAAAAACAGATGAAAGTGAGGTTTGCTAAAGCTGTGACTTTTTATCTGTGGTTTCTGTCACACTTCTTAATGCCACAGTGACAGTGAACATCCACTTTATCACCGCAGGTAGAGGTATAGAAGAAGACTCTGTAACCAGCTAACTAGACTTTACTGCAGTGTGAATGTCAACGGCAGCACAGAGACGTCTAATTAAAGCAAGATACTCTCAAAGCAACCAAAAAAACACAGCGTGTAAAGCAAAATCCCACGCAGAAGAAAACTGTGACTTTCTGGTTAAGTGGAAATTTCTGTCCCAGGGCTGGTGATGTAGAAAAAATTTAACTGGAAGATGATAAATTCTGCTTTTTTCCATCATCCTCCTTTACTAGTTCTCAACATTAATTTTGTGATGTGCCAAAAGGTGCTAAAACTCCAAGACTGTTTCTGTTGGTATACTGTTGGTTTCCTCTATGTTTTGTTTTTGTTTTTCCTCTTTAGTGTGTGTAACCTTGATCTTTATGTATATTTGTTTGGCATGACAGTCACTTTTTCACTGGCTGTGTTAACCTACAGAAAGATCTTTAAAAATAGATGATGCTTTACGAGTAAGTCTCCTGCGTTTTTCTGTAAATCCTTATATAATCCAGCCTTTTTCACATATACACAGCTTAAACTTTCCAGAAATTCTCCGGAGGCAGCACACAACATCAAAAGCATGTTTTGAAATCCACAACCAGCATCTTCGATTTGCAAGATTCTGGTTTGATCCAGCCCATCTGCACCGCTGAGTATCAAGGACCCACATAAGAGACAGAAGTGAGCTCTATCTAACAGCAAACGCTCTTCAAAGTGTTAGTGCATAAATGACGAGTGAGAAGTGGTGCCCTGATTAAAAGTATGTGAGAGAAGCATGCTCACACTTCTGTAAGTTTTTTCAGTCTGCAAGATGGCGTCACAAGCTGCATGCATGCAGCGGTATCTCAGCTCATAATTTTGATTCCAATACCAAGACTGTCACACACTGGAAATGAACCAATTTAAAGAGCAGAGATACAGAAACAAGTAAATACCCTAAAAGCCTCAATAAGGTGTATTTTTGCTGAAATAAGTGTGTTTTCTGCAACAAGTATGCAGTAAGTCAGGATTGATGGACAGTTGTAAGTCAAAGGTCAAGTTTTCCCGACGTCGTGCAGCCATCTGTTCATGTGGAATGCCTCTTCTTGCTTTCATCTCTGCACATCTCCTCTATTTCATCATCACGCCTCCCTCCCTGGCCCACAGACACGCTGTCTAAACCCTGAGGGGCTCTTCAGTCATCCTGTTTGAAGGTCAGAGGCAAGAAATCAAAGTCTGAAACTCTGCCCCAGACCAAAGGAGACGACCCGAAGATACCTTCAAAGAACCTGGCAGAGTTTGGCAGGCTGTCCGGGAGTTTTAATTAATTTGCTTTAAGTGTGTGATGTAAAGCTTTAGGTGCAGATTTGGAGGAGCTTGTTAAGGAGACACAACAGGAGGATTAACAGCCAGTGTCCTTGGGTTGAGATGAGTTAGGGTTACTGTCAGTCCAAATCCTTAAACACACCGGTACTGAAGGACAAACAGTTAAAGGTACAGCGTAGAGATGGGAACGTTTAGTAACATGTCAGGGTTAGATTCAATATGAAAACGCTCCCTTACTCACCCCTCCTATCTGTGAAGCTATGGTGGCCTTCAGGGACAAAAGACACGTGTTTAAAAACATCTATTTGTCAATCCTTTTCTTCTTCTTCTTTTTCAAACTTGTGCATTTTGCTTGGCATTCACAAAATCATCATCATCAATCACTAATTTGTCCATTCTGGGCTACTGTAGAACATAGCAGACCAGGACAGCTGCCTGCATGTAAAGGGACCTGCTCCTAAAAGGTCATTCTGAGCTATAACCAAGTGACTTTCAGATTCAGGTGATCGGTCTGTTCTGTCGAATACTTTTCACACCTTTGCAAAGCCAGTTTTGGTATCATCAGTTTGCCCTCGTCTTGGTCAAGCAGTTACATGCAAACCCATTTATGACCCACCAGCTGAGAGCTAACTAGCATGACCATTGTGCACCTGTCTTACTGGGAAAAACTCTCCACACCAGCAAGTTAAGTGATAATAGTCAATATTTGTCATTCAAAAAGAAGTCCTGAAGACCAGTGCAGCTATTTTAATCCTCACACACTCTCTCTTGCAGCTTTTTCATTCCTAATTTACAGGGGGGTCTTCTTCACTGATTGCATGTCTAATGACAGGCTGCGAAAGGTAATGTCTTTGTTAGCTGTTGGTGTTTTTGCACATGGAAGAGGGACAGCAAGATTCCTTCCTTTCCTTTTTTCTTCTTCTGCAATAATTCAATATTAAAATGCATAATCAACCACATGCTGCAACCAAAACTAAGGCCAAAGTTTCCTACTGTTGGTTTGACACTAACCAAGCATGGTGTGGAAATATCCTCAAGACCCACGATCGGCCAGAACTTAACAGGCGGACATCTTCATATCAGCAGATATTTTGCTAATTGCCTTTTGGAGCTATGATCTGTTGATACAATGCTGATAGTAACATGCATCCCCAACAAAGACTGATATTTGGAGCCAATATTTCAACTTTGGAATATTACAAACTCCCAACAAAACTTTGATTTAATGTCTTTATGATTGGCAAGATGACACACAGCTGTATATCAGCTGTGCATCAACATTTTCTAAAGTGTCAGACGAAGAGCAGAGCAAGAAACCAGATTTAAGACCGACAGCAGAGCCAAAGTGGCATACTTTAGGTGATTTTATCAGCCAAATATCAGACTAATAATCAGCTAATCAACCAAAGATTATAGTTTTAACTTCTTTGTTGAAGAATAAATTTGGGAAATATATCTCTATAACCTATGAGAGAGAGTTTTTCTACATTGATGGACTCTTACGGTAAAATCATGGATGTTTCTGCTCTCTGAGCTCTTAGACGGTTTTTCAAAGCAGAAAATTGATCCAAGTATTGAGTAGTTTGTTTCATAAACCATAAACACCATGTCTCCGGAGCTTGTTGCAAAGTTGATTCACTCACGTCATACCCCAGTTTGTCAATCAATCTCTGAACCAAACTGCACACTCTCTGTGTCTTCTTACGCTGGTGTGGAGGTTCAATGTCAGGCCTCACACGGGAGGAAAAGGAGTGCAAGTGAGGAGGAAGAGTTTAGAATTGCAGCCTTCTATGTATAGCATGCACAAATAGACTCACAAACTTAAATGCATGCTCGAACACACATCACACACACACACGCACTCAAACACACACCTCCTCTCTCACTCTCTCTGCCACTCTTTGCCCCCCTCGGTCGCTCTCTGCCCCTCTTTCCCAGCACTAGAAATAACTTCAAAGCGGGCTGGTAGCCTTGAGGAGAGAGAGAGAGACGGATCCGGTTACAGTGGAGCAGCTGGGAGGGCCCTACAGGTGGGGCCGACACTCCACCTCCTGTAACACTATCAGCGTAAAGGGATCCTTCTGCTTCTCCCTCAGAAGAATGAAGACTTCCTCCCTTTTGTCTCCTCCACCGGGACTGTAGGAACAATTAGCTAAGGTGGCCCTGCATCTGACTTTTATTTTGGCGGTCCAAGGCGATGGAAAGCGGGACTGTGATGCAGCAAAGGCACAAAGACAGGATTTAAAAGAGCGGTGTTTGAATAGCTGGGAAATTAATCAGATTTTTCTCACATGGACGATGAAACTTTACTCTGCTTCAAGTCAAGAGTGAAAAGTTTGAGTCATTTTAAGGCCTTGAAAGCTTTTCCAGAAGTCAAGGGCGTGCCCTGAGCAAGCACGCTTTGTGATTTGAGCCTCAAAGCCGTCATCATCCGTCTGTTTTCACCCCCCTCACTCACACATAACCCCTCTACTCGCTGCCCCCTCCTTAACCTTGCACGAAAATCACCTCCACGCCATCCTCATAGCAACGGGCAAAGCAAACAAGTGTCATGGTTTCAGAGAGAGCGGCGGACGCTGGCAGAGGACACCCAATATCATGTAAATGTCCTGATATGCAGCACAAGGCTCCGGGGTTGACAGCTTTAACACTGAGCAGGACGCCGAGCTTGTGACTCTATTAACTCTCTGCGAGTGCATCTCCAAACAGTCAATGGCGTGCAAGTGTGTGCATGTGTGTGTGTGTGCACGCACTCAAAAGTCTCTCTGGTGTCACTTTCAGCTCTTTAGTCTTTAAAACCCAGAGTGACACGAACAAAGGACAGGCCGACAAAGTTCAGAGGTCAACATTGGGCAGGGTGCCACCATTTTGGAAGGAGGGGGGAGTGGAAACAAACGCGCCTCCCTCCTTCCTGAGAAGATCACAGCATCTGTGTGTGAAGATAAAGTAACAACAGCGAGCAAACATATTGTCCCCGTGTGCCGTCCTTACGAGGACAATTACAGAAGTAGGTGAACAGGCGCATAAATTATTTGTCAGCATCAAGGTGGCAAACTGAATTCATTAGCATGACTAACACTGTTACAAGCGAAGGGATACAGAGCTCATTAATAAAGGAGATGGCACGGAGCACAACCGCGGAGCAGCGAGGACATGTGTTTCCTTCCTGTCACATTTTCAAAGTGTTTCAAGATAAACGGAGGATAGAGCAGGAGATGGAGGAAGAGAGGAGGGACTGACAGGTGGGAACGAAACTGCAGGTTATAGTCTGGACCATCCAATTAGGATCACAATTAGAGGTTGACTGATATCAGTTTTTCAGGGCTGATATCAACACTGATAAGTAATCGCTCATGAGACCAATAATCAGTGTTTGGAACTGATGAGGAAACTATTAATATCAGATACAAAGTCCTGCATCTTTCAACTAGTTTCATTGTCCATCAGCGCTATAAAAGCTCATTACAGATAATCAGACAAATACTGAATATCGGCCCCAATAATTGTCAAAAGCCCACAACCTGTCTACCTCTTATGATACCAACTCTTTCATCCTGTTTCCTGCTCTGTCCATCCTCCTGTTCATGTCAAATAAAATCCAAAAAGCCTGAAATTATATCTTCAAAAGTAAATAAACTAACAAAGCTCAAAATGCAGTCTGTGAGACCACAAATATAGATAATAGTGGTGGAAGAAATAATTGATACCGCGTAGTATTGCGATATTTTGTCTGGTTATATATCGCTTCGTCTCATCCACCAAGTATCGTTTTTTTTAAGTAATTGCTAATATGAACTCCAGGTTGAGGTTTCAAAGATTTGCTACATGAAAATAAAATATTGCATCAATAAGACAAAAATAAGGAAAATACTAATGCTAAATCAGCTAAGCGGTTGAAAAAACTGTACAAACTGCAATAAATGGTATTGTAATACTCAATCATCTCAAAATGTATAAAAATCTGGATACTATCGAATAGTAGCCCAGGCATCGTGATAATATCGTATCGTAGGGCCTCTAATGATTCTAGTTATAGATGTCGATCAAATATTCCCTAACACAGTGACTGGCGGTTGGTTAATGTCCTGCTCAAAGGTGCAATGCCATGAGAAATAAGGCTGATGCGAAAGTGCTAAAAACTGCACTTCCTCTGGTGTCCACTTGAGGCTCAGTGCAAAAGCATCAGAAGCTACATACACATCTATTCAACAAAGCTCGTTTTTGTCAAACATAAACTTGTCAACAGCATGGTTTATAAAAACAGTTCTGGTATGGTTAGCTCAATTCTTTTTCTGCACAAACATTTTACAACTCATTGGCCACCCAATCCCCACCTCTTTGTGTCTTGTTAGATTGACCTAAGTTATGGTGAATCAGCCTTTTTTACTCTGGTGACTCCCGCTGATAGACTTCAGAACCCTCCAATGTTTCAATGTCACCTGACCAAGAGCTAACTAGCGCAACATCAGAAAAGCTGTAGAGACAAGAGGAAAAGAAGAGGATTTCTTATGTTGGCTGCCTAATGCTACAGGTCCTTATGTTTAGTCATGTTGATGTGGTGAATGTGGATGAACCAGCAGTACAGCAGCTGACAGTTTTCAGAGAGAGTGGCAGGAAGACGACGAAAATGGCACAATGTTCTATTTTCACTGTGGAGCCTGTGGGGTGGAGGTGTCATGCAGGTAACAGTGTGTTTGCAGTATATTGTTGTTGTGGTGCTACTTAAGTTTTAAACCTGGGTGCAAATAAAGAAGTTAATTGCAAGCCCCATCTTCACTTAGCTGACTTCCTGAAGATGTTTTTAAAATCCTACCTTCACTAGAGAGTTAAATAGTGGAGTAGAGCTGCAAACTTTAACACTTAGGAAGCTCATTAAATATGGTCAAAAATCAAACCTTTCATCATTGATTCTTACCTATTTGGATTATTTTTCAGTCCACTGACTAATCCTCGATTTATGTAACATTTGGGCCTCCACATTTTCAAAGCAGCAACGATTCTGCCAATTTCTGTCAGTGCTCTCATGTCCACAGCCGGCACCACCCCAAATATCAGCGGCATCCCCCGCTCTGGCACGACCCGCTACTCTTCATCTCTCGCCATAAAACAAAAGTCAAAGTCACGACTTAATGAGCTTTGATTAATGCTGCTGCAGAACGGCTGCTGAGCCTGGGGAGGAAGGAGGGAGCACATACCTGGAGCACTTGTCCCACTCCGTGTGTGTGTGTGTGTGTATGTGTGTGCGTGCGTGCGTGTGTTAGAGGGCCGAGGGGTTGGGGTTTGCTAAAAGTGGACTGAAGGGAGGATTGCAGTCATCAACACCTTGGCTCTGAGTGGCCTTTGATGTTTTCGCGGCATCTTTGATGGCCCCGGCCATGGAGGAATGCTGCGCGCCCTCCCTCCCCGCCCCCAAAAGCCCCCAGAGTTGTGGAATGCAGCACAAGCTGCTGCTGCTGCTCGGCCTGCTGGAATGGGATTAGAGCACAGGCCCATATCACCCTCGCCCCCCTCGCCTTGTCTCGCTCCCAACCCTGCCCTCTGGAGTGGACAATATGGCGGCAACCTCAGCCAGACCCCTCAAAGTCTGAGGTGACAGGGTGAAGCACAGACTGTCAGATTCCCAACAGACATTTTAAGTCTTCAATGTCTTATTCAGGCCTGATCTTTGCTGGTTTCACTTATTTTTTCTGCCTCATTTTTAAGATTTTAAGTATCCCAACAAAAATGTGATATATAAATAAAGAAGACAACTGGAAGTTTTAAGGAAATTCATTGCAACAGGTGTGATGGCTTTTATGTCCTGCACACTGTGAAAAAACTACAAAGAGCAACACAACATTATGGACAAAGAGATGAGGTTGAAAAGGTCAAGGATGTGCGTGTTTAGCTGACTTGACAATAAAATGTTGACATTTTTCAAGTGTCATCCAACAGTGCGATGTATAAAAAGGAATGTGTGTAGGAACAAACTCCTAAAAGTTCTGCATTTTGAACCAAAAATTAAGATCAAGATGAACGTATAGCTTTCTGATTAATTGAGGATCCCATCAAATAATTTGACACTGACACCTAAAGCAAAGAAATATTTCAATGGGACCAACCATTTATGACATTTCAGTAGCAAGAAAATAGTACATGAGATCGGTGGCCTGTGGAGATCAAACATGTCCACGGCGAGCTGCCTAACCCTCCTGTCGTATCACGACCTTAATCCAACGACTCAAACACTTTGAATGACCTAATTAGTTGCAAAATATGCGCAGAACTGGTCCAATATCAAAGAGAAGTTCTTCAGAGTGAAGTCAGAGAAAGGAGGGACTTGTAAGAATAAATGCAATAAATAAGTGTGAGCTTGTTTGTCTGCAGGAGGAGGAGAGTTTGGTAATCCCACCGCCACTAAAAGAAGACAGATTGGGCTTTCTGTAAAGGTCAGGTTTGTCCTCACAAACACTTAACTTTGAGGATGACCTCTCAAACAAAAAGGACGTCTGTCCATGCATGCATCCGTCTGTCAGAACTGGCACAGTAGTCTGTCAGAACTGGCACAGTAAGGCCAGGATGAGCAATTTTACATTTGCAAATTTTACAGATGCTGACGGTCGCTTTCGTGATTTAAGAGCGACTCCTGCCTGCCTCCCTGAGCTGAGGGTTTAGGTGTAAGGAGGGAGGTGAGGTGGAGCGGAGGCCAGCATTAGCGCTGGTTTCAGATTTCGGCCGCCTCTGACTTGTTTTCTTTAGGAAACACTTAGTGGGTCTCCATGTACACCAGAGGAAGTGCTCACCTACATCACTTCCGGATCAGAAGAGTAAGGTCACGCTGCACTCAGGGGAAGCAGATGAAGAGTGGAAGCTCCATGTGTTTAATATCAGCGACCATTAACCTCATGATTTGGCTTCAAATGCAGCGACCTCTAAAGAAAACACTGCAGAGTAGGTGTGAGGAGGAGGGCTGAGAGATTGATTTTCCTTGTGAAAGCTGGCACTCCTTGAATCAGCCTCGGACTCTTCACCGAGTGTTTTCCTAGCTCACTCGTGTTTTCTCAGCCCCTCTCTTACTTACTTACTCTCTTACTTCAGCTCTTTAGGTTTTGCGAACGGCTGCGTGATCACCTTTCATGACAACCTGGAGGGGGGGAGGACAGGAGGACAGCTCCATCCCGGAGCTCAAGGTCCTCTGAGAAGGGAAATGAGATTTTGTATGAACGACAGCCAAGGCCATTTTCAGGAAGAATACCACAGAGAAATGTTGTTGAATCAGAGGTGATTAGTTTGAGAAGTGGTAAAAAATCTGCTTCCTGTATTAAGAGAGGACCTTGAATGACAAGAATATGGGCAACAAGAGCCAAATGGATACTCGCCAGATCTTTGTTGTGGCTTCAAGGACAGGAGGCACTTCGTTTTCTTTGACCCACCCACGACATGTGTAGCGTGTTCTGGCACAGGCCCTCTGGGGCTCTGGAGTATTAAGACTTTTAGGTACAAATAAGTGCTCTCAGTCACATTTGAAGGACATTTTTGGGTCTCCAATTAACCAAACGGCAACTTTTGCATCCCACATCAGAAAAAAAAGAGCCTATTAGCCACACTTTCAGTTTCTTCACAGGCAGTCTAACTGGTGGTACATCAGTGCTAGGGCTTGACGATTACGGCAAAAATAATAATTTTTGACAATAATTATTTTGACTAATGTTGAAATCACAATTAATGAAGACGATTATTAATTCAAAACTTGAGTATCATTGAACCACCAACACTTAACTTTAGATACAACTTTAAAAAAGAGCCAGCAGTGGCGCTGGCTGACGTGCTTGCACTTTTTTGCCACTTTATCACCTGGTCATAGAGCGACTCAAGGAGCGTGGGGGTGGGGTTAATCAGCTGTGTGATCGCCGACGATAACTTGCTAATGCTAATACTCGGCGTGTGTGCGCCACGTTCAGTGCTCATGACTGTGCACACATACTGATACACATGAATCAGAGTTAAAGCCACGTAAATAAAAGAAACCCTTTTATTTAGTCATTATCAATTGCTCATCGGGAAAACCCTGAAGTTGGTCGTGTTGCCTTGGGGAGCAGACATGACAGCTCGACAAACAATTTCCTTTTGCTCGACATCCATCAAATTGAGGTCAAAATGTTTCTGAAGTTGTCCTACCTTACTTCTCGACCAAAAACAGCCTTCCTGCTGTGTTTTTAATTGCTCGCTCCTCATATTATTGATCCACACACGTTACACGCTTGCTGCCCCTGCATGTAAAAGGGGTGCATTCAAGGTATTTTTCCAGCACAGGAACTTACATACACGCCACACTGTGTGGCGCATTAATTGTCTTTCTACGATTATAACATTTTTGTGATCGTAAGAAGCCATAATCGAAATCATGATTATAATTGGATTATTTGTCCAGCACTAATCGGTGCTATCAAACAGACTAACTTAGCAAAGATTAGCATGAATCTTTCAACAGAGAATAAAACTTTAGTGACAGTCAGACATGCTTTTAATCAAAAGTGAAATATCATCTGCAAAATCTGGGAGCACTTGAAAGATGGAGCTTTTGATTCATTCCGCCATCTGAACTTGAAAGCAGCAACCACCTCTGCAGGTGTTTTCGTAGCTTCCCTGTACATCTTATTCTGACCAATGATCAGGTAAGACAAGTACCTCCATTCAGAACGACACAGTAATACCGATATCCCCAAAGAGAGAGAGAGGAGATGAGGAGGAGGAGGAGGAGGAGAAGAGGTAGAAGAAGGGGGAAAAATCCTATCTGAGAGATTAACTCGCAGCACCCAACCGAGCCAGTGCTGGGTTCACTGGCTCACTCAGTCCTATCTTACCCACTAGTCTCTTGTTCTAAAGCAAAGCATGTCTTTGATACTCGACTAGAAGGAATCTGGAGGCGTTACAGGTTTCTTTTGTGCTTTACCCTGCACAGAGAGTCTGTGTGTGTGTGCCAAGGCTGGGATTTCTTTTCTTTACTCCCCCTGCCTCCCTCCCTCCCTCCCTCCCTCCTTTCTTTCTTTCTTTTTCTCCCTCTTCCCTTTGCCTTCATCTCCTGCTCCCCTTCCCCCACCCACAAACACTAAATCAGTGAATCATGAAGCTTTTCTCCCCTCTTTGGTCAGTATCACAAACTCTTATCAAAGTGCTCAAACTCTTCCTGTGAAACTTTCAGTCCTGGTCTACTCGTGGATCAAAGTGGCCATATTTGGGTGGTGACCAAGGTGGTGAAGGCTTCAGGGAGTTTGAAGGGTGGGATTTTTGGTCAGGGATGGAGTGGTTGGGGTGTGTGGGTGAGGTTTGACTCCCCTTGGAGATTTTCTTAAACCCATTACATCAGCTTTTTTCTGCTTCATGGGCTCCCAGTCCAGGGCTTTTGTGAGGGTAGAAAATGACCTAAATTGACATTCAGAATGGTTGTGGTTGGTTAATTGTGGCCGGACATTTTTGGCATAAATAAAACAGGATTCCAGAGGCCGTCTTCTTTAAGCTTTTTTCAAAACCTGCATCTTTGAGAGAGGGGGGCCTCTGATGAATCCAAAGTGGTCATACACCAAAACTACATCAGCTTCCTCAAATGTGCCCAACCATGCAGCTCAAACAGGAGAGTAGTGATAAGAGAAGTGCAATTTTAAAATGGGTAATTGCCAAGCACCTACGCTGTGATTCAGCTCTTCGAGAAACGTCTGACAGTTCTCACCAACTGCGCACTCCTCAAACGGCCAAATGATTCGACTGACAGGCACTTAGAGGCTGAGGGAAAGAAGCCCGTCCAAACGCCGTGGCTCTCTTTGACCCTGAGAGCATGTTTTTCTACAACACCAATTCCACCAAAGTTTGGAGGCTGTGAGGATTTGACAGTTGGCCAATCATTCAAACTCTGTATTTATGTGGAAAAAGTGCAAAGACAGCATATCAAATGTTAAAACAAAAATGTTATTATTTGATGCTTATTAAAAGTTGAGACACAGGCATGTTTACCATCGTGTTGTATCATTGTTCTCTTTAGCAGCACTGTGTTAACATCTGGAAAAGATGAGTTTCTGGAGTTTTCAACAGTGAAAAGATGTCCTAATCTTGTGTGATATTAGACTCCACCTGCTCAACAGTTCAAAGTCTCCTGTACTGAATTTGTGGCTTCAGAATGCTCAACGATTTCTGTGGAGCACTCAGTTTAGCACCTGGACTCTTCTACTACAGAGCCACATTGTTGTAATGTGTATAACGGATTTGGAATTGACTCATCCACCAAAGTCTCCCCTACAAAAGTCATAGTCTAGATGGAAGCATGTGTTTCACATTACATTTGTGGATGCAGCAATAGCATACGTTTACAGGCAATAGTTTTTGGATGTGATTTTGGACCCATGCAGTGATTTCCACTACAGAGTCATGCCTGTTTTTAATGCAGGGCTACCCCTGGAGCCCAAAAATCACAGCAATACTGGTTTTTAATCTTGTTTTTGTTGTTGTTGAGAGATTTAATGACTTTTAATAATATTATGAACCGAAGATGACCCAATCGTGGAATTCTTATTCTGAGGAAGATTATCTTAATTTTTTTTTAACCACTTGCTCACACAGACTCCTGAAGAGAGGTAACCTTCTTCCCAACTATTTCAAAGAGACTTATTCAGTCTGAATTGCTCTTTTTGTACAAACCTATAGCAATATAACGTAATAAAAGAGGGTGATGTTCCCCCGGCTGGTTTTTTTATTTTTTTGTTTTGTTTTGTTTTAACATCACACAACTTTCTCTGGACTTAATTCCACTGTCTTTAACTTTTCTGAAATACTAGCATCAAATTAAATATGAGAAAACAATTTTTTTTTTAAATAATCACATACTCAAGTTTCAACATAAATGTTGTCTTTGCACAATTGTCAAATATAATGACCTGCAAAATAGGGCTGCACTAATAGATCTGCATTAATTGATTTTAAATTGTAATCATATTACTTAATTATGAGGATGTTAAAAGAATTAAAATCACCAAATCGATTTTCCTCTCCATCACGTCTCGCACCTCCAGGCCACTGTAGGCTCCCCCTTCCTGCAAGAGTTCTCCCAAATTCCCACACACACAAGTGTAAACAAACATGGCGTTTGCAAAAGAAGGTGATAATTTCATGGCTAAATAGGGCAAGAGCAAGTCAGTCGTGTGGAATTGCTACGGCTTTGCAGTTTCTGATGAAGAGCAAATCACTCCTTGTTGCAAAGTCTGTCTGGAGGCGGTATCAATCCATCCACACAGAAATAAAACGGCGTTTCATTCATACGGAAATGGCATTTCAGGTGACTGTAAATGGGTACGAGAGTCCATAAATCTGTAAACGACTACCATTTCATCTCCGTGTGGATGCCTACCTGCATCTCTCTTGAAATGATTATGTGACACACAGCGTAGCTCTTTTATGGCACCTGCACGTGTCCGGCCAAAATAACCTTAATACGCATGTTCAGTACTCTTCTTCTGTCTTTTGTGCATTTCCTGGGCAGCGTTACAGCGCCACTTAATGGCTTGGCATATGCACTAAATCATTTTAAGTGGTTTCGTTTTGAGAGATGATAGAAGAACTTATTATTTTTCAAGTGAAGTTTGTTGAAGCTGTCACTGAATAAAAAAATCTAGATCTAAAATTGAGTTTTCAGAGAAAAAAAATGGGATTTTAGTTTCGGCCAAAATTGTGCAGCCCGGTTGCAAACAATCAAAATCTGTTAATCAGCATTATACTTGGTGTCCTGTCTTTTCTGGATTGAAGGCTGTTCATACATGATGGCAGGAGACAACACTGTTTTGAAAAAAACATGGAAACCTTAAGCTTTAGAGAAAACAGAATCAAGAGAAGAGTGTGAAATGAAAAATGATGCAGCACTCCTGCTAAGCTCTACCCACACAGTCTAATCAAAAGGCAGCACAATGGTTGGCCTAAAAACAGAAAGGAAAAGAGAGATTTTCAAAAGAGGCCACTTGCTGGTGCCGGGCAAACTGATCAGCAGCACACAGACTGTCAAAAGCTAGTGGGAATGTCAAAAGCACTACCGATCTCTCTCTTTTTCTCCTAATGTGATCAAACAGGGGTTCCTTCCCTGGGGGGTGTGAAAGAAAGAGAGGGAGAAAAAGTGAATGGGAGCTTTGGTGCACCATAGGAAGCCGGCCACCAGCAGCACAACTGAGCAGTGAGCACAAAACAACACGCTGTTTCTCAAGCTTTCTTCCACTTCCACAGCGAGGGGGAAAGAAGAAGAGGAGTTGGCTGAGGAGGGAAGTTTGGCTGGGCAAACAGTGAGGGGTAAGGGCTCAAAAGGGCCAGGTTGCCCGGGTGAGGGGGACCCGCAGCTACAAAAATGTCCACATCAAGCGTCCGGCTTTGGGCCAGGCCCCGCAGAGGTGTGCTCCTAGTGTGCTCTGAGGTCAGTGGCATGGACAAAGAGGAATAAAACAGCCTTACCCTGGCAGAGCAGCTGGGCTCAGGACTTAGGACTTGAGAGGAGGTGAGAGTATGTGTGTTTGAGGGGGAGTTGAAGGTAAAAGAGAGAGCACACACAGGATAAAGAACGGTTCCAAGTCTCTTGACAAACCTGTTACCTGGATATTCATGGAGGGGTCTCTCAGTCCAGACCCTTTTGACCACAACTCTTTTCATAAAAGTAACAGAAACCTTGAGGGATCCGATGATAATCTGAGGACTTCATTGCTCACATTGTTGCCTTCAGTGTTTGACTTCTGGCAGACCAAGAAACTCTAAAACTACACTTGAGTCTCAGACACAGTGACACGGGTAGGAAGCCAGTCGCATAACTGCAGCACATCAAATCTGTGCAAATCTGTGCATATCTTCAAAATTCACCAGTTCAGGGGTGCATTTTATTCAAACTAATTTTCAAAGAGTTCCCTTGTCTCTAGCAGCAAACCTTTGCGCTTTTGTTAAAGAGAGAAGCCACATGGATGTGCCTCAGCTCTCTGATTTCTCAAATCCTTATTTTGAAGGTCTTTGTGGCTTTTGTGGGTCCTAAAGAGGCATCAATACTAATAATCAAAATACGTGTTTCATAACCTGTTAAAACTCCTCAATGGAGCCTTAAATCCTCCCAATCAACTCCAACACAACTTTTTCCCTCTTTTTTAAATCTGTTACCATAACGATAGAGCCACACCTCCTTTTGGTAACTTAAAAACATGAAGCTTGCGCACACACACACACACACACACACACACACACACTTCTACACACTCTCTCGTTCACTCACTGTCCCTCCACACACAGCAATAAAGGGGGGTGGGGCCGCTGTGGTGATCGGACAAACACTGTTCTTGGAACTCTGCCGAGCGGGGCTATTGTGCAGGCGCGCGGTAAAGAGACAGAGAGAAAAGGTTGGGGAGGGGTGGGGGTGGCGTCGAGGTTGCTTCAATGGCTGGCTCCATCAGCGTAGATAAAAGGCAGAAAGGTGCTAGGCCAAGTCCAGGCCTGGGCGAGGTGGTGGAGAATGATTTGGAGGGAGGGCTCTCAGTGGCAGGTGGTGGCAGGTGAGGTCAAAGACAAATGTTTGTGCAGATGAGTCTTACCAATCTGAAGTAGTTTGCAGTTTCATCAGAGTATTGCTCAATAAGTTAGGTAACCGAACTTTCCTTTTTCAAAAAAGCATCCTTGAATTAACACGATAACAACAACAACAAAAAAAGTTTAATTCCTGTTGATACAAGTTAAAAACTAAACGACAACAAAGTTGATAAGGGATTTGAAAGGATTTGGGTATTAGTGGAAAAACCATCCCCTATAAAAACAGTTAACAGCTTGTTATGTGGATTATCCAGAATAAGAGGAACAAGGTCATGTGGAGTTCTGTAATTTGGGTGAACTGACCCTTTTTAAAGGTCCTGCAGAAAAAACAGCCTAATGACTTTTCTTGCATGTGTCTCCTTTTACAAGTCACTTCAGGGCCACATTGACCGGAGGTCTAGGTGTGGATCCATGTCACCCAGCCATTTAATCCTCCTCATCTCCAGCCTTGTCAACCCACACCACCGCCTGAGGACAGGGTCTGTGGATTTCATACATTCCACTGTGGGAGGGGATACACTTAAGATTCCTCCACTTCAATGGTTTTGATTTTCAAGATTTCACAAGGACTAGAAAAAAAACATGTAAAATAACCTCCAAAAACCACCATGAAAACAAGTTCTTTAAGACGGTGGGTGTGCAAACCACTCTGTAAATATTACCACTACATGAGTGGCAATTAGAGGCAGGGAAAGTGGCATAAACAAGAGCGTCATGCCTTCATCCCAGCAAGACTGCATCTCCTCAAACATGCATGTGTGTGCCCTGGGCAAAAGGACATGTCTTTTTCTGCCACAGGAACAAAACAAATAGTCCATATGGGGGTGAGGGTGGAGAAAAGTAAACTTTCATGGGTATAGAAATAATTCCATCACCATATAGCTCAATAAAGGCTTATTTGTTCTTTTGATCACCCCAGAGACTGTTTATGAAGTCACTGTGGGATCAGCCTGGACTCAGGGGCAAGGCCAGCACCAGAATTCCTCCGAACATTTGTTTAGCAGCAGAGCGGTGCACAAACACAGTATTGTTCCTCATGTTCTTGCTGGTGGCCTTGCCAAAGGTAGAAGCCGACAGGGCCGGAGGAACAAGAAAAAAAGAGGAAGGAGAGTGTGGGCTTTGTAATGAGCAAACTCTTGGGATAACTGCCCCTGAAGAGTTAAACATCAAACCAGCTTTACACACAAGCACTTCCTGCCATCAGCGTTACCGTTTGAAAAGGTAATGGCCAACTTCTAAAGATCGGGTCATTTCACAGTCGAGAGGGCTGTTCCATCTCCGAGTGGTCGGAGTTTTTTCCCTCTACTCTGCTCTGCTCTCTTCAGCACGTTGTGGCTTATAAATTATACAATCAAAGCCAACAAGTTCCTCCCACATCCATGCCTTTGTACGGAGATATTTGGAAGAGATTTATCAGCCCCAGAGTTCATGACTCTAGTGTTATAAACCCCCAGGGATCCATGTTGTTTGATTTGTTTTTTTATTAGAAACAAGGAAGCACTTAGCTGGCCGTAACCTCTGGGGCATTTGGCTTCACTTCTAAGAGGATTGTAGGTTGGAAGCCATTTATTGTAAAATGGACAGACATAGCAAACACTGCCACTGGCGACCAAAAGCAAGCTGGGGGAAATATGCAAAGTTTGTGATAGTTGGATGGGCTCTCAAAGCTTTCCCTTGATCCTCAATACTGGCTGAATAATCTGCAGATTTTGCCAACAGTCTGATAATCAGTACACTTACATGAGATTAAAGAAATTCCAAGTAAAACTGGACTTTTAAACATACAGGATCATAAGTTAGTCTGACAGAAATCACACCAAGTTACATACCCAGATCATTCTGCAAATTGACCCTAAAATAACAAAAGGTTTCTAAGCATAAATGTAAGGAAGCCAGGGAGCAAAACCTCAAAAGAAGAGAAGTAAACAAGCGGAATCACGATGGTGAGCTCAGGGTATGAATGAAGTAGAGGTGTAAAGTCATCTACTGGTTTCATTCGCTCGAATTTGCCACTTCAACCGGCGGGATCAAGTGATAGACAAAGGTTTTTTTTTACAATTTACCAGGTAATCTGACCTCCTCACTCACTTGCCTCCAGGCGAGCTTCTGGTTGTGGTAATTGAAAGAAAAGGTATCATATAATTTGAGGCACCCACACACCGACACAATCAGTTTGTCCTTCATATTAGGTAACAGTTAACAACCGCCTGTTTTCATACGTCACCTGGCAACCCAATTCGCGTCATTTGTGCCATCAGAGTAGTAGGAGCGTCAAATCGCACCTTTGCATTGACTTTATTTGATTTGATTTTACTCGCACTTGGTGTGTGGAGACAGTAAAGATGTCCATGTTTTCCCACTTGACATACAACCAGTTACAGCCTCTTGCTAAACTGTCTGTTTTCTGTTGTTTGTAACCAGAAGAAGGAACTTTTTCTTTTTGTGTTGGTACTTAAAAAGGGTGACTTTAGACACAGGTTTTCTTTTTGAGTCCTTAAATGATTCAGTTCAGTTCATTTAAATGTTGCCACTCAACTAAGTTACCTTCTTATCACATTTTTTGGATCCTTTAATGGAAGACGTTAAGTAGATGTCATTAGCGGAGATAAGGATTGGGCTAAGCTCCACGTTTGGCTGGCCACCTCAACAAAAGTCCGTGCCCCAGTTTGGCCACCCGATTATAACCAGAGCTTGACTTTACTGAACAATAGCCGTGCAATCCTGCTGAATTTTCCTTATTGTTTTTCACTTGTCTTGGTGGCTTTCAGTGGTTCTGCTGGGGAATTTACTTTAAGCCATTTCTATATATTTGTGTTGAACAACAAGGCTGGACTTTGTAGCTTTGAAATGCCTAATCAGCGTGATGAAAATATTAAAAGGACAGAGGAAGCTAAAGGGTCAGGGGAGGTCTCTCTGTTGCTGCTTCAGCCAAAATTAACATACGCCTCACCATGACACCTTACAGATGAATGCTTAATTCAAAGGATCCAAAGATGACGAACACAAGAGGATGATGGATATTCAAATAGCTTGGCATGTCTGGCCTATTTTTGCATATGAAATTCCTTTGCAACTGGGGGTCAGGACCTCCGGGTCCTTAAGGAAAGAATGTGTGACATGAAATGGGAGACCAAAGGGGCTGCTCGCATCCCGTGGCCTCCCAGCTGGGAGGACAGCAGACGGATCAAAGAGGCTCTGTGAATCTTCAAGAGGGGTGATTGGGATAAACTTGGAGGGCATGTGAAGGGGCCTGTGAGGGGAGAGCTCCCACTTTTTGTGCATCGCGTGTGGAAGCCCCATCTCCTCCTTGGACCGTTTACAGCCTTCACTTGTTTCGTTAATAATTCAAGAACATGAAAAGACCACAGCTAGCCTCAGCCATTAGAGTCCCCCGGGTGTGCTGCTAGCATGTTAGAGCATGAGTCACATAGTCCAGTGAGCAGTGCCTTTACCCCACGTTTGTCTTGGCCAGCTGTGCAGTGCTATATTAGAGCAGAACCAGGCATGATGAAACCTCTTTGGACAGCTATGGTGACTCCTTTCCTTCCAAAACACCCTCCTATACTAGACTGGGTGAGCCCGGGATTCTGAGGCAGCATCAACATACTATATCTCATCTCTTTACCTTTTAACAGTGGCTCTAAGATTGTTCTGTTGATTCTTGAAACATGTTTCAGGTGTGACCAAAAAGGTGGCGATCAACCCATCCATGTGTACACCTTTTGTAAATTCTCTGCAGACCAATCCAGCAAATATTTCAGAGATATTTCCAACATCTGCAAACCAGTTGTTCATCTACCTAATAATCATGTCAAAACCACCAAACACAGGAGGGGGATGTGGCTGGCACCAATGGTCCGTGTGCAGATATGTACCTGGCGTGTCACAATAACAAGCTCTACAGGTGGAGAACAGAGTGTCTTTTGTCGAGAGAACCAGGATGACCAGCATCCCCTGTCGGGACTCTGCCCCTATAAGAGAGCTGAAGACTCCCGACCTCCAGCACCTAGACTGCCAGCCAGCCAGGGCCCAGCCCGGAGGAGCCTGTCATCACTGCCACAGAGGCCTCTATTCATCCCGGCAAAGACAAAGCCAAAAGTGTACAGCAGCCATCCAAGGCATCTCAAGCATCCAGATATCCACCAGCGATATCATTTTAGGCTTTTGTGAGCCTGTGCTTTGGTTTTTCCGACAGTCTCCCCCCTTTCATTCCTTCTCTGCGTTCCCCTCAACCAAGGTCCTCGCGTGCACTGTATATCCTCGGAGAACATTCATGAACCTTTTAAAATTAGTTTCACATCCAGCGTGAGGTAAAGGTCCCTGCTAGGTGCATATAAGGTGTGATGCCTTTTGATCTGCAGCAGTAACAGTGGTCTCTTCTGAAAAATAAGTTGAACAGCTCCTTTGAAGTAGTATCACCCAGTTTTCTCACTAATCACCTGGCTGTGTCCAGTACTTGATTATCTATGACAACAGTCCTCAATTCAGTGTCACAAGGGCAATGCCAGAGATAACCATATCAGACAAGTCATGTGGAAAGAATCTGCAGAAAGGCTCTTTTATACCGTTAAAAAGGTTGCCTCAAAAACATTACTTCCAAAGATTGGATATTATGGAGGATATTTCTAATATCACTGTCTGTTCATTTGAGAACATCAAACTGAAGAAAGGGAGAAGACAGTGTAGCAACTATGGTTATACACACAAGGAGCTGAGGGAAAGAGACATTATTCAAATTGAAGAAAACAGACACAGGCAACCACAAACCACAACACGGTGTGGGCTTTCACAGTGTCACAGAACTGCTACCATCCTCCGCATCTGTCTGTATGCCATAGAAAAACACTGCTGTTAAGTTAAAAACACTCCATGACAGTAAAGCAAGATAATGTGAGACTACAATGTGAAAGAAAATGTACAATGTAGGGTTTTGTAGGTGCTACTAACCATGGAATCTGAGGGAGTATTTTCCTGTAAACTCATGTTATCTATTGGTGAAGCCCGTTATGCTGCTATTTCAATACTGATTCCACCATTGGATTATTACTATTGCAACTTGCTGCAAAGTTTGGGTGCAATCACCATGGCTGCTTTGAGTGGAGGAGGATGACTACCCTGCAGCCAAAGTAGCTGAAGTCCATGTTGGTTTGATTCCACTTACCCAGGCTGGTTTTCTTGGTCGTGGAGGTTGTGTTCCCCCACGTTGCAAGACAATATTTTGCTAAATGAAAAGCATTTTCCTTTCCATGCATGCAGCCGCTCTTACACACAACGTGACCATCAGAAGTTGTCTATAGTTTGACGCCTGTTAGCAGTTTTATTATAAAACTCATTAGACCATCAATAAGAGTACGTGCACCAGTGATCTGAATTCAGGATACACTGATTATCGCTTATTGGCCTCTCATTGTATAGCCAATAACACTTAAAGATCAACTGCCAGAGAGTCTTTCTGTCTGTGTCTGTTTTCTTGGGCCACTTTGTCTCACCTGATGTCCCGCCCACAACACTATCTGATTGGCTAAGCGTCCAATGGTGCGATGTAACTGATAAACTGTATTCAAGATTAAAAATTTGCTGAGAGTATTTAATCTGAAGTTTGGTGTTTTAACAAAAAGCTTTTCATTTTTATAGTCAGAGTATAATAGTTCTAAATACCAGTTATTGGCCTCATGAACTACCAGTTATTGGAATTGTACCGTACCTCACCAAATTGTATTGTTTTGTACTGGCCTTGAAAAAAATCAATATTGATCAACCCCTAATTTAATTCAAATGACAAGACTCGACTCAAGATGATATCAAGACTCAGGACCCAGGAGACTCACTAGAAGAGTTGATAAGCCCCAAATTGTCTGAGTTTCTTGTTCTGATCTGTGGTACCAGATCTGTAACAGAACCCTGTTTTGATCCTCATCCTTACTTGTGTTGTTTATTTTAAAAAATGACTTTTAAAAAAGCAGGTGTTTAAGTGACAGTGGGTGAGACACTGTCCACAGTTCCCATTTCAGACCTTTTTCCAGTCCCTGACCATGCTGGGCCCCTAAATTCAGTAGTGAAATCTCCACCTGCTGATAGCATCAGCTGCCCCACCGCTGTCCCCCCCCTCCACTCCATCCTTCCTTCTCTTGGGCATGTGTGGCAGCCACTGATAAAAGAAGTGAAGATAAGAGGAAACACAAGCTGTGATGAGGAACACACCGCCGCCAGAACAGAACATCAGCCCGGTGAAAAGAAACGAAAAAGAAGAGAGGAAGATCGAGGGAGAGGAGGGGGAGGACGATACAGCAAGGAGAGGAGAAAGGAAGCAGCAAGAGAGGAGAATAAGAAGGAGGCAGAGAGGATCTGAGAATGATTAAAGGAGAATGCTGGGTGGAAGAGAGAAACGAAAGCTGTTGTGTATCCTCGGGCTAAAAACAGAGAGAAGAGGAGGTTCTGTCAAAAAAAATTGAGCAACAATAAAGACGAATGGCCAAAGAGTTATACAACAAGCTCCTCTGTGCAGTGTATTTCTGAACCAAAGAGCTGCTTGTGAGATTCGAGACGCATGTGGTTTGTCCAGAAAACAAACAAGAAGTGACTGCAATCAAGTACGCAAACAAGGATCCATAAATACAAGATGAGAGGAAGCATAAACACACAGTTCTGTGTCCCAACAAGAAGACAACTGTGCAGAGCATTGTTGTTATATTCAGCAAGCACTACTGCAGAATTTCATCTTCATGAGCTTAAGTGAGACTGAAAGGTTTCCGAAGATTTTTTCCGGTTTTGGAGATACAAATATGAACACAGAAAGACGGAGAGAATTTAAGAGGGGGGGGGGTTAAGATATCACAAGGCAAACCTCTGCAGTTTTCTTCACGGCTCAGTTCTCTGGAAAACAAGAGTGAATGTAAATAAATCTGAGCTGTCGACATGGGCTGAGAGTGGAGGGGACAGGTGCCACAATGACACCAGGGACCTCCAGGGGGATGTATGCATCCCATAGCAGTGTCCTCTTTCAAGATGGACACCGGAGGGGGACAAACCAGTTGGTCCACCCAGGAGTGTGTGCACAGCAGCACTAAGCTACACAGATAAAATTAAAACTACTGGACTTTAGATGATTTTTCACCACACTGGAGAAAAATATTTCATTGTGTGGTGAATTAAATCCATGCATATATATGCCAACCAGGGATAGACTGATCAACTGGGCCGATAACTAGCATCACAATAAAATCAGCATGAGCCAAAACTTCAGTTAATTTTATTACTCAAAACTTTAGTGTGAAGTCAGGCCTTGTACCATGTACTTGAAGCAAAAACTGGGTCTACGATGCATATCTACATGGGGTTCATCCAGAGCTTTGTTTTTTTAAACACATGCAGCCATCTCACCTTTACTTCCTGAATATTTTGTTGAAATTCTGACTATATAAGAACTGCATGCACTCTTTGGTCAGTCAGCATGTTTTCAATATGCTGCATAGTAAATATGGTTATGGGCAAAGTATGCACCATAGTTCAGTTGTCAGGAAGCACACACTTAAGATATTGTTAGTCGACAACACATCACATGATTGAAAGACTCTGAGGATGTGGATCTCAAAATTTAAAGTGAATTTACATATGAGTGATGAATAATCCCAACAAAAAAAGCATTAGACTGCTCGGGTGTAATGTTGTTTCTGTGCAGAAATCATCCCTTTAGAGAAAAAAAAAAAAAAAAAAAAAGGCAAAAAACTCGCCTGTTGTCATGGACACTTCAAGGCCAGCTTGACTCATGGTACAAACTAACATATATAGCTCAGTTGAATGTATTAGCCTGCAGTTAACCAAGTACACTCTGCTCCTGGCCGGGCTTCTTCCTATTGGCTCAGAGTCAACACAAAGTGTCCTGCTAATCCAACAGTTGTCCAGCTACACTGAAAGTCACCTCTGAGTGCGGCTGTAGCACTCATGTCAGGAATCCACAGGCTCTTTGCATACCGAGTGGCCGGATATCCTCTGGTTAAAGAGGGTCCTCTAAGCCCGCGCCATGTGTTGGTTGACTGGGGAGGGTGACAGGGGTGGGGGGGTGGGGGTGTTTTTTTGGGAGGTGGCAGGGATGTACAGTGCTTAAAAGGCCTTTGGAGTGACATCATCATCACATTGAGCGCACACAAATGGAGAACCAGGAGCGGCCTGTTCAGGATCCATAGAAACCAATCCACTTTCCTGCAGATCCTCTGAGCCGTGCAGCGCTCGGGCTAAAAAGTGCAGCTCTCCTGCTCTGAGCCTGCAGATCTGTGCGTTTGTGAATGGCTTTTGTGTTGCTGCCGAGGCAGAACAAAGTGAGTTCAGGTTACTGCACTCCTCCCGTTATTGGCCCACATTGTCTCTAATTATTCTAGCAAACATTGACACAGCATGTGTGGTCTCACATTTATACCCCCCCCCCCCTCCCATACTCCACAGAGTGAGAGAAGGGAGAAGGAGAGCAGAAACCAAACTCAAAGATCTTATGAAAAGATAGAAAGGAATAAAAATGTTACGTCTTTGCCATTTGGTGCTTCATTCTGATGCTATCAAAAGTGAAACTGCTTGAAAATGTTGCAAACTACTTTGTTGTTTTTCTTGTTTTCATGCACGGTAAGAGGACACATCCGGAGTTTTAAGTCCATGTGCGACCAAGATCAACCAACGAGGGATGGAGAGCAAACCGAAGAAGTTTTCTAAGATGCTATAACGGAAAACAGACAACAGCCACAACTTTAAAGCTGGATCCCACACTCTAATTTGAATTCTGAAGCTTTCCCGTTGCCCGGGCGCCTCTAACTGCAGCTTTTGCAAAACAATAATTATGACGAATGTATGCATCAATAGCTTACCAAATCCTCTGTCCATAAGCTTAGCTGGAGGCAATGCTGCAGAAAAGCTGACCCAAATATGCTACGTGTGGTTGCCAACAGGAAATGGCTTGAAGTTAGGCACAAGGATGGTCTGGTGCAAAATCGAATCACGAGAATTTAGAAACAGGGGAGCTTACTTACTGTAGCGCTGGCACTGACATGCTGATAGTATTGGTCACAGTGTTATAGAAAGCATGGGTACAGTGTGAAACCATTGCTGTACAATTCACATATAAGCCCCTCAGATCTGTACTGAGGCTCTATTGAGAACAAGAAACTCATCTGCTGGGAAAAACTCTCTTCAGTCTTCTCCAGCAGGTTCCTTTAAAGACTGCAGACTCAGACTTTCCACCTTCCTCTCCACAAATTTGATAAGACCGTGATGTTTTCTCTGACTTGGCGTCCTAAAGCTGCCACCATGAAGAGCAGACGAGTGCACCTTAACAGGAAAATGTGGCTCCTCCATTAATGTGGAATTATCTGCCTTATTGTGAAAAGAAGCCACACAACTGCAGTTAATTGCTCTAACTCGAAGTGTAATTCAATTTAATGTAGCTGTAATAGGAGCTCCTCCTGGAAAGAAAATCATTGTAAACAAAGAGGGTTCAGTTACTGCAAAAGCTTTATCAATTAAATATTGCTAAGCTTTTCTTTCTAGCTGCTGCTGCTTCTTCATCCATCCTATGATGTGTGGCAACCAGCATTAAGGACAATTACTATAAACTTACTGAATTACTAGGGGTGTTCCAACAAGGGTACCTCACAATCCTATTCGGTTTGGATTATGGGAGCTTTGATTCTTTGATTGAAATGATTGTCGATTCGGTTACTGGTGCCACGATTCTTTGATTATTGCCATTTTTAATGCTTTTTCATACAAGATTGATTCTGTGTTCATCTGTGGCTACATTTGTAAATAAATAGCATATCAATTAACTCAGTTCCTTTAAAACTACATTCAAAGACTAAATAAGGTTTTTTGAATATTTGACTTGTATTTATCAAAGACACAAAATATTTTATTTCACGACTGTATGACTGTTACGTAAACATTTGCACGTTTACCTACTGAACTTAAAGCCTTCTCTGTTTTGGGATGAAAGTGTACAAGGTGCTGCCTCACGTTTGTGGTCTTGCTGAGATACTTATTTTTGCTTTGCAAATCTTGCAAATCACGTAGGTCTTGTCAGTCGTCTTGTTTGTTCTCTCATAAAATCCAAAGTACTTCCACACGGTTGCAGTCAACCCAGATGGCGAGAGAATCGGCTGCTCTGTGGAGGCTACTGAAACTGTTGCCATTTAGCAAAGAAACTAACGCGCTCTGTTTGTTGTGGTCCCACTCACTGAACAGTCAGGGCAGCGCATGTTAAGGTTCTGGTAACTTGTTTTTTTGCTCAGGTCTTGCGGCAAAGCATCAACGCTATTTTTTATTTCTTTATTTTAAGCATCAACGTTAATTAATCAATGCCGAATCGTCATGTGAAGCATCGCAATGCATCGACACATCAATGAATTGCACCCACCTCTATGTTACCCTATACTGTTCTTTTTAGTTCCTGTCCCAGATCAGTCTTTGCACCAGCTCTCAGCAAGAAAGCAACAAAAGCTGAACTATTCATTCAGTGATTCTCTGAATCAAGAACAAATTTAGCATCATCTCAAACTGCAATTAACAAATTAAATCCTCCATCCGTTTTATGAGAGAAAGACACATCCAACCGACTGCAGAGGCCAACATCCAAATCTCAGAACCACATCCCTGGGATTTGTTTACTTCCAAATGCCTGCGGGATGCATGTCACCAGGGGGGTGACAGTTTGACTTTGTCACATGCCTGTGGGATGCAGAGGGAATAGCAAAGGGCTGTATTGGCCCGTCTTTTTCTGTCATTCCCATCTTCTCCCACTCGATTTCTCCTCTCCCAAAAACAGCATTCTGAGAAACGAGGTTCTTTGACATGTCTGAGGACAAGTTATCATTAGGCAGCCAAGTGTGTCTGGACAAACTGTCTATGCCCTGCCAAGCAGAGAATAGCCGAGGTCTCCTTTGTGCTGTTTTTTTCTACATTTCTATGGCAGGTTTTACTTTGACATATGACAAGAGGAGGAATCTGGATAGAAGGGCTGAAGCTGCGAAAGCACAGCCACAGAAACAATGATGTGCTCCGTCTCTCTCGACTCAAAATACGTGATATTTGTTCAAATTTCCCCTCCTATTGTTGGCCTGTAATTTCTGTCACACAAGAATTGTTTGCAGAAAAATTTAATCACCTTGACATTTTTGTGTTCCTGACAGAAACACACAGGAGCAACGAGAGGTGAACAGATGGATTTGAAGAGGACAGAAAAGGACACAGCTGGCCAGGAGTAATTGTTCTGACCTTTTCATATACACTCAGGTTCACATTGAGCCAGGGGGCTTTACAAGGTCAGGTGGACGGGTGAGTCAGACTACGGGAGTGTTGACACGTTTTGCATGACAAGAAATGTCATATCCATTAAATCAAGGATAGTATCAAGACTTCTCTGTTCAGGTGCACCTTTCTACCTCACCCATGTGTGTAGGTTAGGGTTCCCCCGAAGAGTGCTCCCCTTCAATGTCATCCATATATGGAGTAACTTCAGATTGCTGTAACCCTTCAGGTGCATCAGGTGTACAAACTTAGACACCCTAAAGTTCTGCATTAAAATCAAACCCATAAAACTTATTGTGATAAAATTTTTTAGCCCATATCCCCCACCCTCGTCTTGGACATCATGAAAAGGCGTTAATATCAATTTTAGTGTTTTCTAGTCCTCACAGGAGCTTTATGTCTTTCTAGAGTTTGCCTTTCACAGCAGCACTTTAGAGACACCGTGTCCCTTCAAACTGCCAGTAAAATAGAAGCAACACTATATATAGTTAATTCACCTTACACACAATGACCCTTATCATATTGTGAGTCTGCAACAGCGCTGTAACTCAGCGCAGCTGTCAATATGTCTCTGTACTTTCATACTGATCCAACAATAGCATAAAATTGGTGTCACAGTGTTTCACAATGTTTAATGGTGATGTGTAAGTATGAGAGGTAAACACACAGACAGAAGTTCACACACAGTGAGACGTGTGCACACACTCACAGCCCTGTTCCAACAGCTTAGAGCAATACTGCCTTTAAAATGCTCCTGCTCCCTCATGCCTCTGTGACAATCACATCGAAGGCAAGGCAGTACAGGACGCAAATACCCCTTCCTCATATCATAAATCTGCACTGCATCAAGGTTTTTAATATTTAAACTGAGTGTAACTAAAAGTTTTAAACGTATGGCACAAAAAAACAGGTCCATGAAATCTGGTCTTTAAGAAACACTTTTGAAAACTTTATCTTAAAAGTGAGTTGCACTCTATTCTAGGTTACCAATTCATATGATTAAATCACAGACAGATACTTGAGAGTTATGTTGTATTTTATGATCGTGCTAGGCTTAACTCAACTACAGTGTGGGTAAAGCTCGCAGGATAGTGAAATCAGATAGAACTACACATCTGCACGGAAAGTGTATATTGCTGATGGAAATTGAAGTCTGCATTCGGGAGCACAGTTTGCACCTTATTTTTTCCAGGGCTTCCCCCAAAACAGACTAAAAAACAGACTGTAAAAATCACAAAACAAAATGATCTGATGCATCTCTACATCAGGCTTGAAAGTGTTTTTGAAGGGTTTTTTTGGGTCAAGACAGTGCTCCTATAATTACAGTCAGTAATTCATCATGAATTCAGGTAATTAAATCAATTTGAGAGTTCAAAGCAGAAGATCATTACACCTATTAGTTGGGTGTCAAAGTTAAGTCTCAACACCCCGTGATTGCTCCTTGTTCGGTCACTCAAGTAAAAATGAAAAGCCTGATTGAGCCCAACACGCCAATTAGAGAATGATTTTTTAATTAATTGACAACTTATATAAGAAATGTCGTAACTAACTTCAGCCCTACATGGAAGCCTTGTGTCTCCGTCTTTTTAGGAGCAGCGATTGGCCGGATGGTCCTGTAAAAGTCATAAATGAGGAGGTCTCTGCTTTTACAACCAGCAACAAAGACTTTGTGCAGCAGTCCTCAGAGTTCCGGGTCTGACCCAGGATGCAGGAGTTAAAAGGCTGACCTCCGCTTGAACTCTAAATAAATAAAAGTGCAGCTGTTTACTGCTAATTTAACTTCAAAGGGACATACAATCACACAACAAGGGCGAGGAGAACTTCAATCAGAGGCATGCAAATAACCTTTGGCAAACCAAATTCAACAACAGTGAGTTATTGCCATGTGCTTTCAGCGAGGGAGATACTTTTCCCGCGGTGTGTGCCTCTTAACTGTCATGGGAGCTGTCAATGAGTTATCAGCCTGATGATCATGGGGGCACTTTGAAAGAATCTGTGGTCATGCTCAGTCCAACACACATTACAAGAGAAGTGCATGTACACACTCTTCACACATGCACATGCAAGGAGACCCTGTATAAACTTTACAAAGAACACTGTCAACTCTGTTCCACCTGTTGTGTACTTTAGAAACGCCCTGAGGATTAGCCTATCTGCTGAAATCAGATAAAAACTCTTCCCCATTCCAAGTCCTCCATCAAAAACAGAAATGCGCCTTTTCCTTCCACCAGTCTACATCAGCAAAGCAATAAGAAGAGAGCCGAGGCATTCTCGAGTCTCTGGCTTCAACTGAACACACTCAAAAGTATTTTTCTCACCACGCTTGTGCAAGGGAACACCTCCACCTTTATTTGTATGGGAGTGGATTTAGCTCCAAGGCCTGCAATTACATCATCGTTCAGTTTTGCAGCGCTACATATCAGGGCCGGCATTACTCAGAGAGGCCTTTGAAGAGTTTGGCCCAACCCTCGCGCTCTCTCTGCTTCCCTCCTCCCCCTTCACCTCCCCCCCTTCAGCGCTTGCCTTTGATGTTAGCGCGTGGAGCTGCACCGAGCGTCGCGGCCTCCCAGGCCTCCCCGCCTCGCCTGATCCTATCTGCTCAGGCGGCACATTCATGTGGTTTACACCCGCAGCACGACTCCCGGCAGCTATTCACCCAACCCTTCAGGCCCCTCCCTGATCAGGGTCCAGGGGCTGGAGAGGGACGTAGCGTAGCCTGAGCTGCCGACAGGGGTCGAGGGGAAGGACAGGAGGAATTGTGGAGGCTTTACCAAAGCCTGGGGCTATGCTACAGAGCTTTTATTGGCATGGTATGTGAGTGAAGCTACTATATTTGTAGAATCATGAAAGGGAAAGTTACACCTGAGCCTTGGGGACTTCTCTCAAGAGCTAAATCGGAATGTGTTGGTGAAGGTGTGACTCTAACAACTAGAAACAAAAGCCTGCTCTTACTTGGGTGCAGCTGCACAAAAGAGCCAACCTGCAAAAAATACAAGCTCAGCTTAGTGGGAGTGTTTTTCAGTGACTGACAAAAAATAGAAACCTTGTGACCCTGATATCTTCAGTATACAGGGATGACACAGAAAGAGAGACAATTTTTCATTTCACAAAATCTAGGGCGTATCTTTAGCAACAGGAAGAGGAGGAGGAGGAGGGGAACAGATGCAGTGATGTATCTTTACCGTGAAGCTACAGGACACACAGTGCTTTATCAGAGGAAAAATGAGGAGCTAGCCCAGCTTGTTTTCATCTGACCAAGCATGTCCAATCCATCATACAGTGTGGCCCCATTGTGTTAAGGCCTGGATCTTCCTCATTACTGCAACAACTACCTGCACACACAGGCAGCCTTAAGATACCAATACAGGGCTAGGGGGTAGGAACATGATTAACAAGCTGGGGTCTGCACTGTAAAAAAATGTCTGCCCTGAACCAAACTCGTCCACAACAGAAAATTGTCTTTGGCTTTACAAACCACACAATGGCCTGACCAGTTGCTCTTTAGCCATATTATGTTCTAAGGGAGTTCAGTCATATCATAACAATACTCGTATACATTCCACCCAAGGCTAGGCTGAGGTTCCATGTGATGTCCTCCATGAAACAATTGCTAGGAGACAGACTCAACATCCTGAGAAAAACATTAAAAAACATAGACCATCCACTTCATAATACCTTGATGCCAAGGCCAATAATTGGTCAAACCCCAACGTACAATTCCACCTGACACAGCCACTCTAAACCTTGGAGTGTAGACCCTAATGGGAAGTGATTTTTGGGGGGTCACCAGATGGTTGTGTGTAAAAATTGCATATCAAAATTTGCAGGTGAAGATAAAGGCTCACCAAAGAGCTAGCCAGAGGTGAAGTTTCAAACACCTATGATGACCTTTGATTGGGGGTCATGACTCAGAAAAATGGGGGAACCACTGACTTGACATAGCATCATCTCAAATATCTTTATATTTGGGTCAATCTCAGTTTGGCGTGTGTTTACACCAACTTTTACTTGAACTGACACTGATTTTTAAGCAATCATGAGATATTTTGCTTTTTACAGTGCAACATGTCCCCATCTGGCAACCATAAATGACCTTTTCCACAGCTGTGTTGAGATCAATTAAAGGTAAAGTGGGGACATGTAAAAAATTGCTGGGATTGTGATAGGTGGGGGAGCCACACAACATTAAAATGATGCATTAAACTGAGGGTGAAAATGTGCACAAGAGCGGTAATGGATTCTGTGAACAAAAAGCGGAGAAATTGCAATGGGCACCAAAAGGATATCATTATGAATCAAATTGACAGGCCAGCAGGGTCTTCTTCCATTAAAAGCTCTATGATATTTTATCATGTGCTGGGGTAATTATGTAATGATGTACACAAAAGGAAACCTTTGAACCCTGTCAAAGTGTAAAAGGTGTTTGATAAGACTTTTCCCTTTCATGACAACAAATGCGAGTTGTAGGAGGACAGAGGGTACAAGGATCTGAGGATAACAAGAGAGGTAGGAGGAGGAGGAGGAGGAGAGAGAAGCAGATGGTGTGTAGTGCTCTGATTGAAATGGACTCCCAGCACAGCTACCTTCCTAGTCTACTGGCTAAAAACGTACAACAAAAGGGGAGGCTGGCGTTGTGGCCTTCCACGGTTAGTCAGCACATTCCTGGCTGACAACAAAGCATGCCTCTGCCTGGATGAGCCACTGTGAGCATTGTCATTTCATAACCCTCGACCCCTTAGCTTTTGTTTTGCAGACCCTCTGTGTCAGTGGATAAAAATATGGGCTGAGGGGATGGACTGAACCTTTCAGTGCTGTTTCATCAAATGCACACAGACACTCCACAGGGCTTCGTCACAAAGCAAACCCACTTTGGACTCTTTTTCATCTTTGACTCATTTTGAAAGCAACCCTTGAGTTGAGACAGGTGCTGTGGAAAATCACTTTTTTCACCTGTCATATGGTAACATTATCTCAGAATGCATTTCCCAGCACTCATCACAGAGGAACCACAGCCTCAGGGAAGGGCTGAATTAACATTTCCTCATCACTAGAGTGTAATACAGAGGACAAACACAAGTCGTTCATACAAATGAGCTCAGACACATAATCAATAACAGATCAGGAGGAGAGTGGCGCTGGGGAATAGGACTCCCCTGGGAAAGGCGTGGATGCCAGAGAGAAAGCAAGAGCAAGCACTGAGTGCCTGCTAATCTCTCTTTGAGTGGAACATCAAAGATCTACTGAGCCACTCAGCCCAGTGGAAACTAACATAGCTACTGGGGCCACCAGTACCAACATGCACTTGTTTCAGGTGGAGCTGGGAATGAGACGCTTTACAGAGAAAGAGCAACAGTAGGTGCAGCAAGAGAGAGGCACGGGCTACAAGTTTGGAAGACAGTTTGGCCATTTGAAAAAAAAGAAAAGGCCCAAATGAGCACAAATAGATCCGACAGGGATTCAGGTTTTTCAAAGCTGACATACACCTGAAAATTTCCTGATAGCAACTAAATCATTTAGCTGAATGCTAAAGAAGCATTTTATGCTTGTATTTTCAGAGTTCACATATCTACTGTTATGTTTTGATACAATTAGGGGCCTATGTCCACTTGTAGCATTTCTGCACCGACTCACAAAAGAAAATGGCAAAATTTTCACAACTGTCATACTGAACAGTGTCACTCCTCTCTGACCAACCAATCAAAATCAAGCAGCAAAAACACAAAAGTTAATGCTTCTGAAACACTATATACACACACACACATACATATATATATATATATAGGCCTGTCACGATAACAAATTTTGCTGGACGATAATTGTGCTACAAATTATTGCCGATAAACGATATTATTGACACCGTTTTTTAAATTATAGATAATGATATTAAATGGCATAATAATGCGAGTACACCCTGTCAAAAGTGATAAACTTTAATTTCACCCACGACGAAGACGTAACGTTGACGAGCTAAACATAAGTCGGAGATGACTAAAATGTGACGAGACGAAAGTGCGTTTACGTTGATGGGACGAGACGAAAATGACGAACAGAGTTGCAAAACTCAGTCAGTTAAACGCTAAACATATAGGAGCAGCTTCAGTCCGCTCTGACAGCTCTCATCAGCCTGCCGTGCTCCTCCAACACACAGACACACACACGCGCGCGCACACACACGTGGAGTTTCGTGGTTGACGAAAACAAAAGTGGTTTAAAGCCGAAATATTCCCACACTTGGGCTGTTGCGTTCGGTTTAGACACCAAAGCTGTCGTGTTCATTCTGTTTGCTTGCTTTTCACTCACAACGCTCACTTGCAGCACTGTATCCAAAAGTTTGTGTCTGTGTGCCTGTGCGCGCCTACGTGTACCTGTACGCGCGCCCCCCGTGACAAAGATACTGAATGACTGACAGGAGGGTTCACTAACTCCGTTCATTCCGCTATAGAGCCAACGCCCCCAGGTGCCGAGAAAAATGCGCAGAGTGAGACCTCTTCTCTCATCCAGCGTGTTTGGTAGAAAGAGAGGAGGAAAACAAACGCACGTTAATTATCGAGGCTGGAAAAATGACCGACCTCGTTTTTATTTATCGAGCGATAAGGCGATTTATTGATTATCGCGACAGGCCTATATATATATATATATATACATATATACATATATATACACATATACACACACACACACATACATACACATAGATAGATAGATAGATAGATAGATAGATAGATAGATAGATAGTGTCAGTTTGTCATTTTTCCAACATTTACTTGTACTTTTGAGCATTTTTGCCCTAAAGCAATTTGATTATAAAAATGACAGGTTATGATGGGCCCTGGTAGCACACCCAGAACAGCATATACCATAAGTAAGAGCCTTTATTTCAGCCTAGCTCTTTAGCCGAATCTCACCCTCATGTTCTGCTCTAATAATCCTCTCCATCTTCAGCTGTCACTTTCTCTTACGACAAAAAAAGAAAACCATCCTAGTGAGGAAAATAAAAGACAGTGGATAATCCATTTTATGGATTTTGCAGAATAAAACCTTGTCGTCCAGGGAGACACTCCTTCACAGCTAAACTTTAACAATTCATTAGCGCACATTGGCTATAGAAAAGGTGCAATTCTCACTTAGAGTCATTCAAATACAATATACGATGCATGACAAATTTTGGCTGAATCAAAAAGACCAGAGTAGAGGTGGGGGCGAGAGTGTGTGTGAGTGTTTGGGTGTGTGTGTGTGTGTGTGTGTGTGTGTGTGTGTGTGTGTGTGTGTGTGTGTGTGTGTGTGTGTGGGAGGGGGGTGTTGAGCAAGAGAAAAGAGAAAAACAGTTTAGTCTGTTCTATTCCGAAAAGGGGAGAAACGCAGCCTCAAATTACTTTGGCTGGGACATGAAAGTGAAACAGGGTGGCGGTTAAGAGACGATAGCACTTAAAATACAGCTGCGACCGCCAAGCCAATAAATGGAAAAAAGTAGGGAGCAGCACTTTTAACCTTTTAAACCAGCGTTTGTGTACTGCTACTGTTGCTTTGGCGCTGGGAGTGGCCCGGTCCCTGGCACCTCCCGTCTGGGGCCGGCCCATTATGGCCTCTTGGGGTTTCCAGCCTGTGGTGAGAAAGCGCGCTGGATGCCTTAAACCACTAAAGCTCTCATTATAGTCTAAATGCAGCGCGACACAACTCTTGCCAGCTCCAAGGTAGGAGCTCTAGTATTTAAGCTCATCGTTGTCTTAGCTTGAAACCACCACTTTCCCCCTGCACATCCAGCCGGAGAAAAACTGCCACTTTCAAAGAACCACATCATGAAGTCTCCCCGCTGTAGTTACTGGCGCTTCATGTGCACGGGGATGAAGTTCAAAGTTGAGGCAGCTCATGGGTGTTGGGAGGCTAGAGCCACTTCTTCCTGTCTGGATTCAGAGGATGTCCCCCTGTCTCTGTGTCCCTTCTGAGAGGAAGTTTGCAAAAGCCACGTTATACCCTCTGGGTTCTGGACGACTACGCTGCGAGTCCCATCTGGTCCTTCGGGTGCCCCTGCCACGTCCCTGCCCCAGCTCCTCACTCACATGCTGACAGCACGGGCCTGCTGGAAGTCAGAGGCAGATGTGCACTGAAGCACCGCTCATCTCGCTACAGGAAAGACAATTTGGCGTCAGGGAGACAATGGAGAGTGATGAGCAGCAGATGGTGTTTCCCTTTACATCAAACTGGCAGAGCAAAACATGATAACAGACAATATGAGTGTCCCGCATCCTTTGGACCTTCAGAAATATCATTACATCAAGGCGACAAAGCGCTTTCCATCACACCTGGCTGTGCAAATTATGGTGTTGACTGGGGAACTTCAGGAGCTGGCTAGGTCATGCCATCATTGCTCTGCTTTAACATGCTTAACTCAAGTCAACCCGCTAAAAGAACAGTACTGCAAGTCTTCTCCAGCCTTTATGCTATTACTGTGCAATTTTTACATTGGTCTGGAGCCCTGAAACTAGAAATGACTTGAGCTTAAAGCATTTCTAGTACTCGCTGAACCAGGCCATCGAGGAAGTGCTTCAATCTAGGTGAATACAATTAACAACCTGGAAGGACGGGCAACCTGCAATACTCTTGTTGCCAAGAGCAGCTCTTAAAATCGTCTTAGGGGAATGCCTGTTAATGCAGACACACACACACACACACACTCAGTCACATGTCATGACAGAATGATTTAAGGAGACATTGATTACCTTGCTATAACAGCTGAACTGGAGCAATCATGCAACTGGCTTTGGGGAAGCCTGGGGTCTGGTTCTGTGGCCAGATCTGCATCGTCATGCTTCCCCCCTCAGAGCAGAGCGAGGAGCAAATTAACTTAATTTATTATTTTTGGCCCCAGCACTGTTTGCCACTTTTCGCACTCTTTCGGGCAGAGCTGAGCGGGTGATGGCCTGGGGGAATTAGTAAATGCAAGTGAGGAGTGTGCGAGTGCTGATTTGGTTGGGTTTTTACTCAGGAACTCTGCCAAGCCCCTCATTTCCCCTGCATTTGAACCCATACCTGCTGAGGTCTGGCCACTACTGAACACACAAGACAGCGCAAACCCCTTAGGGCTCTGTTCAAACAGCAGAGGGAAGGAGCAGAGGGCCTCGTAAACCTCAGACTAAATCAAGCGCCCTATTCAGCAAGCAGAAGTCGGCTTGAACCTTGAGAGCAAAAAGAAGACAAGTGTGATGGTTGCGGAGGTCACTGCGGACAAGAGAAAGCACTACCTAAATATTTGTGTTCAGCCTGATTCCAGTGTAAAACTATATCCGTTACAACACCGCAGCAATTTCCCAACACGTTGCTGCAATGTTATTCCAGAAGTATAGAATATGCAAGTGGGAAATTTGATACCAGTTTAAAATTATACACCTCAGGTTGTACGGTTGTCATTCATTGTCAGCGTCAACTTTCATAAATCTTCGGTAGAATATATGTTGCAAGAAATTCAAGACAGTGCGCCATGCCGGACCAACTGCCCCTCATTATAGCCTGACAAAATATAAGCTGCCTCTAAGTGGTCAAGAGCTATGTTAGCAAAGAAAGCAAACCCAAATAGATGTGGTTTTCAATGTAAAGCTGAGGTCCGGCATTTCTGTGTGGTTTTCAAGTGGCGCCAAATGGCCATCACTGAGTATAAACAGGGGCCATTTTTATGCTGAGTATCCCCTCCTTTGATCCCCACATATCCTCTTTATTTCAAAGTAGGAGTCCGATTTGGAGTGAAAAGGCGTGCTTGCACTAAAATGATGCTGCTCTGTTGTGGGTGCAGATATTGCAAAGGGTGAAAGAGGAACAACTGCATGGGTAAAGATAATGTGTGTGCATGTCTAAAGAGAGACAAACATGCAAATGAAGACCAGTCCTGATGAGTCTAGCAAAAGCCCCATGTTATATCTGATGTGTCTTTTGAAGTCGCGGACTGGAATGCACTTGACTCAAAGTGGTGAACTTGATTAAACTCAAATTGTGTATTTTCAGCATTAAACCCCCTCAAAAAAACTCTCTCTCACTCTCTTTCTCTTCAAAGGCTGCATTGAAACCTGGCCTGCCACCAAAAACCAACGATCTCATTGAGCTCAATAGTTTCTTCAGTCTGAGGTCACACTTCAGCAGCTACTGGCTTTTACACAAGAGTTGAAAACAAAGACACAACCGGCATCTCACGAGGGATGGCGGCTGCTTATCTGTCATCTCCTGATGATCAGATAAATAGAGCGAGATCAGAAAAGTTCTCATTAAATGACATCCAACTCGACTCTACTATCGACCAGAAACTTTATCAAGATGACTTACTTTTGAGGGAACTGGTTAAAAATGAAAGGTTGGACACCTGCCTCTTAAAGAACTCACAGAGAGCTGGTTTTCCATAATAGCAAAGGACGTGTTGGAGGTCAGTGGATAAAACATTTAACATATTTATTACAAGACCAGACCCTGACCTCTTTCCTCATTTCACAAACAGCGGCCAAAAACTTCAAATAAACTGGCTCATGGGGAAAACTTCATATCTTAGTGACTGCTACTCAATCAAAGCTGGATGGCTGATCCAAGATCAGTTCCAGCTAAGTCCATTTCTCACTGATAGGGGCTATAAGAAACCTGGACGCGTCCCTCATGAGCACTAGTTTCCCTTTCTTCCAATTTTAAAGCCCGGAGAGAATTAAAGGGAGGTTTTAACCAAAGATATGCAGCTTCAGAGGCAGCGTTGACTACAGCAACATGGTGAGGCTCCTTGCGGCGGGACTGTGGGTTAGTGCACGCTGGGACGGTCAATAAAACAAACGCTAAGCCGCACTGAGCTCACATTTCGGATGAACAAGAAGCATTTCGGCTAAAATGCACAATTTAAACAGATACACAGAGTATACTAATCACACAGTGGAGCCTCTTAGTCCTGTTGCTCTAGGACAGCCTGAATGCTCGTTCAACAAGTTAACTTACTTTCTGGAGGCGGTGCTGCACTTTTAACTTTGCAGGAAAACAGCTCCCTAGTTCCTAACAGCGCGTGCTTCTGAAGAAGCGCAATTAACTGTAACGTGCACTCAACTGAGCTCGAGACATCAACAAAATAACCTGCAAGAGCATGTTTTCCCTGTGAATGAATTCCACAAGATAGGAGCCATCTTGTGACCGCATATGCTTGCAAGCCTCGTACCATCCTCACACCGCCTGCATACACACACACACACACATACACACACACACACACACAAACTCTCACACACGCATATATACACACCATATACAACTCTTGTCAACCCCCCAGCCCCCGTGGAAAAAGTTTTAAGGGGAGCAGCTATGTGAAAGTACACCCCGTGTTCCGGTTCTGCCTCTCGGCACTGCCGCCTGTCATTCCCCCGCAAGAAAAAGACACTTTACACGTACTTGAACGATCTCCCCCTCCGCGCTGATAGTGGCTCCAGCTTTGGAGAACCGTCCTTGCAAGCCAGTCGTGTAAGTAGTATAATCTCCATTGGGACTGGACTCGAACAGAACCACTTCCACAAAGGCAGTATCCTTGGCGAAAACGGTACCTAGGGAAGCGGCAACCGCGAGGATCACCAGGACCACCGAGTCGGGCACACGATCTGAGCCTCTCCTTGGTAAAATCATCATCTTGCCGGCTGGATCTGCGCCGATCGGGACATAATTTCACACGGATTAATTAATCGGGTGAAGGTAATTGAAATCAGGTCTCTGCGCGTTACGTGCGATGCGTCAAAAGAGTAAGAATTGTAAACCAAAAGCTGCGCCCGGGCTGAAGCGTGTTTATTTCACCACTGCAAGCCTTGTCAATTACATTGCCTGCAAACGCTCCCTCTCTCTCTTTCTCCCTCCCTCTCTCTCTCCCTCTTTCTTTCTCACCCCCCTCCTCCTCCCCCTCTACAAAGCGGATCTCCTTTGATCTCCAAACACGTGATTTTTTTTTTTTTTTTTTTTTAGTTTTTTTCTCTCTCTCCCAAAAGGGTTATATCCCCACCCACCAATCTTTCTGACCCTCTCCTTTGCACTCCCCACTCTAGAGTGCCAGCACTCAGTTAAGGAGGCACCGCGGACTTCACTGCGCCGCTGAACGAAAGGAAAATGGGCGGCTAAATGTTTGTCAACTCCTAAATATGCGCGTCAAAATGTGAGTTTATTCACATGTCTTTCAGTATGATCAGGGTGAGGTTGTATTTTCAGTCACTCTTGCAAACCTGGATTACATTGCGGTGCGTTTCACCGAGTTTGACACGTTTTTGGCTGTCGTTCCACCTTAAAACAAACACTTGAGACGCTTCATGACTTAACCGGGCTAATTTTTCAATCTGATTCCGATTTTCTCACATACAGATTACAATAGATATGAACGATCAACTTGCTTTTAAAACACTTTCTGTTAACCCTGATAAAATCTTTACCTCGTGTTGTTGATCAGACAGAGATCATGGAAAAGTTTTATTTCAGGAATACCTGTTATCAATATTTAATATGCGGCCAAGCAGGGGCGCTGTAAAGATTTCTGGGCCACCAGAAACATAAACACCCCCCCCCCCCCCCCCCCCCCCCCCCACACACACACACACACACACACACACACACACTACAGCCATGCACAACTGCTATAACATGGACTCCATAACACAAAAGACCCAATAAAAAGTATAAATTACTATAACTTTGTGTCATAATCATAATTACAATTGAAGAAGCTTGAAATGTTTCCAGCAACATGTGCAGTCATATTTATTTTTTTCATACATTAAGACTTAATCAACTCCTAGAGAAATAAATACTTTCAGCTTTAGGATGTACAACACAAGCAGACCCCTACACTGATCTTTCAACACACACAAATTTATTTTATTGTTACTATTAATATTTAAGCAATTTACAGCTTTATAAAGCAGCTCCATCATCACCACACCTGACCAATTGTGTGATAGCAAAATGCTCAACTGCGCTTAACTACCATTTGGGAAGCTGAGAGAGTCGGGATAAAGGATGGTACTTGAAGAATCACCACATCCACATGCAGATTGCACATTGCTGAACATGATGAATTGGTCTCTGGTACTGAGTCTGCTTGTACCTCACAACTATCCCTGTCAACTGTGTCCAACTACCATCTTAGTAGCTGGTAGGGTAGGGGTAACAGATGGTGCTACATGAGCTTCACATCTTCATAAAAACTGCATCTTGCTGAACATAATGGATTGTTCCACAGCATTGCGTTTGCCTGTACCAGTCAACTGTCTGTGGCTGTGCTCAGCTACAGTATGGTTATTTGGGAGGGTGGCAATATCAGATGGTTTAAGACAGAGTTACACATCTTCATGGACACTGCGCATTGCTGAACATTATAGGAATCTTCACGCAGGAATACAATTGAATCTTTCTTCGCTCCCCTTAAAAACAGACTTCATCCTGTTTACTGGTACAACTTTTATTCTGAATTTCTCAGTATTTGTCTTATGAGCCACTGCAAAGTTGTTTTTTATCACTGATTTTGAAATTTGTAGGCTGCAAATGAGCAATTTACCCCAAGTTTCCACTATTAAATGCCCTTTATCCTATTCAAACATTGAGGGGACCCCTTAAAATCTCTGTCAAATCCTTTTTCATTCATCCACCAAAACAACATTTTGTCATGAGCTGTTGTAGAGCTCATGAATTAGAGGCAATTCACTTGCACATATAATTGCACACCAGTCTAGATCTCCAATTAACGGCTGCTTTGGGTTTCAAAGGAGTTGTCATCAAAACAGGCCTGACAAGCTAATCATAGATCATTTCAGGCATTTTACAAACCTCTTAATGATTAAATGTAATTTGACATAATTCCCCTCTGAAATTAGCGGCAGGATTGAAACGTTATAATGGTGAGTGAGTTTGTGAATCATCATGCATTCTTTCTTCCAGTATCTGTCCGTTAAAGAACACTGTTGCTGTTATTTACTGCAGAGGAAGACGATTGTCTCTCAGTCATTGTCCATGTAGAATAAAGAGTCTTTTGTGAATCTTCCTTACTGACCGGTTCCTGGAAGACATCTTCTGCCTGGTGCCTTTTCTTTCGCTGATAGACTCTTCTTTATGGGGCTGCAAATAAGCACACTGTGTCTTGAAAGGAGCCCAAAAGAACAGATAAATACACACTTTATCTGCTCCCTATAACAAAAGATGATGATTGAACAATTCATACAAAGAACTCTCCGTACTATGCGAGTGATGACGATATTGTTCTCGCACTGTTCCGACTTTAATGAAGGCAAATGGGCTCAAAAGTAACGGTGATTTCATGAGCAATTTGAAGTTTTCACAAAAGTATTTCAAAAACTATGAGAAGAACAAGGCATGAAATTGATTAATGCAACTTTGCAGAGGCCTGTTTCTAATATCTATTCCAAAGAAAACACATGAAGCTCTGAGATGAAGGGTGAGCTGTGCACAGTGATAGATGTCCAAAAGGGCCCAGAAAGCAAAGCTCTCATCTTGCTGTCAGCTGTGTGGCAGTGTCATTATGAAAACCAACTGTGAGGACGTTTTAGGTCAAGAATGCAGCAGCCTCCTCTGGAAGAAAGCGTGATGGTCAACATATGTTCGGACTCAAAGGAGGAGGTGGGGGGAAAGTGGAGCAGAGAACAATTCAAAGCTGAAACTTAAGAAGTTCTTCAGCGCCTGAAGCATGACTATAATTTACAGATCACATCGGACGTCACTCTGTTTTTATGAATCCTGATCCACACCACATGGCCTGTAGCTGTCCTCCACTACTTTCTGTTTCTCACACTCACATGAAATGCATAGACTGTGAGTGAACACATGAATAATAGGACAATAATGAAAGTAAATCAGATTTATTTATCAGTATACTAATGGACCACATAATAACTTGGGTCAACAAGTTGCAGCGATACAATTACTCGAAGAACATCTTGTCCCTCTTTTATTGCAAGTCTGCCCTCTGCTGGCAGCTGGAAGTCTCTAATCCAAAACAGCTGAAACGTCAGCGCTTTCAACTTGTTGGGGAGTTAGTGGGAATCATTCAACCCTTTATATTTGTTAAAAATAAAAAAAAAGGACACAATAGGATCGAACATGTGCTGTATTTCTTGTTTGTCTCCTCTCAAACTGTTCTCTCTCTTTGTGCAGTTGTGTTTCAACAGCAGCTGTGGATCCTCTCCTGACGCTCGTGTCTCTTTTCACTGATGTCTAAACTCGGGCCGCCCTGAGAAGAATCAGCTGTCTGCTTGTTTAAGCTGAGAGGGTGCTGACGAAGAGGACGACTGTGAGAAATGATGGCTGGAGCTTTGCATTTCTCTGTCATCTCATGACACAGGTCCTGAATGAATGAGTTTTCTCCTTCTGATTTAAACATCATATGTAGGATTTATCAGCTTGTTTTCTCTTTCATACTTGAAACTCCCCACAACTTCTTTATTTTGTTCTCTTTTATTAAATTACAGTCTCTCCTTCTTCTCCTCCCCTAAAGTTAAAGCAGATGCTTGAATAATCTATTAGCCAATTGCCCAAAATAACAACAACTGGGAGCAATTTTGATGATTGATTCAAATTTTGAGGGTTTTCTTTGGACTACAGAGAACAATTTAACTGAAGCCACCTCCATTGACTTCATGAAATGATTATAGTTTCTCTTATTATTTACAGGCGCTGTTTTTGACCAAACAACTACAAAAACTGCGTAAATGAATAATAAAGGCTCATTTTATTTTGCAACATGTTTCAAGAAAGTTGGGACAGAGACAATGAAAACAGTGGAAAAGTTGTGAAATGTTAATAAATAAATAAAAAAAACACCTAGAAGAACATCTTCCGACGAATGAGGTTGATTTGCCGCAGATTAATAAAATTACAGGGTATAAAAAGGACATTCAGAGAGGTTGAGTCTCTTAGAAGTACGGATGGGAAGAGGGTCAACACTGTGAGAGACTGTGTAAGCAAATAACACTAAGATTCCTAAATGTGGAAAACTTAAGAAGATTTGGGGATTTCATCACCTACAGTAAGGAATATCATGAAAAGACTCTGAAGAAATCTTGATATAAAAGATCATGATCTTCAAGCCCTTAGGTGAAAACAGACACAACTCTGTAGTGGAAATCCCTGCATGGACTCAAAAATAGGTTGGGTAGCTTACATATTGTGAGAGATGACTGTGGTGCAGTGGTAGAGTTTAGAGGCATTCTCAATGGGAAGGTTGGGAGTTTGATCCAATGTCCTACTGTCCTTATGCCAAAGTGTATATAGGCTGGATACCTAACCCCAAAATGCCCGGCTGGCTAAGCCTTGATGGGCTCTTCACACAGCAGCCTCTGCCATCAGTGTATGAATGCCCTGTGAATGGGTGAATGTGACATGATGTAAAGCCTTTTAAAAGGTCAGAGGACTAAGGACAGCGGTACATAGACATTGTTCAACTATTAATTAAGGAGGTACCATCATTGAAGAATGATATAAACACGTCTGGGAGCAATATATACTGCCATCCACTTAGACTTTTTCAGAGACAACCTTCCTATTAAAACACCACTGTGCATATATTATAACAACGTGGCTCTGTAGTAGAAGAGGCATGTTAGTTTAATAGCCTGTGTATCATGAAATACAAAGTAAAGCAAAGGAGACCCCAAACCCTTGAACAGCTGATATCCTAAACGAGGCAAAAATGGGACATTTTGCCCTAAAATCCAGAAATTGGTTTCCATGGTTTTCAGGGGTTTACAGAGTGGGGCCCCCTGCCCAAACTTATTCAAAAACTGTTGCTGCTGTTGCTGCTATCTACTTTATAATGAGTGTGAACTTTACTTTCAACATTTGATGTGTTGTCCTTGGACTATTTTCAATGAAACACAGGGTTTAAATGATTTACAAACCACCAAAATCTGTTTTTCATAACATTTTACACAACATCATTTCATTTCACAACATCCCCACTTCCTGGAATGAGGTTGTAAAATGTCATATTTGCTTTGATGGTGCCTCTGCGCTGCAAAGTATCTGCTGGGCTGTTTACTCTGTCCTCCTGTGTCTGCCAAGCTACTCCACTCTTTTACAAACATCCAAACGATCATAATCAGATAACTGCAATGATACTTATTGTTTTTGAAAACACTAATTCCAACCCATCATTGTGAATAAGAATGTGTCCTTGACTGACTTGCCTGGATAAATAAATAAATATAAGATGAACAGAAGATCACGGGTTGCTAATAATACCCAAAGGGAACTTTTGAACGTGTTTGATGAGTCCCTCAGCGCAGCACTATGCGTACCGAGCGAGCTCCCAGCCTCTGTGAATTGTCCCTTTGTTGGCATGGTGCTGACGTTATGTTTTAATGAAGAAAGGAGATGATGAGGAGGGGGAGCATTTACATTCATGGCTCCCAGAAGAACGCATCAGTGCAGCATATTATTACATAAAGCAATTAGGGGGCCCTGTAGCCCCCAGATTATGGGAGATGCTTTCCCCATGATGACACAGTATGGTGATGACTATTGACTCCAGCCAGATCAGAGCATGTTGCATGTTTGCAATGATGTCACTGCACAAACCCCAGTGGGAAACTCTCATGAAACACTCTGCTGTGATTTATAAGTTGAAGAGAGAGAAGGAGAAACATGCCAGCACAGAGGGAGGGCTGGAGGAGAGCTCTTTGATAATAGTAATAAAAACTTTATTTATGGAGCCGCTTTCCAAACAGATGAGCTTTCATAAGATGTGAAGTTAAAGCAGCCATAATTGATGTTTTTGTCACAACAATAGGACAAAGTGAAAGGTGTTTGTGTGGAGAGTTGTCATCCAAGGCTTATTGTTAAGCTGTCCACCCCGCAGTTTGACTGTTTTGGTTTGCTCACACAGCTCTCACAGTGTTGTTTTCAGCCACAGCAGGCAGCTGTTTTCAGAGAAAATGCTCTGAAAGCCTATTGAACAAGAATAGAGTATTTCAAAACTCACGGGCACAATATTTTTTTTCAGGAGTTTGTATGAAATGGGAGAGAACTTTTAGTCGCGCATGCACTCTTGAAAATGAAAAAAGAAATTTAGGCGAGTTTGCTCCTGAAATGTTTTCAAAGTTTTCTGTTTTTTAAAGCTTGGATTGGAGGAAGGGGGCGTCCAGTGAAGCTGGCCACACCACTGAAAGGTGAACAACAAATCCAGAAACACCCTGAGAAGAGCAGTTAGCAGCTACATGCATGACAATCCCACCGCTTGCAAACCCCACCAATCCCTTCTTTGGGACATTTTGAAGCCACACAGTTTTGTGTGTTTTAATTGTTTGACATAAATCCCATTAGCCTCTTGTAAAAGCGTTTTGTCAATTGTTTTTATACATCATAAGTCAACCAGGAGCTCCAGCCTTTGAGCAGAACGTTAAAAAAACTGTTTATCTTCCTGGAAAGATCATGATTACGGTATAAATGTTGGACACACGACCGCATCAATCAGCCACCTTTTTCACTGTGTGCTCCAACAACTCATAACCAAACGTTACAGGCTTTGAAGTCCAAACCATTCGAGCCCTTTCCTGCTTGGACCTCCCCCTCAGATCTGGCTGGAGGGTGAAAGTCGACTTTGAAGTGCAGACTAGACCAGGGGGAGGTATTTCAATAGGCTTCTGCTTCAGTCGAGGGGTAAAGTTGCAGCCGTGAGGAGTGGGGGGTGGGGGGTGAGAGAGGACAAGGAGCGAGTGAGAGAAAGAGAGGAGGGTTTGGAGTCTTTTGAAATGAGGCACCTGTACGTTTGAGGCTTGCAGGAACAGGTATGTTCCCAGGGGTTAGGGGGCTTTAGAGAATTCAAAGTGATTTCTGTCTGCCCCCAATGCTCATAATCTGCTCTGAGAAAAGAGGACGATAGGGGGATATGATGCTGATACACTCACACAGGCGTGAACATGTTCTCAAAGACCGGAGTGGATGGATGGATGGAATCTGTGTTCACTTCACACACCAGCCAGAAGAAAGAAAAAAAAAAAACAGAAAGTAACTTGAGAGGCATTTAAAGATGTTTTAGAGCTCACTTTACTTGTTCTAGTGAAAGAGGGGATGTTGTACAGCAAACAGGAGCTAAGAACGACCGAGAAATGTCGAGAAACTTGAAACACGACACAGAAAAACAGTTACTGGCTGATGTCCTTGTCTGTGATCAAAGGGGAACAGGAGGTCTTCCTTGTGGCGACATGACGGGAAAGTGGATGAGGAAGCAAGACTGGAAACAGGAGATAGATGACACCCCTCAGGACGGCCTGTTTGAGAGTGTGTGCATGTGAGAGTGTGTAGATGCACAACAGCGTGTGTGTTTTCATATCCAGGAACTACTTTGACTTTACCGTCTCAGCTGTTGTAGTATTATCGGGAAAGAAGGCTTTCTTTGTGGTCACTGGTGGGAAAACTGTGATGCAACCGACAAAAGTCAGTTTGTGGGAATAGTTAAAAGCAACAGTTCTTAATGTCACAAATGTTGCTCTGAAAAACTGTGGATGCATGGATCAGCCATCTTGGATTTTGAGCTTTAGGGTGATGAAGTTCCTCTGAGTTTCCAGGACAGAAGCCTTGTGTCCTGTGTTCTGGATGATTTCTGACTTTCAGAATTAAATAGTCGAATACTCCCCTCAGCTATTGACACTACCAACCAGAGAAGTATGTTTAAAGAAGAGAGACATTCTTCAATCTCTTGTTGGTATTTATCACTGCTGTAAATTTGGAATTTCCCCTTGTGGGATTGATAAAGGAATGTCTTATCTTATCTAAAGTCAGAAAGTTTTTAGACTTTGCAGGGACGGATAAGCCTCCCCAGAGATTGGCACATAGTCTTGGTAGCTGACTGCTGAGCCAAAACTATGTTGTTTCTCCTTCATCGGATGAACACTCAATAAAGCCAAGACCCCCCCTCCGCATTGTTGATGACTTGAGAGCTTTCACTCACTATCACTCACTATTATTTACTGTTATTTAGCTCAGTGAGATTTAAAAATGGTGGTTGGAAGCACTGGATTGTAGGGCTGTAATCAACCAAAGAAATTCTTGGTCGACGATAACCCTGAAATTTTAAACCTAAAATTGACAAGTTGTGTGTGTGTGTGTGTTTGTGTATGTGTGAAAATATTCTGATATTAGCACAAGAAGGCAATTAAAAACAGAAGACTGAAATATAAATATTCAGCAAACCACCGGACGTTGATTAACGCTCTTCAATCTTCAACAAGGGGGGTGTTCTGAGACAGGCTGTTACCTGTGAAACAGGGGTGCTCTGAAAACACCCACATAGCATTTGTTCCTCCTGATGAAATTGACCATAGACTGTAAATTTTCATTTAAATTG